AATACATGGTAATATCCAGGAAAATCCTATTTATTACATACACACATTTTAATTAAATGACTATAATTTAAATACAGTGGTACCTTGGGTTAAGAACTTAATTCGTTCCAGAGGTCCATTCTTAACGTGAAACTGTTCTTAACCTGAGGTACCACTTTAGCTAATGGGGCCTCCCGCTGCCACCACTGCATGATTTCTGTTCTCATCCTAAAGTAAAGTTCTTAACCCGAGGTACTATTTCTGGGTTAGCGGAGTCTGTAACCCGAGGTACCACTGTACAAATACAGTCCATCTCACCATAGTAGGGAAGACTGTGGCCAGGTGACCTGTGTGCCTGCTTAGTCTGCTGTCCAGAAGCTAACCACTGATGAACAACTTCATGTTGCTCTCCTAAAACCAGACTTGGACCAGAAAGACCCCTTCTAATGCTGTCCTCTGTAAAAAATCACCTCTTCACCCTGGTCTCTGTCACTTGGGACACCCCCCCCCCCATCATTTATTGTGGAAAGTAAAAAAAGGCACCAGAGTTCAAAGACACATAGCACCCAGGAAAAAAACCCCCAGGGATGGTTCCCCTGTCCCCAATTTCCTCCTCTCCCTATTTTTCTTCACATTTACTTTCCTCCTCCTCCTCCTCCAATTACTACTTTGTTTAGTGTCTGGAGATAAGAATTGTGTTTGGCTATGTAAGACACTAATGAAAAGACATAATTTTAATTGGGAGGAAGATTTACAGAGGATTTGAAATGGCAAGGGGCTGCGTAAAAGTGAGGCGGTGGAACGTTAGAGAATTATTTGAGGTTTGGAAAATTATGCACCTACAGTATATGTTTGAAGTGCATTAATCTGCTTAAACCTCTCCATTTCTCATATCTGAGATGATTTTCTTGTGGCTATTTCTCTGTGGAACTCTTTACCTTGAAATATTCTAGGGGCTTCCTCTTGATACTTCTCTGAAGCTTTATTCACTCTTGCATTTCCCTTTTGTGCTATTTGCTTTTGTTTGTTTCCTATTTCTGGGTTAATAATTATATCATTTTTCCTTTCAGTCCTTCTCAGCATGCACAAAGTTTCCCTTTTACAACTTTATGTGTTAAGAGCGTGAGTTTACACACAGAGCAATTCCTTTGCTTGTCTACTCAGAAGGTTAAAAAAAGGTAAAGGGGACCCCTGACTATTAGGTCCAGTCATGACCGACTCTGGGGTTGCCGCGCTCATCTCACTTTATTGGCCGAGGGAGCCGGCGTACAGCTTCCGGGTCATGTGGCCAGCATGACTAAGCCGCTTCTGGCGAACCAGAGCAGCGCACAGAAACGCCGTTTACCTTCCCGCCGGAGCGGTACCTATTTATCTACTTGCACTTTGCTGTGCTTTTGAACTGCTACATTGGCCGGAGCAGATCGGCAAGTCCTAGGCTCTGTGGTTTAACCCACAGCATCACCCATGTCCCACTCAGAAGGTTAAGCAGGGCTAATTTTCAGGTAACTCAGAATATGGATTGCAGCCATTTTTTATTTTATTTCTGGAAGCTGCAATCTATGTACATACACTTATCTGAAAGCAACCTTACGCATGCTTTACTAAGACGTAAACAACTCTAAGGTCATTGGGGCCAGGTAGCTAACTGTATATAGCATACATTATACAGTGGTGCCTCGCAAGATCTAAACACCTGCTCCGTTAAAGTCTCTTCGCTCTTGCGAGTTGGTTTTGCGATGCACGGTTTCCCATAGGAATGGGAATGAGCACCACTAATGCGCCTTGGGGAAACCGCTCAGACTCAGGTCCGGGACAGTCTGTCCCCGGACTCTTTCTGAAGGCTGGGGGCAAGGGCTTTTCTTTTCCACCCCAGCATTTGTAACCCCGACAGCGGGGATATCTTCCGCTGTCCGGGCGATCTTAAAATGCTGGCGGGCGGTATTTGTGTCACCGATAGCGGATATCTTTCTTCCATTGTCCGGCAATTTAAAAGTTCTGGGAGCAGTAGGCAGGGGACAGACTTTGCTCCTCAAGCCTTCAGAAGAGGTCCTGGACTTTGAAGGCGGGCGGCAAAGTCTTGCTCTCGCCTCAAAAGCCCTCTCGACAGGCAGGCAGGGGAGCAAAGCCCCGCCCGCCCGCCTCGTAAGGTCTCTCCCTCCCCGCCCGGCTCTCGGAGTGACTGCTCGGCGGCGCGGGAGGCCCTCTCCCCCGCCCGGCTCGGAGCACTGTTCCGAAGCCGGGCGGCGGCGTGTGGTGTTCTCTCCCCGCGCCCGGCTGAGGAGCCTGAAAGCCCGGCGGCGGCGGGAGGAGGTGTCCCGCCCGCCGCCAGGCTTCGGAGGTCCGAGGACAGTGGGGAAGACGCGCTGCGCTTCCCGCTGTCCCTGAGATTTCATGGGCTGTCGTCTTGCGAAGCAAGTTCATAGGGAAATTCGCTTGCGAAGCGCCCAAACGGAACCCTTCGTCTAGCGGGTTTTCCGTCTTGCGAGGCGTTCGTCTTGCGGGGTACCACTGTAGCTTCAATCCTATAATATGTATGTACTTACTTATCAGTAATCACCACTGGTGTAAACAGGGCTTACTCCTAGATAGTATTGTACATGGATTGTACCCAGATTCTTTTTGATTTCTTAAAAGCTGCAATCCTCTATACACTGAAATATGCTTGTCTACTCACAATCTTAAGATCACACTTAGAACATAATAAATTGTCTTAGTCAGACCACTGGTCTACCTTGCCCAGTACTGTCAACACTGACTGGCAGCACCTCTTCAGGATTTCAGGCAAAGGTTTTTCCTAGCCCACCCTGGGAATGTTGGGAATGGAATCTGAGACCTTCTGCATGCAAATAATAGAGAAAAATAGGGGTGGTTGGCTTTTGCTGCCCATCTCCCCAAGGGATTGAGTCCCCTAAGCCCATGATCGGTCAGAGATGAATGGATGGAGGCAGGATGCAGTGAAAGCAAGGCAGGTCTTTATTTTTCTGTTGCAACAGAGCTCCCCTGCCCCAGCAAAGGAGGCAAGTGTTAAGTTGTGGGTGAACATATCAGACGACACAGCAATTCTTCAAGCAGCTCTTGTTTATTCACAGACCAGAAAAGAACTGAACAGCAAACAGCTCAGCTGGCCTGCTTTTATAGGCAGCCGGCTGTCAACATTGTAGCAACAGCAACCCAGGGTTTCCCGCCTAAAGTAACTGATGTGGACCTGAGTGAAAACTATATACACGATACTCCTGGTGGCCAGGGTGAGAACTTCAATACATAACAGCAAGAGAGACTGAGAATGACAAGAATCATCTCTTTTAAGGGTTTACATTTTGGTGTTGTAGGAAGAGTCAAATAGAATTTATTCTGAACCACCAAACTGGAGAAGGAAACCCCCTCTACAAACAGTCAGAAATTAGATCAAACAATAAGGTGGGGTTATTGTGGCTCAGGCAGGACAAGGGGTGATATTCCCGAGGATTTAGCAAGTTTCACATAGTTCCAAACAGAGTTTACACAAAACATTAGCATTTGATAAGACCTATCAGGATGCCCATCAGACCATAGCTGTCAACCTTCCCTATTTTTGCGGGAAATTCCCTTATTCCAGCTCCGTTTCCCGCTGCTATCCTGGATTGTTAGATATCCCGTACTGTCCCCGGGACAGGTGAGGCTGCTGATCCCTTATTTTCAAATCTGAAAGTTGACAGCTATGCATCAGACATCCCTCAGTGCAGAGCATCTGGGCAAACAATGACAATTCATACAAAGGAGGTTAATAGATATAGGAGAGGAATTCCTACAGGAGCTTCCCCGGATTGCAATCTGCCTACCTGTTCTCAGGCAAGGGGGGTGAAGGAGGCAGAGGAAATATTTAAGAATCTTTAGAACAGCCAAGATGGTTTTTGGATTGCTCTCCTATACCTCGGGTTAAGTACTTAATTCGTTCCGGAGGTCAGTTTTTAACCTGAAACTGTTCTTAACCTGAAGCACCACTTTAGCTAATGGGGCCTCCTGCTGCCGCCGCGCCACCGGAGCACAATTTCTGTTCTCATCCTGAAGCAAAGTTCTTAACCTGAAGCACTATTTCTGGGTTAGCGGAGTCTGTAACCTGAAGCATATGTAACCCGAGGTACCACTGTACTATTTACACATCTGGTTTATATTTGTATGTGTGTTTACCTTGTGCAATTATCAACATTGATTCTATATTTAAGACCTATAGCACAAAGCATGCGCTCTACCTGCCGAGCTACAACACTTAGAATTTGTACTATTTGCAACCAAGGCTACAGTGATGTGTCCAAGGGTCCAACTCAGAGCAGATGCATTGGAATGAATGGGTGTCATTTAAATGAGCAGGGCCGGATTTAGGTTTGATGAGGCCCTAAGCTACTGAGGGTAATGAGGCCATTTATATGTCCAGCTGTCCTTTGTCAACAACAAATTGTCGCGGTTTTTTGTGTTGAATATATGCTATATGGTAATTTATGGACCTATCTAAAGCCATTTGCACATAACAAAACATGCATTTTATCAAAGTAATTGCTGAACTGAAATACAATAAAGAAGAAGTATATTAATAGTGAAAGACAAACCAGTGATATTTTAGGGAGCAGGCTAGCAAGCGGGGCCCGTTACTTACATCATAGGAGCCTACACAACACAAAACACTGTTACTGTATGCAGGTTTTATTTTATTTGTTTTTTTAGCTTATATTTTGGAAATGTACACCCAGTTTTTTCCCCCTTTAATTTTTTGGGGGGCCCCCAAAAGAGCGGGGCCCTAAGCTATAGCTTGTTTAGCTTATGTGTAAATCCGGCACTGTAAATGAGCATTGGATAAAACCCAAAATGAATATAAATGGAAGAAACAACTTTTTCCCCCGAAGAGAAAGAAAGCTTTTGGAAATAGGTCAGAGCCTGATCAGACGCACAAATTTATTTCCCTCCCAGAGTGAAGGGGGGGAGAGGAGGAGGAGGAGGGGCGGGAACCGGGGGACTAGGCCGCGGCTGGCTCCCGTCTCCATGGCGACGAGAACGCGCCGGCGCTGCTACCTGGGAGCGAAGGGCGGCCTGCAGCGCGCGCCCAGCACCTTTCCCGGGAAGAAACATGGGCGGGAGGGAGGTCGCATGGGGCGCAATGGAGAGGAGATGGATCCCAAGGGCGGCCGCTGCTGGTTCCTTAAAGTGGGTAAGGTAGCCGTGACGGGTATAAGCCACCCTCTCAGGCATCGCCCCAGTCCCCAAGTATATAGGCACCTCCTTGCAAAGCAACTTTCTTCCTCGACTCTGGTGGGAAAGGAGAAAGGGGATTACGCAGTTCCGAAGGAAAAAAATATATATCCAGAAACTCCAGAAGCGCTTGGCTTCTGCTAACATTTACCCGTGTTAGTTGTGGTAACCAAAACCGAGTTGGGGGTGCTGTAGGGGATTGTTTCCCTTGCGCAAAATCACTTGTTTTATTTACAGGGCGATCTTAGGTATGCCAACTCAGAAGTAGGTTTTCATTTAGTGAGACTTGCTCCCTGTCCCAAGAACTGCAGCCTGAATTGTATATATATATATATTAAAATCTATATGCATTTCTGTGCCACGTTTTAAGGTAGAAACAGCTCAAAAGGAACTAGTAATTTAAAAAAATAAAACGAAAAAAATTGTGTGGGTATTGTTGGGTATTATATGTGTTTGTGCATGCCGGGGTGTACCATTTGGGTTGCCACTTTTTTTGTGTACGATTTTTTGTACGATTTTAACGGCAAATCGTGACACATTTCACAGGGCACTCTCAGACCGTAGATTTTTTGAGTGGGATTCAGTCACATGCCAGAAATTAAAGTTGATTTGGAGCACTTGTGTAACAAATCAGCTTTTTCAAAAACGACTTTATGTGTTAAGGAAATGAGAAAATGTACTGGAAAGTTTTTGACTTGACGTCATTTAACCTTCCCACAAACAAATAAGAATTAATGTTCAAAAAACCAAGTGACATCATCTAACTTCCCCACAAACTGTGCAAACAAGGCAGAATGAATGCTCAATAACAGGTTGCACAGCTATTACTCCTGAGTAAACACACTTAGGATCAGGCTCTTCTTCTGATTAACTATTGGAGGTTGTGCAATGTGCATGGGAGTTAGAGAAATGAGCCTGAAATAACTAACGCCTCTGGTTTAGTCCTCCCAGTCAGTGATGTGTACTGAGAATTCTTATTTCACATACGTGCAGTGGGGGGGGGGAGTGGCAGAAAAGCCATATCTCTATTATTTCTAAATGATTCGGCATGCTAAAAGGAGAAAAAGCACAATGTCAGTAAAATTGTGCTATGAAATAACAAATTTTAAAGTGGTGGAGGAATCCCCTCCAACATATGTTATTCTGAATGTTATTAAGTCTTCTGTTGTGGAGGTAGACAGTGATCACTTTGCATTCCCATCTACTCTTCATTATTAATTGTTCTCATTAATCATTGGTGCCAGATGTACCAAATCTGGGACTTGAAGTGGGCTTGAAGTGTAGGGTGGAGGTATGCTGCGGAAGAATGGAGCACTTCATATTTATAGGAACGCTCTGTTATTTTAACGGCATATCCAGTTTCATTTCATTAGTTGTTGTCCCCCTTTCTTTCTGTAACTTGCTGCAGGTTGTAAGAGAAGACCTCTCCTTTAAAGACTGAAAATGAACTATCGTTTGCTGTTGCAGTGTCATCGCTCCTTTCCAAAAGCTGTGTTTCTGCCTTCCTGACTCAGTTTCCTAAGGACGGACATGGGGACCCTTTTGGAAGTAGGGTCTCATAATCCATCGCAGCCAACTGAAACTTCGGTAAGTGTTCTGGCAATCATTTCTGACAAACTGAGGAGAAAATGAAATGTTTGAAGAGTACAAATGAGAACTCCTTCCCCCAAATGACAGAGATTATTCTTGCCTTGTTTGGTCATTCACCACTGACATCTTTGTAATGAGATAGTGTAGTAGAGGTTAGTAGAACACGGCCTTAACATTGAACTTATTTCCACAAAAATCACTTATAGTTTACATAGGATAACCTGTAATTTTCATTTTCAGAATATATAGTGATGAAAGCAAGGATGTGGCTCAGTTGTACAGCTCCTGTGTTTTGCAAAGTGTCCTGGGTTCAATCTTCAGTATCTCTTCATATTGTATGAATGTATGAATCCCAGAAGAGATACTGCCAGTTATTTATTTCCCCATCTTGGAGCCCTCCACATTTTTGGAACTACAGTTCCCATCATCCCTGACCATTGGCCATGCTGCCTGGGGCTGGTGAGAATTGTAATCCACATCATCTGGAGGGTACCAGTTCGCAGTCGACAAGTGGTCTGATTGGTGTTAGGCAGTTTCTATGTTCCTATTTGTGCAAAACATTGTGCAGTATTTTAAAAAATGCAATTATATTTGAAAGTATTTATTGGACTATACATTTGCCATGGGATCATCCTTTCAGATATACATGAAGTTTTATGCCGCACCTTAAATAAGAAAATTTATTTTGATGTTCCTAATGTTCAAGTAGGCCTAATAGAATAGAGTATTAAACTGTGTTAAAAATTTATATCCTGTGTTAAGTTTCTCAAGGCAGCTTACAACAATAATAATCCTGTATAAAACCCACCAAAAAGTAGCATTCCAAGAACCTAATAAGTGACAAATCAGTAAAAGCAGAGCAGCAGAGGCTTTGCAGCAGCACAATGACATAAGCTTACGGATAGGTGTAGCATAGAACTGCTCTTAACTGTCTCTCATCTCTTTCAAGGATTTCTAAATCCATATTTTTCCAAGAACACCTGCTTTCCTTGCATCTTTTTTTGTTTTTTGGTATTTGACTATGGCATTAGAAACTTAAATGGGGCAAACTGCTGATTGCAGCCTTTCCTGACTCTCTGACTGGCTGCATTCACACGTCATGCTAAATGTGCTAAATTCTTTAATTTGACATGCATGAGCAGAAGCAAGCTGCAGTCAGCCTTGGGCTTGTGTGCCCCTGCATCCTCTCTTGTCCTTCCACATGGCCAAGGGGTAGTAGCTTGTAAGTGCTTGCTTCTGTTGTTAGTTAACTGCAGTTTGCCATGTGGCCCAGACCTAAAATTGAGGTTAAAGTTATGGTTAGTTTCAACAAGCCTGCTTCAGAACCACAGGTTGACGTTGGCTTGTTTTGAAATTAACCATAGAAGTGTTAGTTACAAGCATAATAAAAAACTCCTCCTCCTGACCATATGATGCTTGTTCCTGCTTGTCTACATCATGACTTAGCATGACATGCAAATGCAGCCTCTGTAATAAACTGGCCACAAAATACAGTTATCTCTGAAACTGAATGCTAACGCAGGACCGGTTTAGATGTAATGGAATACCAGAGTTTCCTGCTACGTGTGCAAGCCTTGGGCTCATGCATTCCTCCCTCCCTGCTTGTATGGCCATAAGGAGGAGACTGGAAGCTTTTTAATTTCGGTTTTAAACAAGCCATAGTTTCCTTTTACTTCTGAACTTGGATAGTTTAAAGTATGATTTGTTCAAATGAGTCAGGATAAAATTGTGCTTTGAATCCTAGCCTGTTTGGATATCACAGTTTGAAGAAACCACATCAACACCTCCCCCCATTTTAAAAAAATGCACTTTGTTACTTTGAAACAGAAGCAAAACCTTCCAATTTTCTTGTGGCCTCACAAGATGGAATGGAGTGGGGAGCATTTGAGCTTGCTTGAGGCTCATGAAGGCTTGTGTACATAGAGGAAACCTTCGTGTTCCATGGTGTCCAAACCTGGCACACAGTGAATGCTATCATAGAAAGACCATTGGTCCTTCTAGCTCAGTGTTGTATGCATCGACAGGTAGCAGTTCTTGAGAGTTTCAGTAAGAAGTCTCTCCCAGCCTTACCTGGGATTGAACCCAGGTCCTTCTGCATGTAAGGCAGATGTTCTGCCACTGAGCTATGAGCCCTTTGCCAGGAGAGCTATGCCCGCTATTGCCATCAGAGGATGTTGGTAATGGCAGATGAATTTGAGACCCTCCCCTTATACTACTGCTTTGTACATAGGATTCTCATGGAGGTTTGGTCTGCTAACAGCTGTGAAAATTAAACAAGATTTGCCAAGTTAGTACTTTTCAGTTCCAGATGCTGGGGGCAAATGAAACAGCAATGCCTTGCTGAAGACCACCCAGAGATATCTAGTTGGCCAATGTTGGAAATAAGAGTGCCAGATTAGATGAGTCTGGTCTGATCCAGGAGCACAATTCTGAAGCTCTTACGATGGCATGTTATATTACGGTCACTAGATAGGCCATAGAGGATTAAGCGGTTCATATACTTTGTCCTGTTTCAGTTTGCTGAACACACAGTAGTAGCCTTCATCCATTGTTGGATAAAGAATGTTAGCAGCAGACTCTGCCACAGCCTGAAATGTTAGCGTTTCAGCCTAGTATACTGGATAGGTAGAAATTTGTATTACCAGCTCCAGGCAACTTGCATTTTAGCTCTGTTACCAACAGTGTGAATTTTCCCGCTGACTTCTATAAGAGGTAGATTGCTGCCTTAGACCAGTGGCTCCCAAACTTTTCCAGACCACTGCTCCCTTGGTTCCATAAACCCATCCCCAGCACCCTCTACCATGCTCTGTAAAAAGCATTATTCAGAATAGCAGTTTGCACAACCCACCAAGGAATATAGCAACTGCAATAACATTCAAAGCCGTAACAATTAGTTACACGTTTATTCAAGATCCAGTCAAAACTGTTTAGTTTAATTAATTCAACAAAAGAGATGAACTTGATCCGGTGATGTCAGGGTTTCAAAGGCTGATAAGTCATTTACACCTCCAGCACTCCCCTGCTTCCGTGCCTCTTAATATTCCCCCCCCCATCCCACTGCCCCCCAGGGGATGGTACCACCCATTTTGGGAACCACTGCATTGGACCTAGAAACACAGTTCTGTACTTGAGAATTAACTTATAATAGATTTTCCTTATGGGAGAGTGAACATAATTTTTTTGTGAGAATTACTTCCAGGTTAACTTATATTTCTAATAAACTAACAAAGATGTGGGCTCTATGTAAGGTTTTTTTTTACTTACAACTTACTTAACACACCTCCCACCAGTGGCGTAGCGTGGGTTGTCAGCACCCGGGGCAAGGCAAGTAATTTGCGCCCCCTAACCCGTGGATTTGCGCCCCCTAACCCTAACCCCCAGATGTTGTGCCCGGTGCGGCCGGCCCCCCCTGCACCCCCCACGCTACGCCACTGCCTCCCACCCCCAGATTGGTTTACATTGTTGAAAGGAAACACAAGTGCCATGTCAGATTGGAAGTCCAGGGTATGGTTGCCAATATCCAAGGGTAGATGTACTTTTTTAAGGAGGGGTAAACATGGAGTAATAATAACAACTGTATCAAATAAAGCTTTTGCCCAGGCAGGGAGATGCACATGTTTTGTTAAAATTGGCCACCAGGGGTCACTGTTCTCAACCAATTGTAAATTTTGTTTTGAAGGTCATGAGTGGCCAGTCTGTACAAAACAGCTCCCACAGAACACTTGGTTGTCATGTCTTCTTTGTATTCACCTGTGGATGTTTTAAGATAATGACAATTTTTGCAGGAATACTGTACTTTTAGCTGAACATTTGGAGTCTTGTGTAATAGTGTCTCATAGCTTATAGCTAATGCCAGGGAATGGGGTAGAGAGTCCCGATGTGTGTGGGTGTTGATGCCTAAAGATGTAGATGTGGACCTTATGTTGGATTTTAAAAGCCTGCAGTCTGCAATCCAATCAGGGATGGGGAGAACAGCTGCAACTTGCTTTACTTTTAAAATAATGAGCAGCTTTGTATTGCAGTTCCCTGACTTACAGCTATTATTATATCTGGGTGCATTTGGGAAATATTTAGACTGCCCTTTATTTTTTCATCGCTCTCTTGAACTGTATGATTCCTCCAGCATTAAGAAGGTGGCTCAGGAGATTTCCCATTTGGGGTTTTTGTATGTGTGCAGGAAATTGATAAAAGGGTTTACTTATCTCTAGTACAAAGTCTGGGAGAGATTATTTTCACTCTTAAAATATGTGGCGGTGTTTATTATTTCTAAGGTGCCTATATTTTATCTTTTAACTCGGATTTGCAGTCCTTTGTTAACAGGGTGCTTGATTAATAGCGCTGCATTATAAACTATTCCAAACACAGGGATGGAACATGGAATCGCAGAATTGCAAGAGAACCTGAGGGTCATCTCATCCAACTCCCTGCAATGCAGGAATCTCAACTAACAGACAACCATCCAGCCTGTGCTTAAAAACCTCTGAAATCGGAGAGTCTCCCACCTTCCAATTTTTCTGCTGTGGAAGCTGGGTATACACCACACCAAAATCCACTGGATGATTAAATATTTCTACCCCTGCTACAAAAGTGCAGGAAGTAGTCAGAGAACCTTTTCTTCCTATCGCATGGCACCGTTCTTGAGTACCAGTTAAGGCAATGGAGGACTGGCACTCAGGCCATTGTAGCCTTCCAACAATTCAATCAGTTTCTCCCATTCTTGGAACACCTAATACAGTACCAGCTCACATTAGCTCCAACCATCATGACCAGTGGTCAGGAATGATGGCAGTTGTTGTCCCGCAACTTCTGGAGGATGCAGGTTAGCCACTCCTGACCTAATGTTACAGCAGCACAGGGCCCATTGGTCTATAGCAGGGGTCAGCAAACCTTTTCAGTAGGGGGCCAGTCCACTGTCCCTCAGACCTTGTGGGGGGCCGAACTATATTTTTTGGGGGGGAAATGAACGAATTCCTATGCACCACACAAATAACCCAGAGATGCATTTTAAATAAAAGCACACATTCTACTCATGTAAAAATACGCTGATTCCCAGACCGTCCGCGGGCCAGATTTAGAAGGTGATCTGGCCCCTGGGCCTTAGTTTGCCTACTCATGGTCTATGCAGCAGTTCTCAACCTGTGGGTCCCCAGATGTTGTTGGACTACAACTCCCATCATCCCTGAGCTCTGGCCTTGCTAGCTTGGGGTGATGGGTGTTGTAGTTCAAAAACATCTGGGGACCCACAGGTTGAGAAAGGCTGGTCTATAGCATCCTTATGATTCACACCCTCCTTGAGTTTTTTTGCCTGGCCATGATGTGTCCTTGCACTCATTTAATGTGTCTTTCTTATCTAGACTGATGATAAAGGTAAAGGGACCCCTGATGATTAGGTCCAGTCGTGGCCGACTGGGGTTGTGGCACTCATCTTGCTTTATTGGCTGAGGGAGCCAGTGTACAGCTTCCGGGTCATGTGGCCAGCATGACTAAGCCGCTTCTGGCGAACCAGAGCAGCGCACGGAAATGCCGTTTACCTTCCCGCTGGAGCAGTACCTATTTATCTACTTGCACTTTGACGTGCTTTCGAACTGCTAGGTTGGCAGGAGCTGGGACAGAGCAACGGGAGCTCACCCCATCATGGGGATTCGAACCGCCGACCTTCTGATCAGCAAACCCTAGGCTCAGTGGTTTAACCCACAACGACACTGCGTTCCTGATGATACTGATGATAGAGGTGTGCGTATGTGTGTGTGTGTGTGTGTGTGTTTTCCTTTGGCCCTGCCAATCACTGGCATGCGGCCCCCAGAAGGTTGTTCAGAAGGGAGTGTGGCACTCCGGTGAGAAAGGTTGTCCACACCTGTGTTAGAAGATGAATGCTTTGAAGGTTATTGCCATAGGTTTCTGCTTGGTCCCCCATCCTCCTCCTGCCTCCTTTGTGAAGTGCCATGCGCTTAGTATTGTGCTGCAGTGGACTCCAATTCCTGTTTTATAATTTTTTTCCAGGCAACAGTGCCATATGGGGCCCCGTGTTTGAACTGGGGATTAGTACTTCAGATGATGTTATTACCCCTCCCCACCCCACTTCTGTCAACAGCAAATCTGCGACCCAGACAGGCCAGAGTAGTCTCTCTCCTGTGAGCTCATTTATTATGACTTCTGGAGCCCGAATGAAAGGCTACATTGTCTGCTGTAACTTAGCAGGCAGAATAAGCTATCCAGAGCAGCTGGCAGCATCCGCTGCTTTGGTCAGGCGAAATATTTTCTTGCCTTTTGGTCTGTAGGATGGGGCACATCCACATCCCGAAATTTTAGGGATTTGGTGTGTTGTTTCAAATGCATTTGCTCCCTGCGGTACATCGAGGGAGGGCGTGTTGGTCCATGTGGCTAATTTGGACCTCTACTGGTTCACGAAGGACTGTACGTGTATGAATGGTTTTTTGTTTGCAGGCAGGATAGGTCAGTGATATTATGCACATGATTTGCACATGGAAAGTCCCAGGCTTTATCTCTGGCCTCTCCTGTTTTAATAGGACTTTTGGTTGAAGGGCTTGGAAAGACCATTGCTTGATACCTTGGAGATCCACTGTCAAGTCAGAGTAGAGAACAAGGTGTTGGAATGAGCCAGGCTTGCTATAATTTGAGGTGGCTTTGGATGTTTAGTCTTTACAGTTGCTTCAAGTAGAGGGTGGAAGGGGCAGGCCTGCTGCTTTTTCCGGGGACATTTCTGAGTGCCTGATTGTGTCAAATCAGTAGGCACAGGAAGCTCCCACCGGGTCATAGCTGTAAACTTACAGATTTGAAAATAAGGGACCAGCAGCCTCGAAAATAAGGGATCGGCAGCCAAAATAAGGGATTTTGCTATTGTAAAGAGTTACATACATTGGTAGGATTGACAGATGCTGTCAATCCGGTATGAGGTGGTTACAGCGCGGCGGCGGCCGCTGAAGCACCGCCCTTCTGCATCCCTCCCCATCCCCTCCTCTTCCTCCTCCCTCGGGCCACCTCCTCAGCTGCCACCACTGCTGCCACCTCCGGGCTCGCGGGCGGCGTGGGCGAGAGTCTCTCTCCCTCCCCCCTCCTCTTGGGCGGGAAAGGGCCAATGGAACTCCTTGCGCCAGGACGACGGCGCCAGCGCGCTCTCTCTTGCACAGCGGAGGACCCCGAGCCGCTGCTTCCCTCCCGAGCCGGGCAAGCATGAAACCCGGGAAATTTAAGGGACATCATCAATAAGGGACAGCAGCGGGGCAAGGCGCTGGGATAGGGGAGTTTCCCGCCAAATAAGGGGCGGTTGACAGCTATGCACTGGGTCATGACCTTTGCATTATGTCACATGATTGAGTTTGGTCCACATGGATAGGCTTGGAGCAGGAAGCCCTTTGTAGCCATGCTCTCACCATGAGAGAGGGTCTTTGGACCAACCACTGTTCTCAGCCACATGTCCCCGTCTTATTAATAATTAAACATCTGGCTTCTGGCTCTGGGGTTTCCACGTTTATCAATAAAACCAAGCTCCCCATGAGCCAAACCTCATTAATGCTCTGTGGAAGATAGGTTTGGTATAACAGCTGATGCAGATCCTGTGGGAATATCTGAACAGCTGCCATGATCAACAGCTCCGAAGCGCAAGTCTTTTAGGAGGAGATCTTTGGAACTTGCAGGTGCCTTTCAGAACGTAGTTTCCCCCCATCAGATGCCCTGAAATCAAGCCCAATCCTTTGTGAATTGTTGCAGTGGAAGGGCACAGTAAAAGGAAGTTCTCCTGCACAAGGCCCACTGAAATAAATAGGGGCTTCCCATTCATTTCAATGGTGCTTGTGTATGAGAACATCCAGGCGAATGGCAAGGAAACTTGTCTTCTGTGCAGAGAGGCTGGTCTACTAGGGCAGCTTTTGTCTGTCCTCAGCCAGACCCTACTTGCCTGCTTTCTTACATATAAACCAGCCCAGGAGATGGCAGTGCCTGTCAGTTTCCTCCCCTTAGTCCCAGTGTTGCCCTTGTAGAACTTGGCAGGAGGAGGATGGGGGACAAAACTAGAATTAGTTGGCTCCGTCGCCACCTGCTGCTGGGGTCCCCACTTCCCACCCTGCCAGTCCCAATGGTGGTAAAGGTAAAGGTAAAGTGACCCCTGACCATTAGGTCCAGTCGTGGCCGACTCTGGGGTTGTGGCGCTCATCTCACTTTATTGACCGAGGGAGCCGACGTACAGCTTCCGGGTCATGTGGCCAGCATGACTAAGCCGCTTCTGGCGAACCAGAGCAGCACACGGAAACGCCATTTACCTTCCCACCGGAGCGGTACCTATTTATCTACTTGCACTTTGACGTGCTTTCGAACTGCTAGGTTGGCAGGAGCAGGGACCGAGCAACGGGAGCTCACCCCGTTGCGGGGATTCGAACCGCGGTGGTACCAGCCACCAAAGCTTCTGTGTGTGATCACATTTATGAAAAAGGAGCAATCACTTGATAATTAGTTCTCGCCATCAAGTGGCAAGTTGCGCAGGGCTTGCTCCATGTCTAAAACAGCAGTTTGGCTCACCTTTTCTGAACCTGGAAAAAGAGCTGTGAGTGAAGCTCAAAAAGCTCATCCACCCCCAGATGCTATTGCCTGATAAGAGCTATTGCCTGATCTGCTGCTTCTCCTGTTTCATGATTTAAACAGGGCATTGAAGGGATTAAGTCCTGTGTGCACCTCCCCCTCCACGTTGCTATCAATATTATTCAGAAGGATTATCTCTCTCTTTGTAGTGTAGAGGGTTGGTTTACTTCTCCCCACTCTCCCCTTCCCCCATGCTTCTGATGTAGGACACGGGCAGCCTTCCCAGCATCCTCTCAACCCTGATAATGTCAGTTTGTGGATTGTATCACTTATGGGAAAATAGAACATGTTAAAATGGAAAACCAGATTTGTTAAGAACATGAGACCTCTTAGAAGACACCCGTCACCCCTTAACATAGATTATTCATTACTTATGCATTTGTTTTATTTAAAAACATGTATAAACTACTTAACGTTTCAAAAATCTGTAAGTCGTGTACAATCTAAAAACAAACAATATCAGTAAAACAATGCTAATAAAACCCCAATGTAAAAACATATGAAAACAAGTAAAACACGAATTCAGGGGAGCCAGCAACAGGGCCCGATCTTATGCGTCAAGGAAAGCCTGGATAGAAAGATAAATCTTTGCAAAATGTCTGAACGTTTCACATGTGGTCGAGGGAATGGCATTCTATAATACAGGGACAACAACAGACCATGTATGTTTTCAGTATACCCTGTGATATTCTGTAGGCTGCGGTGCCACGTGTAGAATTTATCCATATGGTCTAAGTGATCTTACAGTTCTCTACAGGCACAGGTGGTCTTTCAGGAGCCTGATCCCAAGTTGTTCAGGGCTTTATATGTCAACATCAAGATGTTGAGCATGGCCTTCTGCACTCATTAGTGCAGCCTTCCATATACAGGGGTTTTGAACTACAGGTCCCATCAGTCTTTTTTTTTTTTAAATGATATTTATTAAAGTTTCAGAAACAAAAGATTACATAGATAAAAAGGAAAAAAACAAGAAAAAAATAATAAAAAAGAAAAAAAATACAAAATACAAAATACAGAAAATATATATATAAAAAAACACTTAAAAACAAATCAATCTTTCCGTACCTTACATTTCATTTCCTTGCTTCCCTGACCTCCTCTCACCTCCCTTTTTTGTATTCCAGTTCAATTGGTTAATTCAGCAGTTCCTTTCCCTCTTTGTTTTTGTCTTAATCCTTTAACTTAATATATTATAGCTTTGGATTCTCACCTATTAACAATCCATTTTTACATACACCTTTATAACATTGCTGCTAAAACCACTTAACTTCATTCTGACATCATTCTAACATTCATTAATTTTGCAATATTTCTGTAAATAGTCTTTAAATTTCTTCCAATCTTCTTCCACCAACTCTTCTCCTGGTCTCGGATTCTGCCAGTCATTTCCGCCAATTCCATATAGTCCATCACCTTCATCTGCCATTCTTCCAGGGTGGGTAAATCTTGTGTCTTCCAATATTTTGCAATAAGTATTCTTGCTGCTGTTGTGGCATACATAAAGAAAGTTCTGTCCTTCTTTGGCACCAATTGGCCGACTATGCCCAGGAGGAAGGCCTCTGGTTTCTTCAAGAAGGTATATTTAAATACCTTTTTCATTTCATTATAAATCATCTCCCAGAAAGCCTTAATCCTTGGGCACGTCCACCAAAGGTGATAGAATGTACCTTCTACAGGTCCCATCAGTCTAGCCCATGGGTAGGCAAACTAAGGCCTGGGGGCCGGATCTGGCCCAATCGCCTTATAAATCCGGCCCACGGACAGTCTGGGAATCAGCGTGTTTTTATATGAGTAGAATGTGTCCTTTTACTTAAAATGCATCTCTGAATTATTTGTGGGGCATAGGAATTCGTCCCCCCCCCAAAAAAAAATAGTGCGGCCCCCCACAAGGTCTGAGGGACATTGGACCGGCCCCCTGCTGAAAAAGTTTGCTGACCCGTGGGACTCTAGCCCATCACTAGGAAAGCACTAGATTGGGGAGGGCAGCATTATACTAATACTTTTGATTTGGCTTCACTTCATATACCACTCCACATCATGTTAAGTTATTGGATGCTACAGCAGAGGAACTTTGACATGCTATCATGTTCACAATATTGCGTTTGGGGGGCATTTAAAGATATGCAACAGTAAACAAGCATTATGCAGTCTGTTTTTTTGGAGAGGATTGGCGTAGCAGCATCCATGTTGCGAACATTCTTTTCTGTATCCTGTAGGATATTGAACTCATACATTGAACTCATACTTAGTACATGATGAAAAGTTGTCTGTAAATCTTTATCCAGTGTGCAACAATTATTTTACATATTTCTGAGGCAACGGTTGTTCTTATATTGAGGCTTAAATGTTTACCTTAAATGCTTTAAGAATAACAGTCTTAAAATTGTATTGCTTCTTATCAAAGCTACATATCGTTCCTTATTTCAAGGTCTCATAGAATATCATGCTACTCTTCGTGGGCTATAATGCAGAATCTTGACCTGTTTGAGTTATTGTAATCTGTCTTGGTGACAGATCTGCATATTGTTCCTTTCCTTTGTATACACTGCATAGTTTAGAATCCAGAAGTGGAGAGCTCTGGTTTTCATTCTTTATTATTAAATTGAAAGTTTCCAATCCTTACGGTGGCAAAATAATTGCTTTAACTTGCTAGCTGCTTCTGCTAAAAGATGCAGAAGTGGTGTATGGCTGGAACATGGAGCTTCCCTACTGCAGCTTGCTTTCTCTCCTTTCTTTTTTATTATTTTATTTTATTTTGACAAAGTAATAATCATAAATAAATAAGAATAAAAATGTGCACCCCACCACTGAGACCATTCCATTGTAACTATCCAACCTCCCAAAATTTCAACACCTCTTGCGATGGTTTGACCCCTTTCCATTTTAACAGTACAAATTCTACAAACACCTTCCATATCTCCTCAAAATCATTTCTCCTGCATATGCCCCGTCTTACCTTAATGGCACATGTTAATTTATCATTCATAGCTATATCCCACACCTCTTTATACCATTCTCCCATTTTATGTTCTGCTTGCCCCTTCCACTTCCTAGCTCTCATAATTCGTGCAGCTATCAATAAATTTGTGAGCAAGTCCTTCGTAGCCTGCGAACCTTCTCTCTCTCCTTTCTCATATCCTTGTGTCCTCGTGTTGTTGTCTGTCCCTTTTATTCTTATGTGCTTCTTCCCTTACCCTATTCTCATGCTTGGTCTTATTTTTCTTTCAAAGAGTCCTAACCCAAATTTATAAGAAAAACTTGATTGAGGTCTTGAACTCAAAGTGGTGATCATGAGGACTTGAACTTGAAGAACAAGGGAAGCAGGATGCCACACCAGGTCTCCACACTGCCAGTGATTCTGAGTAGTCATTGGATCCAGATGTCCCTGCTCCACTACTTGAGGTCCCCACACCAGTTGCCTGGATTCCTGGCCAGCTTTTGGGTGTACCCACCCCATCTCCCAGGGTTACAGCAACAGAGGAGACAGCAATCCAGGCAGGAACTTCAGAGTCTCCAGCAAAGTGCCCACCTAGCTACCTATGAGGCTACTCAGGAGGAGAGGAAATGCATGGAAACTCTCACCTGGCTGAGAACCAGGAAGGGATAGAGCAGGGGTCAGCAAACTTTTTCAGCAGGGGGCTGGTCCACTGTCCCTCAGACATTGTGGGGGGCCGGACTATATATTTTTTTTGGGGGGGGGAATGAACAAATTCCTATGCCCCACAAATAAACCAGAGATGCATTTTAAATAAAAGGACACATTCTACTCATGTAAAAACATGCTGATTCCCGGACCGTTCATGGGACGGATTTAGAAGGCAGTTGGGCCGGATACGGCCCCCAGACCTTAGTTTGCCTACCCATGGGATAGAGCCTCCAGCTCCTGTATAAGAACCCAGTCCAAGCTGCTTCATTGCTGAAACAACAGCTTTCATTCCCAGCTCCAACCTTCCTGACCTGGAGGAATGGACAGAGAAATGGTGCAAGTTAAGCCAGTGTGTTGAAAGTGGCTTATAATTTGGGCTCTTCTGTGTGTGCCTATCATAGGACATTTTCATGTTTTAGGAAGTAATAATATGCTATTTGTACACCGACTTTAATTACAGTTACCTGTAACTTCTAACATGGGCTGTAATCCTGTGTACAGTTATTTAGGAGTGAGTCCCATTGAAGTCAGTGAAACTTAACTTACAAGTAGTATTGCATAGGATCAGACTGAAAGGCAGCAATATACTCCGTTTTAAGTGTGTCATTTCACGAATTTATTAACAAACAATTTAAATAGTACTGGGATGGGATTGTCCCAGGGCTGTTCTTGCATAACTCTGCATCTGGTTTTGTTAAGCAGTGCTGAGAATTCCCATTGTTTTGTTCACTTAAAAGGAAGGGGGTGAAGTATTTTGCTGAGCAGTGTGGGTTGTTCCAGAAAAGCATTTAACTTCAGTGATAGCTTAAAGGTACCAGTGTTCCCACTTTAGCTGGATGAATATCTCATAATAGCACTAATCCTGGCCATCACTGTGCCTTCCCGCCTTCATTCCTAGAGCCTCCGTTAACTGGAAAACAAACAAATGCCAAAACAAAAACTTGATTTTGCACAAATCTTTCTTATTTCTTATTTTTTTTTTAAGGAGTAAGGAGAAGAGAAGGGTGGGAGAACAGGGCTGTGACTGAGTTGAGGCACTTAGCATACTGACAGATGTATAGCCAACCCTCACCCCTTTTGAAGTCCAAATTACATTTTTTCAGTGTGTAACAAATATAGAGTTCTATTTTTAAAAATCCAAGGGAAGGAAGTGTGTACCACGGGACAAAGAAGATGCTATCCTGTACATGTTTACTTGGAATTAAGTCCATATTCTGTTAGTTTTACTCTCAGGTACGTGTGCCTAGGAATGCAGCCTAAATTATTCCAGCAACTTGAAAGGAAGTGCTACGAGGATGTGGACACACTTAATTTGTTTTTTGCTCCGCCTGGGCTGTAATGATCGATTTGCATAGCCAAGCCATAGAGCATGTTTTCAAACCACATTTTAGCAATGAACTGCCTTGTGCGGTTATATACACAATGTACCCTAACACTGAAGAGATGGCAAATAAATTGGGCATAGCCTGTTACAGCCACACTGGCGCTGACTTTCAGCTTTCCTGCGCAAAGTTTTAAAGTTGGACGTTCCATTTTAGATTTTCTTCTCTTTCGACTACATTCCCTTCTTAGCCGAACCAGATTTGCTCCCCCCCAGTCCTTCGGAGCAGAGCTCTGTATCAGATGGAGGGGCCAGCCTCTGGAAATAGGTTTCAGATGTTTTCCCTGACCAGTTCCTCAGCCTGCATCTGTTAAGCTGAGGCGTTTCTATAGGAACAGAGTGGTGTGACATCTCTCCTGCTGCTCCCCCAGTGGCTCCCTCCGAGCATGCCCAGTACAAGTCTTGACTTTGGCTCAAGTATCCTGTTTGCACTAACGGGCTGCACATATGGGACTATGAACGAGGTCCCCCATGAGCTGCAAGTCTTTGTCTTTAGGCGGAGGAGGGGGAGAAGGAGGAGGGGGTCGTGCCCCAGGCTGGAGAATTTGTTCTGCATGCTCCGAGAACTCGGCCCTTTGGGTGGGCTTCTGAAGAATGCTTGCCTGCTTGGCGCGCGGAAATTTATTGGATATCCTGCACGAGGGCTTCACGGAGGTAAATAAAACTTATCTGTCTTCCGTACCTTGTCTTCTGCAAAGCTAAAGGACCCCGAATGCAACTGAAACGGGAAAGATCTTGACCTCCAAACGTGAGGACTTGAAGCACCCAGCAAGCCTCGCTGGCACTTTGCGGAGCATCGTTAAGTTTTGGAGAGTTTGTGTAAGCGATTCCTAGCTAGCTGTTTATGCACCAAGTTGCAGCAGCAACCTTCGCTGACTGACTCAGCAGCAAAGTGCGGAAACATTAGGATGAAAGACCTGGCTTGTAGAATTGGCAGGTTTTTGCTGGGTGTGTGTGTGTGTGTCTGCTTGAAATGCTGTAAAGTCTGTTTTTATGGGCATGCAGATTCCTGGAGTAGGGACTTAACATGCTGGTTGCTCCCCCCGCCCCCTTTCCCCGTCCATCTTGATTCTAAACAGTTGGGGACATAGAAATCGGCACATACGGGGTGGGGTGTGCGTGCGTAATTTGATCAATTATTCTGAAGTTGAAGGAAAGCATGTTAAATAAACTCATACCTGGCTGATACCATTGAGGGGGGAGGGCAGCATCTCCTAGTCCTGCTTGCGAGCAGTTGGTGCAAAGCCAGTTCAGTTTGATCTGTTTGCCTTTATCAAGGAATGCCATCAGTGGCGGTGCAGCTAAGTCAAGGGTTTCCTGGCTCAGTAAGCTGAGAAGACAGGAGACCAACGTGAGACTTACGTTCAGTGATCAGGATTATGGTGGTTTTCCCCCTCACCTGACAGAACTTACATTGTGTTCCAGACTTAACCTTGTGTCTTGATTTGGCTGCTTGTAACGCTTCTTTTGGCGGTTGCAGGCCTCAGCTCTTCTCAGATGTTTCATTCCCTCTTTCCTATTTACAAACTCCTATCTCACAGTGCATCCAGATAAATGAGACTGCTCAGGGGGAACTTCAGACTTTTAAATAAAGAAAATGAGCACTTCTCTCTCTCTCTCTAGTTTTCTTTCACTGCTGTCCCCCCCTTTCATTTGAATATCCTGCTGTCATTTATGAGTTTTAGGTTTATTCAACGTATACATCGCTTCCTACTAAAAAAAAAAGTCCCCAAGTGCTCTGTAACGAGAGTAAAAAATGCAGTTAATGTTCTGTTTTCTATTGGCAGGCTACAAACGTCGTTGAACTACAGCTCCCATCATCCCATTGGCCATGCTTGCTGGGGCTGATGGGTGTTATAGTTTAGCAACATCAGGAAGGCCACAGGTTCCCCACACCTGGCTTAGTCTGTCCTCCTCTCTATTCTCTGATGGGAGTGGGGTGGCAGGTAGAAGCAGAGGAATCCGGAAGGATATTTCTGTGGCCAGGATCTGTTATTTTTTCTCATTTTTAAAGCAAGCAGTGGGATCCACTCTGAGGTAAACACGCATAGGATTAGGCCATGGGCGAACAGCTGTTTACACCCTGGTCTGAGCATTTCCCCAGGAATAAAATATCATAGTTTGAGGGTCAGGAAAGCAGAGATTCCCCCACAGACTCGTGGATTTTTTGCTGGCGTATTGTGCAATGTGTTACTGACACAATAATAGTGCATTAGTTGCTGGACTGCCCACACATCATTCTGCTTCATTAATTTCTCTGCAATGCTTCCCTAGTGTTACCACGTTACTTCCATCTGGAAGGGCATCCTTGCACAATAGGACAACTAAAGTAGGCACCCAAAAATCTCTGGAACCTTTTTTCAGGCCAAGGTGTGTGTTAAATTTCATTTTATAATCCCTTCTTGGAACATTTGTAATATGTAAAGTTAGAGGATTTTAGCAGGAAACTACAGGATGTGCACCACTAAAAAACAAAGCAGCATAAAACTTTAGAGGGTATTAACAGTGTTGAGAGCAGGATTGCTTATCCCCACATCAATACCACCATGAACACAAATCATCCCGAAAGCACATTGAAAAAGACTCTTGGATCCTCTGCAACAAATCTGTCTTGAACTTCACAGCAAGGTCAGTTTGGGATTTAACCTCCTGGTGTGCCGGCTGGGTGCCATTTTGGCTTTCGGATCCCCTGACTCCCAACTGACTTTGGGAAACTGCCAAATAGGGTAACAAGATCATACTATTCTCAGTTCTTACATCTGAAATGAACCATGCAGGAATCTCAATTAGGCTGGGTCTCAGAGCTTTGAGAAGCAGATCTTTCCTCCCTTTTTCATTGTGATAAGTTCAAATGAGGGGTGAGATGGGGAATAGGCATCGGAGGGCATGCAATGTCATAGCTTCTGTACTGTCTCCCTATAGATTTCTGAGCATATTTCATTGTACTGATCTTGACCTACACAGTCCTAAATGTCATGAGCTTCATGAGACTACTTCCATTCCCATATGCCATCACAGTGTCTTAAATCAACCAAGAGTATACCATTGAACAATAAGAATACATACAGAGGTATTATTGTTGGCTGTTCACCAGCTGTGGCATTTCTTGCTTTTGTTAGCCATAGCTAGATCATTGCATCATATATGTCGCAGGGAATGCAGGGCCTTGGGCAAATTGTTAAAAATGTTTTAAGAAAGTAGAAATGTGAACAGTGCTAATAAACGTAAGTACAGCTGAAAAGTTATTGGACTAAGTAGAAATGAGTTAAACTTGGACTTGTGGACAAGATTTTGGAGTTGCTTGTACATATAAGTTTTTCCTAATGAGGCAAACAGCCATTTTCATCTAGGAAAACTGATGAGAAAGGGTTAACCACTCCCTCCAGTGCCACAATTCTTCCTGTGGCTGCTGTTTGCTAAAATTTATAGTGACTGCAAATCCGATCATGGATTTCCATTATCTTGTCTAGCTTGGCTTTTAGGCTTGAGAATTTCTCAGCTGCCCCTCATAAATATCCACAGCACTTTAGCCAAAGATCAGGAAATTGCAACTGAGGTTCAGCCTCCTTTTCTTGCAAAAGGCAGGGCCACCTTTATTTGGGCAGCTTCAAGTTAAAAGGGACTTCAAGTTAAAAGGGACCATCATCTTTAAATTGCATCTTCAGCTTCTGAGGCATAAGAAGTAAGACTGTTTTGCTCTAGGTCTCATGCTTAGAGCTAAGAAAGGGAAGCAAGGATGTTTGATTTGTAATCTTGTGCTTTGATCCACTAACCACAGTCCTTCCGCTCTACTGTCTTAAGGAGGTTTATTCATGAACTCACCAGACTTCGGAGCAGTTGCAGTCTCAGCTATGTGTGACCGCCACCCCACCCCCAGCTGGCCAGGTGATGTTGTCTGACGCTTGTTGGACTAGAGGACTTTTCAGGACATGATTACAGCAGGAGTGAGAAAGTGGTTCAGCACTAGTAGCTGCTTTAAAAAATGCTGCAGCTAGTGGCATATTTTACTTGCATGCAGCTAATACATTTTGAATGCAGTTTTTACAAATGTGACAAGTGTCTCACAGAAATTAATGGACCTATTTCATGAAGCCTGGAGCAGAATGGTAATTGTGCCCCTGCCAGCCCTGATATGAAGCATGGGAATCACAAACCTTGCATAACTTTGCTGGTTGGGCCTAGATACAGTGCAGCAAAATAGAATGGATTCGGCTTAAAAAACAAAACAGAAATACATCCATTCCTTTATATATTCACACAACCCCAAAAACTAACTGCTTAGAAAAAAGAATAACAAACTGCAAAGAAAACACATTCTGGTCTCTGCCAGTGGGCCAGGGGACCAAGGTACCGTATTTTTCGCTCTATAAGATGCACCAGACCATAAGACGCACTTAGTTTTTGGAGGAGGAAAACAAGAAAAAAAAAATTCTGAATCTCAGAAGCCAGAACAACAAGAGGGATCGCTGCACAGCGATCCCTCTTGCTGTTCTGGCTTCTGGGATAGCTGTGCAGCCTGCATTCACTCCATAACACACACACACACACATTTCCCCTTACTTTTTAGGAGGGAAAAAGTGAGTCTTATAGAGCAAAAAATACGGTACATAGGAAGGAGGGTGCTCCTCTGCCCCCTAGTAAGAAGATTGTGGCGGGGACTTACCTTCTAACATCTGTACAGAGCTTAGAACATTTTAGACACTTTGTAAGTGTTAATATTCATGAAGATGAATTTAAAAGTTCTTAAATGCAAATATAGAGGGGGTGTGCGCGTGCACACACATGAACATTTGGCTCTCAAATAATCTCCCTACTGCTTTTATAGTAATACACTCCTTGTTTCAAGATCACAGCACTGCTTCTGTGGTTGGCATTTTGGGATCTGGATTTGTCAGGTGGTTTTGTTTCTGCTGGTCTCTCCTGCCTCTTTTTTGCTGGCTGTGAGCACTAACTCAGCCCCATTAACTCAGGGAATGAGTGTGACCCAGAAAGAGGGCCTTACTGCCTTCATGGGTGCAGGGCCAGTTCTGCACCAATCAAAACCTGTTGTTGCAGGGGTTCCATTGCGCATTAACATTGCCACTTTTAATTTGAGGGAAAAGCATATAATCAGCAGAGCAGTTGGCAGTACAGAAAAGCAATGAAACAATAAATAGCAATCTTTCTCTCCATCAACTCTGTATAAGAAGATGGAGAAGAGAGCAGGAAGGCCCCTCTAGCTGGGAAGCCCCATGGAATCTTCTCCAGTGATGCTTCCTCTTCTTATCTCTACCTCTGCTGCTGAGCAGGGTGTGGAAATGTGCTGTTCCCACTTCCTTTCTCATGCCCATGTTTCGTGGGCATAGTGGTTGGGAGGATTGTGCCCATAGTTGCTTATGGCGAATCTGCAAGCTGCTCGCTCTTCCTCTTTCTCTCTCTCTGGACAAAATTTCCACTCTGTGATTCCTTTCAGAAGATGAATGAGGAGGCAGATGTGGCTGTTTGAGATTGCTGTCTCAGTAGCATCATGGACCCAGTCCGCTGCCATGGGGGTGAGCAAGAGAGTAGAGACAAGAACAGCCACTGCTTACTTTTTTTTGCATGCTTCCCCCAGAAGAGGCAGAGACCAAAAGGGGGCGTGCTGCTGGGGTCGATAGGCTCCAGGAGGATTCCTAGCGTTGTGTCTGTGTGTCTGTGTGTGTGGTCTTCCCTTCTGTACATGGCAGGTCAAGGGAGAAGAAATTGCTGTTGACTTCTCTTCACTAGGAACAGCTGCTGATCAGATGCTTTTCCTTTAAAATAAGAGTGCCAGTGTTAAACGTACCCTTTTCAAAAAGGGATGCTTCATATGTCGTTTGACCCCTGGTCGCTAACGTAATCCTTGAATCAGGGTTCAGGGGAGCATCCTTAGGCTAAATGAACCTTCAGTTCCTGGATAAGATACGGTGTGTCTCATTTAAATCAGAGTGGCTGCAGTTTAAAAGCTGGAAGGCCCCTTGAGGCGATTGCACAGCCCCTAGCCCTTCATTCATTAGCGGATTATGTTCTGCAGTTAGCCTGATTTCCCGCTATTTCTAAAGGATGCTCTCCACACTTTTCGGCACTTTAATAATTCAGCCTTCCAGCAGGATGGAGGCAAGATATTACAGGGCTGGTATAAGTGGCAGGTTGCACAGTGAAGAAACTTAGCAGGAACGTGAGTGTGGTTCAGCATTTGCGGTTTTCTTCAAAAATTACAACCCCCAAAACAAATCAAAGGCACTGTGAAGACACTTAATTGGGTGAACTGTGTTTCTTAGTATAAGACAATCTTCCCCAACTTGGTGTGCTCCAGATGTTTTGTACTGCAACTCCTTTCAGCCTCAGTTGACACAGGCTAGGGCTGATGGGAGTTGTAGTCCAAAACACCAGGAGGGCACCAGGTTAGGGAAGGCTGCTATGAGACTTGATTTTGATATCTGGGCTCAACAGAGGCTTTCCATAGTGTCAGTTGTCTCCAGATTCAATATTTTGCAGGAGGGATTCAAGCATATTCTGGAAATTTAGCTTTGTGCAATTAAGTGGATTAAGGCAGTCTGCTGTCCTAGCACACCAGATCCACTTGGGGAAAAGAAAGACTTTTTTGCAGCTTTGGAAAGTGATGGGAAAATGCATTGAAAAGAAGAATGAATGCATTGTAGGATAAATGAATGATTAGCAGGAAGAAAATAGTGACTATCTGGAAATACCCACTGATGATGCTACAGTTCCCTCACTCTGAAAGTGAGTTGTCAGGAGTGGGAAGACGACTGCATTATTAAGCTGCTGGTTCCATTTATCATGAGCATGACTTGGCCCTAAATGAAAAAAGAGGGGGGAGTAATTTTCTTTTCCGAAACACCGGATGATGTTGCACAGAGATATGTTTGAATGATGGCCCTTGATTTGTTTGATATGGCAGAACCAGCTGAGATTTCTGATAAAGAAGCACTTGCTCCAAGGAGGCAGGCATTGGAAATATTCTTTCTCCTTGAAAAGGTGAAGATAATCATCGTCATAATGATCTCCCACCTTTGAATAAAAGTGCTGGGGAAAATCACTGAGGCTTGTTGGGTTGAGAGGGGATGGTAGGATGTAATTTTGGAGGACAGGAAGGGCAACGGTGGTTGTTGCAGATTGATGGGGTTAGAAACAGTTTGTAGACCTGCCAGTGCGGAGAGACAGACAATATTTCCAGTGATCATTTGGGGCTCATGATCTGTATTCAGGAAAACATGACTCTAAGGACCAGTTGATGCATCCCTTGTGCCTTGGAATTTGCCTGGCCTTCTGAAGTGAATGAGGTGGATAACTTGCTGGGCTTCATGCAAAACCACAGTTCATATTGTTCTTTACGGATTCAAAATGGTTAAACCCTGATTTTGACAGTCATGCCTCCTTAGACTTGTCCCTGATTGCCTCTCCTTGGAAACAGCCTTAAAATCAGGAGGAAAATGTTGCCGCTATTTTTAAACTTACAGAACCTGTTGCTAGGCACTGCTGAGCTCAAGGTGGTCAGGCGCAAGCACTGCAGGAAAAATCACTGAATGGGGAGAAAGTCTGAGATGGATTAGCTTCTCGGACCTCTGGGTCTCAATGCAGCCTTTCTGACTGTCTTGGTCTTGTCAGAAATATAGGCAGGAACTGAAATTCAGACTTAGCACCTTGTCCAAGTCTCCAGGCTGCCCACTGTAGTGGTGACCAGCTTTGGGGAACAGATTCCTTTAATAAGTAGTCTGTGCTTTGTATTCTACCCATTTTAACTATATCCAACTGACCACATCTACTGGTGTCCAAGGGAGTTGACCTTTAGGGAATGAACCCTTCATTTTCTAGCACATCAGAAGAAAAAATAGAATCCCCCCCTCCCCGGTGATGCTTAGGTTATTCCAGATGGATGCTTGGAATTAATCACAGTCTCTCTTCTCCATACCTCCAATCATGCTTTTGTAAAAATCTTCCCCACCCCACTTCATTGCTTTGGAAAACAACAAGAATGTAAACTGACCAAGCTCTGGCCAGGAGATTACTGAGATCATCTAATTAAGATAATGTCTAGGAGCTTAGAAATTATGCAAGGCCTTAGCCACATTATGTCCTGATGCAATTAATGCCTTGAGCTTCGTTCCTTGCCTCACTGTTTTGCCTGCAGAGCCCTGAGTGCTATGTGAACACTGAAACAATAACAACATACACCCTCCATAGGAAGGAACTATGGAGGAACAGGGGCAGTGGCTCACAGATCCTTATTCTGCTAGGAAGAGAAAAGAAAAATTATGACCATAATGTAAAATGTGCGCATTTAGTTAATTCATTATTCAGTCATCATGCTTAAATAGAATTGAACTTTCTAGTTATGGAATTCACAGGGGTTGTTGGCATAAAATTTGTCTTTCCTTGTTGGCATTTTCCTTTTGATCTGCATTATATCTGGCGAGGAATAAATGTTGATGGATGTTGGGAAATGTGGCTTTCTCCTTAAGTTTCACCTACGTTTGTCGTGTAATATGTCCTGATGCTTAAGACCAGAAAAAAGCAATTCTTGCTTTAGAAGTGAAATGTCCTCAAGGAATGTGTTCAGGTGCCAGTACAGCCCAGAAATCCAGTTTATTCAAGAGGAATTGATAAATGAAAAAGAGCAATGCAAAATGAAAATGAAAATAAAACACTAAACCAGAATATTGGTCTAACTAGTCCTACACAGCTGCAGAGCCAGCCGATTGGGTGCCTGGGGTGGTGTGTGTGCCAGGGGCGGGGCGAGCCAGGGCAGGATGCTCCTTGGGGCCTCCGAGGAGTCTGCCTGCCTCCTCCCACTTAGCCGCCTGACAGCTGAGGGGCAGGTGGCGGGCAGACAGTTTGGGGCAGCGCGGAGCCTGTGGGCACCCAAGCCACTGCATCACTCTCAGGAGAGATGTGCAACTCAGGCGTGCTGCAGGCCCCGCAGTGAGTGCTGCCAGCCATTTTGTCACCCCCCTCAGTGGTGACACCCGGGGCCCCCTTCCTCCACCCTGGTCCTACATTTGGTGAAACTCACATTGGCCAAGCACTCTCATTGGCCAACTCAGGTCTTGATAATTCCTTTTGTTGGTTTCAGGATGCTGGATCAAGAGGGTACAAAGGAATGCAGGGGGCATAATGATATTTATGGTCTCTTGTGTCCAGATAGCTTTTAGTGACAAGTTCCTTGGCACAATGAATTGCAGAACAGCCATGTACTTAACATCTTTGGGAAGCTGGAAAATGAGGCAGTGAGAATGTCAAATATTGTCTAATTTGTCCTAATTTTCCTACCATATAACAGCCTGTCCTCAGCTTGTGGATTGGAGGGTGACCTCTCTGTTGGAGGTGATGGATAACTTGTGTATCTTAAAGGGACAGGCAAGGACAAGATGGAATCATGCCTCATCATGCCCTCACCAGTTCTGCACACAGTCGCCCTCCCAGCCATAAAGCAGATGTGCTACTTTTGACTGAGCAACGTGACCAAGGACAAACAAACCCTAATTCACAACTGCCCTGGATGATCCAGCCTTTTGTTTTTCTGCTTCTTTTATCAATATGGTGGTCTGGACCATCCATAAATGCCAGATTTCATCATCATTCTTGCCACAGGAATCACACTACCTGCAATATTTGGCTTTACATAGGTGATTTCAAGTTTCTGAAAAGCATTTTCTTAAATTAATTCATAAGAGAAAACGTGCATGCAAAAGCGGTAAGGGGGTTCAAAAATTCCTTAGAATCAAGTTGACTAGGAGAAGCCATGCTTTTTATGTATTCTCATCAAAAACAACATTTTTTGAATTCTTCAGAACTGCTAAGGGAAGCACCTGTCATTAGAAATATGAAATAAAACAGGCTTTAACCTTGCTGGCGAGAATTCTCTTTCCCCACCTATCTTAAGGCTGTGTCGTTATCAGTCCACTGGTGCTGCATCAAGATGAGTGCTGTGTATCAGTGCACTGGAGAATTGCTTCAGATAAATGATATTCGCACTTCTCCTCTTTAACTGTCAGGGCCTATTTAAAGTCATTCCGCCATCCCCCTACACTGGTGAATTCTCACTATTGTCTACGTACACCTATTAAGCAGGGAAAAAAAAATGGCAGCAATTCACAGCATGTGATTCGGAACCTGCCTCTCTGTCTGTGTTAGATCATGTGAAAAACTAGCCCAGGCACACTCTAAGTCTGACCTGCTGTTTCAACTTGAGGGTTTAAAATAGCAATGATACAAGTGTAGTTGCATTGTATAGGTGCCATAAATGGTTGCAGACGTTTTGCTGGCTGCAAGAATGGTCCGCTGTGATTCAGCCGCTGAAGGTGCAGCAGGAGATTCCCCAATTCCTTTCTTTTAGAAACTTCTACGTTGACCTTAAAAGTATGTGAAGGACACGTACATCCAACAGGTTTAATATGAGGAAGGAATACTGCCTGAGAGATTGTACCTGAACAGAGCAGCTACTTTCCCATCTGTGGAGCTAAGGTAAAGCAGGCACTCTTTTGGAACGCAAAGCCGTGTTAATATAAATAGGATTATGCCTAACCCCACGACAATCCCACCAATCGGTGCCTTGTATAGTAACTCCTGCACTGAGAATGATACAGGGAGAAATTTGGACTTTGCTTTGGGGTTAGCGCTTCTTTGCTCCAGTTTGGCCATTGGCCGAAGCTCAGAGTGATCCTAGAGCTATTAACAGTAGCAGATAATGAAGTAAATCTTTGAGGACTCAGAAGATGCCAGGCGAGGGAAAGTGGGGATTTTTTATTTTTTTTAAAGCACCTTTTGCCCTTACCTCTCCTGAATATAACTGTGAGCGTTATGCGATCAGAAAGTGACAAAAGGGGGGAACCTTCAGGGAATTGTTAAATACTGTGCTGTTTGGAAATGTCTGAGCTGGAGCAGGGCTGCTTAACCATGTCACAAGAAGCAATGTAATGAGACCACAGGGAGTTTTGTGCTCCATCGGAAGGACACAGGTGGATGTGGTGAGCAGCTGGTGGGGAAAGTATTTAAACAAGCCACAGGAAGATGCTGTCTGTGCTATGATCATGCAATGATAATTTTCTCAGTGACAGTCCAGTGCCATCCTTCTGCTTTTTCCATTGCTATTGTTATTGTTTAATATTTGTCCCATGCCGGGCTGTGTGATGTGCAGGACAGAGCAGTGATGTCGTCCCCAACCAAAGGAGTTTATAATGTACAGTACATCAGTTAGATAGGAGGATGATGGAGAGGTATGGGTCTCACAAGTAAATAGTGGAGGCAAGACTGATGAAAGTGGAGGTTTGTTCTGGGGTGTGGATACTTGTTTCTTAGAGAATAACCTTTGCAGTGGTCGATAAGGTCTTGCAGTCTGACAACAGGTGAAGGTGAAAGCAGAGTCTGCAAAAAAGGCAGAAGTGTTCGAACCCAGGACATCAGATTGCAGGATACAAAGTTTAATGTGTGACATAGTAAGGAAAGAGGCTTGAGGTTGAGCAGTTTGCGGCAAAGACAAGTGTGTGTGTGTTGCTAAATTATTTCTGTCTTTCTATACAGCCCTTCATCAAAAATGAGTACACAGCAATTTACAACGAAATGAGGCCATGTAACACATAATGCATGATAAGCAGAAAACACTGAAAAAAATACTCATAAAATACATAAATAACAGATTGGCAGAACCATAATCTAAAAATAACTTAACCCATTGGCCTTTAAAAGTCTTGACAGAAAAAGGTGAGCTTTTACCTGGCACCTAAATGGATTCCAAGTTTGAGCAAGACACATTTTTGTGGAGAGGGCATTTGGCAGACATGGAGCCACCACTGAAAAGGCTTTCCCACAGATTCCTGCATGCATTATGCGCCTCATTTAATGCAGAGACCACCAGGAGAGCTTCACCTGTTCCGTCTGTGTAATTTTCATGATGATCGTTCCACACCACACTGCAATTACATAGATTTATTTATTTATTTATTTATTTATTTATTTTATCCGCACTATGAGATATTTATTAAGATTTTCAAGAAGTTACAAAATAGAAAAGAAATAAGAAAAATACCGAAGAAAAAAGATACCAAAAAAAAAAAAAAGTTAAAAAACAATTCAGTCATCACATATTTTTCATTTACTTATTTCCCGGACCTCCTCGCGCCTTCCTTCTCTGTATTCCAGTTCAAATTATTATTTCAGCAAATCCCTCCCCTCTTTTAAATCCTTTCCCTAATTCATAATATTCTGTCATCACATTACCTTAATCTATTTTCATCTTATCATATATATATATATATATATATATATATATATATATAAAGAAGAAGAAAAAGAAACCTTAAAGTTTAGAACTTAAATCTTAATTTTTACCAACTTCTCCTAACCATAACCTTCTTACCTAATTCTTTAGACATTTTTGTAAGAGCCAAATAATTTCATTTCAACATTTTCCTAACATTCATCAATTTTATAAAACAGTCCTAATGATAAAAATAAAAAAGTAAACAATCCAGTCTTCGTCCAGCGTCCCTTCCTCCTGGTCCCGGGTTTTGTCAGTCCTTTTTATCCTATTAATCTAGCACGTTAACCTGGCAATCTTATATCCGAGGCCCTCAAGTCCCTTCCATGTCCCTTCCGCTGCTCTTCTTCATATTTTCCTTTTATGCCTCCATATATGCCTCAATTTGGCATTGGCCTGCAGGAAATAGCTGGTGCAGCTAAGCACTGTAAAGAAGAAAAAGAACCCTAGAAGCTCTTCAGCAGGTAAAAGCATAATATAGGAAGCAATTCCTTGGTTCACTTGAAGTAGTTGGCAGTCTACAGCCTTAGAATATTGGCCTAAGGTGATTGCTGGGTCTTGATAACCAGCTGTGGAAGTAAGGGGAATTCATATTCCCTAAATAAAAATAATGGCGGGTAAAGTTTTAGTCTTTAAAGATGGAAGCTAGTAATTAGTCCCGTGAAGTAATTTTCCCTAGAGAAAGAACAGGAGTTTGGCTTCATTGCCTGCAGTTGTATCTAGACATCATTATAATGTTTCTGATCGTGCTTAATAACCGCAAATGGGTTTTATAGGTGTTCTCACCCCCACCCTATTCTCAGTTTGCTCTGTATCCATCCTTACAACTGGCCTGCTTTGTTTGCCGTCTAGCCTGATGAAGAATTCTGATGAAACCAAAACCTTGCATAATTTTCATGACATTTTGTTTGGACGTTTATTTATAATTTTTATTTATGCTATTTGTTTTGCTGCTCCATAACAAAAAGTTTTCATATATTGCCTTTCATCTGTGACCTGTGGCACAAAGTCTGCCTCTTGAACGGCTTACTGTACAGGGAATTGATGGATTTTATGGGGGGGGGGGTGGAACCCAAACTAAAATCAGTGGAAAACTTAAGGAGGCAAGTTATGGATTGGTTGCAATATCACCAGATATACCACATATTTAAATTACACAGAAAGAATGGATTTCTGGACCAAAGCTCAAAATTTGAAAAAGAACTCTTACAAAATAAGGATAAACTTCTGTCTAAAATGTATATTTTTTTATTAAAATGGAAAACAAAAGGCGAGCTTGTTCAAGCTCTGGGCAATAGATATAGGACACGATACAGATCTTAAACTCTGGGAGAAACTTTGGAAATTGGGAAATAAATGTCCCATCTTCAGATGCTTTTAACAAAAATTCAAATTAGGGAGTCCCTGAGTAAACCTATACAAAACACCAGCTTTCTATCTGTGGTAGATGTACCTTAACAACAAAGTTTGCCTCTTGAACAGCTTGATGAAATCAAGCCAAGCCACACACACAATAGAATGGATTGGTTTTGGAGTTTCCTCTTGTGCTTGGACCAAGCTTGGATTGGGAGCAATATGATTCCCTGAGATATGCAGAAGGACTTCTAGACTTGTGAAGTGCAAGGTGCATTTATTAACATGGTTGTTTTGTTTTTTTTAACAAAGGTGCAACTATTCTTTTTTTTTTTTTTACCCTAGATTTGGACTCTGTATATAACACTTTCTGCTGTATTAACGTAACAGTTCATTGAAGATGTGCAGGGCAGTTATAATGTAAGGAAGTGATCAAACCAAATGCTTTTCATTTTGACAGTTCAGAATTTTCATGGTTGTCCAGTGCCTCATGGTTTTCTCATTTCTGTGCATTTAATGCCACTCTGACACTATTTAGCCATTAAATTTTAATGTCTTTTCATTTCTGTTGCCTGTTCATCTCAGCTGCCAGGAATGACAGGCTGCTGGGGATTTTTCATTCTGTAGGAAAATGAAATCTCTGTTCTAGACTCATAATATGCCTGAAACTGCTGCAGGAAAGTCTGATGCTCTGAAGGGGAAAGATTATTGAAATTGTTAATTAAATGAGAGTCTGCAGCAACTGCAACACCATTTGCTTCTCTTTTGGAGAGCAGCATCACTGTTTGATAGTAGCAGGAACTCATCTCCCTTTGAAAGGGACTCTCAAGGTAGAAAGTTGCAAAGGTTTTGAAGTGATTGGCTAAAAAATGAAATCATGTTAAAATTTCTGGGCCTAATCAAAGATAATGCAAGTCAGAGCTATTATGGTAGGGAGCTCCTCCTCCAGGCAACCTATTTATTTGAGCATCTATCCTGATTTGCTTGCCCAAAGCTTATGCGGTCGTTAGACATTGTCCAGTCTTTATTGAGCATTCACTCTGATTTGTTTGCAGGGAGGATATATGTCAATGAGCATTCATCGTGTTTCGCTTGCAGTGTGTTCACACATCTTCCTGTTGATCATTTGTACATCCCACACTTTTTAATGCATCCCCTCTTTATTTTTCTAACTGCAAAAAATCCATTATTAACAGATTTGTTGTACTAGGGAGGCAGAGCCCTTCAATTGTGCAAACCTAAACTTATGATAACAGGGACGCAGGTGGCACTGTGGGTTAAACCACAGAGCCTAGGACTTGCCAATCAGAAGGTTGATGGTTCGAATCCCCGCGACAGGGTGAGCTCCCGTTGCTCGGTCCCTGCTCCTGCCAACCTAGCAGTTCAAAAGCACGTCAGAGTCCAAGTAGATAAATAGGGACCGCTCCGTTGGGAAGGTAAATGGCGTTTCCGTGCGCTGCTCTGGTTCTCCAGAAGCGGCTTAGTCATGCTGGCCACATGAACCGGAAGCTGTGCTCCGGCTCCCTCGGCCAGTAAAGCGAGATGAGTACCGCAACCCCAGAGTCGGTCACGACTGGACCTAATGGTCAGGGGTCCCTTTACCTTTACCTTTTAAACTTATGATAGCTGCCTGAATGGTAGTCTGGAGGCACCCTATGATGCTGAGATCTTAGTGTTAATATGTCTGATAGGTCTACTATTGGTGCAGTGGTTTTAAGTGGAGCTAGTCTGTAACTTATACCAACTTTGCATACAGATGCAGAAGATGCTGGGTGAAGTGGAGAGCAAGAGAAATAAATTGTTAATATTAAAAACTGAATTTCTTTCCCCACGCAAAGCCTACAACACAAATGAACACCCAAAAGCCCTGTTGAAATCCATGGGCCAAAAACATGAAGCGTTTTTCTTAAATGTATAACTGATTTCAGTAGCTTGTGTAGCATGGTCCTACACAAATGTGTTTTTTTCCAGAAGTAGGTCATATTGAATTTCAGTGGAACTTTCTCTCTAGTAAAGTATGCTTGCAATTGCAATTGCAACAGAATTAAATTCTGTTGGATTTCATTTTTTAAAAAAATACATTTATTTTAAAGGTTTACCCAGCTATTCAGCTGTTAGAGTTTTATTGCAGCATGCACCATAACACACTATTCATTAAAAAAACTCAATTTCCATGCATAACGATAATGCAACAGCTGGATAAAATGTATTTCTAAAACAAAATTCTAAAAATGAAAGAAACCCCCACACTTGCAATCAATCCAACTTTGGAGTGATAGGTAACTCATTGACAAAAGTCCGGTAGGAAAGGAATGGTTTAACCAATTTCTTGAAGGCTTCCATAGACTGAAGCTGATGTGCTTTCCTGCAGAACACCAGGGAGAATGTTCTGCAGGGAAGGTGCCACCACAGACAAGGCCCTGTTCCAAACACAGATGAGTTAAACCCCCACTAGGGGAAAAACCCCACAGAATGCCTTGGGGCCAGGCGGCTTAGAGGGCTTTAACTGTTAAACCAACCCCCTTGAACAGAGCCAAGGCGCTGACTAGCAACTCTGAAGCTTCTTTAATATGTCTCCTCTGATCAACGCCACAGGCTGATGCATTTAATCAAAGGTACCCTCATCCCATTGCAACACAGTTTTTCATTGTCCTGTTCTTCAGGTTTTCCTCTGCTCGCTTCTGGCTTTTCTGCATTGTGTTGCATTGTGGCAGCCCACTCCACCCTCCCAGTGTCCCCCTGTTTTTCTGCTGAGCAGGGGCATCCAACAGACATCAGTGGCTGAACACCTTTCTGAGCAAGGCAGCCCAAAACCATGTTGTGTTACGGCTGGAGTTGGATTTTTCTTGTCAAGATGATTACAAGTGGTGCTGTGATCAGACTTTGTGGCGGATGGGCTGCGTAGAAGCATGTACTGTGACTGACGTTGCTGAGATGGCTTGAAACCTGCCACATCGGCAGAATAACAGGGAGCTTAACAGAAAGGAAGGCAATATACCGTAAAAGGAATAAACTGGATTATGTCGCCTCAATGGCACAGGCTCTTGTCTGCCCCTAGGGAGTTCCCACCACAATAGGATTGCTGCTTGCCGCTGTACTGTAGGATGGAAACTGTATATTTTCATGTTAATTAAACTGGTAAACACAGGTGTGTGTGTGTTCCCCCCCGATATTTGTTACCTGTCAGTTAAGTAGAAAATCTCTAAATTGGTTAACAAAAAATCCTAAAGAATACACAAAAGCAAGTCAGATTTTTTAAATGTCCTACATTTAGGTAGCAACCAAAGTGATTAGATGAGCAGAAGCCTGGGGGTGCAGGGGGGAGAAGGGCAATTGGGGCAACCCAAAAGTGCTCTGGGAGAGAGCCACCTTGGTCTAGCATCCAAGAGCAAGCAAGGAAGGAGCGAGTCCAGAATCCTTAAAGAGAGAGTTCCACCTATCTCATGTTCTCACTTGCTGCACAGCATGCTGCAGGGCATGTGAAGCAAAGTTTCTGAGGAAATCTCAACACACAGGTGGGTTCAAAGGGGAACAGGAAGTCCTTAAATACACATTTCAGAACAAGATGCATTCTGGGACCAGTCATACCTTGGTTCTCAAACGTCTTGTGACTTGCATGTTTTGGCTCCCGAACGCGGTTTGCGAACGTTTTTTGGAAGCCAAACGTCCGATGCATCTTCTGATTGGCTGTAGGAAGCTGCAGGAAGCTCCTGCAGCCAATCGGAAGCCATGCCTTGGTTTCCGAACGTTTTTGGAAGTCGAATGGACTTCCGGAACGGATTTTGTTTGAGAACCAAGGTACAACTGTACAGGCTTCCCAACATTTCTTTCGTTGACATCCTATTTCACATTCTTTAGTTTGCTACATCTCCATTGATTATCTATTCTTTTCTCCTTCCATTCATGATCCTTTATTTTGTCTGCTGCTGATCACAGATTTATCCCTGCTTGTAGATTTATCTTAATACCACTTCGTTTTAAATACACTTCAGATTGTTCCCACTGGCCTGTTATTATCTTTGCATCTATAGTTCTTACTTTGGCTGTCATACTTGCTAGTTCGACATATTCTATTAGTTTAAGCAGCCACTGGTCCTTTGTTGGGATGGCCCTCCCTTTGCACATTTTTGCGTACGCTATTCTTGCAGCTGCTGTTGCGTATAGAAATAAGTTTTTAACTTCGTTTGGTATTTCCTGACCTATTGCTAACAGGAACGCTGCTGAGTTTTGGGGGAAAGTGCACTTAAGCATCTTTTTTAATTCATCATATATCATTTCCCAGATTTTTTTTTGTGAATTTGCATTGCCACCACATGTGAATTAAAGAGCTCTCTGTATCTGAACATTTCCAACATAAATTTGATCCTCTTTTATACTCTCCAAAATGTATAAAAGAGGTGGCATCAATATTTATTCCATTATGGTGTCTGTTTATAGGGTTGTTGTTTTTTTGTAGAGCGTGACCTGAGGCAACAATGGAACTGTGTGTACACCATGAGAAACAGTGTTCTGTGGTTTTACCTGAAATTCAGATAAGTCTCCATTCATGGTGTTTGAAAGTGAGGTCTTAGCTCCATCTGGGATCCAGTGTGCACAAGAGTTACAGTGTGTGTGTGTGTTGAACCTCCTTGGTGCATAAGTTTTTTCAGATTACTTCAGCGAAAGGGGTAGCTCCTTGGTCTCCTCATCATTTCTTGTGAACTGCTGAACACCTGAGTGTAAAGTCAGTGGGTGAGCCCTTGCATGTGCAGTTCATTGTGTATGTCAGGATGGACATGGTGTTTCGGATTGCTGCCTTGTTGCTTTCCCCCCCTCATGCAAGGATGCAGTTGTGCAAAGGTTCTCAAGCAACTCTTAAGATGGTAATGGTGTGGTGTTCTGATTCCTCTTTTCCAGCAACAGCTGCAAGCATATGTGGCCTGGGTGAATTCACAGCTGAAGAAGAAGCCTGCAGTTAAGCCAGTGCAGGACCTGAGGCATGATCTCCGAGATGGCGTTGTCCTGGCTTCTCTCATTGAGATCGTAGGTCAGTAACATGGCGGGCAGAAGACACTCATTGTAAACATGTCAGGGTTGTTTTCAACTGCACCCTCCTCCATAACTTGAATGAAGCTAGTCTAGAGTGGTGCACAATGGCTAAAGTGTGCTGTGAAAGGAAGACTGTGTGCATGCCTTCTGTCTCCAAAATAAAATAACATAAAATAATAAATCAATGATAGCACTTCACCAGAAATTTGTCTAATATTGCTCCAGTTTGTCTGCCTGCACTTCCATTGCACTGTCCCTTGAGAGGAGCTCCCCAGTACCTGTCATGCTTGGACTGCTAAGGAAAAATCTTTAAACTGCTGGTGGGAATTGCAGAACAAAACAGGAGGGGTGGGTAGGTAGGGCTTCTTTAGTTTCACATAGGCTCAAGATGTTTGCAACCAGGTCTCCACGATCCCCCGTCAGAAGAGAACAACCTGTGAATCCCAGAAGCAAACGTTCCTTACTTCCATATATGTCCCAATAGATGCCAGAATGCTTTTCATGACTGACAACCTGAGCCAAGAGCCGTTTTAGGGAAGCGATGAAAGGATTTCCTTTACTCCTAGATCTATTATTCTTATTATTTAGAGGTAGTAGTGCCTGCATTTAGGAAGAGCCAGTCATACTGCTAGGACTCTAGAAACTTAAATAAAATTTGATCCCTTGTCATTTACAAAGCAGAGTAGGAGTTGCATATATTGATGAGACAGAATGGGATTTCATTGGTACGGGGTGGTAAGTGAGTACACACAAAATGGCACAGCAATGAGCTTAATAATAATAATAATAATAATAATATGCATTTGCATATGGTAGAGTAGAAAAACAGCAGGAATTTTTTTAAAGGCTGCCTTTCTAACCTGCTGTAAAGATTGTTTGGAACTTTTTTGGCTGTTCCAAATCATGGTACAAACAAAGCTTTCAATACAAATCCTTAGTCAGCGTCCAGGCGGCTGAGAGAAGTCAATGATAGAAAGGGAGAGGTTTTGCACAAGTCAGCCACAAAGCAGACTCGCCCCAGTCCCTGCTGAAAATAAGTTTCCCAAACAGCTCTATGGCTTTGATAAATTTAGGTAAAGCACCAGCAACAAGCAATGGTTGTATACACCAGCAGTAGCATTTAAAAATGTTTTTAGGAGAATAAAGGCAGCATTAGTAGCAACAAAAAAGTTTAAGTTTGCTGCCATCCTATTACTTACCCTGGCACTCAGTGCGACTTGCTTCTAAGTAAACATGGGTAGGAGTTACTGATTGATTCCCTTTGTATATCACCTTTCTGCCAAGATGGCTTGAAATGTAGTACAGTGGTACCTCGGGTTACATACGCTTCAGGTTACAGACGCTTCAGGTTACAGACTCCACTAACCCAGAAATAGTACCTTAGGTTAAGAACTTTGCTTCAGGATGAGAACAGAAATCGTGCTCCGGAGTTGCAGCAGCAGCAGGAGGCCCCATTAGCTAAAGTGGTGCTTCAGGTTAAGAACAGTTTCAGGTTAAGAACGGACCTCCGGAACAAATTAAGTACTTAACCCGAGGTACCACTGTATACTTTTTTAAAAGATGAGAAACGGGGCTCTCAGTCTCAGGATGGCAGGAATTCCTTACCTTGCATGTCTTTTAATCTGCCTCTCATTGGGGTGTTCATGTCTTAAGCAGCCCCTCAGAAGGTAGGGGAAGCTCTTAAGCTGTTGATGGTCCCATCAGCTCCCAATTCTAGGTTTCTCTTCTACCTCTCTTTGGGTTACACAGGATTGGGCTGTAGAAGTGCTAGTCCCACCCAAAAAGCAAACATAAGTTCTAAGCAGTACAGTGGTACCTCTGGTTACGAACTTAATTCGTTCCGGAGGTCCGTTCTTAACCTGAAACTGTTCTTAACCTGAGGTACCACTTTAGCTAATGGGGCCTCCCGCTGCCGCTGCCCCGCCAGCGCACAACTTCTGTTCTCATCCTGAGGTAAAGTTCTTAACCTGAGGTAGTACTTCTGCGTTAGCGGAGACTGTAACCCGAAGTGTTTGTAACCCAAGGTACCACTGTACTGGAGTGGAACGAAAATAATATCTCTTTTTGCCCTGAAGGCCATGTTTGACCAATGCCTTATTCATGATCGGTATCCTTGCCAGACAATGAGAGTATGTCTAAACTGTGATTTTATTTTTTCACAGGGCTTCCTTGGGTACTAATTTCTTTGCTGAGATACCACTATTTATTTATAAGGAGGAAATAGTAGGGTTTGCCATAACGATTGTTGGGATAATGCCACTCTTTTCAAAGGCCACATGGTGGAGCCTGCCAGCAGGAGGACATGACTGAATCCAGCTGATACAGCAGATAATGAAAGATCCCTCTTTGCCAGCTGCATTTGAGGGCACGAGCTCTGTCTATTTATTCTAGTGTTCCAGTGCCCTAAGAGGATGGTGAAATCACAGCTTGTACTCCCCTCTGCCTCCGAGGAGAAGCAGCTGCTGAGGCTAACAACTATTCCCCTCCACCTGTAACAGCTCCAGTAGGCAGTTACTGTCACACAAGCTCATTCTTCTTGATAATTAGGTTGTGTCTCTTCCACAGCTGGAGAGAGACTGAATGGAGTGCAGGTCAACCCCGCCAGCCCTCAAGAAATGAGGGAGAATGTGGAGAAAGTCTTGCAATTCGTGGCATCCAAAAAGATTCGTATGCACCAGACATCAGCTAAAGGTGAGGGCTTCTTGGTTTGATGTATACAGATCAATGAAATAGCATTGCACGTCAGTAGAAACAAGCATTCACCTTCCTCTTTGCTTTTTGCAAGCCGTGTTTGCCAGCATTTCCATTGCTGAGTACAACAAAACATTCAGTGGAAAAGAAATATAAAAGGCAAAGCCTGATGCTGTTCCATCTTCCTCTGGCATCAACATGAGTCACAAACATCACATGAATCGGGAGAAATGTTCTTCCAGTCTTGTGAGCTTCAGAGTGCTCTCGTTGGAAATACTTCTTACCTTGAGGCACTGGGTGTGGGTGACAAGGGGCACAGTGGCTTCTGTTGTTTCCAGGAGGAGAAGAGCACAGCCCTGCAGGCTGCAGATGTCAGCTGGGAACCCTCTGTACATACGGGGGGAAACAGTGGACTCTCTGTGACAACGGCAGCATTCTTGAGAAGCCGTGAGATGTTACCCAAGAGTTTGTACCAGCTTTTATGTAAGCTGCATCAGGCCTCAGATTTTTATGGCACCCTGGGAAACCATCTGTTTGTTTGTTTTTTACCAAGATTGGGTTTCCTACAATTTTAGGTGGAATCCTGGGAAACAATAAATAGGATTTTCTTGGTAAAAACTCCTTGTGCTTAACCTAGCTCAGCTACTTTTTCAGGAAATTGGGCGCACCATCATACTGCAATGAAGACCAGACGATAGCAGGATAGAGGTAGGGCTGGGGCTTGGGATATTTCCGCCCCTGAAATAGTATAGAACAAGTTATTCAGCTGCCTGGATAGAAGTGATACCGTTGTATTCTGGCAATTTTGTCATGAGCACAATCACAACCTGGCAGGAATGGGTTTGTGAAGAGTGCTGGCTGCACTTAGGAGGAAGACTGCACAGTTGGAGGTATGGCATCCGAAATGCAGACTGATTTGTTAATATTTAAACCATTCCCAGGAGGTTCACCTGTTACATTAATGCTGGTTCTTGAAAACCAGCAGCATTGCTAATCTACACAGACAGTGTCAGTTAGATTTTTTTTAAGGGATTCTGCAATTTGTTTCCCTTGGGTTTATCTAAACATTCAATGAACACTTACCCCCAGCCACAGTCTTATAGAGGATTGTAGTGCGTGTGTGTGGATGACGACAGTGGTTTATAAATCAATAAAACTAAATAAATCCCCAAATGGTGTGAGCATGGGACCAGATGTTTTCTCACAAGAGTTTCAATTAGGTGGTGCCTGTGACACTTATATAATAATAATAAATAATAATTTTTTATTTATACCCCGCCCTTCCTGGTTCAGAAAACTGGGCTCAGGGTGGCTAACAACAAATTTAAAACAATTGTAGAAGCAGCATAAAATACAGTATAAAAACATGCCTTAGCAATGTGCACATTCCCCCACATTCAGATATCTGTGCTTTAAAAGTACGATGCTTCGTAACTTAGAAAATCATTTCCTAGCTTTGTATGTGGTATGTACTGTTTTCTGAAGACAATAAAGCGTTAATAAGAAAAAAAGAAAAGAAAAACCAGTGCAACAAAAGCAAGCCCTAGCCTGAAGGAAGAAATCTAGATTGCCTGCAACAAGTGAGTTGCAACTGCCCATTTCAATGCATTGCTTAAAATTTATGTAGGGACGTGTGATAACCTGTGGGTTAGATTTTGCTGCTTCTTTTTGAGTTAGAAGTAGACTCCCCTCCCAGTTTTATATGTGAACAGGGCAGACACCTGCTTAAAATAAAATGTGATAGCTCTGAATGTATAGTTTGGCCTTAATTGGGCTTGCTTACTGGAAAGTGTCCCCATAATTATGATGAGATAGTTTCCCATCCAGCAAACCTGGAAGTGTGCCATGCAGTTAAAGGCCTGATCTGTAGGTGGCAGTAATTGATTTTCTTTTGAGTCACTTATTCAGCTACATTCTCAAAAGTTCTAATGGGTGTAGCTACCAAAAGTGGCAGCTGCAAGCTGGATTCCCTTAAACCTTCTCTGCTTCAGCTGGGTCTTCCAGACATTATTATGCATTTTTATTTATTCATTATTTTATCAAATTTAAATACCGCCTTTCATCTGAGGTTCATAGGGCAGTTTACAGTATAAAAACACATACTTAGCATAATAACAAACGAACACCCCCCCCCCCCAGTTTAAAAGGCCATAGATTGTTTAATTAGCCAGAGGCCTGGGAGAAGAGGAATGTTTTTGCCTGGCGCCTAATGATATGCAATGAAGGTGTCAGGCAAGCCTTACTGGGGAGAGTATTCCAAAAGCGGGGAGCCATTGCAGAAAAAGCTTGTTCTCATGTTGCTGCACTCTGGACCACTTGTGTTCAAAACACTCATTGTTCTAGGTGCATTTTGCAACAGGGAATTAGTTTCTGAGCTCTAGGCGCAGTACTGCGCCTAAGATTTCAGATTAAAACTGCAGAGTGGAAGGAAAGGAGGACCTTTTTCTACCTCCCCACTTCCAGCTACTCTCTGAAGACTGGAGAAGAGACCCTCTTAAGAATATTAGGGGGGTGGGCACGGGAAGGACTAGACAATGTGAAAAATGAACAGAATGTTTTAGCTGCGGTTCATTCATTGTCAGCTTTGCGTTCTTGTTATAAAAAAAGCATGCTTGGACATAATAATAATGATTAATAATAATTTATTATTTATACCCCGCCCATCTGGCTGAGTTTCCCCAGACACTCTGGGCGGCTCCCAATCGAGTGTTAAAAACAAGACAGCATTAAATATTAAAAACTTCCCTAAATAATAATAATTCTGTGCGCCCACAACCTAGGTTTAAGGTGTCATTTAGCTCCTAGCTTTCACAACTCAGTTTCTAACACTGCACAGAGTCCGGGTCGGTTCATATGGGGAGAGGCAGTCTTGGGAGCAAGAAATGCATATCATAACAGCATCAGGGCTCTGTATAAGTTGAACTACACCTGCCAGTGGATAAGGAAGGAAGGCCATGGACTTGAAGACTCATGGTGCAGCCACCTTTCTGAACCTAAGCAGATTAGATATCGTTGGAGCCTGGGAATCCCATATACACTGCCTTGACTTTCATGGTGTAAGAAAGTTGGGATATAAATATACTAACATGGTTGCAACAGTTGGCCAGACTGAGTCATGCTGGGTTTCAGGCAAATAACCTCATTGTTTGGGTTTGGTTGTATTTTATAGACATTGTTGATGGGAACCTGAAATGCATCATGAGGTTAATCCTTGCCTTAGCTGCTCATTTTAAACCTGGCTCAAGTAAAGCTGCCAATCAGACTCCATCGAGCATGATGGGAAAGAACTCGGCAGGAACAGGACTGTCATCAGCCAATCACAGGCCTCAGTCAGCTGCTGCTGTTGCCCAGGGTGCAGTGGCTGCCCTGGCAGATGTTCGCCAGGATGTTTTGCGTTTGGGGCGTGATGTTCTCCGGCACAGACAGAGGTAACTCATTTCACTTGTTCAGTTTCATTTTGATAATGTGAGCTATTTGGAACGCCAACAAACACCCTTTGATTAGTTTTTCCGATACTCAAGTTTCTGCCTCATTGACATATCTAGAATTGATCAAAAAGGGGTTTTCCCTAGAGTGGATTGACTCATCATCTTGTTTTTGTTTGGGTGGGAAAGGCTTTTTTTCTTTTTTCTTTGCCTTTTTCTGTAGCATGTGACTTGGCTCTCTTTCTTGAGATACCTGGGGGTATATGCTTTGCTGACACCATTCTGCAACTGCCATTTTCTAGTAGCATGCTGGTATGGATTGTGCAGGTACACTTGTGACGGCAAAATGTTACATCAGGAGCCAATGAAAGGAGCGATTGGAATTGTAGGCTGATGAGAAGAGATTAACAAAAGCCTTAAAGACTTGTATTTCCACAGGCCGGTGGGATTGCAGACCTGGCCCCTTCCATTCATACCATTAACCTGTCTACTTCTCTCTTTGGATCCACAGCTGCCACTTTGCCATTTTTCTGCAACATTTGTTTAGTTTGCCTTGTCTTGTGTAGCTGATGGTACAACAGTTTGTTTTTTTTAAATGCACATCTTTAAACCAATTATATGCAAGGAGTGATGATGTGCCTTTTAAAAATCTGGATAATAATAATAATAATAATAATATAATTTATTTATATCCCCCCTCCCCAGCCAAAGACGGGCTCAGAGCGGCTAACAACAGTAAAATGATACAACATTCTAAGATCATTTCATTAAGGAGGCAGTGCCAACCAAATCCTATGAATATGCCTCATTAGCCTAAATTGAAGCCAAGGGGGGGTTGTTGTTGTTGTTGTTATTTTACACTGTTTTTCCTTGCTCATGGTGCGGTCTTTAATCTTCAGAGACAGCAGCCTGGATGAAGAGATTGAGCATCCGTACTGGAGTGTCCGAGCACTGGTACAGCAATACGAGGGGCAGCAAAGTGTGCCTTCCGAGTCCCACTCCTCCAGGTACTAAATTTGCTCCTTGCAGCTCCTACCTCCATGCTTTTCCAAATCTACCCTTTGTAGAAGCTGGTCCTGTAATGGGTTTTAAAAAACAAGGAAGGCTATTTTCCATGTACATGATGAGCTGCATGGAATCTTCAGTCTGATGCAGAATTTAGCTTCTTTAGAATCTCAAGTTTTGTTTCATCTAGAATTCATGAATATTTATATATGGGAGAGCAGACACTGCTTGTTGAAGGCCCTAAAGCAAAAGCATTCCCAACACAAACCGTTTGAGTAGTTATGTTGTGGTGCTTTCATGCACAGTCTAGCTCTTCGCCTTCTCCCATAGCTTTTAGCCCTGTGCCGCACAGATTCCCCAAGTATATTGCTCCTTGCCCTTTACCTCCTCAGTTTGTGCTGGAAATATTTCATACTACACACACACACACACACACACACACACACCAGCAGCACACTGTTTAAATTGCACTAACTTTTATACTGTTTCTGTGGATTTAGAATTGGGAGATTCTGTGCTCATGTTCATTAGAATTTAGCAATTCTCCCAGAATTTTAGCATAAGACTACCAAATGCCTTCCCCACCTTCCAAATGTGTTCCCTTAATTGCCCCCCCAAATCCCTCCCAAGTGCTTTGTCTGTGATGGCCATTACTCTTTAGTCACTGTTGATACCCTCACAATTGTACAATCAGAAAGCAAACCCTCTGAACTCAGAGCGTTGTGTGTTAATCAGTTTGCCTGCATCTGCCAATTTGCGTCCTATTTTCTGCTCGCTGGGCTTTTTTCCGCTTGCCTCTGGATTTCTATTACATGCATTTTCTCTTTGGGTGCAAAATTTTGCAGGGCACAGTAAAATGTCGGTGCTTACAAGCAGCTTTCTTCTCTCTGTGGGAGACACAAGAAAAGGAAGGAACCTTTGACGGCATGGTGGAGAAAGCCTGATACCCTGTATCAGGGACCTTTTGTGGGCCAGCTGGGCAGAGTGAAGCTGATTTAAGTCGTGGAGTCAGTTGCAAAGAGACAGACAGAGAGAGAGAGAGACAGCAAGAAATCTCACTTTCTTTGACTTAAAGGAACTGTGGTTTACAGCTGTTTTTTTTCTACCATGATGCCTCATCTATTGTTTGGCATCACCCCAGGCTTTTCATTCTCTTGTTTCTCCATCCTCAAACCCCATGGACCCCTCTGGATTTTCACATTTGGTGCAGTTCAGCACGTAGTTAGTTTGTGGAAAACCTCTTCCTCCCACAACTCCCCTGTGGTGGAAAAGTAAGAGCTCTCCACAGTCCACATAGCGGGTGCTCTCCCTTGGAACTGAAACTCAGGGCAAAGTACTTGCACCGCGCTATAAAAATCCATGCTATCATGGCTGTCGGAGAACCTCACAAGCTAATTGAGGTCTGAGCCTTGGCAGTAGTTGAGACGGAGGCCCCTGGGAAAAGGACCTTGCAGGAAGTGGAGCTTGACTGTAATTATGGCTTATTTTTACTCAGACCCAACCAAGAAGTCTAAAACGAGTGCCATGTGTGCCTCTGCAGCTTAGGCAGCAGAATCCATTCCTTGTTTCTCTGCCAGGCCTATAGGGCTACAGCTGTGAACACAATAATGCAAATCGGGAGGTCATCTGCACATCAGAACAGCATGATGTGACCCACACAGTGTATTTTGTCACTTCTGCTGTTGCACATAGATGTGATTTCACCTTTGTATTCCTCACCCTAAAAGCAGTATCCTCAAAAGGGTGTCCCATGCCATGGTATTTCTACTGCAAAGGTAGAATTTGTATCCAATTTCTTCTTCTTTTGCTGGAGCTTCTGTTGCAGACAGACTCTGCGTAGACCCCACACCAGATTAAATAATTAATTGATGAATTATTTAGCATAGTCTTGGAACATTAAAACTGGATACACAAATAAATCATACAGCTAGTTACAGCATTCCAATTGCTAAAAACAGATATGCATTTTTCAACAAGAACCCAACAAAATTTTCTCCTGATCTGCTTTTTTTTTTTTTTGCAACCCTCTCATTAATATGGGAAGAAACGTGCAAGACAGCTGTGCACCACAGAAACTTATAGGTCATAATGGCCACCAGAGAATAGAAAGAGAAGACGTACACTAGCCTGTTAATGATTTCACAGAAAGGTAACAAGCACACTTTTTTTTTTTTACTACCTAAGGAGCTAGGTCACATGCACACCATACATTTAAAACACATGGCTTCCTCCAGATGATCCTGAGAACTGTAGCTTACCCCTCGCAGAGCTACGGTTCTCAGGGTTCTTTGTGGGGGCAGGGAGCCATGTATTTTAAATGTGTTTCCATGCTAGCCGTGGAGGAGAAGGCACCCTCTTTTCTGCAGCAAGTAACAGAAATGCAGCATCTTACTCTGGTAAGGGGCTTGTAAAAAAAAATTAAAAATGCCTTCTACCATGCGGGCTGGCAGAGGAGGGATGCAGCTTCCCTTTCTCTGCAGCTAGTACAGAGACCAAGTGGACAGGTGGAAGAGAGGTGGAGAGATCTGTTCCTCCTCCGCCACTTACTCCCTCTTGCATGGAATTCTTCATTACCTCCCGCAGCTGCCAAGCAAGTTGTTAAATACAAGAGTTCTCCTGGGCTTTCTGCCACTCACGTTCTGTTTGGGAAAGGGAGACAAGGGAGATGGAATAACAGGCATTCATCATTTTTGCATGTCAGTTCATTTACATTCATTCAGATTTAAAACGCCCACTGATTTGGATTGCGGTGGTGTGCTTAAAATAATAATCATAATCCTAGGAGGTGTGCTGTTACGCACAGTGAAAATAGTATGGCTCGTTTCAACCCCATCTCTGTGTACCTCCCATGCATACAGATATTTCAAAAAGTCTGGTGGAGTCAGGGATTCTCAACTTTTGTTAGAACTCTTGTTAATTCAAGAAATGCATGACTTGCGCCTCCCCTATTTTAATTTTTTTTTTTTTAAAGGAGCCTATGTTGATTGGTAGACAGAGGTCCTTCTTGTGACAATCCCTGGACCCAAGCATATTAGAGGGAAAGAATAAGACGTCTTATATAGGATGCTCCAAGGCAGCCGACTGTAACTCAAAACAGAGAAGGAGCTAACCTATCACCTAACCAGGCCCACAGGTGTACAGCTGCTCTTCCTGTAGAACAGCTCTTTCTATTCCCCTAACCTAAGGCAGTATCATTCTACCACCAGCCCATGCACATCAGCTTGTGAGAAGGTAAGGAATGGAGGCAGAATGCCTCTTAACCCAGGAAGATATAGGCAGGAAAAACTGCTTGCCTTTCCCTAGCAACTGTGCCAGTCCCTGGGTTTCTGATATATGGGGCAAAGAGAGACAGTGCCACCAAAAATACCCTTTTAAAGAGAAGGAAATGGAATCCCTGGTCATGTGATCTCATTAAAAACTGCATGGCACATTTCACAAGAGTTAGAGTGATTGGCCCACAGAGCCTGGCCCGATTCCAGGGTGGGTAATTACAATTTGCCTCCTGCAGTTCCCTCTGCTGTTCTAATTGGCAACATTTCCCCCCTCTCTTTTCCTGACCTAAAGTCTGCCATAACTCTGGTAATCAGGAGCTGAGGATTCTGGAAGCAAGCAATATGCTGACTCCATTATTTGGGAATGTTACTTGGAATTCCACTCCCACTCCCCATCTCCCAAGCTCTTTTGGCATATGTTCATGCTTCACACAGAATATGGCGGTTTCTTGTGGGGCCTGACCCATGGCAGAAATTGCCTCGCCCCTTATATCCTGTTGTATTCTAGAGCATGGGTAGGCAAACTAAGGCCCGGGGGCCGGATCCGGCCCAATCGCCTTCTCAATCCGGTCTGCAGACTGTCTGGGAATCAGTGTGTTTTTACATGAGTAGAATGTGCCCTTTTATTTAAAATGCATCTCTGCATAGGAATTCATTCATTCCCCCCTGCCCAAATATAGTCCGGCCCCCCACAAGGTCTGAGGGACAGTGGACCGGCCCTCTGCTGAAAAAGTTTGCTGACCCCTGTTCTAGATCATCTCCTTTATTGTGTCATCTGTGCATTGATTGAATAATGAGGACAGGAGGAGAGGTGTTCCACAAGAACTGTCTTTTTTGTGCTACTAGCGTCCTCTAGTCCAGTCTTTTTCAGCCAGCCAGATTCCCCTGGATGGCTCACATGCAAGGCTTGAAGCTGATGGCCTTCCCTGCTTGTTAGTTTGTTCCCAGCTTCAGGTATTCAGAGATATACTGTTGCTGTACATCATGTTGTTGGACTTCAGATCCTATCATGCCCCACCATTCACAGTGCTAGTTGAGGCTGATGGGAGTCCAACAACATCAGGAGGACCACAGGTTAGTCACCTGCTGCTGTACATGGAGGTTTCGTTTAATAATCATAGTTAATAGTGGCAGTCTAAGCACTACATTATTGTGGCTGCCCCAGAGTTCAGGAACTTCCTTCCTATTGACTTTCACCAAAGTCCATGTCTGAGTGTTGGTTGGGAGCCTAAGTAGTAGTAGTAGATTCACCAGAAGATTCCAGGGCAGGTTACGACAATTTAAATTTCACTATTAAAAACAGTTTTAAAAAATTGCAGTCACATGAATAGGGCAGGTCCTGAAAACACACATCTTGGGTATCAAAGGCCAGGTAATAGGGGCACATTGTGGCTGTGGATGAATAGAAACTGGGTGCTTTTTACCCTGTCCATTTCTCACCTTAAATTGGATCTATAGGCAAACTCAGTATGTAACTGGGAACCCAAATTCAGACTGGGTTTTCTGTTGAGACATGGTGTTAAAGCTGTGTGAACTTCCCAACTTTTTTTTTAGCCTTGTTGACTCCCCACTGCAGGTGCTGTATCCCCAGCATAGCTGCAAGAGAAGAGAAGACCCCCAAAGATTTGACAGGTTTGATCCAGTGTGCAAATTTCCCAGAGTTCTCCTAATCCTGTAGGGCTGAGAAGCAGGCAGAAGGACAGACAACCTGCTAGGAAATTGATCGGAGATTATGTCAAGCTAGAACTAAAATGCTTTTTAATTAAACCCAGGACTGTGCTGTGATGTGTAATTAGATTTCAGTCATAATGTCTTGAGAATGGGGGATATTCTCCATCCGTTAAATGTGGATTTGTGTGCCGGCTTTGTAACTGTGTACAGACAAAGGGCAGAAGCTGCATTGTGAAACTCAGCAGCAGGACCCAAGGGGGAGGTTGAAAAGGAGGGAGATGTTTCAGAGTTGTGTCCATTATTGCAGGGAAGAACAGTAGTTTCTGTGTGCTGTAGGGTTTTGTGGGGGGAGAAGCAGATATGGAAATGCTGTTTATATCCCCACACCAAGGTCCCAGATTGAGACATCAAATCCAGGCTACCCTGCAAAGTGGTTCTCCATCTCTCCCACACCTTGTGTGCGTCTCCATCCCAGCAGTGCCAGATACACAACTTGTTCCATGTGAAAGGAGGTGGGCTGTTGAGCCTGTCATGGATAAAGGCATCTGGTGCTGGTTTACCAAATCCAGAGCTGTCACAGACATGGAAAATGCCTGTTTAAACTGCAGCGTAACTGCCAAGCTGGTAAGGGGAGATAATGGCTGCAGGCTAGGCACAGCCACTCAGAGGGAGAATTCAAGTTAAGTCAGCATCAAGGCAATTTATGATGCTTCCAAAGATGATGTAGGTGATTGGTGCTGGCTTTAAATCTAGGTCATAGACTCAGTAGCTGCAGATTAGTTACACCTTAACATGGTTCTTTAACCACTCTGTTGTATTCACTGTGAAGGTGGCAAAAGGGTGGATATTTCTCTCCTGGCCTTTCAAATGTGTCATAGGTGAAGTTGGGCTTCTAATCTATGTTAGTGGGTCGTAGTTTTTCAGGATTATCATGGGACATAAAGGACACACCGCCTCTGATGGGAGGGACCTTGCATAAAGTCCTCAGCATCTCTAGTTAAAAAGGAGCTCTGGGTAGCTGATCTGGGAAAAGTCTGTTCCTGAAACTTTGGAGAGCTAATAGGAGGACACAGAAGAGCCCTGCTGGGTTAGAGCAAGGGCCCACCTGGTCCAGCATCCTGTTTCCCATAGTGGCCAATCAGATGCCTCTGGGAAGCCCTCAAACTGGATACGAGAATGCCAGCTCTCTTGTTCTAAGAGCCCCAGCAACTAGTATTCAGAAGCATGATACTGTGGGTAGAATATACGCGTAGTGAATCTTGGTTTATACAATTATAATGAACTAAAGAGCATGAGAACATAAGGAGAGCCTGCTGAATCTGGCCAGTTTCCCATTTAGTTCAGCGTCCTATGGTCAACCAGATGTCTATGGAAGCCTGCAGACAGGACCTGAGCACAACAGTGCTCTCTCTTCCTGTGGCTTCCAGCAACTGGTATTCAGAAGCATTCTGCCTTCTGCTGTGGAGGTAGAACATGGCCGTCATGATTAGCAGCCATTGAGAGCCTTATTCTCCATCAACCCTCTTTTAAAGCCATCCAAGCTGGCAGCCATCACTGCCTCTTCTAGGAGTGAATCTTCCAACATTCAGCTTTCATAGGATGACCCCAGCTTACAGTATTATGAGCACGGGAGAAAAACTTCTCTCTGCATGCTTTTTCCACACCATGCAGAACTTTATAGAACTCGATCATGTCCCCTCCCTGCCGTTTTTTCTAATCTAAAAACCCCCAAACATTTTGACCCTTCCTCATAATGGAGTTGTTTTTGCCCCAGGATCATATGGGTTGCATTTTTTTCTGAACCCTTTCTGGCTCTGCTGTATGCTTTTTGGGAGTAGTGACCACAGCTGTCCACAATATTCAGAGTGTGCTTGCGCCATAGATTTGTATAACGCTGCTATGATATTTGCAGTTTTATTTCCAGTCCTTTTCCTAATGTTCCTTAGCATTGAATTGCCTTTTTCACAGCTGCCACACACTGGGTCAGCATCTTCTTAGAGCTATCCACTATGACCCCAAGATTTTTTCCTCGTCAGTCACCACGCACCACCGATTCAAGTCCCATTACTTTATATGGAAGTTAGTATTTTTTGTCACTTTACACTGGCTTACATTTGCCATTTAGATGCCCATTTGCTCAATTTAGAGATACCTTTTTGGAGCCCCTGGCATTCATTTTTCCCCCTTCAGAACCAGTGTAGGTGGACCAGTGGTCTGACTTGGTGTACAGTTTTTGCCTTGAGTGGGGATAACATTTTCATGATTGCCAAGCAACTCACTATGTCTGTTTGGAGAACGGCAAATTCTCCTGCTTTAAAGTTTGCCGTCAGAGCAGAAGAATGCACTCTTTCACCTGCCTTCTTCCTGTGCAGCCCTCTGTTGAATTAAATGCAGCCCTCCTGCAAAAATGCACATGTAAAATAATTCATGCCTATGCACAAGCACTAGGAGAGGAGTATGAAGGGGTTTTGATGTACCGGTAACTCCCGCATCTGCTCTGAGGTGTGATTTTGTGCAGAGCACACTGGATTTTCCTCCAGCATCCCTGCTTTGAGGGCTCAGGATGGTTGACAATGTGCTTTTACTGAGGCAGACTTCATTGGGGTCTCTGCATGACCATTATATTGATATGTATATCAATTAGAGCATTGTGGCTGTAACCATCTCTCTACCATCCTCACCAAAAGTTTGAATACAAGTGGCTCTTACTACGGTATTTTGGGTGCATAGGGTTACCTTGATGTAGCTGGCCTCTTTTGGATAGAGTATGAAGTGCATTTTCATTGCCATCCTTCTTTTCTGTGAGATCTTTGTATATAGCAATGGTAGCTGTTGCCAGTAGTAACTGAGGAACAGAGTGTGACTGCCAGACCCAAGTTGTTTTCTTTCTCCCTGGCTCTGTGTTTTGCTTTTCCCAGCTGTGGAACATGAACAGGGCATCTTGGTTTCGTCACTGGCCCCTCTGATGGTTGTGAAATACTTAGTGGTAACTCCGTGGCAGGGTGTGGGTGTCTGTCTACAATTCCATTGCTGTTTTGATCCCAAATATCACCCTGCTGTATTTATACTTGGTGCATGTTGCAGATTTTAATAAAAAGAGAGGCTCGACAATAGAGCTGCCTTGTGCATCCTGGTTGCCAAATGGATATTTCAAGGCTCTTTCCCCACCCCCAAAGAAATAGATCAACATCAGGGAGGCAGTTTGTCAAATCTGCCCGGAACAGACATGCCACCATTTTATTAGTGTCTGAAATCTATTGGTTTAAAAAAATAAATAAATGTATAGATGGACAATCTATGCTTCCTATGCCCATCCTCCTGACTGTGACATAGCCAGAGATAATTTCCTTTGGATCCTCATCAACACACAGACACACACACACACTTAGTGCCACAGTTTCTGGGGAGGGAAAGCAGAGTACTGTTATGGAAAGGCAGCAGACATGCTTCAGACAGGAATTGCCCAAATCATGCTGTTTTTTTCCCAGGCCATGAAGCACGTCTTCCTTCCCTCCCTCTTCCACTCCCAGCCCCTCCCCTCCCCTCAACCATCCCTCTTCTCCACCCTGTGCTTAGACATTTTAGAGAATAGGTTTCTGCCTCGCACAGCCCTGGTGACAGCAGGAGAGAGACGGAGCTGCAGAGAGCGAAGGAAGAAGCAACGCACTCATAGACACTCGCCTGCGCACACAGACATAACAGGCACAGAGGACTGGGGGACAGCTACCTACTGTGCTACAGAGATAGGATCCGAGGCTGGAGAAGGGGTTTCTGTGGCTTGGCTTGGGGTCTCTCTGGCGGCTGTTGGAGAGCTGGACTGATTAGAATGGGATGAAAAGCAGGACTTGCCATTCAGACCGAGATCCTTGCTGTTGAAAAGATTTTGGGCATACGTCAGACCAAAATGCAACAGTGCAAAACAAACAACAACCCAACAGGCGACCGAGCCAAGCCGAAAACCGTGGCTGCCGAGCGTCCAGCCTCCTCCTCCCTGAGCCATGCTCATAGGCTGCAGATTTATCACCGACCTGTTCCTGCCAAAGAACCGGAGCTGCTCTTTTAATTTCCCCCCTTCTTCCTGCTGTGAATTTCTTGGCTCGTGCGAGGGAGTCCGCCTGGCAAACATTTCTCTGCTAGTTTGACAGGAGCCGACATCCTTGGCGCAGAAATTCTGAGCACGTGAAGGAACGAGGCATGCCCGTGGCTGGGACTTGTGGAAGACCGAGGCTCCCTAGGAGATTGGCTCTGTGAGGCCAGAGGTCAAGGGGGGATCATGGGAGGGAAGCAGGTCAAATGGTGAGCCAGTGGCAGTGGCTGTTGTCATTTAAAAGAGGGGGCAGGTTGGTTGTGGAAACGGTCAGGGGATGTGGGCTTGGTTGCTAAGACTGTTCAGTGGTCCCTTGTTAGACGCTTATGTCTAACCTTTTTTTAGGTAAGGGACCAGGCAGTGCTGGAAGTAATGATGCATATAAATAATTTTCCTGCACCATAAATCCTGCAGAAATAGATTCAATGCCCCAGACCTAATTTCTATGTGTTGCTAATGTTGAATGTTGAATTGGGATTTTTAAAAGAAAATCTGAAAACTGACAGCTTAAAATGCACAATTCTCCAGGGAATTGATAGCAAGACTCTGAGTTTCCTTAACCCCCACCCCACCCCAACACTTAACTTGTAGGATGCATGATGGAGATGATCTGTGACTCATGTTTTGGGTTTCAGGTGCACTCTTTGACTTGGTAACTTTATTTATTTTGGAGGTGGCCTGATGGCAGTCACTGGTAGATCATGGGCCAAAGAACTGTAAAATGGAGCTGTTATCTTGCATGTGAAACTGCCATTAAACTGAGCTACATCTGTAAGGTGGTTATTAAAATCCTTCTGTAGTTGCATTTTAAAGCATGGTTGAGCGTTTTCCTGTGTGTGCTACCCCCAAAGGTGCTTTAGGGGAGGGTGTGATGGATGATATCCTTCTGAATGGAGTGGGCATTTCTGTGGATCAGAATGCCCAGCTGCCCTCATCCCAGTGAGCAGTGTCTGCTTAGTACCACCATCTCCCATATGCATTTTCCCTTCATCTTGCTTTGCCTGCACTGGGCTGTCCTGCTGGGTTGCAACCTTCTTAACTGGCCCTGCTCCCATGCCTTTGTGTTATACAGACATTTAACTGGTGAAGCTAATACAGTACTGGCATGGTGATAAAGTGATGAGGAAAATGGCTTCATTTCTGCAGGTCTTAACGAAGGCAAAATAGCGATGTCTGCAAAAAGAAGAGGAGAAGTTGGCAGTCCTACTGCCTGTGTGACTTCTGTCACTAGAGTGTCATTGCCATGTTCATCCCACAGAATGAGAGCTATAGAGAACTTTCAGATATCTAAAAGCATCGGACAACAGTCCATCTCCCTCCAGCATTGTTTCCAACAGTAGTCCTCCAATGCTGATGTCCCTGTCTAGTTTCTTTTCTTCTGTGATATACTGCTCCAATGCATGGAGGTCCCTAAAGGTGCTTCCATGGGTCAGGGAGAATCCACGCGTGTGTCAGTTGTGCTCTTCCAGCTGATCCCTAAGGACTGGATTGACAGCTGTGCTGAGTGAAGCCCTTTAGTCCACATTGGTACAGTGTAGCCCAAGTCACTGATTCCTTGGGGGTTGATATACAAAATACAAAACTTTTACGTTTTGTGTTCCCGCCTGCCTGCAGCTCTGGGGTTGGGTTAGTAGTATGGCAACCTGTGTCTTAAGATCTTGAATGCAGCCAAGCTGCAGTAGATTTAGTGGAGGGACTTTGATTTTTGAACTACATTACTCAGGAGCTTGGAGAAGCCTTGCTTTTGCCCCGTGAGTTAAAAACGAACATGCTAATAACACGTCAGGGTTTATGAGATGCTTTGATATTATTCTGCGGTGTGTGCCTCCTAGGTGTGCCTTTCTAGGTGTGGGATCCAACTCAAAAGTACTGAGAATATCTGGAAAGCAGGCTGGCTGGGGAGGCGTCTTCTATTTTTGTTTTTAATCCATTCTGTTTTCTTCACTCTTTCCCCCACTTTTTCTTTTGTATGCTCTACCTTTTGTTTCCTGTCTCTGGGAAAATGATACATTAACTCTGGCTCACACTTGCAAGGAGAAATTCTTTAGGGACATGTTAAATGGGTCAGTGAGTTTCAGATGCCTTTCTCTGTTGTCTGGGCGATGGATGTGAGAAGAATTTGGGGTGGGGGCACAGGGAAGAAAGTTTGAGTGGTTGGAGCAGAATAAGCAGCTGGGAGGACTGGGGTTAAAAAAGAAAGAAAAAAGCTGAGTTCAGGCATTTAAAGCCAGATCATAAGTTGGTATCTTTATCCTCATGGGAGTTCACAATTTGCTAAAAATAATCTATTTGACTTTAGGCTTTAGTTGCACAAGGCCCTTAGAAGCAAGGACCAAATGAGAGACTGGATCCTGTGGGTAGCCTTTGTTTGCAGCTTCCAACTCCTAAGGGCAGAAGTTGCCCCAAGAAGTGTTTGTAAGCCAGGGATGGGGAGCCCGTTGTCCTCTGGGTGTTATTGGACTCGCAACTCCCAGCAGCCAGCAGGGCCAGTGGTCAGGGCTGATGGGAATTGTACTTCATTAACATATGGAGGACCGCAATGGCCCCCACCCTTGTAAGCAGAATTCCTGATGTGTAAGTGTAGAATAAACTCATTGACTTCTGGGGGTATGTGGTAGCCCTTCTGAACTCTTCTCATGTATGCTAGAAAAAGAAACTCTCCCAGTATCACTTTGTTTAGCCGTCAGCATCCAGATCAGGGTGAGGAATGGGCTTGGCAGCAGAAGCGTGGCCTCCTAATCGGGCCAGAGTGAGATAACAATGTCAGATAGCAGATTCAGGTGCCATTTAGGGGGGCAAAACGGGAGAGAGATACGAGATCGGACTCATGGAGTGCATTCCCTTGGGGAGTTCTTCTGTACTCTTGCACACATCCAGTTCATTTCCGTGGGGCTTGCGCAGGATAACTTACCAATGGATTATGCCCCATTTTTAATTACTGAAAGTCTGTCCAATGAGTTGTTGTTTTTTACCAGCCCCAGTTCACAGGTACAATATCCCCCTCTGATTAACTTGTCAACCAGGAGTGGCTTGTGAGGTGGGTGGAGGTAGTGACATCCTGCACTTATTAGGACATAGATGGGGCGGGGCAACGAATACATGGGTGGGGTAGGGCTGCTGCTTCTTCAGAGCTCTATCAACCTTACCTTTTCGCCCTATTCCTGTCTGATGTATTTGCTGTAATCCACTCCCTCTCTTACACTCCATCGCTGCTCTCAAGATGTGGGCAGTAATTGCTGTAATCAAACTTTGCATGCTAACTTTATTTCACATAGAAAGTTGATGGAATAATAAGAGTTTGTAATGAAAAGAATGCTTGCCTTCCCCTCCCCTTGCAGCCTCGCATCGCCCAGCCCTGTGAACAGTGCAAGGAGCGAGTCCAGTATAACACACTCAGAGGAGAAGGCTGGATTTGACATTGTTCGTGAAGAGGAAGCAGATACCAGAACAGGTAGGGGAACAAACAACTGACCAGGTAAATTGAGAGGTACATGTCCACCACTTGGGCTGCCACAGCCTTCCTGTGAGAATTTACTTTGGTTCTGCATCATGGTTAGGGCTGCAGTGGTTAATTTATTATTTGGCTAGATTAAGCGATTTTAACACTTTTAATGTACTGGAAAGGTAACTCTGATTAATTAAAACTGCAGATAGCAAGCTCAATAGGGGCAGAAGGAGAGCTCACTGACTCAGGCCAAGGACTCGTCTAGTCCAGCACTCTGTTCTCACAGTGGCCAACATAACATAATGTCTGTTATGCGGAACCCACAAGCAGAACCTAAGCGCAACAGCACTCTCCCAACCTGTGGATCCCAGCTATTGGTATTCAGAGGCATACTGCCTCTGAGAGTGACACACTTAGAGGTAAATTGGCCTTAGCCAGGTGAGCCACTGGTTCTTATACAGCAGTCCAGCATTTCTGAGGGCAGCTTTCCACATGGCGTTTTGTTAAGTGTAAACCCAGGATGTTTTAAAGCCAGGGGCCCATGACTCGCTGTGGAACACCCTGGGGTTTGCCTCTGAAATATGAAGATGGTCCTTGCTCTTTTTCGGCGAAAATTGGTTTGGGCTGTTTCCACACCCTCATGGTCTTTCATGCTGTTTTTAATCAGTTGGCTGATTTTTAACCTGCTCTTCCTCCAGCGAGCTGAGGGCAGCACAAAAGATTCTGTTCCCCTTTCTCTGTCTGCACAACTACCCTGCGAAGTAGGTCCAGGCTGAGAGAGACTGACTAGCACACATTCACTCGGTGAAATTCACAGCCAAGTGGGGATGTGGGGCTAGGTCTTCCTGGTTCTAGTTGGTCACTCTAACCACCGCCCGATAACGGCAGTTTGTAATTAGGTTTGTAATCTGAATGATCCATGTTGTTTAGATTATGCATTTTGATTTATAAAATGTATGTCACCTGCTTTCTGTACAAAAACAACATTCCAAAGGAATGCAATCCGGGTTTCAAAGCATCCTTGACATCCCCTTAGAAACAGCCTAAGTCTCAGCTGGCACAGATAAAAACAGTGCAGTTTCCCTCCCTGATTATGGGATCCCCAGAACCAGGATGGGAATGAAAAACTGCAGCGAGAGCTCCATAGTTCATTCAGATGATAGGATTTGAGGCAAAGTCCTGTTTGAGCTTAATTTTCAAACCTATGATGTGACTGGGACACATTTGTAGTGGTCTTGGGGGGACTTGCTTAAAGCTATGAAAGTATGTGGAGGGGGGCGAGTCCCAGAGAAGTCCTTTTTATCATTCACAGTACAGGGAAGGATGCTTTGTCCTTAACTCCAGGAAAGCAGTGGGTGGGTGGGATCCTCAAAACAAAAGCCTGAAATCCCCCATCTGACTAAGTCTGAATTCATAATCGCAGAAGCTGGAACAGAGCCTGGGAAAATGGGGGTTGGTACTTCCCCTCAGTCATTTGGAGTGACTCTTTAAAAAGTATTGGGTAGTACTTGCTTTTTAAATAACAACAACAACAAATTCAATGTGTAGCATTTTTATAATGTTTTGTGAGTGTTCAAAGCATTTCACAACTTTATCTCTGCCACCCTTTACAATAGCTCTGTAAGTGAGCATTTTTCAGTTGGGGGTGGCTGGCTTGAGGCTGAGAAATAGTATTTTGCCAGAGACCCATCTAATGAGTTCATAGCTGTATTGAGATTTGAACCAGGCAACTTCTGAGATGCAGTCCTGTGCATGTTCATTTGAAAGTAAAGTTCCCCGAGTTCAGTAGCCCTAATTTCCAAGTCACTATGCATAGGTTCCTAGCAGGGCAAAGCAATAGAAAAGTCCACTGTGCTGAAGGAGGGTTGGATAAAACTAAGGTGTCTCTTTGCCCAACCCTGTCCAGATCTGTAAGTCTCTGCTAGTGGGGGAGCTCTGCCTATCTCTAAATAATGTGGAAGGAAGGGATTAGGTCCCTTGCCCAAGGTGTTTATAGTCTGCATTAGATGGGCAGAAAGAAAGACAGACTGGGGAAAAGATGGCAGGTAGGATGCTGTACAAACGTGGGAACCAACGTGGCATTACAGATTTTGAGACAGGAGTGACTTGAAAGCTGTCCTCTTGAAAAACAGTAGCATTGCTGTTGGGCCTTGTGCAAATTGGCGCACTGCCTGGCAGTGGGGGCAGAGAGACTGTTAGTGTGAACGTGGCCTGTGTGCCTGCCTTACAGTTTCCCAAATGCAGCAACTAGAGCAAGACGTTAGTTCAGATTAGCACAGTGTGTCCTCTTGCGAGGATTCTGCCAAGATGAATTTTCACCTAAGGACATAGCATCCTGTTGTTAATGGCAGGAAGTCGTGGAAGTGTACAAATTACCCGGAGGCATGTGCTATACTGTTGTCCCCCTTCTGAAGTGCAGAGGAAACTAGTTTTGGCCACCCAGAGTTGTTCAACCGGCACATTGTTTTGCTTGCAGAAGAGACGTGCTCTCCTTTTCCCGTAGAGTTGCAGCAGGCCAGGTGTCCTGCGACAGGCTTGGAGACTGCATGGGAGGAGCAGCTCCTGGAGCAGCAAGATCACTTGGAAAAGGAGATGGAAGAAGCAAAGAAGATGATTTCAGGACTGCAGGTATCTGCTCTGCTTCCTCTGTCTGCATTTAGCCCATTTGCTTCTAGCGGCCACTTGTAAGTTGATGTTGTATGTAATTTGAGGCACGGCTGTGGGAGTCAGATGCTGTTGGTTCAGCTCCTTGCCCCATATTTGCCCACTCAACCACTTGGATCTGCGGAAGTGGCACTGTTACATGTGCCATGTAATACTTGTCCCCGCCTCTTGTAATAAAGCAATGGTGTAGTACCCACACTTTGGAACTCCCTTTTTTTGGCAACTGCTTAAAACATTTTTGTTTAGGTAAGCCTATCCTGACATATAGAAACCGAGATGTTTTTAGCTTTCAGATGAGTTAAATTGTTCTTTAAATATTTGCTTTTAACTGGTAATTTTTTTTGGATAATTTAATGTCTTATTTCTTTTGTAAACCGCTTTGAGGTTTTCTTACAATCAAGTGGTATACAAATGTTAAATAAATAGTTTCCAAAAAGGGACCTGCAGCCATTCCTGAGGTTGGTAGTTCTAGAAATTCTGAGATAGTCCAGGGAAGACAAGAGAGAGACATGCTGCTCTTTAAACTTTCAATGCTAACTAATGAAATGTGTTGAGCGAATGCTTCAGTGCTGGGGAAGCGCACTCAGGAAGCACATCATCACCAAGGGCATGGCAAAGTAAAAAATTCACAAAGTGGCACTGGCATAGGGCTGGGGAGGGATTTATGTCATTCTCTGTACCACTTGATGACCATAGTAGTTGAACAACTACATTCTGCACAGCAATAGCAAATCATGATTGGATGTGTTATCTGGGGGACAAACTGTGTTCTGCCAGATGCAAAGTGCTGGGAAAATACATCCCCACACCAGAAGTGTGGTCTGAGATGAACAGGTCTGGACTATGTGTAACAAATGCATACCAAGTACGCTATTCTGCTTTTTTTCTTTTTAAAAAAGGGAAGAATACACAGTAAAAACCATAGAGAAAAGGGGACAATACCTTCATCAGATCAACAGTTGATAAAAAGCTAGAATACAGGTTTCCATCTAAGGCTTCTAAAGGACTGAGTTTATTTGCCTTGTGAGAAGCCTTGCTTCAATGATGAGAGATAGTGTTTCTTCCTGACCGGTTTGTTCCTCCACCTCTGACCCCTCCCTGGTTACGTGACCCACCCACCTCCTTCTCGCTGCTCTGCTTGGAGGTCAAGTGCTCTGTTCCTTCTGCTAAAGACTCTGTACTTTCTCAAGCACCAGCATTTTCTGCTCTGGGAACTGTGCTGGTTTTGAATTGTAAATGTTTATGTATGAGTGCACAAAGGCAGCATTGTGTTGGCAGCATCAAACAGGGCAGGCAGGAGGGTGCATTTGCAGCCGGCAGTGAACGGGAGACACAAAAGGCTCAAAAAGCAAGCAGGGCTGCTTGGTGCCCTGCTGAAAATCGATTGCCCACTGTACCCTCTGAGATCACGCACTCCCTTCTCTGGTTTTTCATGCTCCGGGAGCCAACGGGAGGCAGCTGGTACTCGGGGCGGCAGCTGCCTGGCATCGTGTCTCCCAGGAGAAGTGAGGAGGCAGCTGATCCCGCTGTCCAGGAAATTGGATCTGAATAGTCAATTTTCCCCTTTAAAGCCTCTAGTTCACGAGGGTTTGATTGAAGGCCCAGGGTTTAGCATGTTTCTTTGGGAAGCAGGACAGTAGCAGCTCCTTGGTTGGTCCTGACTGGATATCTTGCTGGGCAAACTTTGGGAGCTCTTGGCATAGGGAATGCAAATGTGTGTGAGGTTGGCATTCTGCCAGGGTTGCCTCTCCCTTGGTTATCTATCACACACATTCTGCCAACTTCAGAGTTTAGCCTTTCCGAATCTCAGTTGGACTGTCCCTGCCATTGGACAGCAGTGATGCTTTCCAGTGCTCTCTCTGGGATCTAAGTAAAACAAAAATCCAGCCTGCAAAGTAAAGACTGCTTGCCTTGCATCTTCCATATCTTAACTCCTGTCAGCTTCTGTCTCCTATAGTTATTTTCATGCTCAGGTCTGCAGAATGGGAATAATTACAGTCTTAATTCACAGGGCTAGAATTGCGTCTGTCTCTCTTTCTCCCTCCGTCTATTTCCAAAGTTCAGAGATGAGTGTTGATCCTTAGGTAGCCAAAACAGCACTTATCCATACTCAAGTTCAAGTTAAAATAGATATCTCTTGGGAAACTAAGCTTGCTGTTTATACTGTTACGACTTTGAGGATTTGACTCCAAAAGGGCCTTAGCGGTCTGCCAAAAGCAGCACTCTTATTTCTTTCCCTTGTGTCCAAATACCGCTTTTAATGTCATCTGAGGACAGAATCCAGTTTTTGTGCTGTTGGGCACCAGTTGCTGAAACAGACAAGGTTGCACATCCCAGACAGGGCCTTTCCAGACGGGATTGAATTTCTCTCTGGCGCGTTTCCATGGAGGTCTCTGATTGGGCCTTTCCCTTTGCCTTTGTTGCTTTGCCAGGCCTTGCTGCTCAATGGGTCGTTACCTGAGGATGAGCAAGAAAGACTGTTTGTCCTTTGCGAACAAGATGCCTGCCCTGAAGAGCAGCTGGTGAGTCGGAAAGGCTTTTTCTCCGGAGACTCTTCTTTGTGTGTAGTATCTCTATGCAGGCACTGGTAAATAATTGCAATACTTTGCCTTCAGATCATAGTCCGAAGCCGTCTGGATCAGAGCATGGAGGAGAATCAAGAGCTGAAGGTAAGAAGAGGCAGACAGGATGCAAGAGAGAGGTTCCTGGGGCACCAGCTACTGAGCCACGTTCAGGGTCTGGTAGCTAACTTATAAAGCCCTGAACAACTTGGTACCAGGTTGCCTGAAAGACCGCCTGCTCCTTTATAAACCTGTAAGATTACTTAGATGGTTTGGGGAATTCTTACTTGTAACAGTAACAGACCCAACAAAACATCACAGGGTAGTTACCTGGAAATGGGCATTTTGCTCTAGTTCTCCTGGACTTAGGACTAGCCTTGCCTTTGCCATATAGGAAGCATCATCCACCAATTGTTTCAGACAAGGGGAGGCCCAAGAGGTTTGAATTTACTTACTGTATTTTTTGCTCTATAAGACTCACTTTTTCCCTCCTAAAAAGTAAGGGGAAATGTGTGTGCGTCTTATGGAGCGAATGCAGGCTGTGCAGCTATCCCAGAAGCCAGAACAGCAAGTGGGATTGCTGCTTTCACTGCGCAGCTATCCCTCTTGCTGTTCTGGCTTCCGAGATTCAGAATATTTTTTTTCTTGTTTTCCTCCTCCAAAAACTAGGTGCGTCTTGTGGTCTGGTACGTCTTATAGAGCGAAAAATACGGTATTTACTTTTGCATTTTGCAAGCCGCTTAGTGGACCTGAGGGTCAAGTACAGGGTATATACCTAACTGTTGGGGATGTCTGTGAGATGGGAAGCTTTCGTCTTATTGCGTTTTAAAACTTCTCACTGGGTCATTTGTGTTTACACTGGAAGAGTTGAATGCTACATGCAGGGAAGCAGTGGCTTTTGGGGGAGTGTCTAACATGCAAATCCAAACCATTACAAATTTTCTGTGCGGGGCTATCCCAAGTGTGGGATCAAGGGCTATATGGCATAACAAGGAACAAGAGACATGTCCTGGGGAAACACAGATATCAGGATGCCCTTGCATTCACTGAGGGAAGCAAACCATGCAAACTGCACAGACCATGCTCATCCTGAACCACTTTGGTTCTGGTCATTGGCAACCACATCCCCTGGCAACAACCAGGCCTGGACTGTGGGAACCAGCTGCAGTGAAAGAGCATGCCTAGCACTAGAAATTATATCCCACAAGGGCTCTTTACAAATTTCTTAACATAAAGCTTAAGTTCCCCATGTGTTTTCAGGTTTTCCTCTGGAGAACTGTGAGGGCTATACTTCTGCACTGGGCTTTACTGCAGTCATGGCTTTCTGTAGTTAATTCTCCCCTTTTATCGTGTGATTCTGGTTGCCCAAATTTCTGCACCCTCTCCTCTTCTCCCCTGTTACAACATCCTTTCTTCAGCAACTAAGAGAAGCCTAACTCTGCAAGGTGTTCTTGAAGCCTACTTAACGCTGAAAAGTTACGCTATATTTGGAGAACTACTGGGGGCATTAGTTAAGATTTCTAGCCATGTCTAAGTGTATTCACACTTTCATTGGCAAGATGAAAGCAGCTCAGGAAAAGGCAATTCTGTCATGTCTGTCTCATCTGGGGCCCATGCAGAAGTTGGCAGCGAGCCCAGGACTCTCACTGGAAGCTACATTCTCAGCACTGGGCCGAAAGAGAGATTTTGAGGGATTGTCGGTTTTTCCCGTTTCCCGTTTAATGTCGAGTCCTTAAGGGAGCAGGCGGTGCCCAGGGGGGCGTTCATGCAGGCTTCTTGGTTCCTTCAGGCTCATTAAAACAGGTCCTGTACAAAATTCCATTTGATTTTCAAGCATGAAAGAGGGTTTCTTTAAAACATTTTCAGGTGGGGGGAGGATGAACAGTGAAGGGAGGTAGGAGAGGCAGCATTGATTTTGAGACAGTGACATCAGGATGTCATTGCAACCTCACTTTGTTCAACTTGCAGAAAGAGTTGCAGAGGCACAGGCAAGAAGCAAGAAGCCTGCAAGGGGTAAAGGTGAGACAATAAAGTTTAAAATATTGCCTATGGCCTATTGTTGCAGTTTGGCGTGATTGGGGAAGAAGCGCAGAAATGGCTCACCCAACCTTAATGTTGGGTCATGCTTGCTTTTCAAAGAATCTTCTTTTGCACACCTGAGAATCTAAATCATGCGTGGGCAAGCTAAGGCCCGGGGGCCGAATCCGGCCCAATCACCTTCTAAATCTGGCCCACGGACAGTCCGGGAATCAACGTGTTTTTACATGAGTAGAATGTGTGCTTTTATTTAAAATGCATCTCTGGGTTATTTGTGGGGCATAGGAATTTGTTCATAATTTTTTTCAAAATATAGTCTGGCCCCCCACAAGGTCTGAGGGACAGTGGATCAGCCCCCTGCTGAAAAAATTTGCTGACCCCTGATCTAAACCGCTAGCGATGTCTGGAACGGACTCACAACTTTCATTCTGTCTGTGAGCAGTGCAGAGTTTTAAAAGCAACCAACTGGAGGTGTTGAACCTTGAATTCTGCTTGTGAGTTTTTCACCCTGACAGGACAACTTCTGAACATTTTGTAATACACATTTAATCCCCACCTGCCTATCCAAATGTACACAGATGTTTGTAGCTGAAGATCTCTCACACTGGGATATATGGCGTGGTAAGGGGGGAGATACTCCAGCCAGGGAGATAAGTGTTACCCGTCTAAATGCCTTTCTCCATCAGGACTCCCCAAAGGAATGTGTCTTTTTGGTAGCACTCTATACCCCCCGCCCCCACTGCCTAGTGCGCTTGCCATTTCCCAATTGGTGGATTGTCCAGAGGGAAATTAAAATGTGAAGAATAGCTGGAGAAAATGTGAAGGCGATTTGAGGAGCATTTGCATTTGTGCTGAATGTGCAAAAACTGATTTATGTTTCTGATTGCAAGTACTCTTGACGTTAATGTGGGTTTCTGCAAGCAGTTTGTAGGGTTAGAGGCAGCTTCTTCTCTGTTATTCAGTTTCCAAAGGACAAACTGAATAGGCAAGGCTGGGGAAATCCCAGGGGCCTTGTCACATCGACCTCTAAAAATGTTAAATTGTGATTCCCCCCCCAAAAAATGCTGGCAGAAAAAGAATGTAGAACAATATGTGACAGTATGTGAACCTGATACTTAAAAATTAGATTATTGACTGTAAGGAGCTAAAATATTTAACCAGACCTGAGGACAAGTCATTCTGGGTGGACTGAAAGAACAATCAGTGATTCCCTAATAAATGCTGCCTTTGCCATTTGAAAAGTGCTGAGGATCAAGTGGAAGTAGGCAATTTGAAAGGGTCTACCAAGCAATGGGCTCTGCAGTCAACATTCATTGGTCAAAAACAGTCACATCCCCAGTTGCTTCATGGATCAGTGTACTCATTCCTAGGCGTACAACACACATATGAAGGATCTGCAACAAATCTATGTGCCGTGCTTGGCTGCCTTCAGCTTGTTTATATCCCGGCCATGTGATAATCAGCTCCAGAGCAAGAGGTATTTTTAGTTCTGCCTCCTCACCTGATGTTGCTGGAGGAAGAAACCTGTGAGAAACACGAAGGGAGAGTTGTGGAAATGTACCCTGGCTTGGGCAGATATAGCAGGATTGTAGGGCAATGTGGTTCTCAGAGCTTAGCTAGCTCAAATCCCATGGTATTCCCTGGGCCATTAGGCTTTAAATTGCATGCATGCTTCACATTCATTTTACTGCAAATGAATTACATGTGTCTTTCTGTGGTTTATGTATTTTGAGATCTTTATTTGTTCCACTAGCAGCCCTCAAAACAAGTGTCTCAAACAATATCTATGCCTGAACTGAAGGCAATTTTGGTAAAGCAGTTCAGATCCTACCAGGCTACAGTACACGTTGCGTCGATAATATCGGGACGGTCACAGCTTCCCTATCTCTGCTACAAAGATTAGGATTGAGAAACTTCATATAGTGATACTCTGAATATTACGTTCTCAGCTTTTCAGCCCTGGTAGATGTTTACATTTTTGAGTGGGCACTAGGGTACTCCTAGGTGAGTGTTGTATAATTCTGCTCACTTGAAGACACAATGGTAGCTTCTCCTTCATGGATTGTGTAGGTGATCGCTGAGTGGTGGCCGTAGGAATTGACTCTGGGCCACACAAAAGAACCTCCAAAGGCACATCTTTTTGCCCATTTTTTTTTCACTTTAGCTGCCTGAGCAGCCCTGGGGACAGATATACCTTTTGAGATGCTGACTGCTGGCTGGAGTGTGATGAGAACCTGGAGTTTGGTCTAAACAGTTCACCTGGGTTGACCTGCGAAGTTCTCTTCCTGTAGCCACTGTGCTCTTGCCTTCTGCACCTCCCTTCCTTTTCTCTTCACATTTTAGTCTGTAGGTTATTTACACTGCACATTTCCTCAGAAGTAAGTCTGAGTGCAATTATATTTGCTTCCTAGCAAATTTTCCAGGATGGCAGCCTGAAGTGGGTGTGTTTTATTTTCCCAGGATGCCTTGCAGCAGCGGTTGGCCCAACAGGATGCTCTGATTCTTCAGATAAAGCAAGAGCTGCTTAGAGCAAACATGGACAAGGAGGAACTGCATAGCCAAAATGTGAGTGGCCGTTTTGTGTTGCAGCGTCGTGTGTGAGGTTTCCTCTCTGGAGACTGAAGCTCATGGGACTTGTGGGAGGGGTTGTAGCAGGAGAGCATGCACTTTGCCTGAAGATGGTTCCAGATTGAATCCTTATCCTCTCCAGGAGTGTGTGTGTGTGTGTGTGTGTGTGTGTGTAAACCATGTGATGTGAATGGCCTTCCTCTGCCTCAAAACCTAGAGAGCCACAACAAGTCAAGAGTAAACAATACTGGGATAAGTGCACAGGTGATTGTGTGCAGGCATAAGGCAACTTCCTGTGTTCCTGTAGGGGAGTTCCATGCCATACATTTAAAGCATGTTGCCTCCCCCTAAGAATCCTGGGAACTGGAGTTTCTCAGGGTGCTAGGAATTGAAGCTCTGTGAGGAATGAACTACAGTTCCCAGGATTCCTAGGGGGAAACCGTGACTGTTAAAAATTCTGTAAATTAATATGGTGAGAGGGCAGGCCCATGGGGAGTTGGGGAACCGGCCGTAACAAGACTGCTTAGGGGGAAATTTCGTTGCTACAGCTCAGTGGCCTAATTAATGCCTTCTGCAGCCCATTCTCTTCCTGAGGGATCGATGTATGTAGTTATTTGCATTTTCCAAAATCACTTCGTCTAGTGAGAAGGGAGAATGGCTTCCCTAGTGTACTTGGCAGTAAAGGATGGCGCAGACCTGTAAATCCTTTACTTCACAGCCAGGGCTGCTTTAGCTTCAGAGCTGAGCTAGAGCCATCCTGTAAATTCAAAATGAAGGAAGCATCAGTGCCCAAGGAAGGGCCAGGGAACAGCAGGGGCCTGTGTGTGTGTCATGGCACATTTTGTGGAGTGTTGCACTGGGTCTCCAGAGCCAGAGGGTACAGACAGCACACCTAGCTCACTATTCAGTTGTTTCTTATGCAGGCTGATCTACAGAGGAAAGTGGAAGAGCGGAATCGACTTCTCGCCGAATACAAAGTAAGGAAATCTTCCTTCCTCTCTGGGGTTGAGAGGGGACATACTGCCCAGATCACCCTTGCAGTGTAACTGGGAAATCCTCCTCACGTGCCCTTACAATTCTGCCTCTCTCCCATTCCCTTACCTGTAGCTGGGTTGTGCTACTGAGTCTCTCCATTATCCAGGCAGTCCAGTGTGCTGGGTGCCCAGCTGATCTTTCCTCTCCGAAGAAAGCCGTGTAGCAACAGCTGCGTGGCCTGTGCTGACCTTTGCCCCCAACTTTGCTCCCATCCAGTGCAAGCCTCCTTCCCCTGCTGATGACCCCAATTCCCACTGTGTTGCAGAAGGAGCTGAGCCAGAAGGATCGGCACTTGCACCAGCACCAGGCCAAGATGGAGGAGATGCTGCGGCAGCTCTCCGAGGCCAGCTATCATCAGGTACCGGCACCCCCCCTGCCCTGCTGCCACCACCAGTCCCCGTTCATGTCCCAGGCCGCTTGGTTGTGTTGCTTGCTGATCCATTTCTTCTGTATGCAGGCGGAGCTGGAGCGAGAGCTGGAGCACAAAGAAGCTTTGTTGGCTCAGTGTATGAAGAAGGATGCAGAAGAGGTGTGTGAAACAGCAGCAGAACATCATTGTTTGCCTTTTGCAAGTGTGGCTTTTTGCTGTTACAGCACAATAATAATAATAGTAACCTCTGATTACACTGCAGTTAGACTGGAAGCAGCAGCAGCATCATTGGATGGAAACAGATGTAATAGAAAAGAGAAAAAGAGTTGAGGATTGAGCTTAGCTACCACCTAGCTCTGAAACTGAAATGACTGATGTGCATATCAGCAAATTGAACACTTGCTCTGTTGTGAGACCACCCCTAAAAATGATGGTGGATTCTCTGGCTTAAAAAAAAAGAGAAAGGAAATCACATGTACTCATTTGAAGCATTCTTAATTATTTTTTTAAAATCATCTAAAGTGCAAAACTGCTCTGGGAATTTGGGGGGAGATGACAGCATGGACACCAGCCAATCAACACAATGTACAGCTGGTTTCTGCTACAATCTTGCAGAACCGCTTCATGAAAGTGCTTCCAAAAATGGACTTCGCTCCTCTATAAATCTTCTGCCTTCACTTTGGAAGACCCCCAGAATATGGTGGCAAATGAGGCTGGGTCTGTAATCCATTCTTAGCTCTGTCTCCTTGCCTGTGGCCGCAAAAGTTTTTCTTTCTTTCACGCCAACCAGGTGATAGTCTACAGCAATCACGGCTCTCAGAGCAACGGCTTCCTGCAGACGTCAGGAAAAGGAGCTGCTTCTACAGCACACAGAGGGGTAAGTTACTTCTTTCTCCTTCTCTTGGGGCTCCATGGAGGCTTTGCAAGCCACCTGCTGGAAGGGCTCAGGGGTATTGCAGGGCAGAGCCTCTCAGAGAAGCCAGGCTTGCTTCCTCCTGATCTCTCCTGATCTCCTGGACAGACCAACGACCTGCAGCTGGTGCGCGAGGCCCTGCGCAGCTTGCGGAACAGCTTCAGCGGCCACGACCCCCAGCACCATACCATCGACAGCCTGGAGCAGGGCATCTCCAGCCTGATGGAGAGGCTGCACCGCATGGAGATGCAGAAGAGGCAAGAGAGGAGGGTAAGAGGCGCTCCTGGGTCATGCTGGGGCGATGTTGCCTCTTTCTGCACCATTTGTGGCTTGTGGGTTTACCTGCACATGGGGCCTGGAGGAGTCACTGCTCTGTAAGTGCCTTTGCCCTGCATGGACAGACCATGTGCCCATGACACTTTACAGTGAAAAGGGGGTAATAAAGTACATTATTATCATCATCATCATCATCTCTGCTATGATCCCCTCCTTCTGCCATGCAGGTGTAGGCTAAGTTCAGGGCATGTGCACTTGCTGGAGTCCTAGAAAAAGCACTGTGTGAGAGTGTTATGGGTTGAGACTTGCATTGTGACAAAGGGGGAGTTTGCAGCCACCTGATTCACCCTGGAGGGATTCTTGAGGTAGGGGACGTAGTGATGCATGCTGTTGTAAAGCACTAGCTCCACCAAAAACGAATGCTTTTCCAGGCACTGCCTGGGATGTGTCTGGGATTTAGGAGTCCTGGCTTTGATCTTGCGTTTTGTGGTGTGTCAATTTCAGGCTTCATGGCTTAGTTGCAGCTGGGCTATATTACGCCAGGCAAATATGTCCAAGGAGATGGGAGTGTTGGTTCCTGCTCCTGACTCTCACAAGCTTGCTGCGCCCTCCCTCCTTTAACAGGCCTCTTGCCGCTTTCCCCTTCGAGGTTCCTCCTCTAGGAAGCCTTGAGGGCGACTTTGTCACAAGCTCTGAAACGGCTAAAGGGCCGCCAGGTGCTGCCATTGCTGTAGGGCTTTTCAGTCACTCACATCACTGGATGCTGTCCTTGGTTGGGGTCATTTTTGAGCAGGCTCTTGCTGACATTACAGCGGCACATGCTCCCTTTGTCCCAATTGGTGCGCACACTTGCGCATGGTCCTTTAATCAGTTTAACCCATCTGTTGTTTTCCTCTCTGCTGACCTTTAAGATGGAGCCCCTCGCGGTTGTAGCTGCTACTCGGCAGGCAAACCTGGCTTGCCTCTCAAGCCCTCAAGTCTCCTGAGCCTCTGTGATGTTTGCTCAGCTCAGCAATGCAAGGACCGGTAAATGGTTGCCCTGCATTGGAATAGTAAAAGTAGGCCCTTCTGTCAGAGCTTTAAAGTAGATTCTTCAAGACTCTCCAGGAGCAACAATGTGGTGTAGTGGTTAAGAGCAGTAGACTCGTAATCTGGTGAACCGGGTTCGCGTCTCCACTCCTACACATGCAGCTGCTGGGTGACCCTGGGCTAGTCACACTTCTTTGAAGTCTCTCAGCCCCACTCACCTCACAGAGTATTTGTTGTGGGGGAGGAAGGGAAAGGAGAATGTTAGCCGCTTTGAGACTCCTTAAAGGGAGTGAAAGGCGGGATATCAAATCCAAACTCTTCTTCTTCTTCTTCAACAAGAGGGGACAATTTGCAAGTCATTTCTGTCCTTGGATTCCCAACTCCAGAACCTATTTGTGATGCCAGGGCTCAGTCCTGAAATCTTAATAGTAATAATAATAATAATGTGCCTATGAGCATGTACAGAGTTTCTTTCTGGTTTCCCCCTCTAGATCCAAGGAAAATCACCTGCCGGCCACGCCACGAACGAGTACCGAGAGTCCTGGCCCTCCAACTCCAGTGAGTGCAGTTCCAAGACCGCTCTCTCATTCCAGACAGAAATCTCCTGCTTCAGGTCTAGACTGTCAGTATTTTGTGGGAGGGATTCAGTTACATTCCAGAAAAGCAGGTTTGCACCGTTCAAGTGCATTCAAGTGCTCTTGTCGCCCTAGCACTCCACTTCCAAAAAAGAATGGACTTTTTGTGGTTAGGAAAGTGACGGGGAAATATCTCTGGAAAGTGTATGGTGGACAAATGATTAACAGGAAGGCGTGTAAACACCTTGCAAGCAAATTCTGATGAATGTTCATTAACATACCAGCATAACCTTCTTGGTAGCGGCTCCCAGACTGTGGAACTCCCTCCCTAAAAAAGCTAGACTGGCTCCCTCCTTGTTGTTCTTCCATTGGCAGGTGAAGAGCCTCTTGTTCCAACAGGCTTTTAGGAACTGGCTGCTTTATTGAAAGGGCTGGTGCTGTGCTGTTTTTATTGTAATTATTTGTATGCTTTGAACAGGTTTTATATGTGTATATAGTTATAATTTTATTCATGTTTAATTGTTTTTTTAATTATTGCTCTTTCTATGTTTTTAGCAATTCTTGTTTTTATCTGTAAGCTGCGTTGAGTCCCATTAGGGCAAAAAGGCGGGGTATAAATAAGCAAATAATAATAATAATAATAATAATAATAATAATAATAATACTGCCCCGTAGACAAATCAGAACAAATGCTCATTTGTCTAACCTCAATGTAAGTTTTGTGCAAGCAAATTGGGACAAATGCAGAATAAATCTGGAGGGGCTGCCAGATACTCTGGAACAGAGGCTGTTTAGCAGGGATGCTTTTGGAAATCTGGGCAGGTCTTGCTCCTCCTCACTCTCACCCCTGACTTGCTCACCTTCCTACTTGCTCCTTTGCCTTGGACTGTTCCTTTCACCAGCTTCACTTGGAACTAAGAGCTTGCCAAGGTGCAATTGTTGGCACAAAGTAGACTGCTTCGGTCTCTGGACGCCACTGCACCATAAATAATGAACAACTCCAATTAATATTTACTCTTAACATCAAGCAGAAAACACTACCTTATTCTCTGAGGCCTTGCAGTGTCTTACTGCAAACAGGTTCTGCCATCTAGTGGTCACAGTTAGCATTGGTGCCTCTTTTTGCCTTGCTCCCCAGTCATTGCAGCTGGATTTTAAAAAATTGGGCATCTCTTATCTCGTTCTGGGTGGACCATCTCCTTCCCTGCCATCATTGCATCGCATCTATAAAACAGAAGAGTTTTTGCATTATGAGAATTCTTAGGCTGGTAACAAGCCAAGCCTTTAGACCGGAGCATTTTCCAGGAAGTTCAGGCATAGCTGGCATCTGTACCTGCCTGATCCATGCTCACCCCTACCTACACTGGAGATTGTGAGTTGTGTGCAGTGGCAGACAGGAATAAAGCTGCCTCATGTTCCTGGACAAATTGGCTTGTTGAATCCCAAACCCTCCTCCCACATCCAGTTTGTTGGAAACAGCATAGATGTAGCATGAGGGATGTATACCGGCATGACTTTTCCAAAAGTTAGGGAGAGACGTATGTGCTGTGTAACCCTTAATAGGCAGGTGTGCCTGCAGCTTCTCTCCGTGCCAGTTCTCTGCTTATCCACATCAGAAGTAGTGTTAGTTTTGGGGCCAGTGGAGGCATAGGAGGAGTTGTGCTTTGAGACTGCAAAACAACAACAGGATTCTTGATTTTATCATTGGCTGGATTATTGCCAGTGACTCCAGAGGCTGTAAGCAGGATGGTGCTGTTGTGGGAGAGGTGTTGTGTGGCCTGGGGTCTAATCCACTGGTGTTGTCCCTAAATGCTATTGGTGACAAACTCTGTAGAGGTGTGGAGTGTGTGTGTGTGTGTGTGTGTGTGTGTGTGTACACACAAACAGAGAGAGAGAGATTTCTGTCAGGGTGGGGTCTCTAGCCCTTGATGTTAGGTGAGCTCTCACGTTTTCCTTCTCTAGCTTCTCTTTTAGAGTTGGAGGGCTATAATTTAACTGAGTCCGTCTGTCTTTGCAGAACTGCCTCATTCTCACAGCACCCCTGCAATGAGCAGCAGTGCCTGCACCAAAGTGCTCTACTTCACGGATCGCTCCCTCACACCTTTCATGGTGAACATACCAAAGAGGTGAGGCTGGCAGTCCTGCATCATGTCTCTGTCATGGGGGGACTTAAGTCAGAATTTGTGCCTTTGTGGGATGTTCTTTCTCCCAGCATGCACTGCAACAGCTTCTGCACCCCTGGGGCCCTGTGTCATTCATGCCACAAGCTGGCAGTGAGACTGGCTCTACCTCTCTCCTACTCTTGTGTCTGTGCAGGTTAGGTGAGGTGACTCTAAGGGACTTCAAAGCAGCTATTGATCGGGAAGGAACACATCGCTACCACTTCAAAGCCCTAGATCCAGAATTTGGCACAGTAAAAGAGGAGGTATGTAACAGTCTCTCATTAGGACTTACGCTCACAGTTATTGTGTGACATGCCCACTTGTAGAGAGTGGCAAAATGGCAGTTGGTTGTGCGTGGGTATGGGGATGGGGGATGTTGGGTTTCCAAGGAGTTGCTCAAGAGCAAGCAGGCAATTACCTCCCTGCTCAGCTGTGAACCCTTGCTTTTGATGCAAAATAAACTTTATCTGTCCAGAGCGCCACTCTCCCGTGGCTGGCTCATTCACTGGCAGAATCCGTGAGTGGGCGGGGCTTAAACTTCCCCCAGCAAAGTAGTTTCTTGACGCCCAGTCTGCGCCTCCCCTCTCGGCGCGAAACCTTACTGCGCAAGGAGGGCGTGGGTAACGGCGGACCTCTCCCCTCCCCGCTCTGCCCAGGCAAGGTGTCCTGGCAACGCCTCGCCTCCTCCGAACCCTGTAGCTCCTCTCCACTGGAGGCGTGATTACTCTCCCCTGCAGAGGAGGAGCTGCTTTCCACGATCTTTGGGGGCTCTCTGTAATCCATCCGGCTTTTCCTCTCTCCCTCCTGAACTGATGGCAGTTCCCTGACAGGGGAGAAGTTCGATTTTGTTTGCATCCCAGTGAGAGATTTCTTAATTAACACTTCTCGAACTAATACAGAAACTGAATCACAGCTATCCTTTGAAATCTGCACTTCTTTGAATTTTGCGATGGAGGCTTTCCAACCAAACAGTGTGTGCAAAAAATGCATGCATTAGGGGAAAGTCACTACAAATTAGTGAAAATTACAAAAATGCATTACGTTAATTGTAATTGCTTGCAAAATATATTGGGGGAAAGTCCATACAAAAATGTGTTTTATTAGGAGAAACCTGCCCTAAACCATTGACCAATTTGCATGAGGATTAAAAAATAATTTCAAATTGCTGCAGAAATGAGAACTGAATTTAAGGTTAGAAAAATGGGAAATTGAGAGAAACTGAATTTGACATATTCCTCCATCCCTAATCGTGTGGTCACTCTTTTTCATCTGTGTGTGCTCATGCTTGGCCTGTGTCCTGTGGCATGGAAGCCCTGGGGCAGAAAGGCCAGGGTTGGCCCAGGTGTGGGGTGTCATGTGGGTAAATCATTCAGCCTTAAAGTACAACCAAAGAATGTTGCATAAAAGCAACCTGACTATTCAGCAGCCGCCCTCTAATAGCTACAGGCAGAAAGTGAAGTCTCCATACAAATCAGCTGATGAATGTCACCCAACCAGTAAGAGTGCCAAAGATCTGGGAACTTGTCCTGTTTGATTTGGCTGGTAAGGACAGGTTTCTGCAGCGCTTGGCTTGGGTGACTGTAATAGCTAAAGGAGGTTAGGTCGTCATGTAGGGCAAGGACCTGCAATATCTCTGAGCTTACAAGGCCCTGATCATCCTGCAGCTTGCAGAATAAGCCTTCTGGTGCAAAACTTGTGAGATGCCCCAGAATGTGCAAAATAATCCACTTGCACCTTAAAAAGGAGTGACTTTCCGGCTCTCGGATTTTACAGGTGAATCTGAGTGCGGTGAACAGAGAATTGGGCTTGTGCCTGGAGGGGCTGGGCTCAGGCCCACCTACCCCCTTGGGCTTCATTGTGTGAGGGCCATGGGCATGTCATCGTGTCTCGGGATCAGCCTGTGAAAAGGATCAGCCTGTGAAATTTGACTGTCAGCATGAGGGTGACCTTTCGATCCCTCATAGTAATCCCGATTCAGAGTTGAAAAGAGCAGTTTGCCCTACAGCAGTGATAGGGTACCTTTTCCATCCTGAGGGCCACATTTTCTCCTGGACAGCCTTCCGAGGGCCGCACGCCAGTGGTGGGCATGGGAAGAGCAACAAATGCAAATTTTATCTTTGTACAGCAGGCTAGTTTGCGCATGCACACACGTTCTTTCTCTCTCCTCCACCCATGCAAGCAAGAGGCATTACAGTGGTGCCTCGCAAGACGAAATTAATCCGTTCCGCAAGAGTCTTCGTCTAGCGGTTTTTTCGTCTTGCGAAGCAAGCCCATTGACGGATTAGCGCTATTAGCGCTATCAGCTGTTTAGCGGCTATTAAAGGCTTAAAGGCTTAGGGATTAGCTGCTAAAGGCTATTAAAGGCTATTAAAGGCTTAGCAGATTAGATAAAGGGGAAAAGCGAAAAAAATCTCAAGACTCGCAAGGTATTTTCGTCTTGCGAAGCAAGCCCATAGGGGAATTCGTCCTGCGAAGCAACTTCAAAACGGAAAACCCTTTCGTCTAGCGGTTTTTCCGTCTTGCGAGGCATTCGTCTTGCGGGGCACCACTGTATAAGAGTTCAGGCATGTCCTGCACCAGCCCCCAGACACTTAAGGATGGTGCAAAGCAGAGATACTGAGGGGTGGGGACTGAGGAGAGTTCTGAGGGTCAGATACAGATGCTTGAGGAGCTGCATTTAGTCCCTGGGTCTGAGGTTCCCCATCCTTACCCTAAAGTCACCTGGTAGGTTTATGGCTGAGATAACATTTGCACTGAGGACTCCTGACGTGCAGCTGGCTCTCTTAGCCACTGTGCCATGCCAGCAGCTGGCCGTTCAAAACACACCCTGAGACGTGCTTAGGGAGAAGAAGCTTCAACCCACTCAAACTTGCAAGAACCACTAGCCTTGGTGACTCTTGGCACAGGAACATCTGCACGTACCCTCATTTTGTTAACAAGTTTCTCTCGCTTTGCTTTTCTCACAGGTTTTCCATGACGACGACATCATCCCTGGGTGGGAGGGAAAGATTGTGGCATGGGTGGAAGAGGACCATGGGGAGAACTAATCGGAGACCACCCGAACTCTCTTTCCCGGGCGACCCCACCACTGGTCTGCTGCACTTCCCAGATACCGACCAAAAAGTGTGTGAACTGAGATTCATCTGTCTCGAAACTGCCAAAAGGAAGGATCGTACTTCTCTGCAAAATGACGGGTATAACGTTTTGCCACAAGCGAAGAGGATGTATGGCACTTGAGTTCCATGGCCAAATGTTGCGTTGTTTGAAGGTCCCATGGTGTGGGGAGTGGCCCTCCTCTCTTTTTCAGTCATTGTCAGCCTTAATGGTGTGTTTGTCCCCGCTTCCCCTTCCCCTGCTGTCAGAGAATCCAGAGCATTTTCATTGGGAGACGTACAGTATTACAAGGAACCTTGCACTTAATGGCGGAAACTTAGAAACTGTCCTCTGGAGGCAGGCAGTGCTGTCGCAGCTACATTCTCCATATTGAAAGCTCTCGCCAGCCAATCATTCCTAATGACTCTGTGCCAGACAGACAGCATCGGGAGCCAACAAGACTTTCTTGAGAGAAAGAAGTGGGTTGGATTGTGGTTCAGATCATGAGTTGGGGTGTCTGCTTCTGCTCTTCTTGTTTCGCTCTCCTATCCTGGAACTCTTGAGGGACATGAAACGATAGTTGGATTGCTTTGGGGGGGGTGTATGGGTGAGGAGGGTTCTTTGCCCTTTCCTTCAACTGCCTTGTCACCCTCTTGCTTTCGTTTTGGCAGAGGAGGCCACAGAAAGGTCCATGTCTTTGTTTCTCCAGGGATCAAGTGGCAGAAGAGAGTCCAGTCCATGCATTTGTTCTCTTAAACTCCAGTCCAAACAGTAGGAGAATATAATGTGGGTCCCTCGGAAAGGGGGCTTCTCTGTCCTCTTCCACAAGTCAAGAATTCATGACTCTGCTTTTCTCCCATCACCATCTGAGTTCTTTTCCAATCAGCCTGTGCTGAGACTCATGTGGGACTGAGATCCCACTTTGCTGTTTCAATGCTATTTATTTTAAGTGGTTGGACAGTGGAATGCACGTTGAACTGTTTCATGTGAGTCTCATTGCAAGTTTTCTAGTGAGAGTGTGTGACTGTGTGAAACCACCTCCAGGAAAGCCGAAAGGGAGCAAGGCATCAGGCACATAACCTCTCTGGTCCCCTGGTTTTAAAACTGTTGAATACAATCGCCCCTCCTTGTGGTGACTGTCTTTTTCCTCTACTGCCCATGGTGGTTCCCTTCCCTTTGATTAAGATGGGGTCAACTGGCTTGTTTGCCTCAAGCAGAATCTGCAGTTTTGCCCAGCGCCACTCAGACCACTCTTCAAGTGTGGCGTGCAAAACGGGTGGTGTGTGCTTGTGGAGAACGAGTTAACCAGTTCTCTGAGCCACAGCAGGCACCACGAGCAGGGCACTGCATGAACTGGTTCTCAAGCATAACACACACACTTTTCATAGCATAATAAAGCTTGGACAGAAATTGTAGCCGTTAAGGTCAGTGGAGTTTAAAAAAGTAGGTTTAAGTAAGAGTCTTTGGGGCACACCTACACATCATTTTGGGACGCATCCACTTGCTGCTTACACCTGTTCTCCACATGCCAAATTTGGTCTCCTGGTAGTCTAGCCGGCAATCAGTACTGCTTCATGTAACATGATACTTTTTAGCTTTTCTTGGATATGGACTTTCTGTGTTTCCAGCAATGCTCTAAAATGCAGAACTGGGGAGTGCAGGGGGTGCCTCTTGGTAAGTGCACCCATGGCATCACTGAACTGAAAAGCAGATGGCGAGTGGCAAAATCAGGAATATAACTCCAGCTACCAGAGATTGCTGCCTCCACCAGCCCCACTCCATGTATCTGCATCTCGTCTTCCATCCAGCACAGTCCTGTGCATTGAAGGTGGTTGCAGGCCTGCAAGTCTCTGGTGCCTGCACCAGCACTCTGAATGAACGTTTCTGTATGTCAGCCTGTTTCATGTCCTTTTTCATGTGAGGCTGGACATTTGAAGGAAAACTTGGCTTTTATCATTTTATAGATTTTAAACATGTCCTTTTTGTAAACTTGTTCCTGTTTTTTGGAATTATTTTGTATCCATTTGCATTGCTGTTGTTCAAGGATGGTGTATATTTTTATACCGGCGCAAGTATTATTCCCCTCTGTATATTTCTGCACACATGCTGAGCTGTATTTTACCCATTTTTCTAGAGGACGCTAGCAGGTTTTGTACAGCATCCTGTTAATGCCACCACCCCAAGTGGCTCCCATTACTAGGTTTACTTTACTATGAAGGTATTACAGATTCCTAATGGTTTTATATTTTGCCAGCTCTTTTCTTGTACTGATTGTGTTTTCTGTGTTGTTGGTCTTCCCAATGCCCTCAGTGTACAGAAAGTGCAGTAGTGCCTTTCTGAACCCTGCCCTCATTAGAATCCGTGTCTGCTGTTAGCAATTCAGAGTGCAATCCTTGTTGTCCTTCAGAACAGCAACTACCAAGCTGGCTTTTGGAGGTGAGAGCTTATTACTAAATGGGAAGAAACAGGGTTCCTCACCCCTGATAAAGGAAAAACTTCCTTCTCCTCGTGGAATTACGGTTTTTTTCTGTTGCATGAATTTTAGTAGATTGCGAAAAGGCAGCATGGAATTATATTTACTAAACAAAGAGACAGAGAAGAATTGTCCAGTGGTTTGTTTTCCCCCCAGGAAGCGTTATGCTTTTAAGTTCAAACTTGTACTCACTTCTCAACAACTTAACTTCAGTTTAATTGAACCAGTTCTTCCTTTTCAGACAGGCTTCTTGGCAGAAATGTGGCTGTGGTGGCGAGAGGGAGCAAAGAATACCCTGGTTCAGGGGGTCACCTCAGGAAAGACCTAAGGACTCTGGTTGGCTGCAGTCCAACATACTATTGGGCTGTTTTAATACTGTGAACCCCAGTGGGATTTAGTTATCCAAAGTAGGTGCAGGGCTTCAGCCTCAGTCTTGTAGCATTAAGGTTGAAGTTGTCGCTTGCATTTTCCTAAGACTATCGCCACTCTTTCATATCAGTGTTGTCCTCTTTCTACAAAACACCTAGTTTTACTTTGTTTCTGCGGTTACACCAAAGGTGTATCTACATGGCTGAGGCTGATGTAAAACTGGCTTAGGTGCCATCACACTCTAACCATCAGAGAACCACAGGAAAGTATATAGGCATCTCTTCACTATCTGAACTACAGATCCCTTGAGTCTTTGGGGGTAAGCAGCAATATATTGCTTAAATCGTATGAAAGTTTGTCATATAGATATGCTCCACATTTACCATCCCCTCATAAGGATGAGGAACATTGGGGAGGTACAAAATAGGCCTGAAATAAAATTAATCATTCATGGAATCATGGGGGCAATTGTATTTCCCAACTGGGTGCCTCTCAGTATTTTGGACTACAGCTTCTGTGGCTAATGGGAGTTGTAGTCAAAAACATCAAGTTAGGGAAGGCTGTATTTGAGACTGAAAAGTAGGGAGAAGTTCTTGGTTTTTCTTCTCAACATATCTATGCCTGATTTTTACACAAACTCTAGAGATGTTCTGCTTCCTTTTGAAATTCCTCTTTTGAGTTCCTATCCTTGCAGCATGTCCCATGCAAGCTATGTATAAAATGCTCTATATTTTGTATAGAAATTCTGAAGTCTGCAGTCATTACTATTACGAGGGGGGTTGCTCTCACAACCTCCTCCCTGCACATTGCTGGCCAAGAGAGACCTGAAGCTTGTTTGTGTGCTGCAACAGTTAAACATACTTTGAATTTGTGGACCGAGACTTTAAAGAAAAAAATAACCTCCAATAAAGAGAGTTCGCAAACCCAGGTCTGATTTGCATTTTTGTGTGTGCAGCGGAGGGGTGTGTGTGAAAAACTTGCTAGGTGCACTGAGCATCACATAAGACATGCTTCCTGTATGTCAACAGGTGTGTACTGTACTTGAGGAAGGACCCTTCGGCAAGCTCTGAGGCTGCCATAGGAGGTGCTGCTGCCTGGGTCTGGTGTGAGAAGGAAGTCAGCCAACTAAGGAAACAGGCCATTTCCTCCATCCTGATTTGTTTGGCAAAGGGAGGAAATTCAATTTCAATCTCAAGCATCAGTGCCAGCCCAAGCAACCTGCTTCATTTTTCAGCAAGAAATAGTGAAAGGAAAACCTGCCTGCTACATAGTGCTTAGTAGTGGGTGTGAGTTACAGATGCTTTCTCAGATGTGTCAGCGAATCCAAGGAACTGGCAGCGTTGTACTAGTAGTATTTGATGTGTGTTGAAGCAGCTGTCTTTGGAAGAAGAAAATGCCCCAAGGCTTGTACCTCTCAAAACACACACACACACACACACACACAGCCAGCCAGCATCAGGTATGATCTTAAACCACCCGCTAAAGCCTCCACCCTCCAGTCACCAGCTTCTTTAATCCTTTTGGCAGCTAAAACCCAGCACACCCACTAATCAGTAACTTTTTAAATCAGTTTTTTTTAAAAAACCTGCAATTATTCTATAGTAAAATAAAATAAAATAATTCCTTCCAGTAGCACCTTAAGAGACCAACTAAGTTCGTTATTGGTATGAGCTTTCGTGTGCATGCACACTTCATTCTATAGTAAATTTAGCCAGATCCATTGAGAAATTAAACACCTTTCCGCTTCAAAAGGGGAAACAGTTGTAGTCTGCCAGCACACTTTGTTCAGAGGCTGTCTTTAGCCAGGACTGTCTCTTGCCAAGTAAAGGAGCACAGTTCACAGAAAGACAGAAGAGCTTTCAGCGCCATCGTACTTGTGTGTAGGTAAAAGGTTACAGGGATTCCTCGGGGCAGCAAACCTTGGTGTGAGAATTTCATCCACTCGTTCGTTCATTCATTCGCCAGTGGCTCAGGCTGGCTGCGCGCGCAGCCTCTCGCGCCGCCGAAAGGTAACCTCAGGCCACGGCTGGGACGCAGCCCCGCCCATACTTGACGCGCTTGACGGTGCCTTTCCTCGCCCGCCCGCCTCGGTTCCTTTTGCGACAGTGTCGCGCGCCCTCCTCCTCCTCCCGTGCCTTACGGCGCTGCCCGCTCCGGGGAGTCTGCGGGAGGTCACTCGCTCCTCTCTCGGCCGCCGCTGCCTGACGGACTCAGGGGAGGCCGGGGCCTCCTCCTCCTTTTTTTCCTCTTGAGGGAGGGAGAAGGGGAGGCGAGGCGGGATGTGGCGCGTGCTGGCGAGGCGCGTGGCCCAGCAATGCGCGGCCCCGCGGAGGGCGCCTGGGGCGAGCTTGGAGGGGGCCCCTTGGCGGGGCCGCGCCTCCTGGGGGGCCGTCGCCGGTGGTAGCGGCGGCGGCGGCGGCGGCCTCGCCTCATGGGGGCCCCGCCGGGGGGGAGAGGCGCCGCTGTTCCTTCAGGAAGGGAAGGCCCGGCTCCAGCCCGGCCCCGCCCGGCATTGGTGCAGCTACCCGGCCCACCAGAAGGTGAGTGGAGCCCGCATTTGTGCAGGGGACCTCCCCTTCGGTGGCCCCGGGCTGGGAGGATCGGGCGGGGGGGGGGCGGATCCTCCACTCATAGGGACTGGGAGATCCTCTCACGGTTGGTATGGGGTGGGTTCCTTCTCCCGGTTGGGAAGGCTGCGGGCTCGGCAGAAGACCTGCTTGGCAGGCAGAAACGAAGGTCATGCGAAGGTAAGAAGCGCCTGGCTGCTGGGTGAGGCCGGACAGCCCCCCATTTCCCAGCCCAGCATCTGGGTCTCAGCCCGGTGCCCTAACGGGAAGCCTGTGCAAGCGGGGCTTGAGCTCAGCAGCCCCCTCGGTTTTTCTTCCCTCCTGCAAATCCCGTAGTCCGGGATGGTGGGAGTCGCACAGAAGCATTTGGGGGGCCTCAGCGTTGAAGAAACCTGGTGTACACAAGTCTAGAGCTAGGTGGACCCCAATGGTCTGGGTACGGCGGTAGGGCAGTTTCTTTTGCTGCTTTTTGAATCATGCCTTCATTTAGAGCCACGGGGGACTGGAATCTTTATTTTTAGGGGAAGGAGCAGAGCTCAGTTGGTAGAACGTGGATGGGCTTTGCATGCAAAAGGTCCCATGTACCAAATCTTCTAGCATCTTTTGGTAGGGTGAGAAATACACCTGCCTGACAGGTTGGAGAGTCATTGCCCGTCACAGTACTGAGCACGATAGATTCATATCTTGAGGCAGCTTCCAGTGCTTTTGTTATTCATAATGATGAAGGCTGGAATCTGCGTTTAATTTTTTTTATTTATGAAAGGTCATCTCTCAGTGACAAAGCACATGCTTTTCTATGCAAAAGGTCCTTGTCTGCATCACCAGGAAGGACTGGGGAAGACCTTTAATTTGAAACCCTTTGGAGCTGTTGCCAGTTGTTGCAGCCGATCCTGAGGTGGATGGACTGAGGCTATTGCTTGGGATAAGGCAGCTTTCTATGTTTTCAGATTCTTTCTTCCCTTTCCCCGGGACTTCCTAATGCTATACTGGAAGGAAGGAAGGGTTGAGTCTAGTTCAGTGTTCCCAGTTTGGATATGGATGGCTTCTCCTCATTAGAGGTGTTTAGGGTCCCCCCACCCCCAGTCTTCTCTGTATTTATTGGTGGTATTTGGATCAGTTATTCTATCCTGCTCATGGGTCTTCCTCCCATTCACACACACACACTGTGCTTTTCTGCTGTTAGCAACCCCATAAGTGTTGTGTGTGTGTGTAGTGGTTCTTCAGATATGTGGTCTCCTGGCCTCTGCTTCTCACCTTAGATATAAAAAGTAAGACTTGATTAGAGTAACCCCTTTCTTAAAGATGGACTCAGTTTATTGAAGTGGCCTTTCCCAATGATGGGCATACTGAGGACCCATAATTGATTGTTGATGTTCATTCATTGAGCCTGAACATCTGCTACAGGGCAGCCTATGTACATAGATCTCTTACTTATTCTGGGACCCTGTATGATGGGAGTTCCAAAGTGCATGGAAATCTCTGTATGTAAGTTTCCCCAGTGCAGATAGATACCTATCTATGTGTGCTCTTGTGCTCATGTTCTGCTTTGGGGCTTTCCATAGGCATCTGGTTTGACACTCGAAAAACTTAGTGTTGGAGTAGATAGGCTTTTGATCGCATTCAGCAAGGCTCTTGCATTCTTACATTCTGCTTTTCAGCCTCTTTGTCTAGCATGAAAATGCAGGCTAGGGTTTTGTTTTTGTTTTTTGGCAGGCTAATCACTTGTGTGGGTTTATTTATAAGGTCAATATAGGGGCTTACAATCCAGAACTTGGGGATCTTTCTTTACTATGAGGTACCCTGGGACTTCTGTCCGTTTCCTCTATGAATTACATCTCCACCCAAGACCTATTAATAATGGCATTCTGTAGTCCTATGAGAAATGAAGACAACTGGCCTGCATGGAAATTTAGACGGATGAAGTGGGGTTTTTTAATATTGATTTGTGCTGTTTTTAACGTTTCATTGACTGTTTTTGTATTTTGATTGATTGTTCTCTACCCACGGGTGTCTTTTTTGTATATAAATGTATTTTATTGATTGGCCCTAGGGTTTTATAATGATGAATAGGATATTGCTCCTATGCCTGGAGCCCTATTTTCTTCTGCACAAATTAAGGCTCCTTGTGAAGGGGACATGCTGGTGGGTGCTTGTCAATACCTGTTGAGGCTGAAATTCCAGGGTGGAAAATTGATGACCTTAACAACCTGTTTCTTTGTAGGTGCCTTTGCCAGCTCTCTCTCCTACGATGCAGATGGGGACTATTGCACGATGGGAGAAGAAAGAAGGGGACAAGATCAATGAGGGGGATCTGATAGCAGAGGTACCTTGAAATGTCATTTTTATTAAGTAGTGTCTGAGCAAGCTGTTGGAATTGAGTTCCTAGGAACATCTTGGAGGGATGTCAGTCTCCTTCATCGCCTAATACTTTCTCCTGACTACCTGTGCTTAAGAGGGAGGAGGATGTCGATTTCACTGGCATCTTTTTCTTTTCTTTTCTTCTGATGGTGTACGTTGCTAATATGAGGTTGATGAGGTGTAGGTCAAGAAAATAGGATGTTTCTTTACTGTAACAACTTTGCTATGTTTGTGAAGGTAGAGACAGACAAAGCTACTGTGGGATTTGAGAGCCTGGAAGAATGTTACTTGGCCAAGATCCTGGTGCCAGAAGGAACGCGGGATGTTCCCATTGGAGCCATAATCTGCATCACTGTGGACAAGTGAGTAGAGCTAGGACCATCTTTGTAGAATTCCCGTTTTGCTAATGTTTGTTTTAGTGTCCTTCACTTCTCCCCCACCCCACAATCTCTGCCCTACCTTTGCCAAACTACTCCTTCTAGGACAGCTTCCCAAAGTATCTCTTTGTCACACCATCCTCCTCTCCATTCAGATTAAAACTCTCTTCAAACCCTCTTCGGCAGCAAAATCTTTTCTAGGCCCCCCTTGTGTTGTATTGGCTAGCCCTCTTCTTGGCCTTTGCCTCCTTAGTGATAAAATCTCTTAATATGAGAGGGGTTCAAATCTAATTGGAAGGCCCTTGCCCAAATTCCTAAGATGTATGGAGCCTGCTTGCCATTCAGTGGTCTGAAAGACACTCCAAATGTGAGCAGAGGCACCCTTATGTTCTATGTTCTGTTATATTGGGGCAGGTTCTGGGGCTGAGTCCTGGCTTAAATTACGCTCTGCTTCTCCCTTTCAAGCCCAGACCTCTGCTCTTTCTCCTGTCCACTTTGCTTGGTCTAGAAACCTTCTGGGCAGGGCCACATCTCTTCTGTATTCTGTACTGCTGCATGCTTCAGTGTGTTGTTGGGACATGCAGGTGTTATCCAGCAGAGCTGTGAGGCCTTCTGGGTGGCTGAGTTATATTTTTAGGCATATCGTATCTTTGCACTTGCTCAAGGCTCCTTCCTGCCTTCTCCTAGGCCTGAGCTTATTGATGCCTTTAAGAGTTACACTTTGGATTCTTCAGCAACTGCTCCACCAGCCTCAGTGCCTCCTCCTCCTCCTCCTCCAGCAGCAGCAGCTCCCCCCACGCCAGCAGCTCAGCCCTCTGCTCAAGCTCCAGGCAGCTCCTATCCTCCTCACATGCAGGTACGGTACAGGCCCTATTTACTATTTCTCTTACTGTATCTCTCTCTCTCTGTGTCCTTTATCATTTATTCTTCTTTTGTCTTCAAACTTTATCCCTGTTTCCATGCTGCAAAAACAATGCAAGCTGTGAGCTTGCATTTGCTACAGCAGGAGAAGCAGAACTGCCTTTAAAGGACGGTGGAAATGGAGGATGAAAAGTTTCTGCCCTTGGCAGATTGGCACATGTCTGTGTGTGGGGCAACTATTTACTTATTTATTTTTATTTATCACAATTATATCCTACCTTTTCTCCATGGAGCTCAAACTGGCATACTCCTTCCACAGCCCCACTCATTTCATCCTCGCAACAACCCTGGGGGGTAGGTTAGGCTGAGACACTGTGACTTTCCCAAGGTCACCCAATGAGTTTCATAGCCGAGCAGGGATTTGAACCCTCATCTCCTAGGTCCTAGTGCAACACTAACTACAACACCACATTGACTCAATTAGTGGTATTAGCTGGTTGACTTTGCTCCCTACCAAGAGAAAACACACACACACGTTGTGCTAACTAACATGCCCACTGCTAGAGAGTGAGGAAGTTTCTTTGGGTGCCAGAGAATGTCCTCTACCTTATCCTCTACAATGCTGTAGGAGGAGGAGGAGGAATGACCACTCAGTTCACTGTCCATGGAGCAGTTATGTCCTGTTTCCCTCCTTTCAATCAAGCATTGTGTCACGAAGACTGAGGACTGTAACCACACTGTTTGGCCTTGCCTTTTGGATTGAGGATGGTTGCTGTTTGGTTTTAAGAGATCTGTTCATACAAGCTTTTGTACTCTCTACTTCCCTAGATTCTTCTCCCTGCCCTCTCACCCACAATGACAATGGGCACAGTTCAGAGATGGGAAAAGAAGGTTGGTGAAAAGCTAAGTGAAGGAGACTTGTTGGCAGAAATTGAGACAGACAAAGCTACGATAGGTGAGAAGCTTTTAAATCCTAAACAAATAAAGCTTTGGAGCAAGGTTGGGGAACTTGTGGCTCGTCCAAAGTGGCTGGATCCCAGCTCCCATCAGTCTCAGGCAGCCAGCGTGGCCAGGGGTAGTGGGTGTTCTGGTCCATTAACATTTGCAGGGCTGCAGGTTCCCCTTCCCTAGTTTGGAAGATTCTTTACTATTCACATTTCATAAAGAATATGTAATGCAGTCAAGATTCCCTTCTCTCCTCACAGCATTGGCTGATACTGAGCAATCTAAAACATTACCCTATCTCACTACAGCATCAGGTGCTCCAGGCCTGTTATCTTATTACATGCAGATCTCTCCTCAGTTAGAAGAACTCTGTGGATTACATCTTCCAGATTTCTTAATTTCAATATTTTATTTTGTAAATAATACACAATTAACTTATTTGCTGGAATCCCTCTCTCCATAGTGGGATTGTGAAGTTTCCTTCAGTATTGGTCTCCGTAGTGATTGTTTCCCTAAACAATTTATCTCCGCTTAAGGCTTTGAAGTACAGGAAGAAGGTTACTTGGCAAAAATCTTGGTGTCCGAAGGCACGAGAGATGTGCCCTTAGGAACTCCCCTCTGCATCATTGTGGAGAAAGAGTCTGACATTCCAGCATTTGCAGACTACAAGGATGCTGGAGTAGCAGATATCAAGCCTCCGGTGCTGCCACCACCTCCAAGTCCTGTAAGTACAACCTGCATCTGTGATACCTCTGATGGGGAAATGTATCTGTTGGGTAGCCCCATGTAATCAGCTGGATCCAAGAATTTTGGACTTTTGCTTCTCCTGTGCAGGAAGATTTTGTTGCTCTAGAAATTATCTCCACATAGGAGAGATGCAGGATTGCTTCTACAACCTGATCAACTGTGTGCTGCCTGTTTTCATATATTTGCAAGGAAAGGGGCTACAAGACAGCTTAGAAAGAAACCTTTCCTATCTGCCTGCTAAATTTTGTTCTTCAGAGGATTGGGGAGCTTTTCCTGAGTCACTGAGGCTGTTTTGCCCACTTCCCAACGTATGTGATTTTTTCCCCATTCAGTACACTCCTCTCTCTCTCGGGCCTCTTCTAAGTAAGATGTCCAGCTCCCATTAGGACCCTGCGTTCTTGGGTCATGCATGTATTAGCGCAATTCCACTGTGGTACTGTGTACTGGACTTGAGCGGCTGGCACTGTGCCTCATGCCAAACACCCGTCCATCTAGTCAATCACAGGTTGGAACATTGGGGAATTCCCATGAGCCTCCATGTATTGGCATCTAACTAAACATTTGGCCTTCTCTTTTCTGTTAAGGCAGCGGCAGCAACACCTACTCCTTCTTTTCCATCCCAGCCAGCGGCCCCTCCTTCAGCTAAGGTTCCTGGACAAAAAGGGAGGGTAATAGTCAGCCCTCTGGCAAAGAAACTGGCAGCAGAGAAAGGAATTGACCTTTCACAGGTGAAAGGTGAGTGGCCATCCCCAGGATACTTTTGTCACTCCACATCCCCAGTTCATTTGGTTAGCTCTTCCTGGAAACCCTTTCCCTTTTGTGTGTCCTCTCCAGGCACGGGACCAGATGGACGGATAACAAAGAAAGACATTGAGTCGTTTGTGCCATCAAAGGTTGCCCCGGTGAGTAGCGCACAGAAATGCAGCTTCTTGATGTTTTTGCCTTGGTTGCATCAAAGTTATATATTTGACAAGGCTAAACCTTTACTGAAGTCTGCCTCCAATGTATTATTTTAACTGGGGCTTTCCCTCTGAACTTGACCTGAGTGCCGATGTTTCAGCCTTGGGATGTGAGAAAATGGCTTGCAGCACATTCCAGGTGTCTGTCCCTCAGTATGCCAACTGGTCAAATGGTTCTATGCCCAGGTGCTTTTTGTTTTCGAAGTCCAGAACTGCTTGCACCTCCTGTGCCAATTTGGCATTCTCTTAGAGATACTTCTTGAGAAATGTGATGCTGATGTAGTATTTCATCTGACTTTGTAAATGTAGCTACATGGAATTATGTACGGATAAATTCTTCAAATATTTCTGATCACTATTGTAGGTTGTGCATTGCTGGTACAGTATGCATGGATACACCTGCGTACAACTTCCTCACCAGTGCCCCAGTGCCTTTAAGACTCCTATTTTTACTTTCCCCACCAACCACACTGAGCCCCTTCTGATGGAAATTTTGCTTTCATAAACAGAAATGGACTGTAAATTAGGTTGATGGCACAAGCATAGGAATTAGAAGCTGTGTTCTGTAGGCTGGAGAAAATAAGGTAGTGGGAAGGAAGCATGGGTCTCGAAGCTGTTCTCTTTTATATGTGTGATGGCAACACTTTAAAGCTCCTCTAAGTTGGGGGGACGCGGGTGGCGCTGTGGGTAAAACCTCAGTGCCTAGGGCTTGCCGATCGCATGGTCGGCGGTTCGAATCCCAGCAGCGGGGTGAGCTCCCGTCTTTCAGTCCCAGCTCCTGCCCACCTAGCAGTTCGAAAGCACTCTTAAGTGCAAGTAGATAAATAGGTACCGCTTTATAGCGGGAAGGTAAACGGCGTTTCCGTGTGCTGCGCTGGTGCTGGCTCGCCAGAGCAGCTTCATCACACTGGCCACGTGACCTGGAAGTGTCTCCGGACAGCGCTGGCCCCCGGCCTCTTAAGTGAGATGGGCGCACAACCCTAGAGTCGGACACGACTGGCCTGTACGGGCAGGGGTACCTTTACCTTTACCTTTAAGTTGGAATAGCTTAAAGAACAATGAGCCGTCTCTGCCCTCAGCCCAACAATATTCTTCACAAAAAGCATTGTAGCTAAAAAGATCTTTCTGCACACAGCCCCGGGCAGCAGAAGCACCTCCTCTGGCAGCACCTGCACCAGCAGCTGCCGCAGCCCTTCCCACAGGCGTCTTCACGGATATTCCAATCAGCAATATTCGCAAGGTAAGGCATCACCGTTGTCGCCTTAGGGTGTGTGTTAGCAGTCAATGCCTCTTGTTGAGCATCATTCAAGTGTGAAGGCTTGGCTTGTTGACCTCTTAAGTGCTTCCTGTGAACAGGTGCTAGCAGATGTTTTAGCACAGAGTTTTAGCACACATAGCCTCCAAATGCTAGTCTTGGAGTTCCCATCATGTCAAGGGTGGTATCGTACAGATGTGTGCCATGCTTTAGAGTAGCAAAAGGGTAGAAAAAAGGTGATTCCTACCTTGAGAAGTTCACATTTTAGATGCAGGGGGGCAAGGTAATAAGGAGCTAATGGGAGCAAAAGTATGTGTGCTTTTTTCTGGCTGTGGGCGATGACAAAGGAATTAGGCTAAAGGCTGCACGTGAAAAGTGTGTTTTGAGGAAGAGAGAGGCCACTCCTACCTGACATTTGGGGAGGGTAAGCTGTGTGGCACATTTAAACAGTTCCACCCAACTGAAAGCCACCAAGCTTGGATATGGCACCAACTCTTGGCAGAATACGTTGTGTCTTAATTTCTTGTCCTGCTGTCTGTACTTGCAGGTGATTGCCCAGCGTTTGATGCAGTCTAAGCAAACGATACCTCACTACTATCTCTCAGTCGATGTAGACATGGGAGAAATACTGGTGCTAAGAAAAGAGCTCAACCAGGTAACCTGCTGTGGTGGGAGAAGATTTGTGATGGCATTGTAGGTAGTCCCTAAAACAATATTGTGGCTTCCTATGTTGTAGGGGGCTGCAGCTCTGTAATGATTTAATGTTTCCTTGAGTTTTCCGTCTGTAGAAGTTTTAACATACCGTATTTTTCGCACCATAGGATGCAGTTTTCCCGTCTTAAAAACTAAGGGGGAAAGTCTGTGCGTCCTGTGGACGAATGCAGGGGGGGGGGCAGGCAGGAAAAGCCCCCAAGAGCCACACACAAGCTTCGCGCGGCTCTTGCGGGCTTTTCCCCAGGAGGGAGAAGGGACTGACGCGGTCAGTCAGTCGCTTCTTAATAATAATAATAATAATATCTTTATTGTCATTGCCCCCTTCGGGGACAACGAAATTACTTGACTGCTCCATAAAAACACTAATTAATCAATACAGTATAATACAGCAAGGGAGATTAGATGACTTTCAAAGTCCGGGCTTCCCATTCAGGGCCGAGATCGCTCTGGAGAAGAAGCTGTTCTTAAGACGGCTCTGCTCTTGTCTTCATTGTCCTGTATCTCCGTCCCGACGGCAAGAGCTCGAAGAGACAGTGACCAGGATGCGATGGATCTTTTACTATGTCCAGTGCCTTCCTATGGCACCTTGTGGCATAAATCTGCTCTAAGGTGGAGAGTGGGCAGCCAACAATGCTCTCTGCTGCCTTAACAACCCTGCACAACCCCATCCTGTCCTGGGTAGTACAGCTTCCGTACCACACACATAAGCCATAAGTGAGCACGCTCTCAATGGCACAGTGATAGAAGGCAAGCAGCAGTTTCCTCCTCTAGAAAAGCCTTGCGCGCCTCTCCAGTCGCAGGAGGCTGAGCAAGGCTAAAGAGGAAGCCAGGGCAGCGAGCGCGATCCATCCCCTCGCTGCCCGGGCTTCCTCTTTAGCCTTGCGTGCCTCTCCAGTTGCGGGAGGCTGAGCAAGGCTAAAGAAGCCAACTTTTAAAAAATCTCTCTATCTCTACCTCTTTTTCTTTTTTCGTCCTTTCTCCACCCCCTTCTTTTCCTCTGGATCAGTGTTTTTATCTAGATTAACGTTTTAGTTTGGAGGGGGGGATATTATAAAAAAGGAAACTTTGCAGCTTTTATTTTAGTATACAATAAAAACAGATTAAACAAAACACAAAAGAAGGAAATAGCACAGAAGAAGAAGAGAAAAGGGAAAGCCATTTACCAGAGGTAGATCTTAACCCTTGCCTCACCTGGGAGCTTCTCTGGGCAGGAATTCCCTCGGCTTAAGTGGGGTGGGGGGAGAGTGGCAGGTGGCGGGTTACCTACCTAGACACTGAAGCCACATGTCTCTCCAATGAAAATTGGGAGTGGGCATTGTGTGAAGTGGCTGTGGATCTCCTGCCGCAGACGTGTAGGACTGTATAGAGTTGGGAGGGCCACCCGAGGGTCATCTAGCCCAGCCCCCTCACAATGTAGGAATTACAGCTAAAGAACGCCAAGCAGATGGTCCCCCAACTGCTGCTTAAAAGCCTCCAGTGGTGGAGATCCCCAACACCTTCCAAGGTCATAGAATTGCAGGGTTGGAAGGGAACCCCAGGAGTCATCTAGTCCAGCCCCGGTGGACAGCGGGCACGATCCATCCCATTGTGCAAGGCTAAAGATGCTGCTCAAGGCTAAAGAGGAAGCCAAGGCAGTGAGCGGGATGGATCGCGCTCGCTGCCTTGTCTTCTTCTTTAGCTGCGCTGGAGAGGTTTAGCTCCTGGCTGGAGAGGTTGCGCGGCTATGGATCCCGCTCGCTGTCTTGGCTTCTTTGCTCTTTGGGGCTGGGGGGGGGGGACCCAGGCTTCCCCTGCAGCCCCGAGAAGCTCTGGGAGAAGCGGACAGGCTGCACGCAGCCTGTCCCTTGCTCTTTGGGGCTGTGGGGGGGAATAATTTTTTTCCCCTTGATTTCCCCCTCTAAAAACTAGGTGCGTCCTGTGGTCCGGTGCGTCCAATAGAGCGAAAAATACGGTAATACAAAACAGCCTACCATCCATGGATATTCCAGCAGTGTACGCATTTACATGCATTTCTGGTTTCCCACATTGTATTCCCAGTCAAGACCACAGAATATGTAACAAAAGATTGTAAACTATAAGGGAAAGACTATATCAGAGCTAGTTCTGTGCGTTGTTTTATTCTCTACGTTATTAGAAGTGAAATGAGAGAAAGTTGCACAATGCTCGGGGAAATAAACCTTCTTATTCAATTGGAATAAAAATCTTTCATTCTGAGACTTAGGCTTAGGAGAAGTATGATGTGTGTTGTTGGTAAACTGGAGGAAGAGGGGAAACCACTCAAGTTGTATGCTCTGGGTTTTTCAGCCTGATTGACCTGTCTGCATTAGACAGACAGCCTGCTCTTGCTTGCATTGCCTTCTGTATACAGTGGTACCTCGGGTTACAGACTCCACTAAGCCAGAAATAGTGCTTCAGGTTGAGAACTTTGCTTCAGGATGAGAACAGAAATTTTGTTCTGGCAGTGCGGCAGCAGCGGGAGGACCCATTAGCTAAAGTGGAGCTTCAAGTTAAGAACAGTTTCAGGTTAAGAACGGACCTCCGGAACGAATTAAGTTCTTAACCCGAGGTACCACTGTACTTAGGTTCACTGACTCCTTGTGTAACAGCTGGCCTTGAATAGCTGCTTTCCACAATCATTGTAATTATGTGGAATACATGGTTGCATAAATTCATACTTTTTCAGCCTTCTAAGGTGACCCTGGCAGATGAACAGTTTTGCAGATATGTCCATTCTGTCTCTCTTTTTTTTGCAGGAGATGCCGCAGAACACTAAGCTTTCTGTCAATGACTTCATAATTAAGGCTTCAGCTCTGGCTTGCATGAAAGTGCCTGAAGCAAATTCCTCTTGGTTGGACACAGTCATTAGACAGTAAGTGTACAGTCTTTAAGTTAGCAAGTAAATTTCATAATTGTTGGCCCCATCGTAACTGCATGCTGGAACTGTGTTGCAGCAGTAGAGAGGCAGCAGCTTGATGTCTTTTTGTGCAATTAAATTGAAGGGGGTCAGGGTGGGGGAGGTTTGCTTATGGTATAAGGCATCCAATAATGGATTGTGAAAGTGCCTTCCAATTTCTGTTCAAGTCTGAATTTCTTTTGAGTTGCTAGGTTCATACAGATGGACCCCCACCCCTTTTGTCTTCCAGGAATCATGTAGTCGATGTAAGCGTTGCAGTCAGTACTCCAGCAGGGCTTATAACCCCAATAGTATTTAATGCACACATAAAGGGATTGGCTTCCATTAACAAAGATGTTGTAACATTGGCAACCAAAGCTCGCGAAGGGAAGTTACAGCCACATGAATTTCAGGTAAGCTACATGGAGCAGGAGTGATTTCCAAAGGTGTGACTGTGCTCTGGATTTGCTTTCTGAGAGATGAGAAAAATGTTTTGTAGTGGTGATGGTTGTTTAGCAAACAGTTTCTCAGAGCCACCCTTTTATGTTCCACAGCTGACAGCATACCATACACAGTAGTTTGTCAAAGAATGCTAATGTATTTATTTCCTTTCAGGGAGGAACTTTTACAGTCTCAAATTTAGGAATGTATGGGATTAAGAATTTCTCTGCGATTATCAATCCACCACAGGCTTGTATTTTAGCAGTTGGTGCCTCTGAGAAAAGGCTGGTTCCAGCAGATAATGAGAAGGGGTAAGTTTTTTTTTTTAAGTACCTCTTTAAATAGGGTAGCACCCAAGGGAATTTGTGTGGCCTGGTTTACATGCATTGTTAAATCATTGTTTAAAATGAACTATGGTTTAACATGCACTTTGCTTCTCCCGTGCTCCTGGTCGTTCCATGGAGTAGAGGAAACCAACTTCTTGTGACATACGACTCCAGGCTCATGGTTTATTTCTCTCCTATCAAATCACAAGTGGCAGCCAAGTTTTCTTCTTAGCTTCACTGCTTGTGGTTTAGAGGAGACGAAGCACAAGCCTGGATTCACATCTCACAACAAGCTAGACCAGGCATAGGCAAACTCGGCCCTCCAGATGTTTTGGGACTACAACTCCCATGATCCCTAGCTAACAGGACCAGTGGTCAGGGATGATGGGAGTTGTAGTCCCAAAACTTCTGGAGGGCCGAGTTTACCTATGCCTGAGCTAGACCTAGCTTGTTTCTCCTAGGGCATGGTACACTCAGGTGCAAAGTGCATGTTAAACCCAGTTTATTTCAAATCATGGTTTAACTTTGTGTGCAAACCAGGCCAGTATATACCTGTAGCCAGGAAAAGTCCAGAATTTGTATAAAAGAAAAAACTAAAAATGGCTGGTCATGTTTATGCTAGTTATGTACAAGCTGTGTGCCCCCAAAGGCAGCCCCATTGTTACTGCTTTGTTCCTTGCTGATTTAATCCTTGATTACTGCATTTTGCTTTTATTCCTTTTTTTAAAAAACTTTTTTTTCCATTCCTATTGATGGGTTCATGGAGGAGGTTGAGCATTTGAAATGTGCTTTTTTCCCCACCCCAGATTTGACGTAACCAGCGTGATGTCTGTCACGCTTAGCTGTGACCACCGCGTTGTGGATGGAGCAGTTGGAGCCCAGTGGCTGGCCGAGTTCAAGAAGTTCCTTGAGAAGCCTGCCACCATGCTGCTATAATCCCTTGAGGCCACCAGGACTTTCTTAGGTCACATCACTTCATTCTAAAGAAGCTATTTATATATCTAGTGTTTAGACTTTTAAACAAATGTTCCCTTCTTTATTTTTTAAAAAAATCTTATCTAAATATATATATATGGTTGCTGGTAATTTTTATTACCAGTTGTACATATTAAAATGGTTTGCATAGGCTTTCTGGAGCCTGGTTCGGTTATACTGTATTTTATACAGGGAAATGAATTTGCAAACTTTCCCCCCTCCTAAATAGCCCAAAGTGATTGAAATCATGTGGAGGAGCTCGTGCTTCTGATCAAGGGAACACAGGCCCACCCAGCAACCTGATGACTCATTCTGTGTTCCCAAAAACAGAGGAACCAAGATTGTAAAAGCAAACAAAAACAAAAACACAAGTTGAACTATCTGGTGGCTGAAATCCCCTTACCAGCAAAGACAGGGAGCTTGTGCATTCTGTCCTCCTGTCCTTTTAGATTAGCAGGCTGTCCTGAAGGATGGAAGAGAACAGGGTTCCCTAATGGTCCACATGCCAGCTTTTTTCTAGAGTTCAGCAGTTAGATTTTATAGCCACATGAATTCTTTGAGAGCACTTTAACTCAATAACTTCAATCAGACTCCCCACATTGTATGGCAACATTTCTTTTTTGAAGTAATGCTGACCATATATGTTCTTTCTAGTGCATTTTATGAACTTTTCATCTTTTTTGGCATTAAATCTTTCATTTTAAGAGACTGCTTCCCCCCCTCTAGTTTAGTGAATTCTGCTTCACTTGAAGCAGGAGTCATTGTTCAGGGAAATGATGAAATTCATTAGGGGCTGATAAACATAAACCAATGCGGTCTGAACAACTGGATGCTGACTTTAGGGTTCCCTCCCCCCCCCTTCCACATTGTTGACCCTAGGAAGCTCTGAGAGGTGTTGGGACTAGGTGCAATCCAAATGGGACTTGTCCTGTCATTGAAATGAATGTGAGGTCATGGTCTTCCTTCATATAAAAAAAGATTGTGCAGAAAAGATAACCATAGTGGCTTGTGACCACTGGCCATAATTCAGAGTAAATGAGTTTTGCTTAAGTTCCATTGAAATCAATGGGACAGGTTAGTTGTGACTTGAAGTCCTATTCATTTCAAAATAGGTGCGACTATATTTCTCTGAATTGGGGTCAGTTCTGTAACAACTTTGTCTTTTGCCAATCCCAGCCTTGGGGAAGTGGCAAAATTTATTTGGCCATGTAAATAGTGTAAAAATTTAAATTGCTTGGAATGGTTTTCTTTTGAAATTGTGCCCATTTGCATTTAAGATTGTGTCCACAAAGGGAAGGATTCTCTAGTGGAAAACACTCCCATGTTTGCTTTCCAAAGAAAATGTTAATTTACAAAGGAGGATCATGTAATAGCCAAGTGACGTGACCTGGAGAGCCAAGTATACCATTAATAAATATACCCAAAATTATTCTGTACGATATACATTGCATTAAGTATTGTAAAGTTGTGCTACCAAATCCACTAAAAGAATATTCAAGGTGGTTATACTGTGGAGATTAAATATTTTTCTGAGACCCATCTAATATTTTGTTAATTTAGTTGCTGTTTTGCATAAAATCTTTTACTGTTTTGGTAAGAAGCAAGTTGCACTTAAAACGTCCTAACTCAGTTCCCGTCTGGCCAGTTAGGCCAGTTGTGTTCCATTAAATGTTTAAAATTTATTAGATGGCTTTTCCTTGTCCCTGGTGCTTCATTGTTTGCTGAGGGTATTATGGTATGTGTAGAACTGACCCTACTGGTAAGAAGGATTGCTGAGCTTGCCTCACTATTTGAATCAGTGAAACATGACTCTTAACTTGTGCCACTCAGGGGCTGGGAGTCACAAGAGATTTGTCACTGTGCCTACTAACTCCGTAGCTGCTCTAAATGTTCTTCAGTTATTTTTAGAATTCAACTTAACTAAAGCCTTGGAACTTTTGTTTGTTTCATTGTAATAATCCAAAACTTGACTTTTTTATTTTACTGTTTTTTTTATAAGTAGGGAATGGCTAGCTTCTATTTTTCTTCTTTGATGCTACAGAATTAGGTTGAGTAGCTCAGTCTGTGGAGCATGAGACTTTTAATTCCAGGGTTGTGGGTTTGAGCCCCATGTTGGGTGAAAGATTCCTACATTGCAGGGAATTGGAATAAATGACCCTTGTGGCTCCTTCCAATTCTACAATTCCACAATTCTAGTATATTTGCTGCTGCTGTAGCTGAGAAAACAGTATGGACAGCCTTTGAGCCAGGAACTCCTGCTTCAGTTACAAAGAGTAATCTAACCTTTTAGATTCAAGAAATCCACAACTGGTAAGCTAAGTCCTGTTTCTTCCTGTCAGGACAACCACCATCAACCACATGGCCTTTAAATCTCCCGTCAACCACATGGCCTTTAAATAGTGCCAGGGAAAAACTTGTACTGTATTTAAGTTTGTACCCTTGAGCTGAGTTCTTGTGAATAGGTGTTGGGACACAGTTCAAACCCAGAATGTGTTATCTTTTATTGAGGGATCAATGAAAATGTAAACTTTACAAGTGCTTTTATAAGATTTTCATGTAGTTGTTGAGCCGTTATAGTTTGCACAATATAGTAGAAACTCCATGACTGATAAGAGAAACATTTAAAGTAAGCATTGGAACATTCTCCATTAGAGTTGAGTTTCAGTTCTGTACTTAGAAACATATCTTACCTCCAGTTAGCATTACTCAGCTCTGCATCTGTCCAAAGGGCAGCTGGGATGCCTGCTCTAATGATCCAATGTGTGAAATGCAGGCAAGCAGCCAGTAGACTTTAATATTACCCTATGCAAAGTGTTTGGAAGTGCTGAGTGGGCAGTATCCAACCCCCCAAGCCCACATGCCGTGTCAAATCTGCTAACATCACTTCTTTTCAGACACCGGCATTGTGATTAGTAAAACTCTTTTCTGGCTGTGAAATGCTGCTGTTGTTGCTTCTTCATTCACAGACTGTGGAAGATCCAAGTGTAATTTATACTTTGCAGGGCATTCAATCAATACATCATCCTAAAATCGAAAAAGAAGTTTCTTTGTAAATGAAGTACATGTGATTGCTACAGGTGAGGCGTGCCAGATGGACATAGGGCTGTCCGAAAGGAAGCCAGAGTTGAATGTAATTCATGACTAACTTACCTCAGAAACGCTTAGGTCACACTCAGAGACACAGTGTACCTCTGGCAATTCAACTTTCAGTTCAATCTTCAGAGGCTTCTCATTCATATCCTTTATGATGGTGACTTCATAGGCTGGGGTGCACAATTCCTCTGGTTGCTCTGTAGTGGAAATCTCTTCAATGAGGCATGTTTTAGAGGGCACTGTGTTCTCCATTAGCAAAGTAAGGTCACTGCTATCTTCCTTTGTTATGATGTTTCTCAGTTGGTCAAGTGTCACTTCTTTCCAAGGTGATTTTTAGACATGGGAATTTTAAAAATACTTTAATGGATCACATTGCTATAGAAGTATCAGTTATATGTTCTACAGTGGGGGGGGGGGGAAGTATTTGATCCCCTGCTAAATTTGCCCGTTTGCCCTCTGACAAAGAAGTGACCAGTCCATAATTTTAATGGTAGGTTTATTCTAGCTGTGAGAGACAGAATAACAACAGGAAAACCCCCAGAAACCCAGAAGACAAAAGTCAAAGATTGATGTGCATTATAATGTGTGAAATAAGTATCTGATCCTCTATCAACCAGCCAGATGTCAGGCTACCTGGTATCTTCACTGTATGTAACAAGCTGAGATTAGAAGCACCTGCTGTAAGGGAAAAGTCTTGCCTGTAATCCCACCTCATTACAGTAAATGTACAAATCACTGGTCAACAGAAGCAATCAATCCAACAGATTCCAAAGTAGCCACCATGACCAAGATGAAAGAGCTGTCCAAGTTTGTATAAATACTTACATAAAAACTCAGATTTAAGGGGAAGGTTCCATTTAGTGTACTCAAAAGTTTTTTAATCTCTTCATTTTACAAACTGATAAAATATTTCAGGTCCTACTGTTCATCTTAAATTCATAAAACAAGAATATACTGAGGCATGCTGAAACCAAGCACGCTTCTGCAAGTGCCTTTTAATGTGGGTTATAACTTGCATCCTAAAGAGTGGTGTGAGAAGTTTCATCATACCCCATCATGTTTCACTCCTGGTAATGACTTGGGAGGGTACTTACCTTTCTGCAAGGTCTTCTGGGACAAAGCCACTGGTGCTTGCTCTCTCCTTAAGCTCTGTCTCATCCTTGCCAGGCTTCCCTTCAGTTTAAATTTTGTAATAGTATAGGAGTTTGACAGAATGATGTTGTATTGCTCCTCAATATACTTAAGTGATAGACGTATCAATTGGTCCTTCATTGATGGGTCATCCTTTCCCTTCTCAATAACAGATTGGTTGTATGCAATATCAAGGACAGTATAAAACTCTAGAAGAAAAAAAAGTCTAATTATTGTTTTATCATATACATTATATTGTAGAGGACAATGGGGGCAAAGCCAAACATGAAAGTTGTAAACTTGTGTTGTTTTTTTAAAAAATCAGTTGTCAAATTATGAGATTACACTTAATTTTGCTCTTTTGGCTGTTATTTTCCTACTCTTTCAGCTAAGGCTTATTGGTTTATAATGTACATTTCTGTCATCTTCACCCCACCCATTTGGAGAGAGAAAATGGGCTGGGATATAAGGGGCTAAAATAGACCTACAGAAATGAGTACTGTGCTACACAGCAAGCTAAACCTTCTGCAAGGAGCAAAGCTGACCTGATTTCTCAGATACCTCCTCCATTTTGCCAGCCCTCAATGGCACTGGGTCAGATGGCGATTGGGGTGCTGGAACCTGATTCCACCTGCAGAGGTTAACGAACAATGATTTTTCAGTAGGCTCCTGGAAAAAGAATCCAAAACCAGTTAATAAAGGAGGATGGTTTATTACTACATCATGCAGGCATGAACTAGAATAGGAACACGGTCAAACTCTGGTTTGCATTCTCTGGTATTTCTGGTCTTGGATACAGTCCAGCGTTTTTGGATTAACTGAAAAGATAATTGCACCTGTTACCTTCCATCCATCTTGTTTTCTATTCTAAATTAATAAGAAATAAATAGTTAGGGAGAAGCAATAGAATAAATATAGAATGCAAATCAAGTGCACACATGCCTATTGTATCTGCCTGACTAGTTGAGTAAAGGATTGGTGAAAATGAAGGCACATTTTGATGTCTGAGCTTCCTTCTTGCTGTGCAGGTATCTTGCAACATACCAAGATGCAGGTCTTCAGGCACATGTATGGTTCTGCAGGAGCATAATGTTGCTTTGCGTCTTTGAGTTGCTGCTGCATGAACTGGTGGTAACTTTCAGGATTGCTCTCAGCCATGTCATCAAGCATCATCCAGAGTTGGTTCGCTTTTGCCAGCATATCCTCAGAGCTACGAAGAGCCTCCATGATTGTCTCTTCAACAGTGGGCGGCTGCAGCAACACTATAAGAGATTTGGAGAAGACTGTGGGAAGAGAAGTGTGAAGTTCAGCAGGTGCTTCCAGGGCCTTACTGTGCTCTTTGGCGGTAAAATCTATACGGGGATAAATTATTCACTGTGGCTGTCCTTGGAGAGTTCCTAAAACTCCCTCTTTCAACACTAGCCTCCATTCCTTCTCTAAAAAACTGGGAAAATCAATGAGCTAGTCCTACAGGACTTGCCTTGCTAGTTTGTGTGGTGGCAGGATCTCTTACTCCAACACAGGGCTCTCCAGAGATTTGGGGCTACAGGAAGGCTGGGGCAGATGGGATTTGCAATCGAAGGCATCGGGAGGACACTAACTTGGGGAAGCTATACTTTAAAATAGTTGCTTGGCAGGCATGAATGCAACAGGTGCAGCTTTTCCAAACCAATGTGATTAACAAAGCTGCGTCTATTTAAAGAAGATGTGATAAAGTAGCTAAAAAGGGAAGTCCCAAGTTTAGATATTCTACGCTACTCACTTCCTAAGACTGCAATCCTATCCAAACATGCCTTGGAATCAAACCCCATCGAATAGTAGAACAACATCTGGGTAAACATTCATGGGATTGTTCTGTAAATGGCTTTAAGCAAACCTGTTCTCTCTCTACACCCCCTGTCATAAGAGGTAATTATACTGGCCTACTTTGTAGGGCTGTTTGTTTTATTTTATATATATATACCTTTGCAGGGCAAGTTCCAAAATGTAAAGCAATAAAAACTCAGTAGTAAAATCTGCAAAGCTAAAAACTGCACCCAAAACCATATCATTAAATATAAGAGTGACTGAGATAGTACCCATGAGGCCTCAATCCAGTATACACCTACCAAATTCAATCTGACTTGCTTCTGAATAGACATGCCCAGTATTGAAACTTCGAAAAGCAGTATGAAAAGGCTAAGACTTCCACTTACCCTGAGAAATAAATACTACAGAAGACAACGGAGCATTTTCCTGAGCAGACATGCAAAGGATTGCTCTCATAAGGCTGCAATCCTATATCCAACGACCTGAAAATTCAATTTAAATCGGGCACTGACTTCACAGTACGTAGAACATACACAGGATTGGGCTATAACTATTGTTGGGTGCCTGTTTCAAGTGCCAAACACGCACTTGTTTCCCCGCTACCCAGGAGAAAAACGGGCGAGCGGCGCTGATTCGTGGCCGTGACTACTCAAGAGTAAATCCCGCTGACTTAAACGGGGCTTACTTGCAAGTCGAAAAATGGGAGGGGAAGGCATCTTAAAAAAAAGGGATGCCAGAGAAAATATCAATAACTACAAGAGAGCTAATAATGTACAAATCATTTTGGGTGTTGCGTTTTTTTTGCGCTGAGGCCACGAGCAACCTACCTAGCCGGTGCGCGCGCGCCCGCGGAGACCCAAGCCGTCTCCCTAGCAACCGCCGGAAGGAGAAAGTGGCCTCCGCCGGAAGCGGAAGCGAGGCGTTCTCCCTCTCTTCCCCCGGCTCTTCTCGCCCCACGCCTTCCGGGTTCCGAGGCCTGACGAATCATCCGCTCGGGAGTCTGCCGCTTGCGTGGTCGAGGTCCCCGGAAGGAAGCGGGGGGGGGGGGAGGGAAGGAATAAATAAGCGGTTTCCTTAGGAGGGAAAGCTCGGGACACGGGTGGTGAAGGAACGTGTGAATGGGTGCTCGGCTGTGACTCGTGGGCTGGCAAGGCTCGCTAACTAGGTGAGGGGGATGCTTGCTCTATTCTATTCCTGTCCAGGTCTCGCGGGGCGGGGGGGGGGGACATTCGTGGCTCCCTCCCTCCCTCCGCTCATCCTATTTTGTCCTCACAACAACCCCGTGAAGTAGGCCAGCTTCGGACACGATGCCTGGCCCAGTATGAGCTTCGTGCTGCCTGAGCGGGAATTTGAACCCGGGCCTGTTGAATGACGCCTGGGCTGGGCGGCGCGCCGTGCCCGCCTTGCAAGCGCCCCTTAGCAAAGCTGGGGAAGCAGCGTCGACTTGGAAGAAAATCGCAGCAGCTTCGCCCTGCACGACCTCAGGATCAGATCCTTCTTTGGGCTAGTTAGTTGATCTGTAATAATCATTAATCTGAAATAATCATGGCCCATTTCTTTTGTTGTTGCAAATCATGGGTGAAAAATCTCTACAGCTGTTAAGAAACTTGGGTGCTGTTTTCGGCATGGGTTGGGGAACTGGCGGGGCCTCCAAAACTTCTTAATATTCATAAGAACATAAGGGGATCCTGTTCACATAGTGAGTGACCAACCCAATGGGCCTTGGGAAGCCCGAAAGCAGTATATAGCCGTAAAAGCACTTGTCTCACTTGTGAATCCTAGCAGCTGCTATTCATATACACTATATATTCATCATGACTGGTAGGCATTATTTGTATTTTGATGCTTCATAAATTTGTCCAGTTCCTCTTTATCCAAGTTGATGGCCATAGTGTCTCTCGAGGCAGTAAATTTCCTGGTTTAATTATGTGCTGTGTATAAAACTATTCTGTCCTGAATAGTCTTATTATTCAGCTTGAGCAGCGGTCAAGGATAATGGGAGCTGTTCTTTCTGCATTTCTGATTTATGGGTATGATTCTAGAATTGGGTAAATGATTTGCACCAAGTTGTCTGGAATACTCAGGAGCATTTCAGAGGACAGAAGTGCTCCCAAAGCATGTGAGGAGAATGGTCAACCCCAGTGGTCCCTTGCTAAAAAAAAGTCATGCAGTGGATTCAAAGAACCAGCTTCATAACCCTTGCTCTTATTTGCATTTTGTTATCAAATGCACAATTTATTCTAAATATATAGCCACCCTTCTCTCCACCCCCTACCTCCAAACTGCTAGCTGTTGCGTTTGACACAAGTAGGTTCCTGGGAGCTTGAGAATTTACATTGGTATAAGGAGTTCCTAGGGAAGAGAAATATGTCTTTATTTGGAATCTGCTGGATTGATTGCTTCTGTCAACAGGTGTCTTTTGTACAGGTACTGTAACAAGCTGGGATTACAGGCAAGACCTCTCCCTTACAGCAGGTTCTTCTAATATCAGTTCATTATATACAGTGAAGATACCAGGCAGCCTGACATCTGACTGGTCGATAGGGGATCAAATACTTATTTCACTCTCTGACTTTTGTCTTCTGGGGGGGGGGGTTTCCTGTTGTTATTCTGTCTCCCACAGCTACACTAAACATACTATTAAAATTATGAACTGGTCATTTCTTCGTCAGAGGGCAAACGGGCAAATTAAGCAGGGGATCAAATACTTTCCCCCCTCACTGTAAATGCATGGATTTTATGTGGGTGAAATGTAGCCTCTTGTACAAAATTGACAGTCACATTCATTGCTTTGCTCATCTCTGCCTCTGACCTGGTCCATGACTGGGATGAGGCCCACAGAAGGTTCTGCATAAGGGAAAAAAGCCTCCCTGCATTCACTCTTAACTGCATCAGCAGTTACCATGTCTGTGATAAGGCTCTGTTATAAACAGCCATTGAGGAGGTTTTCAGAGTTTTGAGAAGGTATATACTTGTTGTTTATTGCTTATACTGTGTTTTATTTATTGTCTGCTTTTAAGGTTAAAGGATGTCCCGTGTCCCCTTGGGGAAAGTCCTCCTGCGAAATGTCATCCGTCACACTGATGCACATAACAAGGTATTGAGAAGTGTGTTTTGTAGCCCAAAACATCTCTTGGGATGTAGGATATAGCCTAGCTCCATCTTTGAGGGTAGAGGAAGTGCTGGTGTCAGATTCCCCTTCCATTTCACTGCAGCAGCTTCTGTGGCCCTGGTCCAACTGATGTTAGAGCTCCAACTCTCAGTAGGATCCATGGCCTTCAGAAAGGATATGTAGGCTTCGCAGTCCCTGAAGTGCCACTAAAAACAGCAATTAAACTATGCTAGCCCTAGAAACTGTGCTAGTCCTGTGAGACCTGTGGGTACAGGGCAGTATAGAAATTTAAATAACAACAGCAGACACAGCTTTATCTCATTTTTCCCTCCGGGTATTTCTGGGGGGGGGGGAGGGGACAGAAAAAGCTGGCATTGGGGTACAAGACTGCTCCTCTGACCTGACAATAAGAGCCTTGTGGGGTGTGTGTGCATTGCTGGTAGTTCCTCCTTCTACCAATGGGGTCATTCCTGTAGAAATGCAGCAATTTGGTGGGTACTTTCTTAAACTGATATATTTCTTTATGTACCTCAGATTCAAGAAGAGTCGGAAATGTGGAAAATTCGGGAAATGGAAAAGCAGAACAAAGACATTCAGTGGGGCAAGGAAAAGAGACTGCTTCCTGATTGTTCCAGGTGGGACTTGCATGTGTCAACAAGTGACGTTTCTGCTTTGCAGTGTTGCCAGTGCTGCATCTGTTGCAGCAATCCTTCACCACCACCAACTACTTTGTGACTCCTTACCCTGATCAGAAGTCTGTGCTTGTTTCAGTCAAGGTTTGGGAGTCAGGAGAAGCTTATCTGCACCCTCCCCTTCCTGTCCCCCACCAACTGATGCTATGGCAGGAAGGGAAAGGTCCGGCAGCCTGACCTTAGCAGAACCATAGAGAAGGGAGGGACGGGGCTTCTCTTTATAAGCAGGAATGGGATATTTCTGCCCCCTTTCAGATTGTTGTTGGATTACCGTTTCTATTGTCCCTGTCCATTGGCCTGGCTGCCTGGGACTGGTGGGAGATGGACTCTTAACAACATCTGGAGAGCTACAGGTTCCCCATCTGTGCTTGAAGGAGTTAGTGCCAAGGAAGGACAGCAGGGAAGTTCTATCTTAGCATAAATTGGCCAGTTTTAGAATCAGAGTATTGTAGAGTTGGAAGGGACTCTGAGGATCATCTAATTCAACCCCCTGGAATGAAGAGCAGCTGTCCCATACAGGGATCGAACCTGCAACCTTGGCGTTATCAGACCACACTCTAACCAACTGAGCTATCTTGCCAAGGAATATCGTTTATGAACTTCATATTAGGGAGAAAGTGTACCATCTTTCTGTCAAAAATTCTACTCATATTGATCCAGAGCAGATTCTAATGTATAGTTAGCAGAGTAAAAACTTAAAACATGTTGCAGGATTCCCCCCAAAATAGACCAGAAGCAATTACCGTATTTTTTGCTCTATAAGACACACTTTTCCCCTCCTAAAAAGTAAGGGGAAATGTGTGTGCGTCTTATGGAGTCAATGCAGGCTGTGTTGCTTTCGCTGAAGCCAGGAGAGCAAGAGGGATTGGTGCGCACTGATCCCTCTTGCTCTCCTCACTTCGCTGGAGAGGTGCTGCGCAGCTTTCCCTCTGTGCGCAGTGCCCCTTCAGTGAAGCGGGAGGAGAAATTGAAGGGGCTCTGCTTCTCCTGCCGCTTCGCTGAAGGGGCACTGCACAGAGAGGGAGAGCTGCGCAGCGCCCCTTCAGCAAAGCGGGAGGAGAAACGGAGCCCCTTCCGTTTCTCCTCCTGTTTTGCTGGAGAGGGGCTGAGCAGAGAGGGAGATAATATTTTTTTTCTTGTTCTCCTCTAAAACTAGGTGTGTCTTATGGAGCGAAAAATACGGTAATATTTCATCCAGCAGAGCTTTACTGCTACTGAAGGCAAATGAGCATAATGGTCAAAAATCCAATACATTCAGGATTGGCACCGTCCATAAGAAATTGAGTTGCAACTTAACTTAAACTTACAAAACATAATAAGATGAAAACCTTAACACTAAGCATGCTATATACAGAACACCACACCAGAAGGAAAGAGAGATAGAAAGTGAATCCCAGGTGCCTTCTGGCCTTATTATTATAGTCGGCATGACCTTTACATAAAGAGATAACAGAACCAGTTTAAGCCAGCTTCTCAGCTCTGAAGGAATAATCCAAATATTATGAACCTTCTGCTTGTTTCTAGGCAGAATAGAAATTTATTTGCCAGCTAGAACTTCTAGCTTGCACCAGTTTGTATCACACAGAGAAGCTTCCAGACCCCTCTTGAATTAATTAGAATAGGAAAGATCTCTACACGTCAGATCAATACTTTCTGTACCAAGAAATGCAAACTGACACTTTCTTTACTACAGCACTGTCTCCAGGAAACTTAGCACTAGTGGGACATTTCTCTCTATGCACCCTGACAAACCCAAACCCAGCTAAGTGTTTATAGGGCAACCAGGCTAAGAAACTGAGGGGCATACCATAGAATGCATGATTTGCATGCAGGTTGTCTCTGGTTCAATCCCTGGCATCACCAGGTAGTGCTGGAAAAAAGTCCCCTGCCTGAAACCTTAGAGAACTGCTCCCAGTCAAAGTAGACAATACTGAATTAGATGGACCAATGGGGTGAACTTGGTATCCCATATTGTTTGGGGAGCTCCTTCTGAATGACCTTCTTTTTAGTCTCTTTTCATGGCTTGCCTTTTTACCTTTCGAAATGTACAAAGCCTGCTGTCTTTTGTCTGCAGCAGCCGGATGCGTAGTGATGGGTTTGATGAAGAGACCCAGCAGGCCAATTGGAAGGCGAGGAACTTGGCTCCTGTGTCAGTAGAGATGGAAGAGGACCTCCGGCATGCCCGCTACTGGAACAAGAAGCTCTACGAATGTGAAGCAAACATGCCAGACAGGTCTGAATGTTTACCGATGTCGTTGATAAGAAGTCCATTCGTGCATGTGGTGCTTTCCCAAGAAAAAAATGAGTTCAGGTGACAGACCTCTGCCCCCAAGGTATTTTGCTTTCTAGATTTTGTTTGGCAGGGGTGAGGCAAGGTTATGAGAGAGGACATATTTTAGGCCTTCCGCCAATTGGGGGAATCCTAAAGTTGGAGGAATATCTTACAGTGACAATTTCTCTTCTCTTTTGAATCTGCAAAGCACATTTGTAGATTGAGGTACTGCAGCACTAAAGGGTACAGTTCCCTCCATCCCATGGCCTGCAGCCAGAAGTGGTGCAGTCCAACAAAGGTTGCATCATGTGATTTTTGCTGCCTGTGTCGCTTTGCTCTGTGGTTGCATAGCTTGTATGTTTGTGAACCTCTTAAGACAGCATGGTGTTCTCTTGCAGGTGGGGCCACAGTGGCTACAAAGAGCTGTATCCAGAAGAATTCGATACAGACAGGTAAAGCCAATAAGGTTGCTTGTAAAAAGGGTGGGGGTGGGAAAGTATGTTTGACCTTTTTAGACCTTCACACTAATCTCTGGCTCAATGTTGCCTGTACAAACCTCAAATGCACATGCTCCTTCCTTTCCTCTAGCACAGGAGTGAGGATTTCAGAAATCTATGCTTCTAAGTCCGTGACCAGAATGTGGAGGAGTATCAGAAAGCATGGTTGAAATTTAATGACTATTTAGTTAAATACGTTAAGTTAAATTAATTGGAAATAGCTTGCAAGTACTAGATCGGCCTAGGATTTTATATAATCCTAGTGATGAATTAATATGTTTAATTCTGAATAGAAAAAAATAGAATGATGTTAAATGATTAAGTTTATAAGAACTATGATTTGGAAAACCGTTAAATGGATATGTAGTGAAACCCAACCAAGGGGAAGCGAGGAAGTCACTTACCAATATTAATAAGTGTAATCTTAATAAGGTTATGATTTATGTTTGTTTGTTTGTTTATAATTTTGTGAAAATTAATTAAAAAAATTGAAGAAGAAATCTCTGCTTCTAAACTAAGCTGAACTCACATTACAGCCAAACTTGAGAAAACTCTGGTTAAAGTCTGGTTTGTTCACACAAGCCAGGATGAAACCGTAGTATGTGTTTGGAGCTTGTTCTCCCAAGTTTGGATATAACAAGGAACTCTGGTTAGTTTAAACCGGTGGTGGTGGGGAACCTGTGTTGTTTGACTCCAATTTCCATAATCCCTGACAAATCAGCTCTGCAGACTGGGGCTGATGGGAGCTGGAGTCTTCTTCCCACTTTAAAAGCAGATGCAGATTGACTTATGGCTGTTCTAGAGAAGGAGACATGGTGTGCGCATGAGCCTTGTGGACATGTTTTATTTTTTGTATAACTTTTCATTTTAAATAAAATGCAAAAACTAAACTGTGTCCAAACTGAGATGGTTCCTTATTTCCATTACAAAACAAGTAAGGTGTGTATTTTCAGTGTTATACCTCTTATTCCAGGTGAAATTTAGCTCCTGCAGAAATCTGTCTTAAACGCATGGACTTCTGTATCCCAGACTGTGTTCTATGCATGGGTAACCATACCCCACAGCACACAGCCCTTGTGGAAGGTTGACCAAGGATGAAAACGCATCCTTAGAGCGAAAAAGATTAAGCCACCTCCACTTTAGAACATTGCTGATTATTCTTCAATATTATGCCTTAAACTTTTGTTCTCTTGGCTGTGTTGCAGTGACCGAGAGCAAGATGAACAAAACTCTGTGAACGGAAAAAGGAAGTCTCAGCCCAGCACGCAGTCTTCCCTCGAGTTGCCCAAAAGGAAAAAAGCCAAAAAGTCGCACAAGAAGAAGCGGAAAAAGAAATCTCATAAGAAGCGGAAGAAGAAGAAACAGGAGCAGCCAAGTGCCGCGGCAGATTCTTCCCAGGAGTCTGACTCCTCGGAGAGAGGCGCCGGCAAGAGAAAGCGGAAGCGTCACAAAAAGGCCAAGAAGAGCTCTGCAAAGGCAGCCCCTTCTTCTTCCTCAGGGAAAGACAGTGACTCCAGCAAGGCCAGCAGCTGCCCCTCCAGCAGTTCTGAGGACAGTGAGCCAGATAAAAAGCAGGAGAAGCAGCCAAAGAAAAAGAGACGGAAACGCCACGTGTCTCTCTCAGAACGGGGTGCTGAAAGGGTGCAGGAGAAGCGCAGTAAGAGGAAGAACTGGAAAGTGGCTGCTGATGAGAATTCAGAGGACAGTTCTGATGAGGACTAGGGGAAAGGGACCAACACAGGGCAGGGCAGGGCAGGGGCACTGACGTTCTGGGAGATTGGTCTCCAAGTGCTGCCCCCTTGGAACAAATGTAGTCTGGGCAACAGCTCTGTGATCCAGACGCCGCAAACCTCAGTTACTTGCAGGGGGCTTCTTTCAGTTTCATGTAGGTCAGAAACTGGTCAGGAAATGAGAAGCTCCCAGCCCAAGGCTCATTTGTCCAGCCCAGGTTCAAACTTGAGTTTGTGACAATACAGAAACTTAACTCACAAAAGAGCTACTATTGGAGTCTGCATAGAACGGAACTGACCTTGGGTCCCCTTTGCCTTTTTTGAAAACCTAAAATCTATTTTTGATGGCCAATACCTAACATTGAATTGCAATAAACAATGAAGGAGATCAGACGCTCCTCAGGTTGCCAGGCTGTGTTTTGCATGTACCCATCTTATTTGCAGGGTTGATCAGATGGTGGCATACAAGATGTGCCATCAGGTCCAAAGGGCCAAGTGGAGACCAGCACAGGGCATGTGGCCGTCCTAGGTTCAAATAGGATCTACTGGGGTTCAGAGACAACTATCCAAACAACAAGCCACGGTAGATTTAAAGTAAGCCGCCTCCGCTAGCTGTTTTTTGGTCAAATGGAGGTTATAAGCATCCCACCCCCTGCAAGAGTACGCTTAATGCCATATCCTATTCCTTCTGGTAAACTGGTTGTCAGCTTTGCTGGTGTGTCCTTTGGTTTTGCCAGCTCTTGCTGGAAAAAAATATATCTCGCTACCAGTCAGGGAATGACAGAGCAGATGGAGAGAGTGTTCCTGTTCTTACTTAACAAGAGAAGTGGTTTCTCAGGTTGATGGGAGACCAGCAGCATCTGAAGGGTCAGAGATGTCCCATCCATGGTGTAACTATGGTGTAACGGCTTGGCTTTCATGTAACTCCCTCCTCCAGATCCACATGCCTTCTATGATTGATAGGAGGCAGCAGAAGACTTTCAGTAGTTTGCTGGAAGGCTGGCTTAGCTCATTCTACAGCTTAGGGGCTGCAAAGATGCACACTGGAGAAAGAACTTGGCAGTAGTTACCTCTGCCCTGCAGCTTATGCTGTCAAGAGGTAGAGTCTACACCATAAACCAAACATTGGTTCCCTCTTACCCAGACCCTGTAAGGAGGACTGGGGCTATACATTAGTGGCTTCTTTGCATCCTCACCAATTTCCCACTGAAATTCCCACCATGCCTCTGGGGAAACCATGACTGTTACAGTACCTATAAAACTACTAAGTTTGTAGTGTAGGTAATTCATCATTCCCTCCTTTTTCTTAAAGTGGGCCATTGTAAACTCAAGGCACACAGGATTAACAGGCTGGTTAGAGTAAAGGGTTTTGGACCTTTCCCCTCTTTCCTTATCCTTAATGGTCACATCTTATCTTCTCACAGTAACATCCTGCTGGAACTCTTTTATAAGTCTCTTGATCTTTCTCCCTCCGCCCGGCCTCCCTGCACAAATACAATTGCCTGCCATCACCCCATATCTGGGGAATAGTGAACAGAATGTCACATGGTTCTGTCCTATGTTGTGGTACCAGTGCACAGAGCTTATTTTTTGAAAGTAGTTCTAATATGTTGCTATAAAAAGCAAAGCAACTCAAGTTATTTTGACAAAACAACTTTTTTAATATGTGCAAGGTATCAGCATGAATAAATTCAGAGTGTCTGCAATAACAAACGATGTTGGTTTCACCCCTCAGCAGTCAAAATGAAGAGTCTTTATAATAGCATTTAAGATTTTATACACCATTGTAAACATGCACTGATGATTTTGGAGGTGGGGGAGATGAGACACTCTTAGATCGGAAAGGCATTGTGAAAGGGGTGGGCTTCAAAAATAAATCTGAAGAACAGCAACAGCACACTCACTATAAATGGAATTCCAACTTCTGGAGGGAGGATGGCAGAGTGAAGGATCTATACCTGTTACTGGCCTTTAAGTGCAAGCCAGGAAACCCTATGTTACATTTGCAGAACTTGCAGTCAGCACTCTGGCACAGATCTAGAAAGCTCTGTTTGAAAGCAGCTCTTTCCTCAAATGGCAGAACATGTGTTTTGCAGGGATAAAATATGCTGACTAGGTTCACAGGTGTTCATTAGAAGATAGTAATTTATTAAGAAATGTGCGATACAAATTGGCATGCTCATAGAATGGAACTGAAGCAGTATAAACTCCAAAAAAGAGAATGGGATTGCTGAATGGATTTTGACTGCAATCATTATCAGCAGCAGTAACTACTGTACAAATTAGTTTTGAGTTATAAAGCAACTTTCTGTTCTCTTATCAAATGGAGGAAGAAAGGGTACACAAGAGAGCCTATGTGAGCTATAAGATCCCTCAAAGAGGCTAATAAATAGGGAAACAAAAGACAGCTCCTTCGGCAATGAGTTTGCAAATGCTCCCCTCTCCCCATTTTTTCCTAAGATTTCCTGAAAACACTTCTACCTTTGAGAGAGAATTTCAAGAGCATGCTATTTAGTGTGAGGGTACATGTTATCCCTATTATCCTGCATTGGGAAGAAAGCAAAGCAGTTAAGTTTTTGCTACAGAGTCAATTTGTTTAGACAAGTCTTGATTTATTAGCTTGAAAGGAGCAAAGATTTTGTTCTACGTGACCCAGTCTAATGCCACTTAGGCATGAACAGTCACGTACAAATGGCTGTTCAAGCATTGCTGCATTGAGGTAGAACAACTGACAGAGTAGGGGTCCAGTGAAAGACCTGGATCTTGTTAAGTCCGTTGACCAAAGAGGACCTCCACCATGCGGTAGTCAGTGGCCTCCTTTCTGTATTATCTGTGCAAAGCGATTGGTGATGGACAGGGTTGTGTCTATGAAGCGGTTGACGCAGTTGGCGAGGCAAGTTTCTGTTCTGGAGTCCAGCTTGGAACCTGGCTTGTCAACACATTTTTCCCAGCAGACCTCCATAAAGTTGTGAACCTGGAGTAGGGAGTGGCAGAGAGAGATGAGAATGGATACAAGTATTAACAGCACTCCCCATTAGGACCAGCCTCTTTCAATTCCACTCACAACTTTCAACATGGCAAGTTTCCACTGCCCTCTGCGAAGAGGCCCCATTTCCCTCTCCAGCTTGGTGTGCATGTAGCAGATATCCCTGCAGTCTTGTTGAGCTTTTGATGGCACAACATAGCTACAGGGGAGACTCACACCCTCAGAAAGTGAATCTGGCTGTTTGGGTGATGTGTGGCATAGGCCCTTGTCTTGCCCATCTAAAAAAACCCACATAGGTTTAGTGGGTAAAGTAAGTGAAACTTTAACACATATTCAAAAAACCAGGACATCTGAAACACCCCCAAATTTGAGAAATACATTCCAGGAGGAGTGATCTGTGTCTGAAAACCACATTTCCCACACAGACATCCATACAGCATGTACACATGTAGCTAGTAACACTGAGGACAACGACACCCATACCTCAAAGTTACAGAAATCACAGCAACCAAGGTTCAATGAGTCCCACACACCCCAATAATAATTATAATAACACATTGGTACCTTGGTACTTGAACGGCTTGGCTCCCAAATGCTGCAAACCTGGAAGTGAGTGTTCCGGTTTGGAAAACTTTTTCGGAAGCTGAACGTCTGAAGCAGCTTCCGTCGTTTCCGATTGAGTGTAGGAAGCTCCTGCAGCCAATTGGGAGCCGCGCCTTGGTTTTCGAACCATTTCAGGAGTCTAATGGATTAAGTTCGAGAACCAAGGTACCACTGTAATAATAATGGATGTGCATACTCTTCAAAGCTCTGTTTATCATTTCTCAAGTATGGGTCAGTGGTAAAGCTCATGCTATTTTCCAGTGGAAAAGAAGAGGTAAGGCCCTGGAGAGCTGCTGCCAATCTGAGTGGACAATACAGGGCTAGATAGACAAATAGTCTAACTTGGTATAATATAGCTTCCTACATTCTTGGGAACTTTTGGTGTGAGAAACAGATCTCTGGTGGAGAAGCCTGGAACTGGCCATTTAGAAGCATCTGGGCATTTAAAAAAACCACTCCTCCATTTCTCACAGCAGAGCTGAAGCGAAGCTGTAGAAGATCAATCCCCACCCCAAACACACATCTGGGAGGAATTGTCTTTGACCTTGCCACAGTGGTGCAGCATGAGGCTATGTGCCAACAGCCCAATCCTATGCCTATCTACTCAGAAGCTAATCCCACTGAATTTAATGATGCTTCCCAATCTCGCATGCCTCAGAAGTAGTATTTGTGAGAAGGGGTTGCAATTCTAGCAGACCCCCCCCCCCATGAGAAAGTGCCATGTCCAGCTTCTTGGGGTGACTGTCAGGGCAAAATAGACAATCAAAGGTCCTAAATGAATTCTGGGGAGGAGGTTTAAGGTATAAGAAGGGGCAGAAAGCTGGCAGGTGCAGCCATTTCAGAAAGCCCAGCCACCTGAAAAGCCTTCTAGGCAGAACAATACTGTAAAGTAAACTATAGCTCAGGTTTCTTAACAGGAGGGTGGATCCAGTCTGGATTCTCTTAATGGAAGCAGGTATAGTAAATAAGTGACGTTTGGAGAACAGGCATGGTGAACCTCAAGACTGAGGGTTCTCCAGGACTCTCTCTGGCCCTTTGGACCCTACAAGGCCCTACTTAAGTGCTTTCCTGGGCCAGAAGGTGTCCTTGAACTGGGGCAATGTCTTTCACTTGCCTGGATAGAAAGGGGTGTGTGCAGAAACCTCTGGCTTTTGTATGGCTGCAAGGCAAATGCTACCGTGCAAAGTTATGAGTCACACCTATGGTGCCACACTGGTGTGAAGATCCCGGAAGCTTTCCCAGGAGAGAAGAGCTCAGAAAGGGCCTTACAAAGGAGCGGGGTGGGGTAAAGGGGCGTGCTATTAGGGATCCGTCAGACCCGCAGTTATGAGGGGAGAGAGGAGAGGGAATTACAATTAGGTCTGAGTCGTGGACACGCATGTGGATTCAGACGAGACAAAAAAGTTCGTAACACGGTTGCTCTGGGCGGGGTGTTCCATGGAGAAGAGGCCAGGTTCAAGCCCCCGCCCCACTCAGCCAGCCACTCCTCCTATTTCAACCTATTTCGCAGGGTTCTTGTACCTCCATGCACACACACACACACACACACGCACGCACACGTATCTCGCGGCATGTACCTGAGCGGCGAGGCGGGCGCGCTGCTCCTCGACGGCCACCAGGCGCTGCAGCTCCGAGACATCGGCCTCCCGCTCCGGGTCCTCCATGGCGGAGCCTCTGCCCCGCGGCCTCCCCGAACCGAGGTGCTACGAAAAGCGCCCCCTCGTAAGAAGGACGAAGGCAAAGGCGAGGACCACTCTCCCCACACCTACGCGCTCAAGGGGTCGACCGGAAGCGGCGCCTCTTCGACCGGAAGCGCAACGTCATGCTTCCGGTTCCGGGGCAGCGAGTGCCCTTGGGCCCTATCCCTCCCTCTCTCAGAGCGGGAGGGCACGAACAGGCAGAAGGGGGACGGCGAGCGGTGCAAGATGGCGGCGGGGCTGCTGATGCTGCGGGCGGGGCTGGGCAGATCCCACGGCGGGGGAGTCGGTGAGTGAGCGGAGGGGGACGGGGGGGGGGCCGGACCTGACTTGCCTTCTGCTTCGCAGGGACTCGCCCTTGTCTCTCCTCCCTGTCTAAACTGACATTTGAGAACGGAGGAAGCCGCCTTATACGGAGTCCAGACCTTTGGTCGACGTAGCTCGGTACTGTGTGCACTGACTGGCAGCGGTGGCTTTCCAGGGTATCAGACCAGGGAGTCCTTTCCCTGCCTTGCCAGGGGGCGCTATGGAAGGGGTGAACTTGGGACCTTCTGCCTGCAAGGCGGGTGCATTGCCCTTCCCCATAAGGTAGAGGGACATAGGATACTGCCTCGTCCTGAGTCAGACCTGTAGCCCAGCGCACTGTTGTCTGCACTGACTGGCAGCAAAGGCTCTCCAGGGTTTCAGGCAAAGGAGTCTTTTCTCAGTCCTACTCCGAGACGCTGTAGAGGATTTCATCTGGGAGCTTTTGCATTGCAGGGCACGAGTGGTTCTGCCACTGAGCACCCCCCCCCCCCCAAAAAAAGCCATTTTTGGACAAAATAATATATATTGGTACTGGTGGTTCCTTGCTTGTTTCTCCTCCACTGCTGTCCCAGTGCTATTCGTCCCTGTGGCCGGGATGCTTTTCCTTTCAGGTCTTCTTTCCTAGCTGCAACTTTTATCTGCTGCTTGCTGTGTTGCATGGAGCTGTAGCGTTATCCTTTTGAAGGTGACTCTCTTTTGAAGCAAGAGGCAAGCTTTGGGGTTCCTTATATGAGATACCTGGTTTTCTTGCTCCCTTCTTAGGAAAGGCTTCTTTATCATTGTGGTCCTTAGGTATTTGCTAATGTCAAACTAATTTGCTTTGGTAGCTGCATTTTCCTTTCCTTTCTCTTCACTCTATACCTGCTAACCTTCCAGCTGTTGCTCACAAGCAACTTACTCTGCACACCTTTCTGCTTCAAGAATTTTGTTGGGGTGGTGAAAGGAGCATGTCTTAATAATTAGAATAGAGACAGATATTTCTCCTATGTTAGTAAAATCCGTTTTTACTAAAATGTGTTTTGTGTGAAAGACAGACACAATTTTGTGCAGATCAGAACAATGCAGCTTGTTCTTTCAGATGTGGAAGAGCAACATTTAATTACCAATTGTAAATCTACACACACACACACACACACACACACACAGTTCTAATAACACATGCAAGTCATCAACTTGCAATACATGAGTGCCCCGAGACATAGAAAATATTAACCAGGCTAGGTATCGCCGCTGCCATCGCAAACCCTTGGTCACATACACTTTGGGATGTTGTGCAGCAGCCTCTGAGATTATGCACTGCCCTGTAACATGTGACCTAAGAGCTAGCATGTGAGTGGAGAAGAGGGTAGTTTACCTTTCTTAGCAAAGAAATAAAAGCATTGAAAGGGGACATGCATTGACCTAACTGTTCTCTCTTTTGCTCACACTGCTACCTACCCATACCTCTTTGTTTGTGCAATATATGGAAATGTAGGTTTGCACAATATGATTTTGGAATGCATCCAAAATTCCAGTGAAGCATATCTGGAGGACATCTTGTCCATCTGTTATCCAGCATCCCATCTGTACTAACTTATGGGCTGCTTCACACATGCATGTTCATAACTTCAACCTGGGAGGCCTGGGACCCCCTTTTGTTGCCATGTGAGGCGGTATCTGGAGGATACTTATATATTGATACCACACTGACTTCTTGTATCACCTGTCTGTAGATTCTCACAGTGGATTTTCTTGTCATTCAGTGGCTGGAAGAGCTGTATCTCTTTTCAGTTTCCTTTGTTCCTAAGAGCTTCCCTTCCAAAGTCTTTTTTTTTTAATATTAGCACGTCATTAGTACTTATTATTGCATGCATAAGCACTTTACTCAAGTCTGAGGATTAAAGTCCTCTTCCACCTTGGGTGAAATTTGCCTGTTCTACCCACAGTTCTCCTGAACAAGATTGTCTTCACCAGACCAGCTGTTTGTGTTGCAACTGACAAGCGCTATCCTCTGACATGTAAAATCCACACATCCCCCAGGAGTTTAGGTAGGTCTTGCTTGGATTCCTTTACCGTGCTTTTGTTTCATGTGGCCATGCAAAATAGTTCGTGTGTTTTCTCTCTCTGTAGTTATGACAGTCATCCTCAACTTGGCAAGCTAAAGCTGGAGACATGTTAGGAAGAATTTGCTTTCTGTAGTTCAGCAAGTGGTAAATGAAATCATTTTAATGACAAATTATTGTCATTGACAGTGCTTTCAGTAACAGATTACTGTTTTTGAATTTATTTCACTCTTCCCGGAAGGCTTGGGGAAGATCCTAGGATTATAAAAATAAGTTTTAGATTAATAATTATGAAAAACCCCATTCCTTTAAGTTACGGAGCTAAAACTTCTAGACTTGATGGTTGCAGAGGAGTACCTGGGAGTGTGCTGGGAGTGTCTGAAAAGCCAGAAAGTTGGGAAGAGAGGTCAACTTGGTGGAATTTCAGTTCTCAGCATTCCTTTGTCTCCTGCCTGAACCATGCTGGTTCCATCCTACACACTTCAAGCATGCACCCAAACAATGCCTCTTGTTTTTCTGTCTCCTACTTTCCCAATTTATTTATTTTTTCACAAATGTATATGTTGCAAAGCTGTGTGTTTACATCCCGGTACAGAAGATGTGCACTCATTTTATGCAGTTTGCTTTATTTGCATCCTTTTATTCTGAACTTGAATGATGTGGTGAACAGTCTTGGGACATTGAATTGCATCCTTGAATGTAGTGGAGTCTCAGGCTGATCATATAATGGACAGTCGTGATCATCTGCAAAACAGGAATCTGTTCTCTTGGGTTGAGAAATAAACACTATTTTGCTCTCCTGCTTGCCATGCAACCTCCTTCTGTTCCATAACGGTACATAGACAATTATGTACTTTGCTGCCTCTGGCCTGTTTTAAATAGGACAACTAATTGGATGTTTGGTTTCCTAGTCTGTTGGAATTCATGGGAACTACACAACAGCCTTGCAGTAGATGAGCCTACAATTAAGAATGCATTTGGGTGCAGTTTTTTTAGAGGCTGGCTGAGGCCCCATGTGGTGTAGAGCGCGTGGTAACTAGATCTAAGCTGTTTCACTCAAAGGTGTTCTCTTCTAGAGGTTTTTTAGCACTGACTAGTGCTCCTGTCCCAAATGCATTGCATAAAAGTAAGCCATTTCGGAGTCTGTGTTGTTGTGTAACTACTTTCATGTAATATATCTTGAAATAGGTTCCTTAAAAGTAATCCAGCAAGGATGGATGAAAGCAGAACAGTTGTCCACTTACAACTCTCCTTGCAAACTTAGCACCTTAGTGCAACCTGCAGATGCTTGTTAATACTCTCAGAGTCAAAACTTGTGCTTTAAAGATGTAGGTGGTGATGGAAAAATACACTTGTGCCGTATCTTCGACCATCTGCCTTTGTAATTAAACACTCTTGCTTTTGACATGTGCCAATTCAACTTTTCACAGTGGATGATCCTCTCCACAGTTAGTCTTGAATGAAGCTGGTGTTTTCCCTGGTGTGTAATACAGTGGTGCCTCGCAAGACGAAATTAATCCGTTCCGTGAGTCTCTTCGTCTTGCGGTTTTTTCGTCTTGCGAAGCAAGCCCATTGACGGATTGACGGATTAGCGCTATTAGCGCTATTAGCGGCTTTTAGCGGCTTTTAGCGGCTTATCGGCTTATCAGATAAGAGGATAAGCGGCTTAGCGGCTTAGAAAAAGGGGGGAAAAAGAAAAAAAAACCCGCAGGAACTTGCAAGACATTTTCGTCTTGCGAAGCAAGCCCATAGGAAATTCGTTTTGCGAAGCACCTCCAAAACGGAAAACCCTTTCGTCTAGCGGGTTTTCCGTCTTGCGAGGCATTCGTCTTGCGGGGCACCACTGTAGTTCTTTTCTAGTCCATATATAGTAGTTGTGGCACTAGTTGTGTTGTCTGTTGCATCTGCTAAGTTCCTGCAGTTTGTATGCAGAATTTTAAATAGAATCTGGTGTTCTGGCTCACAACTTGGATTTTTGGAAATTTCGTCTCTTGCCGTACCAGGTTTTTTAAAAGCAAGTTTCTAGTCCTTATGGCCGTGGAGATATGCTTGGGTGCACCCAGGTTGTGTGTGCAAAAGCTTCAATATTCAGGGGGTCAGGCTTATGTACTCCCCTCTCCCAAGACTACCTGCCCCTCCTTTCTCAGCTCCAGTCATATTCTTCTTCCAAGACACACTCAACCATCCCTCTGTCACCTGTAGATTTACTTCTGCCACCAACTTGCTACATCTCCACAAAAAAAAGGTATGCAAATATCCACTGTTCAGTTCAGAATAATGCATGCAAATGATTGATAAGCAAATCTGCATAAATGATGTTTGGGCTCCTGATTTGGTTGTGGGAGGCTGGGAGAAAGGTTCTTTTGTGCCATCAAATTGTTGTTTATATTCTTCTACCTTGTGAGCCACTTTGGGCACAATTGTGTGTAAAAGTGGCATACAAATAATCAGATGAATATATTAAAATATACGATTTCTACGCATCTTGAAGGGCCGGAAGAGAAGACAAAAAAGTCTTTACCCTTCCACCCAAATCAGTGTAACATTGGTAGCAAACTGCCTCCATGTGTGATTGATGCTGGGAATCAATGAAAAAATTCCATATTTTTTGTAAGAGTCCTGTCGGAGGCAAGGTTTTTTTGTGCTTTTTTCTGGGGTTATGTGGCCTGGTTACCTCCTTTTCCTTGCCATCTGTTTGACCTCAGATCTGGGACAATACTTCAGTTCTGCCAACATTAATCAGTTACCATTTCCTCTTTGGAGGCTCAACTGATATGATCGTTGGCATGAAGAAGCCAACTGTTGTTGAATTTCAGGAACCCTTCGGGGAATGGGGGAGACCTATAAACCCAACTAGCTTGCATTGATTTGTTGACAAATGCTGAATCATTAAAGGGACCCTTTATTCATTCCCAGCTCTCAAGCAGCTGTTCCTGGAGATTATTAACAGTGCTTCTTTTCTCCCTGTAGCTGGTTCCAAGGCTGCCTCTCTGCACTGGACAGGTGAGCGAGCAGTCAGTGTCCTCCTGCTTGGGCTCCTGCCTGCAGCTTACCTGTATCCTGGACCAGCCATGGACTACTCGCTGGCTGCCACTCTCACACTCCACGGTCACTGGTGAGTAAGGAGGGAAGCAACCCAACCGGGATTAATTCCTGCTGCCTCTCCTGCTCAGTTCAGAACCCTGGATTGCAGTGGGGTCCAGAGGCTGGTTTCTCTGTGCTGTTTTGACTCTGTAGCCCTGGAACTTGCTTCATCCCATCATTCCTTCTGAGATCTGGACATCTTTCAAGCATGGTAGCAAGTTCCACTTTCAACCAGCTTTCAACCCAGCCGCACCCCTATCTGGTCAGGGATGACCTAACTTCTGTCGATTATGTTCTAGGTTACCTCTAGGTTAGATTACTGCAAGACGTTCTACACAGGGCTGCCTCTGAAGGCAGTTCAGAAACTCTGCTGGTGCAGAATTCAGTAACCAGGCAGCTCACTGGGCAAGATGGTTTGAGTGTATAACACCAAACCTGGCCTGACTGCACTGGCTGCCAGTTAGTTTCCCAGCCCAATTCACAGTTCTGGTTTTGACCTATAAAGCCTTAAACGGCTCAGGAATGCAATATCTCAAGGACTGCCTCTCCTCATATGAACTGATCAGGACTCTGAGATTATCCTCTGAGGCCCTTCTTCATGTGCCTCCTTCAGGAGAGGTTCTGAGGGTGGCAACATGAGAATGGGCCTTTTCTGTAGTGGCTCCCCATTTGTGGAATGCTCTCACCCGGGAGCCTTTGCCACATCTCTTTTGACTCCAGGCAAAAGTGTTTCTTGATAGGCCTTTGGCTGATAATATTCTATGGCCCTTTTAAATAGGTTTGTAGGAGAGGCATTACAGTATTGCTTTGTTGTGTATTTTGCACCCTCTTTTTGTATTATTATCTTGCGAACCACCCTGTGATCTTCAGATGAAGGGTGGTATACAAATTTAATAAATAAATAGAGTGCGAAAGGGTTGGGGGAGATTCTTGGCTTGCCACATTGCTCAACTAAAGATGAATCTGTAAACAACAGCAGGGGTTGCTGTAACCGAGGGAGCTGCCTCTTCCATAGAGATGCGCAGGGACCTCTGTGCTTTATTTCTGGCATGGGGAGTCTGCCGCTCTGCAGAACTTGTTGGGCTCCCATCAGTCCCAGTCAGCAAGGCCATTGGTCAGGGATAATGGGAGTTGTAGTCCCAAGAGCATCCGGAGGCACCAGGTCCCCCAGCCTTGCAACGTTTGAACCTACTTTTCAGTAAAATTGTTTTAAATTTGTTGCATTGGGATTGGTCCGGCCTCTGAATGCCAGATGCTGGACAAGCAAGCAAGAAGTGTTCAAGCCCCACGTTGGACGAAAGATTCCTGCATTTGCAGGGGGGTTGGACTAGATGACCCTCATGGCCCCTTCCAGTTCTATGATCTTTCCCCATGCTCTGCTTGTAGGCTTCCCAGGAGCACCTGGCCACCGCTGGAGGCAGAAGCTTTTAGTCAATTATTATGGCTTCTCACTTTTGCTCTCTGCCTTTTCCACATGCTGTCCTAGACATTTACTCTCCCTTCCTGGGCTTTTTACAAGCCTTTAGAAGCATTTTACAATTACAGTTTACAAGCATTCCCAGGAATATGCCATATAGAGGTTTATCCATGTCTGTTGTTTGACTTAACGCTAGAGGGCAGTGTGGAACTTCAGAGACCCAGTTTGGTCCTGAAAATATGTAACTTGCCAGTGAAACAATGTAAGAATAAGTTTCTTAGAAATGGCCATCCCCAGCCAGCAGTACAGCAGAAGCAGCTATTTTCTCCCAAAGGTCCTCCCCTCTCCCCCCACAACCCAAAAAAATTATTTGCCATCAGAGGGAGAGAAGAGCAGAGACTACACACACTTTTCTGGGGAGGGCATTTCACAGGTGGGGAGCCAGCAGTGGAAAAGCCTTGCTTTAATAGTAAACCTCCTTAATTTCAGAAGGCCACCTGGAAGTGGTCCTTTGATATGTCTTCATCCAGGCAGATTCCTATTGAGACAGGAGGTCCTTCAGGTATCGCATTATGTCTTTGTAGGTCAACATCAGCATTTTGAACTGCACCCAGAAGCCAACTAGTTAATCGGCAAACTGACTGGTTTTTTTTTAAATGTTTATTAGAAATTTGCAACAACAAAAAAAAGCTCTTAAGAGTTTACAAGATTACAAACATTATAGATTGATTATAGAACATTTATGTAATATAAAGAGGAGAAACAGGAAAGGGAGGGACCCATAAAAGACTAAACAAAAAGCCGTTCATACAGTAGCTCAACAGATTTAAGGTATGTTCATTACAGAGCAAAAATTTTACTCAGAGAAGAAAACATACCATAGACACTTGATACACAGGATACATCAGAGGAAGACCTTGAGAGTGAGGGTGGCTGTTCGTCTCTTGCAAGATAAGGCACCTGAATTCTGGAACGGGTTGCTGGTGATGGAACCTGTTACTGTGGAGGAGGAGCTTTTTTGTTTTCTTGTTAAAAACTCTTGTCGGTGTTTTTCTCAAGCTCAGCACTCTCTGCACTTTGACTGCGCTCCCCTTTGTTTTCAGATTCTACATGCGTAGATGAGTCGAAAAAGCCCGGTACACAGTTTTTCATGGCTCTCTAGTGGCTGTGGTGGCTCATTGACCAGAAGCAATGTACAGTGGTACCTCGGGTTAAGAACTTAATTCGTTCCGGAGGTCTGTTCTTAACCTGAAACTGTTCTTAACCTGAAGCACCACTTTAGCTAATGGGGCCTCCTGCTGCTGCCGCGCTGCCACCACACGATTTCTGTTCTCATCCTGAAGCAAAGTTCTTAACCCGAGGTACTATTTCTGGGTTAGCAGAGTCTCTAACCTGAAGCGTATGTAACCCGAGGTACCACTGTATTTAGCATTAACTCTGGAAGTGTAAACTCGATTCTGACCAAATTAATCCTCCCAGAACAAAATATACATTAGGAGGCTTTGTATTGTGTCCTAGGCATCTTATTTTTTTTAAACTCGTCTACGCATGTAGTATCTGAAAACAAAGGGATGCGTTGGGTGCCAGATGTGAAATATATTGGCATTATTTTCAGCTCTTCTACCCCACTACCTAGTCCAGCATTCAGTTTCCATAGCGGCTAACCAGATGCTGCTGAAAAGCCTATAAGCGCAACAGCACACTCATAACCCCCAAGAGCTGGCATTCATAGACATATTTATTATACCGGAGGCTGTATGTGGGTTTGTCTAATCCCCTTCTTAAAGGCATCCAAGATCAGTGATACCAACCTTAACCTTCTGCTGAATTGGTAATTCCTGAAATAATAGTGCAATCTTGGAATGCCTGGCTTATGAATTCTTGGCAGCTGATTAAAGGTGCCAGGGCTGTGTTCTGCTGTGCTTTTTGCTGACAGTGCTGTTTGTTGTGCCCATAGGCAACATGTCTGCAAAAGCTGCTGTAATACTCCTTGGCACTCCTCCATAGGCTTGTTGCATAGTGATTGGTTAAATGCGATGTTCATAAAATACCTTTCTGCTTCTGTAATACAATCAGTCACTCAGCACAACCTATGCTCCTTCTGACTTGCTTAATAATGCTATCTGGATAATTCGTGAAAGCAGTTGTGGTCCTCAGTTCCATCAAGGTTAGATTTTGAGCTTTTATCTTTCCCACTGATACATTTCACACCTGATCTCAGCAATGATAACTGTCCAATTAAGAAGGCAAATAATGTTTTTTTGCGGAAATGGAAAGGGGTTGATCTTTGATGAAGGCCGCCAGCACCCCTCTAAGGGGTGTGTCAAATGACCAAAAGGGATGTTGCTTTGGGGATCAGCCAATTCCTATGGAAAATGCCCTAGAAAACATTTGAAACTATGTTGGGTTGAATCGTCTTCATTTTTATCTTTTTCTTCTTCTTCCTTGTTAGGGGCCTTGGGCAAATAGTAACTGACTACGTCCATGGAGAGACATCTATTAAACTGGCCAACACTGGCCTCTACATGCTCTCAGCGCTCACCTTTGCTGGCCTCTGCTACTTCAATTACCACGATGTGGGCATCTGCAGGGCCGTGGCCATGCTGTGGAGCCTCTGAGGCACAATACGTCACCTACCGGCAACATTCAACGATTGTTCACCTCTGCCTCTGCTTCATTGTATTATTGCCGAGTCATTGAATGAGGGAGAAATAGCAACAGGGGGTCCCACGCTGCATATAGCAGAATGACTCGGGGAAAGAGGCATCCAAATAGCCATTCATCAAATTGTGGGGATCTCTCGCTGAGAAAAGAGCTAGGCTAGAGAGCTCACAAAGTTTTGGTGTTAATGCAAAGGGCAAACTAGTAGTGATTGTAGTGGCAGCCTTTTTTTGTATGGCTGACCCTTTCCCCTGTCAAATGGCAGCTTGGTTTCAACAGGTGCAGCAGAACTGGTCTTGAATTCCAGTCACTTGGGTTTTTTTGGTCCTGATATTGCAATTAGTGGATTGTGTACACGGCATCTTGCATAGTGCTCAGGCTGGGCACTAAGCAGTTGCTGTGCAAAAGGGAATTTTTCTTTTTTTTGTTTAATTGATGTACAATAAAGAATTTACAGAACCCTCAGCTGTTTGATTCTGAAGTCTCTTTCTTTGGAAATCCTTTCCAGTTGTTTCTGATGTTGCTTAGCTTTTTAAAAAACCCACAATCCCTTTAAAAGATAACAGCACACTGTGTCCTCTCCTACTACTACCAAGGCAGTTAACACTTTAAATAAAACAGTTAAAATTTTATTTGGAAGATAAACCAATGAATGCTTTAGTTGATTGATTGGGGTTGTGTGCTAAGAACTCCTTTTGTTTTTTGTTCTTCTGAGTTGATAGAATGAGAATTTAAAAAGAAGATACCAAAGGTGGTAGCTTATGTTGTAAATTGCCTCTCACTCCCTTTTATCCCCCAAATCCACCTGTATTGAGGTTTGGAATTGGGCATTCATTGCAATGGACAGTTAAGATTAAAACAATAATAAAAATATAGTAGAATTTCAGATAACTTGTTCTCAAACTGTTAAGGTCAAAAGCAGCACTTTTTATTGAGCCCAACAATGAGTAGGGATCCAGTCCAACGGACACAGTGCTGTTTGCAGTGATATATTAAGAAACATGTTTTAACGAGTCAGACAATTGCGCCACCAAGCACGGTATTGGCTGCTTTTGACCGGCTGCGACTTCCGCAGCTCTGAAGCAGAGAGGGATGTCTTTTTCCCCCTTGTTGCCCAAGAAACGCTAAGGGGAGAGCCCTGTAACTTTTGCTGAGCATGCGCTGCAGCACTGAGCTATGGCCTCTCACTTGGGAAAATTGCTCAAATAAAGGTAAAGGACCCCTGGACAGTTAAGTCCAGTCAAAGGTGACGGGTTGCGGCACTCATCTCACTTTCAGGCCGAGGGAGCCGGCTTTTGTCCACAGGCAGCTTTCCAGGTCGTGGCCAGCATGACTAAACCGCTTCTGACACAACGGGACACTGACAAGTGCCAGAGCGCATGGAAACGCCGCTGCAGCAGTACTTATTTATCTACTTGCACTAGTGTGCTTTCAAACTGCTAGGTTGGGAAGAGCTGGGACAGAGCAACGGGAGCTCACTCTGTTGCAGTGATTCGAACTGCCGACCTTTTTATCAGCAAGCCCAAGAGCAGGCATAGGCAAACTCGGCCCTTCAGATGTTTTGGGACTACAACTCCCATCATCCCTAGCTAACAGGACCAGTGGTCAGGGATGATAGGAGTTGTAGTCCCAAGACATCTGGAGGGTCGAGTTTGCCTATGTCTGCCCAAGAGGCTCAGTGGTTTTGACCACAGCGCCACTCACATCCCTAATTGCCCAAATATTCCTTAATTAGCTGACTAAGCTCTTCTTTAGCAACATTTGAAGTATATGGAAAAAGAAGACCTTGGCTCAAGTTCCCTGCTTCATGTTTTCAGACACCTTCAAATGTTACAGAAAAGGCACCATCAACACTGGAGACCGGGAGATGAGATCCCATCATTTGCTGCGTCACTTGTTGCAGTCTTTAGTTTAAACCTAATTATTCAGTTCTTGGAGAAGCATGGCGTTTTTGTCTCAAGACCAACGACGAGTGCAATAGGCCTTAGTGGGAGGACAACTCACAGAACTGTCTCCCACCGATGATTCACTTGAGTCCAACAGCTCTGATCCTCATAGCTGAGGGCTGTCTGAAGCAGGGATTTTCCCAGAACAGTGAATGACCTTAAACTCCATGTGTGAACCAAGGAGTTTGAGACTGAGGTTCCTGCTTGTTCCTGCCTTCCCCGTTTCCGCCCCCACAATGCATTTCCATGGTCACAAGGTCTAGAAACTTGCTTTAAAAACAAACCTCAGATTTACGGGTGTCTGTAACAGAAAACACTACAAAACTGCAGAAACCAACAACTTGTATCTATTTGCATTTCTTTTGACTTCATTGCTTTTGCTTAATTGATTTCCTCACTGGCAGTGGTTGGACTTAACTCTTGGTTTGTAGCTGAAATAGCCTTATTCCTCATTGCAAATCTCTCTTTTGTGTTAGGGCTTGTTGAAGTTGGCTGTATTGTTTAATGCCCTTCCACTTTGATTTAAGGCCCTATCGATGGGCTGTATGGCAGAATTTCAGTGTCCATGTGGGTCTGAGGAGATGGAAATTCTCTTTCACATATTTTTTCGTGCAAATTCCACAGTGACTTACGTGAAGCACTTACTTGTCCATTGCTTATATTAATTTTATATTGTTGTTTTTGTTCACCTGCCCTTCACTCTAAGGTCCTGGGGGGTTACAACATTAAAACACAATACAGTGGTACCTTGGGTTAAGAACTTAATTCTTTCTGGAGGTCCGTTCTTAACCTGAAACTGTTCTTAACCTGAGGTACCACTTTAGCTAATGGGGCCTCCCGCTGCTGCCACGCGATTTCTGTTCTCGTCCTGAAGCAAAGTTCTTAACCCAAGGTACTATTTCTGGGTTAGCGGAGTCTGTAACCTGAAGCGTATGTAACCCGAGGTACCACTGTATAAAAAACTGTTTAAAACAACCTACAATCACAGAACTATTAGCAGATACTACACCTTACATGACAGAGAAGGCAGCTAAATATTTTGCTACCACTCTTAAAGCATATAACAAACTGAAAGCAAATTATCTGCATGTTGCAATACTTAAATTGTTACAATACTTAACTTTGTAGTCTTCATGCAATTTGTCTGTACAAACACACACACTAAAAGTGAAATGGCTTGATAATAAGTTCCTGTATTACCTTTGGAAAAGGGCTGTGTCATCGTTAAGTTTGGCTCTTTCCTTGAGTGGTGTTGCTTCTAGCCTCTTCATTTGATGCATTAAATGGAATTTTTAGAGCCGCCTTCATCAAGCTGGTGGTTATGCTCCAGATCTTTTGGACTACAACACCCATCAGCCACAGCCAGCTAGCTGTGGCTGATGGGTGTTGTAGTCAAAACATCTGGAGGGCACCAGCTTGGTAAAGGCTGCTTTGGAATCTTGGCAGTACTTCCTTTGTGTGGTGCGGACTTGAAGATGTGCAGGAGCTGTTTGGATGAGTTTTTAAATGTGTTGATTTATAAAAGCAGGTTAGAAAAACACACTTTAAAAATCATAATAAACTAGCTATAAGTAAACAAGGCGACATTCAAACAGAAACTGGTTTAAATCAAATTGCTGTGTTTTTAATAGGGTAACATCTAAATTGATCCATGTTTATCAAGGTCTTCACAGCATGTGTTGATTTGCAGCTGCAAGAGATTTCCCCAGTCTGTCACCTTCAAACAGCCAATTTTTCTCAGGAAGAAAATCTATTGTTCATAGTTGCTTTTGCTGAAGTGGTAGATTTTGTTGCATAAATGTATTTCTTTGGTGACAAATATGGAAACTTGTAGTGGGGAGGTCAACCTACTGTTTTTAAACTGGTTGGAATGGTTCTTAATAAGTTGGACCCTTTAAAAAATGGGATACATTTTGTTACACAGCTGTTTTAATTACTTGTCTCTGTGAAAATGTGACTAGACGCTTACTCACATTTTTCAAGGATAAGACAACAGAGATGGTCATAAATGAGTCATTGTGCGTGTATCTGATTATTACAATGAGGAAGCACTTTCTTGCACATAAACTTCTTTGTGTGAATGACATAATTATTTCAGCATCTGTAGAGCACACTGAGGAAGTTCTGGGGTCAATCTCCAGTAAAAGGATTTTAGGTTCCTAGCTGGCAAAGGCCCATATTTGATACCTCAGCTGGTTCTGGACTAGGTGGATCTCATCTGCTAAAAGATAGCTTATTGTACATCTATACTGGTTAATCATGGGCAGGAATACAAATGCATGAGAAAAAGGCAAGACTCAAAATGGTATGAAGATGCAGGAAACTTTACTAAGAGTTATAAAATGCCCAATGTATTTTATTACGCAACTTTCTCAGGAGCACTGAATAGTAGGCCTTAGTTCAAAATACTCTGTACAAAAATATTCATCAACTCAAATTACATATAGCATTCACAGTCATGAAACAGCCACTTAGAAAAGTGATACAGAGAGCTTTATAACAAAACTTTCCTTTATACTGCAAATCCCGCGATCCTATAAATCTTGTGTGTTTTTCCTTCGGGGCTCTGCAGTGTGTTATATAGATAGTCCAAGATTTATTTATTAGGGATGTGATGTTTTTCATTACAGTATTCTATATTATTTGTTTTACATGTTTGTATTGTTTGTTTGTATTTCCATTTCTAGTTTTTTTTGCTTATGTTTTTCTTGCGATGGTTATATTTTTCTTCTGGGAAGTGGGGAAGTATGTAGCTTTATAGACTCGTCTATTCCATCTATTCTCTTTATCACCAGTTGTGTGACTCTGTCCCTCTCGTTTCTCTCAAAGGCAAGGAAGTAGCCTTGCTCCAGTGAGGACTCAAATCTGTAGAAATGTCTGTCAGCTTTGGAAAATGGGGTTTTGAAGAATAGCATATCACTTTTTTCTCCTGGAATGAATTCTGGGACATCTCTTGGCTGGAAAGAAAAAAGATTAGAAATGTATCATCTTAAAGAAAGTTCAGAATCTTGCAAACAGTGTCTGAAGCAAGGCCTTGATCAAACCACCAAACACAGAGTCAAAAGAAGCCCAGAGAGACCCCATGCTAAACAGCCAGTTTAGGAAGGCTTCTCAGTGTTTGAATTAAATATGCCTCTCTGTAATTTAAGACCCTTGTTGGAGAGTAGACTCAAGCAATAGGATCCTGTCACTGCAAGTAGTTCTGGGAACTGGTTAATACTTTGATATGTAACTCACATGGAAAATGAAACACTATAGATGCTCATCAGACAGTTTCACATGACCATGACTTGGCCCTGGTCGCTCCATGCTCTAGCCGTGATTGTGCACAGTGAGATGTAATGCAACAAACCACGGTTTGTTGTGATATCTGAATTTGTGCTATCAGACAAACCATGGTTTGTGAATGTCCATGAAACCAGGATCTGAAACCTGGATTGAGAAGCTGGTGTGCATACGACTGTTGGGAAAAACTGGTTTGGTGTTACATGTAAACCTGCTTTTTCTGTGTTACTTGAGCATATGCACAGAGACAAATGGAACTACTTGATATTATTTAATCTACTTAAAATGTTTTACTGGGCTTTTCCAAAGTTGGTCCCATTTCACTTACACTGGTGCTCAGTCATTGGTCCATTCTGCCCCATTTTGTACTTCTTATTATTTAAAGTAATAACTAATTTTGAACCTTCTTTTTTAAAAAAAACTTTGTTGATAAAATCATGGCTAATACAGGGAAAAAAGCTAAATTTGGACATGATTTGCCTCCAGGAAACACACATTGTGAAGAAACGCAGAAGGATTTTGATTAATAAAAGATTGGGAAAGGATTTTGTACCGCATACCAAAAAAAGAAGAGAGTTTTGGAAAAGCAAGAAACCTTAGAAGAAATAAAACGAAAAGAAAAATAAATAAATTCCCCTCGAAAAGAGATTGTGAAACAGATTGAGATATTGCAAACACAGATCTCACTGATAATATTTCAATAAATAGAGTGGGAAATTAAATATTTAAAACAGAAACAAACAGGCTAACAAACCAGGAAAACTATTAACATGGCAAATAAAGAAAAGACAAGGAAAATCCTGTATAAATAAAATTAATATAGGAGGCAGAGTTGTGGAAAAACCCTAAAGAAAGAAGAGATTAATTTATGAGTTTTTATACAGAAATATATCGAGCTAATAAATTTAAGGAACCGCAGAAAGAAGAGGAAGGCAGTCAAGTTTTGAAATGTTAAAATGATTGTAAAACTATTGAAATGTATATAACTGAAAATCATAAATTAAATAATAATAATAAATTACACACATTACCATATGTGTTTTCTCAAAATACATAAATTTCAATTCTTTTCATGCACTTTCCTGTGAAATATACATCTTATACACATTTTAATCATAGCATACGTATTTTTGGAACGTATATGTTCCAATGCACAAGGAAGTTTGGGACTGTCAACCTGGGTCAGTCTGCTGCGAAAAGATGACTCAGCCAATTCCTCATCCATCCCTTCTTGACCTGCCCAAGTCCCTTCTTGAGAGTCAACAAGGCTGCAACGTTAAAGGTACACAACTTTAAAAGTGAGTCTTTATGGCAATTGGCAGTGGCTTACCCTAAACACCACCCTCATGTTGCTACCATCTTTCACGATTTGCATGATGTAAGTTTCACCGTTCCACTTTGTGCTGAAGGCCACTGGCAGTCCTCTCAGGTTGGTGTCTTGGTAAATGTGAATATTCAACGAGATTCCAGGTTCTGTGCACAAAGGACAATCAGGCACCTTTTGAAAAAGTCTCTAGGAGTGGCTAACAAAGCTCAGAGATGAGCGCCTACAATTGCACCACTTTCCTTGAAGTTTATCACCTACTGTCAACACCATTCACCACCGCTTCCCTTTGATTAAGATGTGATGTATTCAGCATGCTGGATTTCTGCACCAAGAAACCTCAAAAGTGTGTAACCTTGTGTTAGTGACTCAAAAGCATTTGACCAGCAGTAGAGGAGACTCTTGAGAGTCCCATGGACTGCAAGAAGATCAAACCTCTCCATTCTGAAGGAAATCAGCCCTGAGTGCTCACTGGAAGGACAGATCCTGAAGCTGAGGCTCCAATACTTTGGCCACCTCATGAGAAGAGAAGACTCCCTGGAAAAGACCCTGATGTTGGGAAAGATGGAAGGCACAAGGAGAAGGGGACTACAGAGGACAAGATGGTTGGACAGTCTTCTTGAAGCTACCAGCATGAGTTTGACCAAACTGTGAGAGGCAGTGGAAGATAGGAGTGCCTGGCGTGCTCTGGTCCATGGGGTCACGAAGAATCGGACACGACTAAACGACTAAACAACAACAAGAGCATGTGGCCTTTGTGTGATTAACTGACAGTCTCTGCCTTGTTTTTAGTGAATGCTGGAGCAAATATTCAACACTTCTACAAGAGCAAGCAGAAGTCACTTGCTATAGACAAGCTGAATCAGGTGACAATGGGGGCTGATCAGATATCTGCATAAAATGGATGGCTTTTAAAGAACATGATATATGATCCTTTTCCCCCAGTTTGAACCTAAGTGTACTGCTGGGTCAGACTCCATCTACTCCAGCATGTTGTTCTCATGTTGGCTAACCAGATGTTCTAATGGGAAGCTCAGAAGCAGGTCATGAGCACAATACAGTGGTACCTTGGTTCTCAAACTTAACCCGTTCTGGAAGTCCATTCCAAAACCAAAGCGTTCCAAAAACCAAGGCACGCTTTCCCATAGAAAGTAATGCAAAATGGATTAATTTGTTCCAGGCTTTCAAAAACAACCCCTAAAACAGCAATTTAACATGAATTTTACTGTTTAACGAGGCCATTGATCCATAAAATGAAAGCAATAAACAATGTACTGCAGTCACACAATCAATCAATCAATCAATCAATCAATCAGTAACTGAACTGGGTTCCACACAGACACAAAACAAAAGAGCTGCAAAAATAGAAATGCAAAATGAGTAGCAAAATCAGACAGACATCAGCGTAACACTAAAAACAGAAGTGTGGCACTCAAATCGTCAGCGTAACATTCAAACCAGAGCACGTTTGGCTTCTGAAAAAAGTTTGCAAACTGGAGCACTCCCAGGTTTGCAGTGTTTGGGTTCCAAGTTGTTTGCGTACCAAGGCGTTTGAGAACCAAGGTATCACTGCAGTACCCTTTTACTTGTGATTCCCCCCAAAAGTTGTTTTTCTGTATTTCATCAAAGAGGGATGTGGTGGCTATGAACATTTACAGGTGCAGTGCATCTTGTAAGACAACTAGTGGTTTTTAACTATCAGTGTGCTCCAAAAGCATTTCCTGTTTAATATAGGTTGTTTTTAAAAACTGCAATGGATTCACATCTCCCCTTGCGCAACTTGTTCCATTATTAAACTTCTCTTATACTTACAAAGCTATTTCCTAATGAGCAATCTAACTGTACACACCTGCAGTCGTTGTGTTTAAATGTTTTATTTTGTTCCTGAATACATGAAGCAAGAGAAAAAAATAAGGTGGGATAGGTGAAACCGGTTCAGACTTCAAGGAAGGGTTGGAAGTATTACTGTACCGTTTATCATTTCTTCGTCTGTCATGGGTTCAAATGCTGCTATGGCATCAGCATCATCCTCTGGTCTCACGATGAGCACGTGATTTTCTTGGTTTCGGAAGATCTGTGCTGCCTTGCATTTTTCGGATTTTTTAAAGCTGTCTGCTTCTAAACCTTTCAAGAGACATGATAAATGTGGATTCAGAAGGAGGGCTGTAGATTTTTCTCTTCCAGAAAGTAATTGTTTGGGAAAGTTTGTAATGTTTGAGGTTTTATCGTGTTTTTAATGTTGTGTTGGGAGCTGCCCAGAGTGGCTGGGGTATAAATACATAAATAATAATAATAATAATAATAATTGCACCTCACACGAGTGCTTTGAAGTGGGGCGATTTTCTAATGCTTGAATGTTGAATTAACTCTTCTTCAGGCAGGTTCATCCTTGAATCAGTATTTTCAGCAGGCCTAGATCTCGTCCCCTCCCCTCCCCAACCATATTTTATTACACCATGTGTAAGCACTGTTCTTCCTCTCTTCTTCTCTTCTGAGATCATTTCTGAGTATTAAGCCGCGGTTTCCCATTACACCTGAACTGGGAAACTCAGAGCACTGCTCCTAGCCAGAAAGGATATGAAACCACTCACTAACCCTGGTTTCATATCCTGTTTTATAAATGGAAATTAAACCATAGTTTCCGTATTCGGAATTAAGGGGAAACACTGCCAATAAGACTTGATTGATGTGCTGAAGCTGAGTGAGGATTGACAATGAAAGATGTGGTCACAACACATGCTCTCAGTTTAATAAACCATAATTCTGGACTAGGATTATAATCTTTGAACTACATCAGTTCCACCTCTTGATTATTATTATTTTTTTGTTCTTTTGTCTTGGGTAACACAGCACTGTATACAACTGCTGTTATATTGGTGCATAAATCTGATTGGCTGTGCTGTTACATGTGATTTAATTTACTGAAAGTTTGGTGGCCTTGCATCATGTATTGCACGAAACCATGGCCATTCTTGCTATGTGATGTTCAGCTGGGCATGTGGAACCACTTGATCTTATTAATTCATTGCTGAAGTTAGAAAGCAAAGCTGACAGTGAGGAAATGGCCCAATACTGATTTTCCACAGCATTTGATTAAATGGGGGGAGAAACCACCTATCCCATAAAGTTGAATTCTCCATACAAAGTGTAACACCACAAAACATTGGCACAACTCTTGTTTGTTGAGTAATTTATAACAGCGAATTTACAACTACCTTCATCTTCTGTTCCAGCCAAACCACGAGCAGAGTTGGGAGAGAAAGGGAAAATGTTGTTAGAGTGCATCCAGACAATTGATTATTTGCTAGCTGGGTGTATTCTATACCCCCATCCCGCTGAATACAAAGGAATTGATATTTATCCCCCCCCCCAAAAACCCCTCCCTCCTGTTACCAATTGGATTAGAACAGGGGTTGTCAACCCTTTGGGGCCTATAGGTAGAGCTGGCCCAGGACATTTTGACTCCTGAGGTAAACCACAACCCCCAGCCAAAAAGGGAAGAAGGAGTAAATGGAGATCTACATCAGGAACGGAGGGGATAAAGATCTACATTGTGGCACCAAAACTGCCTTCTATTTGCCAAGAGGTTACTGTGGAGGAGCTGCCAAGAAGGCAACGGATCTGGTCTCCAAGGAGCATGCCACAGCTGTTGCTGCTACCGTGGCAGCAGCAGCAGGTGATGCATTTCTTGGAAGCCAGATCTGCTGCCCCAAGGATCCTGCCATCTGAGGCGGGCGCCTCACCTTGCCTCATGGGTAGGCTGCCCCTGCCTGTGGGCATACAGTGGTACCTCGGGTTAAGAACTTAATTCGTTCTGGAGGTCCATTCTTAACCTGAAACTGTTCTTTTTAAAAATATTTTATTATTAAAATAATTCAACATTACAGTGGTACCTCAGGTTAAGAACTTAATTTGTTCCAGAGGTCCGTACTTAACCTGAAACTGTTCTTAACCTGAAGCACCACTTTAGCTAATGGGGCCTCCTGCTGCTGCCACACCGCCGGAGCACAATTTCTGTTCTCATCCTGAAGCAAAGTTCTTAACCCAAGGTAATATTTCTGGGTTAGCAGAGTCTGTAACCTGAAGCGTATTTAACCTGAAGCGTATGTAACCCGAGGTACCACTGTAGTCATTTTGGTGGTAGGACCCTGATTATGGCCATAGCAACACCTCTGCAGAAAATCAAACCAAAATAATCCAGGCGAGAGTTACCTTCAAAAAAGAGGGTCCCATCATCTTCAATACGCAGTGGACACATCTGAATTATATCAGCCATCTTTGCTCTAGGAGTGGGGTAGGAGGAAGAAAAGGGTTAATAATATGTATCGGTTCTCTAAAGAGTGTTCCAAGGTACATGATGCCTTTCTGCTTCCATGCTCAGGTGCTCCACAATGTAGTGTGGCAGAACTGTTAGGGAGACACACACAGAATTCAGGCAGCTGGAATTAGTACCATGGCTGCTGACCAATGAAAGGGTTTTTGGGAGCTGTAGTCCATAACGCACGGAGGGCACAGAGTTGGTGAAGATCTGCACAAAGCGAGTTGTGAGGGATGTAGTGGCTGCATATTTCTTGTGAAAACTATGAATGAAGATTTCCTACTTCTCTGCCGCAGAACACTGACCTTTCTTGTTTGCAATGACACCACTAGATTATTAATAATAATTTACATAGTCCAGAAATGTAATGCATACACAAATAATGTAAAAAAGGTAAAGGACCCCTGGACAGTTAAGTCCAGTCAAAGGCGACTATGGGGTTGCGGCGCTCATCTCGCTTCAGGCCGAAGGAGCAGGCGTTTGTCCACAGACAGCTTTCCGCGTCGTGGCCAGCATGACTAAACCGCTTCTGACGCAACAGGACACTGTGACAAGTGCCAGAACGCACGAAAACGCCGCTGCTGCAGTACCTATTTATCTACTTGCACTTTGACATGCTTTCGAATTGCTAGGTTGGGAGGAGCTGGGACAGAGCAACGGGAGCTCACCTCGTCACAGGGATTCAAACAGTTGACCTTCCTATCAGCAAGCCCAAGAGGCTCAGTGGTTTAGACCACAGTGCCACCTGCGTCCCTTCAAATAATGTATCTTGATGCCGTAGGTGTCCTCTTTGGTATCCTATTGAAGCTGAATTGTTGTCTGATGTTCAAAAAATATGGTAAACTTTCCCCATCCCTTTATCTCCTTGCTAGGAAAATCTTCCCAAAGTAAGCTAGTGCAGAAGTTTATGATACAATACGATACAATACAATACAATACAATATCTTTATTGTCATTGTCCCATACAGAACAACGAAATTGAAAAATCTACATAAGACATTCCAAACCCAACAAGCCTGCTATCCCAGCTATCCCAACCTGGTTAGCCCCCTAAAAACTCTGATATCCCATTTTTAAATACAATATACTCCCATAGAGACTCCTTACAATGCGTTTAAAACCAAAATCGTATTTGGGTAGAAACTGTTTCTCAGGCGGCTAGTCCTAGTCTTTATAACCCTGTACCTTCTTCCAGGAGGCAGAAGCTGAAAGAAATCATTTCCGGGGTGCGCACTATCCTGCGCTATCTCTGCAGCTTTCTTATGGCACCTGGAAGCATAGATTTGATCCAAGGTGGGAAGAGTGCACCCACCTTGGTTCCTTGTGGCAATACTCTATGGTTCCTTGTGGCAATACTCCAGTTGTTACCCCATCCTCAATACTTGACAACTGTGCCCACTACAGCTGCAAGGCTGGTTTACTTCCGGTAGGGATATCTTTAGGGATGTCAATGAAGCAGATTGCAATCCAAGAGGCTGTGTCTTAGCAGCATCCTCTTTGCATAGCTGTCAACTTACAGATTTGAAAATAAGGGACCAGCAGCCTCAAAAATAAGGGATCAGCAGCCAAAATAAGGGATTTTAGTCAACCAGCTCCCGAGCCAAAGGCAGAAAGCCCAGCCAGCAGCCAAACGAAGCCTCAAGTGGTGGTTCCCACAGTGCAGCAACCCAGCAAAGGGGATGCAGCAAGGAAAACCACCGTCACCTCTCCGCTGGGAAGCGCTGAGCAAAGGCGAGCCCCCAGGCAACGCACACAAGGCATGCAAGCTCCACCCCCCAGTCGTTCTTAGACTCCTTATTGGGTGAGCAACGCAGCCAAGCAACACAGTTGGAGCCTCCCTCCTCCCTGGCCAGCAGAGAGGAGCTGCTTCCTTTGAAACCCTGGAAATTTAAGGGACATCATCAATAAGAGACAGCAGTGGGACACAGCGCTGGGATAAGGGACTTTCCCGCCAAATAAGGGACAGTTGACAGCTATGCCTCTGTGAGGGATTCTGGGGCGCCCCTCTTGTGTTTGGGGGAGACAGAGGCTGGTGGCCCCGCCTAGCTGTGCCCAGCTCCGCACCCACTTCTTGCAGAGTAGATGGATTGACTTAGCGGTCCCAGGTCCCCCTTTCTTAGCAGCTCCTGACAGATTTCCAAGCTGCAGCCTCAGGACTGGCTTCCTTTGCAACCCAGACCTTCATTGGCCCTAAAGTACCAGCCCCAGGCAGGAGGCCAAGCTAGGAAGGGTGCCCTGTTGCCCCTCTTGCACACAGCCAGGCAGCCACCCACATCATCGCAGCGCCAGGCTGCCCATCCTCACCTACCTGCCTCCTGCGCAGCCCAAGATCCGACGGCAACCGAGTCAGCTGAACCTTCACAAGCGACTGGGGAAGTAGTGGCTGAGGTCTGAGTAAATGTGGATGATGCAGAAGAACAGCCAAGCTGGGCGGTGCGTGGAGAGGAAGGGAGGAACAGACAGGAAAGCAGTGCACCAGACCAGACAGTTTTACCACCAACCATATGACGTTTTTTATTGGGTTGTACAGTGCTGTAATTGAGGAAGGGCTACTGTGGCTCAGTAGCTGCCATGCACGTAAGAAGGTCCCAGGTTCTTGGCATTTCCAGGCGGAGCTGGGAAAGGAAAATGAGCAGCAAGATTGCATCCACTCAAACAGAACCATTACTGTTGAAAATAAGAAAACTGGAGGGCGGTTGGAGGGGAGTTAAGCAGAAACTGGGTATGTGTGGAAGGACTGCCAAGTCAGTTCATCTATGCTACTCTCAAACCACATTCCTGGCCTCTACTTAGAATTATTTGACTCAACGTTTATGGCATTTGTGTATGGTTGGTGTGTATGGTTGGTGTGTCTCCAAAAACAAAGGTGAACCTGATAGCCTTATAGCCTGTAGTAGAGAGTCCTGATTTAGATGCACCAATGGTCTGACTACCTGTTTAAGGTAGCTTTTTTAGGTTCCTTCCTATCTTTCTGGACTTCCTTGAAAAAAGAGAAAAAAATGCTTCAAATAACTTAATAAATATAACTACAAAGACATGATTTGGAGTTGAACAAGTATGCCCCCCTCAATCTTTTCTCTTTATCCCAAAACTCAAGAATCAAGAATGCTCACGCCTCATTTCTCTTTGTAATATATAAAATTATGAGTAGCTTATTTCTCAGCAGTGGCAATGGAGCAGATGCCTCTCGGACCAGGAAAGCCTGTGCACTCTGTCCATGCTCAGTGACGCTTTTTATTTGCTCCTGAGTTGTGCTCTGGCATTGAATGTAGGTTCTGGCTGTGTCCATCTGGGATTGAGCCTTGGCTCCAAGTCCTTCACTTCAGAAGTCGGCATTTTGGGCTGTATGGATCTTTGAAACCTTTTCTAATTCTTTAATAATGCATCACTTATTTATTCATTCACAGGTCTCTGCAAACTGTTTGCATCTTTTTAGCTCATTTTCCAGAAATGGAGCCTCAATCACCTCAAGGATGTCCCACAACAGCTGAGGTGTCAGTAAATAGCAGAGCAATAGTCCTTTAGTTCCCATTTTAATTCTTCAAACACTAACAACATTCCCTTTCTTCCTACTTTACTACAGAAACAGTGTATGCCCTTAACTGTACATGAAGAGTTCCTAGTCACAGTAAACTTTTCAGGATGATTAAAAACCTCCATAGTTCTTTAGCTTAACAACCTTGAGTATTAACAGGCAATCTAATTTAATTTTAATCAGTTTAAATAACTCACTTCACAAATGCTCAGCCGGAATAAGATGCCGAACTAGAAGGGCTGTTTTATTTAACAACAAAAATATTATCAAACTTATGCATAGATTATTATTATTTAAATGGAGACATTTACTGATAGTTGGTTCTCTGAGCATCAATAAGGAGTTTGATGTGAACAATTATACATTCCAATAATAATAATAATAATAATAATAATAATAATAATAATAAATAAAATAAAATAAAATAAAATAAAATAAAATAAAATAAAATAAAATAAAATATTTATATCCCGTCCTCCCCAGCCAAAGCAGGGCTAACAACAATAAAAGTAACACAGCATTCTAAAATCAATTCATTTTAAAATCAATTCAAAATCAAATTAAATTAATGGCAACCATTGGGCTAGAGTTCTGTGAAGATTACCAAAGGAGGGGGTCAGACTGTGCCTTGGCCAAAGGCCTGGTGGAACAGCTCTGTCTTGCAGACCCTGTGGAAAGATGTCAGGTCCTACAGCGCCCTAGTCTCTTGTGGCAGAGAGTTCCACCAGATCGGGGCCATGGCCGAAAAAGCCCTGGCTCTGGTTGAGGCCAGCCTAACCTCCCTGTGGCCCGGGACCAACAATATGTTTTTGTTTGAAGACTGTAAGGTCCTCCGTGGGGCATACCAGGAGAGACGGTCCCGTAGGTATGAGGGTCCTAGGCCGTATAGGGCTTTAAATGTTAAAACCAGCACCTTAAACCTGATCCTGTACTCCACTGGGAGCCAGTACAGTTGGTATAGCACTGGGTGAATGTGATCCCACGGCGAGAACCCCGTAAGGAGTCTCGCTGAGCCATTCTGCACCTGCTGTAGTTTCTGGGTCAGTCTCAAGGGCAGCCCCACGTAGAGTGAGTTACAATAATCAAGTCTAGAGGTGACCATTGCGTGGATCACAGTGGCTAGGTCAGGGCGAGAGAGGTAAGGAGCCAACTGCTTAGCTTGGCGGAGATGAAAAAATGCCGCCTTTGTTATAGCTGCAATCTGCGTCTCCATGGCAAACAAATTATGCAATTTCATGAGAAAAAATAAGTAAGACAGGGAATGTACTGCTCCCACAAGGCCACAGGTGAATAACATGCCCATTTGTTTGCCTTTGGGAAAAACTGGAGTTTGTATTTATGTCTCTTAACATAAATGCCCAGACTTTTCTACTTCTTTATCTGTCTTTGGAATTAAAACCATGCTTCTCAAAAGAACAAGAAACTGTAACTATTTCCCTTAAAAAAAGATATTTAAATTTTTGAGTATTTTTTTGAGGCAGGCTATTCATGCAAATAAATGATTAAAGTAAGAGGTGTCAATTTGCTCAGGTGCTTGTTTTGATAGCCTAATCTATTTTAGCATACCCCATTCACTTTTCATAAGTGATGAAAGTAATAGTTAATAGCACAGTCCTAACCATGTCTACTCAAAAGTAAGTCCCATTGAATGCACTGTGGTTTATTTCCAGGTAACATGGGTAGTATTTTGCAGCCTAGGTGCTAAGGAGTTAGGTATTTGCTCAAAGGATATGCCAAATTTGTGTTCATGATGGCAACTGGATATGCTAAATAGGTTAGAGTAGAATGTCAGTTGGGACGTGGGTGGCACTGGGGGTTAAACCACAGAGCCGATCAGAAGGCCGGCGGTTCAAATCCCCGTGACGGAGTGAGCTCCCATTGCTCAGTCCCTGCTCCTTCCAACCTAGCAGTTCGAAAGCATGAAGTGCAAGTAGATAAATAGGTACCGCTCCAGCGGGAAGGTAAACGGCTTTTCTGTGCGCTGCTCTGGTTTGCCAGAAGTGGCTTAGTCATGCTGGCCACATGACCCGGAAGCTGTACGCCGGCTCCCTCGGCCAATAAAGCGAGATGAGCGCAGCAACCCCAGAGTCGGCCATGACTGGACCTAATGGTCAGGGGTTCCTTTACCCTTACCTTAGAATGTCAGTCTAAGTCATTTTGTACCACTGATGTCAGTGTGATTATGTTTCACTACTACCCATTGCGTCATGGAGGAAATATTACCGGAATAAAAGGTTCAGCATCCTAACAAGGAACTGGAAGAAGGAGAGGAAGTAGCTGGGTTTTTTGGGTGTTTGCAGTGCCCACAGTTTGTCCAGGAAGTATCAGTATGTTGTGGCGGCATTGTGTGGGAAAACTGCATTTGCAGAGTGGAAGGGTGATTCATAAGAATTGGGAAGTGGGAACCCTGCCCTCACTCCCTTGACTTACTGGTAGGTATATTTAAAACCTGTAATCAAATCACTGGTCTGTCTCTAGGCCAGTGAAAAAACTTGTCTCTAAGATTCCTGTGTTTCCAGGAGACTCCCTATTGAAATCAATTTAGTATTAGGAAATTTGGTGTCCTCATTCAGTTCAGTATAATAACAGCTGATGCCAGATATTCTGCTCATTTGTTGGAAACTTTAATTTTCCTTCAGTATTTGCATTTACTATTATAATTATATTGGCCCTGCCTCTTGGCTGGACACTTTTTCCACAGTTTTGTAACTTGGTAAATTATCCAGCTGAGAGACTGTTTAAAATCCATTTGAAAGCATCTTTAATGGCAGGGAGGCTGTTTTACCACTGTATTAAGTTTTCAAATTACCGTATTTTTCGCCCTATAGGACGCACCGGCCCATAGGACGCACCTAGTTTTTTGGGGGGGGGGGAATAAAGAAAAAAAAATTTATTCCGCCCCCCCAGCCGCAGCTTCAGTGCACCCAGGCACTGAATGGATGTCTGCCCGAAGCGCGGGGTGTTCTGCTGCAGCGCACCCCGTGCTCCGGGCAGCAGGCTGCTATCCACAGCCTAGGGAGCCCTGCGGGAACTCCCGCAGGCTCCCCAGGCTTGCTGATAGCTTCCTGAAGCCTGGAGAGCGAGAGGGGTCGGTGCGCACTGACCCTTCTCGCTCTCCAAGCTTCAGCGAAAGCCTGCATTCGCCCCATAGGACGCACACAGATTTCCCCTTCATTTTTTGGAGGGGAAAAAGTGCGTCCTATAGGGTGAAAAATACGGTAGTTTAAAATACTGCTTTCCTATTCAGGTCTTAATAAGCATCATTTACCATTGGTTGGAAGTGTCTGAATCATATGACATGTCTAATTTTTCTTCAGGGCCTTCTAGCAGAGAATTCTGCCGCAGTATGAGGTTGCAGGGTTGTATTATTATTTGTTAAATTTATATATAGTTTTTGGCATTCATTCTCTCATTTTCTTTCTAGATGCAAATCTTTTTACATAACTTTATTAACTACATTCTCATGTGCTTAGAAGCCCAATCTTAAATGCCACTTACACACCTGGTAGTAACTTGCTATGGTAGTACAGTTAACAAATAGCATGACGTTAATGATTTGTCACAGTTATGGTACAAAATATGCTATCCGTACATATGTTACCGCAAGGAATTCTTTGCAACATCGATCTGTAAACATTCTGTTACTCAAGTGTGCATCGGAATACAACCTGAAATAATACCAGTAAAACCAACTTAAAAGAAATTAAACTAAAGCAATTTCAAATGAAATTATTACAAATTACACTTAGGCAGAAATTAATTCAAAGAAATAGCAGATGTAATGCGATTCTAAGATAAAGTATAAATTTGCTAGTAGAAAGAGATTAATGGAGAATAGTGTTCCAGCTGGACACTATCAGGCAATATATATTTGGAGAAAAATATAACTATGATGTTGGCTTGAGTGGAAAAACCATACAAACTCCAGATGACCCTTGCTGGAGCTATGAAGTTGGTCTGGGTCGGTCAATACTTGAATGAGGAACCGCCTGGAAGCTCCATGTATATTGTTTTAAAACAAATACAACGAATTGACAGCAACCCTGAAATGACACAGACTGCCCTCCTTATGACAATCAAAAGGCAGAAACAACCATTCTGGGCCCAAATACTTCCTTTTATCTTACTTTTCAGAACCACCACTCTACTCTCTCTGGAATGTATCTATGGAGATTTACCTCCCAAAGGTCACCCGTTATCAAATCCATAACCACATATATTGTTTTACATCTATCTAGCCTTACAGTGGTACCTCGGGTTAAGTACTTAATTCGTTCCGGAGGTCCGTACTTAACCTGAAATTGTTCTTAACCTGAGGTACCACTTTAGCTAATGGGGCCTCCTGCTGCCGCCGCGCCGCTGGAGCATGATTTCTGTTCTCATCCTGAAGCAAAGTTCTTAACCTGAAGCACTATTTCTGGGTTAGCGGAGTCTGTAACCTGAAGCGTATGTAACCTGAAGCGTATGTAACCCGAGGTACCACTGTATTTACTTATAACCTGTGAGATTACGCCTTTAACCACATGCTTTAACCATAGTTTGGGGAAATTGTTTGGCACATCTTTGAACACTTCTCTGCAGAATCTGATGTTTTTTATCCCTCATATGCCTCCCATTTTATATATCTTCTCCATTTTGAAAGCAAATCAAAGAAGCAGCCCATAGAAAACTGAACTGGGTTTAGGGTTGTTGCATCTATCTATCTATCATCTATCTGTCTGTCTATCTATCTATCTATCTATCTATCTATCTATCTATCTGGGATTTATTTTTGTCCTGCTCTTCAGGCAAAAAAGGCTCCCAGAGCAGCTTACACATATCACTGAGAAGCTAGTCCCTGCCCACAGGCTTACAGTTTAAAAGACGTGACACAAAAGGAAGGGTTATTGGGAGGGAGGAAGAAAAAAGCAAGTTCTTCATTAGCTATATTGCCCACCCAACCCTTTCTGCTACTTGGATGTGAAGCGACAGCAGCTGTGGGACACTCTTTATATTTATGAGATAGTGAAGGAGAACCCCACCCCTGTAACTGTCATTTTCTGCAAAGGGCCTGGGAGACAATATTAAGAGTGGGAGAGAAAAACAGATAAGAGGCCCTAACTGTGAGATAACCAGCCTCATATAACCAACATGCTTTAAGTCTAATTAAGGCGTGAATGGCTTAGCTATGTCCACTTCCCTTACCTTGGGAAGAAATGAGTAATCAAGCCTACTGTTCAACCCCCAACCAACCTGAGCACAGCATGTAAAGAGGCTAAGTTGGTTGCTCCAGTTTAGCTGCATGGCTCTCAGAAGCCACTCTTGAGTTCATTTACCAGTAATTTTGGAACTCTCACCACTGTAACTAAGCCAAGTTTTACTGCCTGTGTAACTTCTTCTGAATGCTGTATGGAAAAGCACATGAATCTGACCGACAGAATTTGTAAGTAAGCCATTTGTAACCAAATATTTGGTCTTTCTCCATGCTAGGGGAAGAGGGAAGTTTTGGAACTCATAAGGGCATATTTGAAAGATCTAATAGCCTATATTTCCACACATTACTTTGCTGCATATTTTGTGATTTTAAATCTCTGTTGGGGTTCTCTCACCAAAGAGTACGTCTGTGCTGCTTTCCATTCGCATGAATCCCAAAGTGCCTTACAAGCAATAAATAACAATAACAAAACAAAACACCACAAGTACAGCATAAATCATATAATTAACAAAACGTCAATAAAACAATTACGATCTATTAGCAAAGCAGCAGCTAAGAAATAGGCTAAACATCACAATTACAGCATAAGTGTACAAATGTTTAAGAGTGGGAGTATAAAATGAATAATTACCGTATTTTTTGCACCATAACACTCACTTTTTTCCTCCTAGAAAGTAAGGGGAAATGTCTGTGCGTGTTATGGAGTGAATGTCTACGGATGGCGGGGGGATCTGCTGCAGTCGTGAGCAGAGGATCCATGGTTCCCCTTTGTAGCAGGAACCCCCCACCCCAATCATTCAGTTTGTACAAACTTCACACACTCACACTCACACACTACATATGCCACACTTCTGTTATAAATTCATAGAAAAATCAACCATACATCGGATTTGCACTGTTCCATTTTTATTTTACTCCATATGACAAGGACTATCAAAGGGGGGTGGCTTGGTTCTGGTCAGCCATAATCCCTTCACCATCCCAGCACATCCACAGGAGCCCTGCCCAGTTGCTATGCCAACCCTGATGGTCCTAGACAGAAGACCATCAAGATCACAAAGAACTTGCATATGGGAGTGGATTCAGCATGGACTGAAACAAAGGACAATGATCAGATCTTCCTCTGGGGGCAGGAAACTGCCAACTCCCTTTGTCTCCTGGAAGTGACTCATGGGGAGGGGGAAAGGAGGAACCAGCCAGGTGACAGGACACTCAGGTTACCACCACAACTCCTCCCTCAACCCCTCCTTTCTGTAATGTATGCATGATGTTTCTGGGGGTGGGCTTGACCTAGAGGATGGGAATTTCAAAAGTTTTTATAAGGTCTTGCACACCATCTTTCTGGGTCTTTCCTCTCTCTCGCAAGTGAGGGGAACACCCTATTGCAACAGTTCAATAAAGGCCAAGCCTACAGGCTGCTGTTTTGCTCCAAGTTATCCTGGTTGGTGTCTTTGTTTTTGTCCAAGGGAGCCCTCAGATTTTTCCGGTAACACCTTCCTTCCCTTCTCCGTGGCTCGCTTTGAAACAGCAAAGCAGGAGAAGAGCCGCTGAGTGGGGAGGAGAGAGGGACAGAGAGCCTGCTTGCTTTAAAGGAGCAAAGCGGGAGAGGAGAGGAGCCGCTTACACGGGTCACCCTAAATTCACCATCAGATCACATAGCATGTCCATGGCTACAGCTTGCACCAAAAAATCACGCACCCACTGTTGCCTGGGGCTGCAGTGGTGCAAAAACGTGGTTACAAAGCATGGATCCACATGGATCTTCAGGATTTTTGCATTGGGCTACTCCAAACTCACTGTCAGATCACATGTCTGTGGCCCCAGCATGAACCACAAAAATCATACATCCACTGTTTCGTTTAGATTTTTTTTTCTTTTCTTGTTTTCCTCCTCTAAAAACTACGTGCGTGTTATGGTTGGGTGCGTGTTATAGAGCGAAAAATACGGTAGTTTTCACTTGCAAAGACTGTATATTTGGGTTGCTAATGAGACAATGTTTTCAGCCATTAGAAGTCTAAGCTTTTGGAATAGTTTTCCTGGCATATTGATAGGAAGGAGAAAAACGAGAGCTGGATACAATTGGAAGAATATTTTTGGACCAGTGACTAGGGTTTCTTTCAAACTCTAAGAGCTGGACAGCTATGCGGTAATGGTTTTGTCAGCAACAATTCTGCTAAGATGTGTCTTGTGCGCAACAATTCTCTGTTTAACAAATATATTTTAATTGTGTAACGATAGAATGATGTCATACTTGCTGGCAGAAGAAAAATTAGGCAACATTTTAAACTAAGAAATATTGCTGTAGCGTTAGCTTATTCTTCTGCCTTCTGCCATTTCCTCTTCTTCTGACTCATTTGTTTCTGGAATGATTTTTTTATTTGTTTAATCAGCTGTATGTTTGGTAACATGCCACAAAAGCACACCCTCCATCTCCATACGGGTTATTCTGCAATAATTGACAAATACAGTAAATCCCTTACTTGCAATAGTTAGCAATGCAGGTAAGGTTTTCCCACCCAATAAGCATATAGAAACATGCTGAATCGCCATTTTTTTGTTACAGTGCTGATGACGATGCAGCCTAGAATTGAATTAGCTTTGTCCATGACTTTGTGTATGACTAAGATAGCAGACAAGACAACGCTTTGTGTGTACAAGGCAATTAAATGTGTAGGATAAAGGGAGACCTGGGCTGGCTCTCAATTTTTTCCATACTTCATAAACAGGTACAGTGGTACCTCGGGTTACATACGCTTCAGGTTACACACGCTTCAGGTTACAGACTCCACTAACCCAGAAATAGTGCTTCAGGTTAAGAACATCTCAGGATGAGAACAGAAATTGTGCTTCGGCGGCACAGCCCCATTAGCTGAATGAAGTGGTGCTTCAGGTTAAGAACAGTTTCAGGTTAAGAACAGATCTCCAGAACGAATTAAGTACTTAACCCGAGGTACCACTGTATATAATTCAAAAGGGACTCAAACCAGTTTAGAAAGAGAGTGACTGTAAGAAAAGGAAAAGAAGAAATATGAAGGTAACATCTTTCTAGGAATTTTGTGTATAGAATATTCAAATTATGGTTTGTACTCCTTAAATAATGTTGTGTATTTGATAATTTCTTTTCTTTTCGATTTCTTTCCTTTTTCTTTTTTAAATCTCTAAAATTTTCTTTTATGTATTTTTTTCTTTTTAGTATATGTGGTTTAGGATCAACTTATTCTTTTCTCCTGTCAATTTTAAAAATGCAACAAAGATGAATACAGTGGTACCTCGGGTTACATACGCTTCAGGTTACATACGCTTCAGGTTACAGACTCCGCTAACCCAAAAATATTACTTCAGGTTAAGAACTTTGCTTCAGGATGAGAACAGAAATCGTGTGGCGGCGGCGCAGTGGCAGCGGGAGGCCCCATTAGCTATAGTGGTGCTTCAGGTTAAGAACAGTTTCAGGTTAAGAACAGACCTCCAGAACGAATTAAGTTCTTAACCTGAGGTACCACCGTAATAATAATAATAGTAATAATTTAAAAATATAATTCAAAAGCGGCACCCAAAAGCTTGCCCCAAATAAGACCCCTTTAAAGGCAGTTCGCCCCGTTATTCTGCTCTGACTTTGCCTTCCACCAGACTGAGGGGGAAAGGAAAGACAACGTCTTCCCGCCAAAACGGCCAAAGCAGGACCCTCACCTCGTCCAGCCCATTCCCCACGTCTCAGGGCGGGAAGCAAGGGAGCAGCAATGGCTCCTTCCATTTCTTCCATCATCACCAGCACCCTGAGGGAGGTGCCGGGTGCTGTGAGGGGGGAAAGGCAGCACATTCATATATGGGGTGTGGGAACTGTGGAACCAAAACACACACACACACACACACACATATGGAGATGCTGAAAGTTAAAGGGCATCCATTGCGGGGATGTTTAGATTTACTTTTTAAAAAATATATATATATATTTTTATTGCCCCATTTCCACGTAACAAATTATCAAACCATATCATCACCTACATAATTTCCCCCCTTTCCCCCTCCCCCACACCAAGGACTTCCCTCCGTTCCTCTCCCTGATTTCGCTGCACATATTTTCTCTGCATATTATAAAATTGTATATATCCTTGCATATCTGTCCATCATGTTATCAACAATAAATTTGTGTGTGTTTATTCAAAACCTGCCAAGGAGTCCAGTTCATTTTGTTGTGTTTTTAAATAATTTGTGTAAAGTTCCCATTCCTCCTTGAAGTCACAGTTGTCCTTGTCTCGCAATTTGTATGTCGATTTGGCCAGTTCTGCATAGTTCATCAATTTCTCTTGCCACTGTTCTTTTGTCCGGGTTTCCTCATTCTTCCATCCTTGTGCTATCAAGACTCATGCTGGATGTTTAGATTTACTAATCCCCCACAGCCACACCTCTTTCAATGTGGGTGAGGGATTAATTTGTCCCTGGTGTTTGGAGCTCTAAGCAACATTTGGCGGTGGTGCTTTAAAACAGGGTCCTTTATTGTGTGGGGAGTTGGAGCTCAATTTCTGTTGCTGCTGCTGCTCTGTTCTAAATCTGTTAAGCGCTGAGGAACGAGGAACAGCTTATTGAAAAGAAATGGTTTCCTTTAAAATAAAAGGCATCTAGTCCTTGTATTCCTTCCTCACCCCTTTGTCGGGGTTCACTGTGTGTGGTAATGGTGCTGGTAAAGCTGTCAAACAACAACAACAATCCCTCAGTGTCCTGCTCTAAATGTGATACTCATTTACCTGGGAGTAAGTCCCATTGCACTTAGTGTGGCATAGTACTGAAGTGATACGTAGACAATTGTTCTGTATGCCTGCAATGCTAAGCACATAAGATGTATAGCTTATCTTATTATTTTTTTCGCAATATTCCTATACTGTTTTATGGTCGTAAACTCTTCCAGCAGTTTGTGATGAGATCAACATAATGTAATTGATGCGTTTGCTGACGATTGGCTGGGGTGTGTGAGAAACAAAACTTGCGTGGCGAGTTCCCGCCTCCCCCCTCAGAAATAAAGACACGAGACACAAGAATTCGAGTTAATGGGTCAAATTAGGCCACAACTTTATTGATTACAGGAATTGAGCGGTATTGGCTTAGGCATTGGTCCTAACAACTGTTACCGGAAAAATCCGAAGGCTCCCTTGGACAAAATAAAGACACCAACCAGGATAACTTGGAGCAAAACAGCAGCCTGTAGGCTTGGCCTTTATTGAACTGTTGCAACAGGGTGTTCCCCTCACTTGCGAGAGAGAGGAAAGACCCAGAAAGATGGTGCGCAAGACCTTATAAAAACTTTTGAAATTCCCATCCTCTAGGTCAAGCCCACCCCCAGAAACATCATGCATACATTACAGAAAGGAGGGGTTGAGGGAGGAGTTGTGGTAACCTGAGTGTCCTGTCACCTGGCTGGTTCCTCCTTTCCCCCTCCCCATGAGTCACTTCCAGGAGACAAAGGGGAGTTGGCAGTTTCCTGCCCCCAGAGGGAAGATCTGATCATTGTCCTTTGTTTCAGTCCATGCTGAATCCACTCCCATATGCAAGTTCTTTGTGATCTTGATGGTCTAGGACCATCAGGGTTGGCATAGCAACTGGGCAGGGCTCCTGTGGATGTGCTGGGATGGTGAAGGGATTATGGCTGACCAGAACCAAGCCACCCCCCTTTGATAGTCCTTGTCATATGGAGTAAAATAAAAATGGAACAGTGCAAATCCGATGTATGGTTGATTTTTCTATGAATTTATAACAGAAGTGTGGCATATGTAGTGTGTGAGTGTGAGTGTGTGAAGTTTGTACAAACTGAATGATTGGGGTGGGGGGTTCCTGCTACACAACTAACCAGCTTCAGCCTGCCTGCTTGAAGGCCGGTGAGGGTTAACCACCAGTAGAGGGAGTCCTGCTGAGGCACGTCAACTAGGACCTCCCCCCGGGGTCACGCCGTGGGCCCACACCTCCATAGACTTAGGACAAGGCCACGCCCCCCGGAATCCTTTACCGGACCAACCTTTGATTTGGGAGAAGGTGATGGCGCTACCTTCCCCCCTCTTCATTTGCATAACAATAAAACAGTACCCCTACCAATGCCTAACCGCCACTCGAGCCCAAGCTCGCCGCCAACACACTCAAACCTGTAACCAATCCCTAATCCCTAGGATAATATCGTTCACTGCGATAGGGGAGCGACAATCTCTCCAAGTGCGCCTTTCCAACAATGATGACCACAGAATGTTAATACTGGGATAAGAGGTAAGTAGTTCGTCAAAGTCTCTGAAGATATTCCATTGTAAATCTATGGCTTTACGGTAGGCTAAGTCGTTTCCCCCCAGCTGTATAATTAAGGCGTCTGGTGGGCCTTCGATCGCAGCTCTGTTCCTCATACTCATTTACCTGGGAGTAAGTCCCATTGCACTTAGTGTGGCATAGTACTGAAGTGATATGTAGACAATTGTTCTGTATGCCTGCAATGCTAAGTGCATTTAATAGGGAGAGAGCCTTACTGAGCTTAATAAGATTTATAGCTTATCTTATTATTTCTTTCGCAATATTCCTATACTGTTTTATGGTCATAAACTCTTCCAGCAGTTTGTGATGAGATCAACATAATGTAAATGATGCGTTTGCTTACGATTGCCTGGGGTGTGTGAGAAACAAAACTTCTAAAAACAAACTTGCCAATGCTAGAGTATAGCCAGCATTTTGCGAATTTGCCGCAACAATTACTGTTGTTGGTTACACATGAAAATATGGACAATGCTTGGCTTCTGGTTCTACTCTGCCTTAATGGAGGCACCCCTTGGGGGATGTCGTTGGTGGAGGAAAAACAAGGATGATTGGAGGGTAATTATTCTGGCTCTCGCTCTGGCATGGAAGGCGGGAGGCAGGGAGGCGCTGAGTGCAAAAGCACTTCTGCCAAAAACTCTCCAGTGTTGCCATTAAAAAGCAGAGGTTCTCCTGCTAATTAGAGTTTAATTTTAACTAAAGTACAGGTACATGCTAGAAGAGATGAGATCACCAACTGCGGAACAAACCAACTGCAAGGAGTTTAAGGTTTTAACTTGAAAGAAGGACTTCGTTCACTGGGTGGGGGGAGCCTACAGTTTCCTTATTTACTGTAAAGTTTTCTTCTTTACATTTATGATTTGGCAACCCTCCTCTGAACGTTAGTTCAAATTATATTTGTACAGGCGAGGATGGAAGAAATTGGATTATAAATATGGAATATAACATCAAACGGAACTGTGTGTGTAAAAACATGAAAAAGGGGGGGAAGCTTTATTTTGCAAAAGGTTTACGGTGGAAACTTAAAGCTGACTCTTCCCTATCTTTTCTTATTTACAAAGTGAACTGAATAACACTAAGAGGACTTGGAATTTAATTTAATTGGAAGTACAATTGCTCATATATCTTCATTTGGAAGGAAGGATGAAAGGAGTCTGTGAACTGCCAAGGAATTGACTGCTCTTCCCAGGCTGAGAGGAAAAATTATAACAACAGTTTATTTATTGGGACAGAGTGAGTTTTGCAGCTGTTGTTAAAGTTGCAAAACAATGAAGCATGGGACAGAGTGAGGTAGAAATTTCTGGAAAAACAATGGGATGTCAGCTCCGTCCAAGGCATGATGGATAACAGCAACAACTGGGAAAAGATAGACATAACATTTTACAAGGAGAGGAAGAAACACTACGGACAGAATAATTCCCACATACAGGAAGAACAAGGATATAGTTTGAGTTCCTCACTTGTAGTTTTATAAATCATTTAATGTGTCAGCATGAATAGAACTTTATTTTAAGTACAGTGGTACCTCAGGTTAAGTACTTAATCTGTTCTGGAGGTCCGTTCTTAACCTGAAGCACCACTTTAGCTAATGGGGCCTCCCGCTGCCGCCGCGCCCCTCCATGCAATTTCTATTCTCATCCTGAAGCAAAATTCTTCACCTGAGGTACTATTTCTGGATTAGTGGAGTCTGTAACCTGAAGTGTATGTAACCTGAAGCGTATGTAACCCGAGGTACCACTGTATAGGGTTTTTTGTGTTTATATGTAAACTGAGAGATCAGCGATGGATGCCTCCTATGTTGAGGAGCTCGAAGGAATCCTGAAAGAAGCTAGTTCTATAGAATATAACATAAAGGTGAAAAGGGAGAATCTAACACAGATTTGCTGCAATTGCAGACGCTCTATGAGGTGAACATGGATTATCTGGCAAATGACCTGAATTTTAACACACAGGCTGTATATTTAGGGTTCTATCTCTGCTGTACGCTATTGTAGAACAAAACACCCTCTTATCTGTTGTAATACTTGCATATATTTGTATTTATCATTCAAGAAATATCCCAACACTTTTCAAAGCAATGTAACTTTAGCAGTATTAATGAAATAGAATATAGGATTTTGTTTTTAATATGATTCTGTGGGATTAGAGTCTGTTACAAGGCCCATGCCCATAACCTTTTCTTTCTAAAACAAGTTTGGGTGTGGATTGGGCTCCCTTTCTGGTAGTAATAACTTGATGTATCAGAAAGACGGAATGCAGAGAATTCGAAATGCTTGAACTAAAACAGACTTTGCAATGAAGAACAGGGATAAACAAGTTAGGAACATTTTATGGTTTGGCAGAAAGTGGCTAAATGTGACTGATACTTTATTTTTGTGGGCATACTGTAATCTGTTGAAAGCGAGTGCAGTGTGCCCATTCGACATGCCAGCGGATTGTGGCCCCAGAACACTCTCTTCTTGCAGAGAGCCAGCACAGATAAGGTTTCAATCAAAGGCTAGCTTGCTACAAACACAAGGGCATTTATCTGTTAAGTCATCTGCCTCTGATTCACTCTCATGAGTTTGCTGATCACACGACCAGCTGCAGGTGAAGGACAAGCCCACCTACCCACCTACCGAAATTAACCCTGTCTTGTCCCTTTCCTCTTCATGCATAAACTGCATGCATAATGCTTACACTAATCTCATTATTGTGTTAAACAGAAGAGAGTCAAACACATGTTTAATTGTCACATAAAAACTTTAGTATTTAACAGTGCTTAACTTTGGTTGGATTGTGCACTCAGTGTATTTTGGTAAAACCATATTTCAGACTAAACACCTGTTTTAACTACGGTAAATAGATTTTACAGATTCATCTTTCTTGCTGCATATTTTATTATTTTGGAATGTTGGGGGACTCAGTCAATTAAAATAAAAGAGAAAGGAAGATAGGACATTCCAAAAATTATTTTATTTTGCTTGTGCAAATTTGCCACACCTATCTGTCCCTAAATAAAATCATGCTTTTGTTACTAACCTTCAGAAATCAAGGACATTATTTTACAGATTGTGTAATGATAAGTTATTAAGCAACTGATACAAGATTCTATCCGTCAACAATGGTTGGTATATCCTAGACCTAGACTAAATGTAATACCTGTTTTTCATTGTACTGAGAATTATACTTCCACTTTTCTTTCCATAATCTGCTTTCATGTTGGATTAGAGACTCAGGGTGAGGTTTAAACTAAAAATTAATTGGGTTTAAAGCTGCCATGTCTGATCAACAGAGCTTAGCTGGGAATTACTTCTCCCTCTAATCTTTTCCAATCTTAAAAAGTAGAGACATCACCTTGCCAACAAAGGTTTGTATAGTTAAAGCTATGGTTTTCCCAGTATGGAAGTGAAAGCTGGACCATAAAGAAGGCTGATCGCCGAAGAATTGATGCTTTTGAATTATGGTGCTGGAGGAGACTCTTGAGAGTCCCATGGACTGCAAGAAGATCAAACCTCTCCATTCTGAAGGAAATCAGCCCTGAGTGCTCACTGGAAGGACAGATCGTGAAGCTGAGGCTCCAATACTTTGGCCACCTCATGAGAAGAGAAGACTCCCTGGAAAAGACCCTGATGTTGGGAAAGATGGAGGGCACAAGGAGAAGGGGACGACAGAGGATGAGATGGTTGAATAGTGTTCTCGAAGCTACCAGCATGAGTTTGACCAAACTGCGGGAGGCAGTGGAAGACAGAAGTGCCTGGCGTGCTCTGGTCCAGGGGGTCACAAAGAGTGGGACACGACTAAACAACAACAACTAATCTTTTCCATCCTTTTGTTCAACATGCAACATTCCTAATATTTTAGACTATTAACAGGGTCAACTTGACTCAAAGACCTCAGAACCCAATGTCTTGAAATGACCTCTGATGACATCTATAGATTCTACTGGCTAGGAGTAGCTGTGACTACTCTGACCATTACTAAAAATTATATGGATCAAATCCATAATTGATAAAATACAGAATAGTAGAGAACACAAGGCTCTTTCATACTTTTGCCAGTTATTTAATGTTTCGTTCTCCTGACACATGTGACCGATAAAATTGTAAATATGTTTATTAAGATAGACTGTTTACCAATATTCCTTCATGTTGGCTTATGACAAAACTAGGGAATATTTCACCCTTAAGCTGGATGTGGCTGTGGTAGGTTTCCAAATGGCTCTCAGCCTCCCCTCACCAACTGTATTCCTCTTCAGACCTGCCCTTCACAATGAGCTGCTGATGGAGGAAGAAATTGCTCTTGTCTAATCAGATTTTCCTGCTGGATGTACTCTGATGTGAGTACTTCAGTACCACTCATCTCTTTACACAGCCTTCACATAAATGCAGAGGTGTGTGGCACTGAAAACTTTAGCACATGCAGAAGGATCACGGAGGGAGACATGCGGGTATAGGTGATAATAATATTCTTCACAATCCAGACCGGCTCCAGTTTTCTTTGAGTCTGCTTTCTGTTGGTTGGAAAGGGACAGCAACCAAGTGTTATGAGTATTTTAAAAATAGGAGGCAGTTGCATTAGAAAGAAAAATTCCCCAAGAGGCTCCTGAAGGACAGCCCTGAAATCTGGGATGACTCTCCTCTCTCACAGGGTCATGTGACCAAAGAGGTCCTTGCTGAGGGAGGAGCTATCCTGCGATCCCCAGTTTGGCCCTGAAGCTCTCAACGTGTCAGCATGTGTTTTCTTATTTTTATCCTTTCTGGATACACACTCTCTCTCTCCCCCCCCCCCTCTCTCCCTGCCCCCCAAATTCAGCCTTCCTGCAAGGACAATACAAAATTAATTAATTAATTAAAAAACAAAACAAGCCAAAGTGATACTAATCATTCCACGCTGGGCAAGAAGACCATGGTTCCTAGAGCTCCTACTCATTATTGAACTTCCCATCATAGCGACTCCCAGCCAGGAGGGATCTGCTCAAACAGGGACCAATCCTTCACCCAGACCTAGGAATGTTCTGACTAACTGGCTAGAGACTGAGTGCATCTGGCTCTTGGACCTGGCAACATCCGGGAAGGTTCTAGAGTATTGGAGAGTATTGGAGATTCCCCAGCTGGAACCCAGGTTTTAGACAGCCCTAATGAGTGCTCCCCTCAAACCTATGGCAACAAAAGACTTCCATCTGAAGGCAGTTTTTTCTGGTGGCTGTCACCTCAGCTCAACGGGTGCCAGAGATCGGAGCACTGTCTTCCGACCCATATCTTTGTACCTTCCATCAAGACAAGGTGGATCTTTCATTCATCCCCAAGGTGAATTTCCTTTTCTGCAGGTCTCAGGAAATAACATTACCCTACTTCTGCCCTAAGCCAGATAAGGAGAAGGCCTGGCACTCTTTGGGCATGCATAGAGCACTGAGGTTCTACTTAGACAGAACAAAGGCCTTCACAAAGTCTGTAGCAGTTCTTCCAAAGCAGGTTCTCCAGCAGGTTTAACAGCACACCTTTAAAGGGGACTTTCCCCTGGTGGATGCTTGTTGGGCAACCATCTGGGCCTCCTTGCACACATTCGCCATACACTACAAGCTAGACAAATGGGCTTCAGCCAACACAGCCTTCGGCAGGAAGGTACTATGAAAGGTGGTACAGCCATGATGCCTCGCTAAGCCCACCCAATAGGAATAGCTCTGGTGCATCCCATGTGTAAGAAGGGCTGTCCTTCAGGAGCCTCTGGGAAACAGAAAAAAATTATTACAGTGAATTTCTATTCCCCGAGACTCCAGGGACAGCAGCTACCACAATAAGAGAGTCATGCATGGCTGTATGGGGATGGGACTTCACTGGATGAAGTAAAGTCACAAGATAGTACCTAATAAGTTTTGTTCCTGAGGTTTTTTTGCCTAGCAGTACACCTGGAAGCTAAACTGATACGACACACCAATTGGAGCAGGAAATGAACTTCACCAGCTGCAACGTGCTGCCTAAAGGGGAGCGGTTATTTCCTGCTCAACCATCCTAACTGGAGCATGTGGGATTATTTCTTCCCAGCAAGGACCTGTTTTGTTATGTGACCCTAGCTACCAGTGAAAGGGAAGATTCATCCCAGATGTAAGGGAGTCTCTGGGAACAGAAATTCACAGTAAGAATTTCCTTTCATTCACTTCCTTACTAAGCTGGGTCAAATCACTTTGCCCTCTTGTTTTGAAACAATTAACTGGTAGCACATTTCATTAGATTCTCTGAGCATATTTGTAAACGGTCCTAAACGTGTTAGACAGCAAAGCTCGTGTATGTGAAAAGGCAGTGTTAACTGGGAAAGTGCATACTATTCCATCAATTTCTTTTCAAAGCTGCAGAGATGGAACGCTGCAGAATGACGGTGCAAAAAGCTGGTATCGCTGTTTCTGTCTGTTCTGTTCAGCTTCATCCCTAAATGCTTGTTCAGTCAGAAAAGGCTGAGACAGAGCCAGGCTTTTATTCTGAAATGATGTGTTCAGCCAGCCTAGTTGTACACTCCCATCATTAACAGATGCACTGTACCATCTTTCGCATAGACGGTTTATGCAGGTTCCTCAGTATATGCTTCAGAATCACGAAAGATGCTTTCCCACATGTTCTCTTTCATCAGCCTCCTGTCTAGGAATGTGGCTGATTTTCTTTGGTCTTTGCTCCAGTACATCCCAGGTAAGATTTCCATTTCTTCCCAGCTTTCTGCTAGGGGCTGTTTTTCAGCATCTGAGATTGGACGGACTGTATTCAGAGGCCTGTTTGGGATTGTGCCTGTAACCCACAAGATTAGAGTCTAGTTATTATTCAGAAGCGCACGTACTGATTATTTCAGATTGTGCAGTTTGGGGGCTGGGAGGTCATCGGCGGCCAACAACAATCTCTGCAATTAGGTTGCAGTCTGAAATTTGAATGGCTTTTTATTTTATTTTTAAGAAGGAAGTCGCTTGTTTAAAACATGTAACACCAAAGCTTTCACCTAGTCTCCACAATACAGAACTCAGAGAATATCAAAACAGTCAGCTAGGGAGTGATGAACTAAAATAATATGTAATGTGTTTCTCATTGGAATCGGGATTGGAACTCTCAAAGCCTAGTTAAGTTGCATTGCTATCCTTAAGCCATGGTGTTGCCTGCTGTCAAATTTTCATAAGGATGGAGCAGGAAAGCAATAATGGACTTATCCTTGTATAGCAAATTCAGTTCATTTGCTGTGCAAGCTTTGGTATTGTTAGGTAGAACCTGCTAGTTTCATTGTTGCAAGCTTTGTAAGGATAAATGCCTTGAGCGATAGTGTAATATGTTTTTTAGTTTTCTTCTGTATTGTATTGCTTCACAGCACGTATGCTATTTTGACAGCAATGTAATATGTTTTAAGAGCAAGAGTTGTGCAATATTACATAGATGGGAGAAAAACAACATTTAATCACAGCAGTAATCTAAAAAGCAATTCTTATCAAAGTTATTATTCTTTATTTTTTACCCTTTTGCTGCAAATGCAAACCTATTTACTTCAACTTTTTGGATCACCAAAGCAAAATAGAAACAAATTGTGGGAAAGCAGTAACTTTCATAGCTGACAAATCTCAGCTACATTAAAAACAGAGAATAGAGTTTAACCAGTAAAACCACAGACTCAAGATTGTAACTGAAACAAATCACTGAGTGGCGTTATTAAACGATATGAAATATTACAAAATTTATAGTAAATAAAACAAGATAAAACAAGTTACAAAATATAACATATTTGAAACTTAAACAACTTACATAAGACAAAACTTAAAGCAGCTTTATACAATTTGCACGTACTCATTAATGGTATGAAGTCATAAATAACACAATCTTCTTCCCCTTCCCTCCAGTCAGTCTAGTTCTGAAACAGTTCTAAGTTCCCTAGCATACTAAAATAAATGAATAAAAGTCAATGTTTTCAACCCAAGGCAGTGGGCCAGGGGCCAAATACACAAAACAAGTTGAGTAGCAGGCAGTAAGCAAGAAGAATAAATAAATCTTATACAACTCTTCCCATCTCCACCCGCCAAAATAAAGAACTAACAATACGTGCACACACAATGCTACCTTTTATATCAGTCAGCAATGGAACCAGGAGACTGGACTTCTTTTGTCAATTTTACATTAATTTCATTACTCTTATTGGTGGACCCACATAAGATGTAGCTATGAATTACCATTATTTGCCAGGAAGAGAGGAAGAAAGTACCGTATTTTTTGCTCTATAAGACTCACTTTTTTCCTCCTAAAAAGTAAGGGGAAATGTGTGTGCGTCTTATGGAGTGAATGCAGGCTGCGCAGCTATCCCAGAAGCCAGAACAGCAAGAGGGATTGCTGCTTTCACTGTGCAGCGATCCCTCTTGCTGTTCTGGCTTCTGAGATTCAGAATATTTTTTTTCTTGTTTTCCTCCTCCAAAAACTAGGTGCGTCTTTTGGTCTGGTGCGTCTTATAGAGCGAAAAATACGGTAATTAACTGGAACTCTTGGGTTATCACACTCCAGCAGTGGCCTGCCAAAATGTATAATACTTTCATTTATGTTGTGGCTTCGTGGCTGTTTTGCTGCTACATTTATCATTATGCCAGAGTCTTAAACTGCAGCACGTACAGCATCAAAACTTGCACAAAGGACTTTGCAGCCTGGAAAAAAAGACAAGACACGTACTTTTGTAAACCAAGAAAATATTTTATAAAAATTATTTTTTAAAAAAATACAAACTGCCTATGCAAAAATGACACAGACATGAAACAGCATCTTCCATCTTGATCCATCATGGCTGTTTTCCTGTGTGAATTGAACGTGCCATAATTGCTGGGTATTTTCAGACATTGCCTGAACTTTTCTCCTCTGAAATGCCTTTCGCACAAACGGTAGTCATAAAAACATTATCAATTTTTATATCATTCTCACCTAATGAATAATCTAAAATTAATATCTAGTTTTCTTAATATGAGGACTACCACATCTATTTTGCTACTGCTTTCCCTTATAAAGGTGTGTTCCACAATTCTGATGAATTCCAAAGACAAAACTAAATAATTTTTGGCTTTTACATTTTCAAAGACGGTTGTTTGCTTCTTTGCCATACCATGCATTTAGTGCAGCCTGAGATCATTTGCATTGGACACAAAACCAATGAGTTTGCAAAGTGCTTCCTGAATCTCAAAGTTGCAGGCAATTGCCTGTCTAAGGCAAACCATAAATGGAGCCAACTCCGTGCACTGGCATGAGAGTGAGAGAGAATTCTTTAGTTGCCAGACTCATGTACTTTGTTTTTAGTGGCACTGAACTGTAATTTACCTTAGAAATACTTGGCATTTCTAGCGTTATCATCTTCTGATTTGCCTCTTAACACACAGTTCTCAAGGAATGGAGCAGGAAAAGTATGAAAAGTTTGGGTTGGTTTTTTTTAAATACACAACTGGAGACCCAAGGTTGGGAAATCCTGATTTAGAGAATTGCAGGCTTACAGTGAGAGCTTGTACATGTCTATTCAGAAGCAAATCCCATTGGCGTCAATAAGGCTTACTCCCAGGCAAATGAGTAGAGGACTGCTGCCTTCCTTTCTTCCTTAGCCAATGGATAGGAACAGAATGTTCCTTGCAGTTGGCTTTTGCTGGCAGAGAAGGTGCAGGTGAAGCCAAACCATGTCAGTAATTGATGGTGATAGAGTAGATGATCAGAAGCAATGTTTCAAAAGGGAGAAAAGTCAACAGCTTGACTTAAGCAGGGAGGATTTTGTCGGTCACTGACCTGGCAACCTGCCAAGTACATCACTGTGACCTGGCAACCGGTCAAGGGTGTGGTCATTCTTGGGTGAGGGAGGAGCCAGGGCGATAGTTGTGGTGTGGCTCTTTTCGTTGTGGCTCAACACAGCACCTCAGGAGACACTGTACTGCCTGCCTGGCTCCAGATGCCAACCATAAAAAGCATCCCCATTTAAAACAGAAGCAAATAACTCAATTTGTCTCAGCCGTGGTGAGACAGTCAGTTCCTGAAACCAGAGTTGCTGACTGAGTCTGGCTGTTGGACTCTGCCTGTACTGAGCATGTGGTGAACCCCAGGGAATTATTTGTTTCTTGAAGCGCTGTTAGTAAGGACCATGTCACCCTTGCTGATGGTTCATGTGTTTCAATCCAAGGGTGAGGGTCGGCGTATGTGCCTTGTCTGGGGGCACATTTGGAAAATGTTTTGCTAGTGGAAAATCTCCAGTATTGTTTGCTGAGTGTAGCATGCTTGGCAAAAGATAATTACAATGTAATCTTTACTGGCAGAACTTGCCGGAGAATGGGGCTTGCACACTTTAGAAGTTTAGCAAAAATGCCACAGCTGTGCACTGATTTAAAGTTAAAAGCCTCCCAAGTAAATACTTGGGAGTGTGAAACCTGCAAACTTTCTAAGTGAGCAAAAAGAGTAACAGAGTGTCATAAAGACCATTTGCTCAAGTGCAAACTGACCTAACTTATTAGTTTTCAGTGACAATCCAACAATAGCCTCAATATAACAATACCAATTTGTAATACAATTACTAATACCAATTGTTCAAATACCGAATTATATAATTCAGATAAGGTGCCTCCCCTCGTGTGCTAGAACTGAAGGTTTGATTATTTTCTTTATTTCTGCGCTCCAAAACTTTATTGATTTCCATTACATTCCGGACATCATAATAATCCCTTATACAACAACTGCAATATTAATAACTTCTATTCATGTTGACACATTAAATGATTTATAAAACTGCAAGTGAGGCACTCAAACTATAAAAATAAATTAAAAACAAACAAAAAAACTATATCCTTGTTCTTCCTATGTGTGGCAATTATTCTGTCCGTGGTGTTTCTTCTTGTCCTTGTAAAATGTTATGCCTATCTTTTTCTGGTTGTTGCTATTATCCATCATGCCTTGGACGGAGCTGACATCCCATTGTTGTTCCAGAAATTTCTACCTCACTCTGTCCCGTGCTTCATTGTTTTGCAACTTTAACAACAGTTGCAAAAGTCACTCTGTCCCAATAAATAAACTGTTGTCATCATTTTTCCTCTCAGCCTGGGAAGAAGAGCAGTCAATTCCTTGGCAGTTCACAGACGCCTTTCATCCTTCCTTCCAACTGAAGATATATGAGCAATTATACTTCCAATTAAATTAAATTCCAAGTCCTCTTAGTGTTATTCAGTTCACTTTGTAAATAAGAAAATATAGGGAAGAGTCAGCTTTAAGTTTCCATCGTAAACCTTTTGCAAAATAAAGCCTCCCTCCCTTTTCCCTTTTTTACACAAACAGTTCCGTTTAATGTTATATTCCATATCTATAATCCAATTTCTTCCCTCCTCGCTTGTACAAATATAATTTGAACTAACATTCAAAGGAGGGTTGCCGAATCATAAATGTAGAGAAGAAAACTTTATATAAAGAAACCATAGGCTCCCCCCCACCATCTTTTGCAGTGAATAAAGTCTTCTCTCAAGTTCAAACCTTAACAACCTTGCAGCTGGTTCTGTTCTGCAGTTTGTGATCTCATCTCTTCTAGCATGCACATGTACTTTAGTCTGAATGAAACTCTAATTCACAGGAGAACCTCTGCTTCTTAATGGAGGCATTGGGTTTTCAGCAGAAGTGCTTTTGTACTCAGCGCCTCCCTGCCTCCTGCATTCCATGCCGGAGTGAGAGCCAGGATAATTATCCTCAATCATCCTTGTTTATCCTCCACCGATGATCTCCTGCTGTCATGAGAGCTGCCTCCATTAAGGCAAACTGGAACCGGAAGCCATGCACCTCAAACTTTTGAGGAAGTTCTGCAGCTGCCTTCACAACAGCAGGATCTTGGGTTTGCTGTAATGGAACAACAAATGCAATCCCTGACTGATCACAAGGTTTTCTCACTTGTTGATATGCCAGAACAGGAGAAATCTGTGGGGTGCCGTTGGGTCTATAAAAGTTAAACCATAGCATCTGGTAAAGTGAAGTTTAAAGAAAGGTTTGTTGTGAAAGGATTCATGCAGAGAAGGGGTTTAAATTATGATGAGACTTTCGTTCTGACAGCCAGAAGTGAAAGTATGAGAATTCTTTTAACCCTCACAGCAATACATGATCTTGAAGTTAGTCACTTTGACATTGCGATAGCATATTTAAATGCAGGGTTAAAAGAGGTGGTTTATATGCAACAAGCTCCGGGATTTGAGCAGAATCCTAAAGCTGTATACAGACTTTACATGGTGATCTATGGACTTTGCCAATCAGCCAGAAATTGGAAAATGTGCTTGCATGAAGCGCTAAGTGTTCTAGGATTTCAAAAGAGCTGGGCTGATTCCTGTCTATATTGTAAGGGGACAGGAGATGATTGTATGTTTTTTCTAGTGTTTGTTGATGAGTTAACGTGTGTTGGGAAAACAAACAATTAAATTCCGGAGTTTGCCCAGCAAGTTGGGGCAAGAGTTCCAGCTCAAAGATTTAGGAGCTATAAAGAGGTACCTGGGAGTTGAAGTACAGAGAATAAGTGATGGGAGTTTTTCTACTAAGCCAGAAAAAGAAATTTACACAACTGTTAGAATGTTTTGGTATGCAGAATTGTAAAGGTAAAGGTAAAGGGACCCCTGACCATTAGGTCCAGTTGTGACCGACTCTGGGGTTGCGGCGCTCATCTCGCTTTACTGGCCGAGGGAGCCGGCGTACAGCTTCCGGGTCATGTGGCCAGCATGACTAAGCCACTTCTGGTGAAACCAGAGCAGAGCACGGAAACGCCGTTTACCTTCCCGCCGGAGCGGTACCTATTTATCTACTTGCACTTTGACGTGCTTTCGAACTGCTAGGTTGGCAGGAGCAGGGACCAAGCAGGGACCAAGCAATGGGAGCTCACCCCGTCGCGGGGATTCGAACCGCCGACCTTCTGATCGGCAAGTCCTAGGCTCTGTGGTTTAACCCACAGCACCACCCATATGCAGAATTGTAAAAGCGTTCAAACTCCTGTGGTGACAGACTTTTAAAAAGCAGAGTAATGTGGTGTTTGAAAACCAGGAGCTATACCACTCTGACATTGGCAGTTTGTTGTACATTTCACAGTGGTCCAGACCAGATGTTAACAATGCTGAGGGTGTTCTTAGCAGGATAGTTTCAAAGCTAACCACAGCAGCTTGGCAAGCAGTTAAAAGAGTGTTTCGCTATTTAAAAGCAACATAGGACTACTGTTTAAAACTGTCATCCTCTTTGGAAATGATGTACAGTGGTACCTCAGGTTACATACGCTTCAGGTTACAGACTCCGCTAACCCAGAAATAGTGCTTCAGGTTAAGAACTTTGCTTCAGGATGGGAACAGAAATCGGGCTCCGGCGGCGCAGCAGCAGTGGGAGGCCCCATTAGCTAAAGTGGTGCTTCAGGTTAAGAACAGTTTCAGGTTAAGAACAGATCCCCAGAATGAATTAAGTTCTTAACTGTACAGACAAGAAGGTCCACTGCTGGGATAGTAGTATGTCAGAGGGGGTTTGTCACTGGTGGCAGATGACAGAGACTGTGACACCACGAGACCGGTGTAAAACCAAATCAAATAAAGGTTTTATTACAAAACAACAAACAACAAAGCTTGTGGGTGTTTTTCCTGCAGGCAGAGTTCAAACTGCAGCTTTTCTCCTTTTGTAGTCTTGGCCAGCTGTAACCAATTAGCCCAGAGCTTACAGAAACTGTTCTTAAAGGTACAAACATCTTTACTGCTTCTGTGCAGAATGACTCCCAACAATTTGGACGGTCTCTAGTGGGTTGGAAATCCCGGAAACGGGTTGGTATCTGTGTCTGCACCTGAAGCGGAATAGGCTGCTCTGTCTGAATTGAACAATCAGCTTCCCTATTTCGTGCAGATTCTTACGGACATGAATGTAGAATCCAAGCTACCTGTGATAGTTTATGAGGACCATCAGGCCTGCATATCCATGGCAGAGCCTGAACAATTCAAGCTTAGGACGGGGGCCGCTAGGGGGCGCATCGGAAGATGGCCGACAATACCATCTCTCCGGCTCACACGAGGTAATTAAGAGGCTGTTATGGGAGTATGCAGCCTCCCTCGTTACCCCAAGTGGATGGGGAACGCTGCCTTGCCTGCTGTGCCCATAATACACCCACAGATTCGAAAGGGGGTGAGGGCACTAGGCACAAAAGCCCTCGTGTGGGTCGGCTCTCCTGGACGCTGTCTCTGATCTGCGCAGCTAGTTGCGGGAGCTCTATATAAAGAATCAGGACAGAAGCAAATGCACATACTTCGAGTGAAGATCGGGAGTAAAGACTGCTAACTAAAGGGATCTCTGAGAGGTGGAGCGATGGGCTGGACTTAACAATAAATCAAGAAGAAGAATAAATCAAGAAGAAGACTCACCAAAGGATCGGTATGTCGGAGCGAGACTGAAAAGGAGGGGGGGAGAAAAACTTTTTTGGGGGGGGTCTTATGTGAGTACCCAATAATCCCCCCCCCAAAAGAATCGTTGCAATTACTGATTACAAGCAGGAGGAATAAGAACTGTGTGGAAATTAACTACTACGCAAGGATGTGACTTATGGGAGCATCGGGAAACGAAAGTAAGTCCTTTGTGACGCAGTCATAAAAAGAGATTTATCATGGCAGGCCCGCCTGAGGCCCGCCGGGAATCCAGGGGGAGGAGGACTATGGCTGTTACTATGTTGGAGTGTGGGTTCAGCTTAGCAGGGCCGCCTGAGAAAAATTTATGAGGGAGCAGCGGACCTGGGAAGATCAGGACAGACAGTCGGAATGTTTTGAACGGAGGTGTTGAAATGGCATCTGTCTACTTTTATGGCTCTTGGATGAGTGTAAAATCCACACAGGACATAACACGTTTGTTTTCAACCCGCTTGTGGAGATTATCAGAGATCATAAAGAAAGGAATATATGATAACAACAAGAAGATGAGGAAAACAACAAAGAGAAGATTGAACAGAACTGTGAATATTATTTTGACAGAACTGTGTAATGAAAGCAGCAACAAGAGAGATGATCGGATTCCCTTTTGGAGCTCCAAGCATGGGTACCCCCAACAAAATTTTTAAAAATTTGGCTGTGTAATTTGGAATTATTGTGATTTGGAATTAATCTGATGTGATTGGCCTGTTAATAAAAAATATTTTTTAAAAAACCAAGCTTAGGACAAAACACATGGACATAAAATATAGACATGCCAGGGACAATGTGGAACATGGATTAATGAAACTTGTATATTGTGAGTCGAGCCAGAACATTGCTGATATATTGGCATAATAACATGCTCTGATACATATTTTTTCCTAAACAGAATTAAGAAGGGGTGTTGAGGTTCCTTTAATTGCTGTTAAGGAAAAGCTGGTGCACGGGCCTCCCTTATCTTGCACCTTCAGGTCATGCGATTAGTGTTTGATGGTCACTGACCTGGCAACCAGCCAAGGGTGTGATCATTCTTGGGTGTATTAAGAGGGGGCTGTACATTACTTCTTTGCTTCGCTGCAAGGAAACTCTGCCAGATTGACACTGAACTCTGTGCTGTATGTGTGCTGTGAATTGGACTTGCTTTGCATTTGAAGCCTGCACCTTCTACTAGGGATCTATCAGAAGCCTGTATATAGTGAAACTGCCTTTAAAAACAAAACAAAAACAACTTTCATATGTTGCGAGTTTGAATAAGTCTTCAATCCAATCATAGAAGGGAGCCGCATTTTTATTTTTCCAATTCATCAGTATCAGTCTTTTTGCTGTTTGGTAAGGGCATGTTTGTAAGGTTCCATGTGGTGAGTATATAATTCAAAAGGATATTTTGTTCTGTAAATCTAAGGTTGTTCCGTATAGTTCTGTTGATAGTTTCAGTTACCTCCTGCCAAAACTCTTTCAATATAGGATAATGAAAAAACATATGTTTTAGAGAAGCATTATCCCTATGGTATCTCCAACAGTTAGATACCTTAAAGGTAAAGGGACCCCTGACCATTAGGTCCAGTCGTGGCTGACTCTGGGGTTGCGGTGCTCATCTCGCTTTATTGGCCGAGGGAGCCAGCGTACAGCTTCCGGGTCATGTGGCCAGCATGACTAAGCTGCTTCTGGCGAACCAGAGCAGTGCACGGAAATGCCGTTTACCTTCCCGCCGGAGCGGTACCTATTTATCTACTTGCACTTTGACGTGCTTTTGAACTGCTAGGTTGGCAGGAGCAGGGACCAAGCAACGGGAGCTAAACCTATCGCGGGGATTCGAACCGCCGACCTTCTGATTGGCAAGCCCTAGGCTCTGCGGTTTCACCCACAGCGCCACCCGCGTCCCTTAGATACTTTAGATAGCCCTTTTAAAAAAACAAACGTAATGGGGTCCAGTATACTCTAATTTTTTGTTGATGTTGTAATAGCCTCAATTTAAGGTCCAGAGACACCCTTGTTGTAGCAGTTAAAACAGTTTCCCACTGTGTGGTTGAAACTGAGATCTCTAATTCTTTATTCCAATGTTCCCTCAATACCTGTATAACAATTTGGTTTGCTAATAACAAAGATGTATATCTTTGGGAAACTGCCTTAATGCTTTGGACCTGTCAGTAAAGGACTGTACTGATTTAGGAGTTGGAGTCCGAATGAATTTCTTCCAGCACAAAACTGCACTGCCATGAACCTACACGCTTGGGGAGCTGCACATGTTTGGCACATGCCATGTGCCAACAGTGTGTGAGAGTGTTTGCCAAAACTTGCCTGTGTTACAAGGGTAAAATATACCTATCTCCACCCATCTCGGGCATGTGACCTTCATAAAGCTGCCCAGAAGGTATCCCTTTCTTGAAAGGAATATATTGGAAGCTACGCGTTCTACCTCATTACATAATTATTACACATAGCATCAGATTTTCTGCTTTGAATGTATTTTACCAGAGCTTAACCACCAAAGGGATAATTGCTTTAACCCTGCAGGTGGATTTCCCCTTACAAGCTTCTTGAACCTTAAAGATATAAGAAGGGGTTTTAGAATGCTGATCCCTGCTGAAGGCTCAATTAGACCGCATGTGAAAATATGATTATTCTTAAGTATTACACTTAAGACAAGCATGTCAATCGGTACATGGTGGTTGATAGCTGCTATAAAGCATATCCCTTATTTAATTTGCCTAGGCTGGTGTGTAGCTGTGTGTTCTGTGAGTTTTATTTCCCCCCCTGGAAGGTCCTCCCTCTGCTTTTTAGGAAGGTTTTTATTGGGCAAATTTGTTGGTTTTGCTAAATGTAAGAAAATCTCTAAGTGGTTTACACAAACTACTGTTGTAAACACAAGCAAAAAATAAATAAATGCCTATTATCAACATGCAATAAAAAATCAAATAGAATATTAATCAAAACCTTAGAACAGAAATATGGGGGAGCTGTGGTCAGAAAATTGAGAGCCTGGGAAACCTAACATCCCAGTAATGTCTCTGAGGGTATGAGTTTATTTTCCCCATGGAAGTTCATTGCTGGGGGTGTGTGTGTGAATAGTGCTAGATTTGGGCACTCCCTTTGGTGAGGAAGAAGCCTGCCCCCATGTCTTTGACACTAGTGGTGGTCTCCATTGAGACTGTGTGCCACTCCTGCCAGGACTCATTGTTTAGTTTCTGGGGAAATGCATGGCTTTACCCAAGTATTACAGTACATCACATGCTCTTGTGACTGCATAGGCTGCAGCCTACACGATTTCACTTATGCGCACGGAAGCCCGTAATGTAACCTCCAGGTAAGTTGGTGGGCGCCCGTATTCCTTTTTGGTCTGCTAATTTCTTGCTTTTGTCTCCTCAGTGGTACCAAGTCTCCTATTGACCCAGAAACAGCAGCAGGTCTCCTTCAGCAACCGGAAGGGCTTGGAATGCATCTCGCCATTTTTCTGCAGCGTAGAAGAGACATCTCAAGCTATTCCTACGAAGATCGAGGGACATATCCCCACCTGGCTGAAGGGCAAGCTGCTGAGAGTTGGCCCAGGGAAGTTTGAGTTTGGAAAAGACAAGTAAGGCCTGCTTGGTTTGCTGTGGCTGTGCCCTGCAAGGGATTCTAAACCTCAGAGATAAAAAAATCTGCATATCTTTATGGATCAGGCTGTAGAAGCCACCCAGAAAAGTTACAAGCCACACAGGGATATGCTCTTTCATATGTAGGTTGTTCGGTCAATTGTGTCTCCAGAAAGAAAATACAAGAACCATGTTGCTCACAGCTGGCAAGGTTTGTTCTTAGGGATTCGAGAATTCTGGCCACCCCCATCTCCCTAGCGGTGGCAGGATTAACAGGCAAGTTAGTATCCTGGAGATAGATTCTTTATTAATAAACATTTCTTGTTTCCCTCATCTAAAAGGAAGTTTTTAAGAAAAATGTTTCAGTCTTTTGAGATTTGCATTCATCGGTTTTGAACTTCCTCCCCACTCTGTGTGAAGTTTACATAAATTCAATCAAACAAGTGTTTCCCCAAGTTTGGGAGATGTGTTTTCCCCTCCCTTTATTACCTGGCTGAGAAGGAAAAGATGAAATAACACACCTATGTGCCCTCATCAACCCCCCCCCCCCCCAAATCAGCTTGTACCTGATCTTGTTGCTCTTACTTTGGTATATATGTGCATTTTACATGGGCAGAACTGCATGTGCACATTTTATCATCAGTGAGGATCTAAGTAGGGAGTAGGAGTAGGAGTAATAATAATAATAATTTATTACTTATACCCCACCCATCTGGCCAGGCCTCCCTAGCCAAGCTGGGTGGCTTCCAACAGAATATTAAAAACACAATAAAACATCAAACACTAAAAACTTCCTTAAACAGGGCTGCCTTCAGATGTCTTCTAAAAGTCAGAAAGTTGTTTATTTCCTTGACATCTGGTGGGAGGGCATTCCACAGGGTGGGCACCAATACCAAGAAGGCCCTCTGCCTTGGATGCCTAAAGTTGGCAGGAGCTGAAAAGGGAAATAGGTGAAATCAGCACCCTGTACTCCTATTCCCCCCCCCCCCCGCTGATTAGATTTCTCTTCTCCAATGGAAGGTATAACCACTGGTTTGATGGCATGTCTCTGATGCACCAGTTTGACATTGATGATGGAGTTGTGAAGTACAGCAGCAAGTTCCTAAGGAGCGATTCCTACATGACTAACAGCCGGAACAACCGGATCATGGTATCTGAGTTTGGAACCTTAGCTATGCCTGACCCTTGCAAGTCCATTTTTGAGCGCTTCATGTCAAGGTTTGAAGTGCCAAGTAAGTGTCATAAAAGTTTATTAAGCCTTGCAATGCAACACAGACTAACCTTACAGAATAAGCAAGCAAAGAATATATTTTAACACTTTTCCAAACTGCTTTGATACGTCTTTTACCTTTTTTGATCCCACCACATAAAAAGCTTTCTGTTGCTCCACCCTCCCACCTGGAGATTAATATAAGCACCTTTCTTCATCTCATTTGCATGCAATTGGTTTCTGTTTCCTTCCCAAGCTCCCACAGTTCTTGTTCCAACTTTCACAGGCTTGCTCAACCTTTCTCAAACATCGCTAAAATCCTTTCTTTAGCACTAAGAATGCCAAGAGGAGACACCTCTTAGAATAAGGTTACCAGATGTTTTTCAATGAATCCGGGGACACTTTTCAACTTCCATGGATTTTGTATGGGGACATCTGGTAACCTTATCTTAGAATCTTTGGTGCCTTTTTTTACTTCCAGCCCCCATAGGATCTCTATACAGTGGTGCCTCGCAAGACAAAATTAATTCGTTCCGCGAGTCTTTTCGTCTTGCGATGTTTTTCGTCTTGTGAAGCACGGTCCGTCGCAACTGCGCCTCTTCAAGCGGCTTTAAGAAAAAAGCGAACAAACTCGCAAGACGTTTTCGTCTTGCGAAGCAAGCCCATAGGGAAATTCGTCTAGCGAAGCAACGCAAAAACCGAAAAACCCTTTCGTCTAGCGAGCTTTTCGTCTTGCGAGGCATTCGTCTTGCGGGGCACCACTGTAGCTGCCTGACAATTCATGTAAAAGGGATGTCTCAGGTTCCTCTGAATCAGTTCAACTGAGACTCCGCAGTGTATTTCATTCAGTTGCAATGAGCTCACCTTTCACAGTGTTGACAGTAATCCAAGAGAATGAGCCAAGAGGAAGGGACCATTTCACTGGCTCATATCAAAAACAGCCAAAGTGATTCTCTTTTTTAGGCCACTTGCCACAGTAAGGCAGGTTGCCACCACTTGTGTGTGTCCCCACCTTCCCCCACTTTCATCTGTGACTCCAGGAGGCACAAACAATTTTGACAAGGAAAACAGAGGTTTTCTTTTTATATATATATAAATTTTATTTTTTCATTTTCTATTTTACATAAACAAATGAATTAAAAACATAAACATATAGTCCCTTCTGACTTCCCTCCCCACGCTCATTGCAGATCTTAATGTAATGATTTTCCCCTCTGCATCTCTATCATAACTCTATTCTTATAAATCCTTTGCCAATCCATAGTTTAAATTTTTACTACAAGTTTCCTGTCAGTCCTACCAATGTATGTAGTTGTTTACAATAGCTTTTCAAATAAATTATAAACTTTCCCTGTTCTTTATTAAAGACTCCCTCTTCCTGGTTTCTAATTCTTCCTGTAAGTTTTTTTCCATCTCAGAATAGTTCATCAATTTTGTTTGCCACTCTTCTTCGGTCGGAGGTGTACCATCTTTCCATTTCTGAGCTAAGAGAGTCTGTGAAGCTGTGCTCACATAAATAAAGAGTTTCGTCTGGTCCTTCAGGATCTCTGGTCCTACAATACCTAAAAGAAAAGCTTCTGGTTTCTTAGGAAACATATTTTCAACCCCCCCCCCCAGTTCATTATATATAATTTCCCAGAAGTCTTTTGCCATCTTACATACCACCACATATGATTAAAAAGCACCCTCATTTTTTTTACATTTCCAGCACATTTGTACATCAACCTTTTTGAGTCCACGGCTCCCTTGACCAACTACGTTCTTTCTGCAGCACCCCTGTGGGGCTCAGGAGCCCATTTATGTCACCCCTTGCCTGCAGAGCTGACAGTCTCAAACACCCTCCCTTGTGGAGTGTTCCCTCAGCCTCCTTGCCTCTCCCCTCTCCTTGGGAGTCCTCTCTGCAACTGCTCCCAGAGGCACCATTCACCTGCAGAGCTGATAGCCAGGGCTGATGCAATAAACAGCTGTGCAAGCCTTTGGGAGGCAGAGACGCAAGAGAGCATCACAGGAGGGAGGGAAGGAAAGAGGGACAGAGGCCAGTGTTGCCCACGGCACCCCTGACCATCATTCAAGGCACCCCAGGGTGCCACGGCACACTAGTTGAAAACCACTGGTTTAACAGCCACTGCCACCATCATCAAACCTTTTATTGGCATCACATCCAAACATCCAAAAAAAATCAATACAGAATTACCACTTCCCCAGTGGCACAAAACATTTGCTAATAGAAAGGAGGCAGAGCAGTCTATCGTCACATCTCTAGGTCTCCAGGGAGATCGGGCTTCTGCAGTGTATTTTGACGACAAAAAAACCCAAATAGAGATATTTAGCCACTAACTTGGTGAGCTCCTGATCATTCCCCAGTAATAGAAAATGTATGACATCCAACTCTGGTTTCTACTTGGGGATGCAGAGTTGATCTAGAAATTGCTGACGGAGATCAGGATATAGTATGCAATTAGGAACCATATGTGTAAGGGTTTCCACCAGGTGGTCTTCACCTGGGCAAGTTCTTTCTCCTTCCACCCTGCCTGAGAACCTTCCCCAAAGGAAGTTTGATGGATTTGAATTAAACCTGTCCAGTGAAAAAGCCCTTCTTTCTTGAGGGTTAAGCAGAAATTCAAAGTAATTGTGGTTAGTTTCATGTGCCCAAGAAAGTTGAAAATAAAGAGAAGAACATGTTTTCTCTGCTGCTACTGTTAGTTTCTGGCACTCAATATTGGTTTAAAAGCATCCATGCAACTCCAATGATCCCAAGTGTTTGTAGCACACCCACAAACCAACCTGCGGTTTTTGTTCCAGAAATGACGGACAACTGCAATGTGAACTACGTGGTCTACAAAGGCGACTATTACGTCAGCACAGAAACCAACTTAATGCGTAAGGTCGATCCGGAAACCCTTGAAACAAAGGAGAAGGTAAAGGAACCTGAATCAGGTCAGACTGTTTGTCTATCAAGCCCAGTATGGTTTAGTCTGACTGAGAGTGGTTCTCTGGGGTCTCCCAGGAATCCAGGACAGCTACCTGATGCTCTTAGAAGGTGAAGGAATAGAGTGGGACTGTGGTGTTAAGGTCACAGGAGGAGGAAGCTGGATCACAGCACTTGCAGGGTGAGGTTAAAGGTTCATAGGTGTTAGTTAAAAGGTAAAGGGACCCCTGACCATTAGGTCTGGTCGTGACCGACTCTGGGGTTACGGTGCTCATCTCGCTTTATTGGCCGAGGGAGCCGGCGTACAGCTTCCGGGTCATGTGGCCAGCATGACTAAGCCGCTTCTGGCAAACCAGAGTAGCGCACGGAAACGCCGTTTACCTTCCCGCCCGAGCGGTACCTATTTATCTACTTTGACGTGCTTTTGAACTGCTAGGTTGGCAGGAGCAGGGACCGAGCAACGGGAGCTCACCCCGTGGCGGGGATTCGAACTGCTGACCTTCTGATCGGCAAGCCCTAGGCTCTGTGGTTTAACCCACAGTGCCACCCGCGTCCCAGGTGTTGGTTAAGTCTCTGTAAATAAGGCGTATTGAAGGGTAGGCCACTTTGGATGAGACTTGCTGTTTTGAGACTCAGACCTGGTCTGGTCTGCAGATGTGGCAGAGATGGGAATAACATGAGACCTGGAGTGGTAGAATGGCCTCTACTGCTTCAGTCTGCAGGTGAGAGATCCCATTTTTGAATGTTTTCCTCCAAACTCAATGAAAGTAGAAAGCTAACCCCGCAGGTAGAAACCTTCTAGTTTAGCCATTTCCCCTCAGGTCATTTGTACTGCAGCCCTCATCGCATGGGGGTCCAAAACATCTGGAGAGTACCAGGTTAGCAAAGACAGTTTCTAGCACAATCCCCACCCCACACTGTTCAAGTTTTCTATTGGCATGGCTATTTTGAAGAAGAAGAAAAAGGACCATCCAGAAATGAAACCCCCCTTGAAATGGTAGAGTCCATTCTCTAACCCAGCAGATTACCAACCCTTTCGCACCCCAAGCTTCTGCATGTGTGTATGAGACTGTAGCATGCGCACTCTGACAAATGCATCTGGGAAGAAGTCAAAAGGGTCTGTTTACTGAAATCTGATTAGCAGAGGTAGCCAATGAGTGCCATTCACAACTAGTTGCAAAGGCAGAGATCCATGTTGTCTAGCTTATACCAGGGCTGGAGAAATATTTATAAATGAATCGCTTCTACCTAGACCCTGAAAGGGAAAATATATATATATATTTGCATTTGCAGGTGGATTGGACAAAGTACATTGCAGTGAATGGAGCAACTGCCCACCCACACTATGACCCAGACGGGACAGCGTATAACATGGGCAACTCGTATGGAAAACATGGTGAGATTGTATGGCTCAGAAGAGGCTGACTTGTCTGACTTCTAGGAGAATCACGACATTTGTATGAGATTGTGATGTTTCTATGCTAGGGATGGACTGGATGCGGAGCTCCATTCACTACTGGACCAGGTTCAAAGTGTTGGTACTAATATATAAAGCCCCATACAGCTCAGGACCAGATTATATGAGAGGCTGCCTTATTTCTTATACATACCCAGTGGGTCACTGTGGTCTGTGGGAGAGCTTCTCCTGCAACTTCCAAAGATACCAGAAGCTTGCTCCACAAGTCTGAGACAGAGCAATAGAATCCCTGGATTGCATGCACTACCTTTGATAAATTTCCTTTACAGATTTATAAACCACTTTATAGCCTGAGGCCATCAAAGCAGTGTACAACAAAAATCTCTAAAAAAGAATAAAACACATTTTGCAGATATGCAATTAATATCCCATAAAATGACTGCTCCTCGCTTCAGGAACAGCCTTCTCCCACATTAATTATTGTTGTGTTTTCTGCAACAGGCTGACGCTGCTACTCTTTTTTTGGGGGGGGGGGGGAAGTGTTTATAAAAACATAATATGTGAAGACTGCCCCACCCCTATGGCAACATCATTAATTTATTTTTCTAATACACGTAATCACAGCAATATTGCCCTTTGTGCATCAAAATATTTGCTCATCTTCTGGACCTACGAAGATTTATTAGTAAAAACAGAGACTGGTTGGAGGATTAGGCCATATGAAGAAATAAAGAACAAATTGACAGGTTGGATCCAATTTCATCAAATCAACTCTATCTGGACCGAGGATAAAAAAAATGGGATAAGTGAGAAAAATCTAGATTCCAGATTGAAATATTAGAAAGTAAAACAAAACTCCTATCAAAAATGTATAGCCTGTTGCTCGAATGGGACACCAAAGATGAAGAAGTAAAGGAGGTAATGGTGAGATGGGCAATGGACTTTGGGTATAACATAGAGTTTGATAAATGGCAGGCACTATGGAATAAAGGTATGAGATTCTCGGCATGCACAACACTCAGGGAAAATATGTACAAAATGATGTACAGGTGGTACGTAACGCCCGTAAAACTGGAAAAAATATATAAAACTGGTGATAAATTATGCTGGAAGTGCAAGATTAAGGAGGGCGATTTTTATCATATGTGGTGGTTGTGCGAGCCTATTAGAAAATTTTGGGAATCTATTTACAATGAACTAAAAAAAATCTTTAAATATACCTTTATAAAAAGACCTGAAGCCTTTTTGCTGGGGATAATTGGAGAGGAAATCAAAAAGGAAGATCAAACACTCTTTCAGTACGCGACAGTGGCCGCCAGAACTCTAATAGCGCAGAATTGGAAGACACCAAGAATCCCAACCATAAATGAATGGCAATCGAAACTACTCGACTATCTAGAATTGGCAAAAATGACACAGAAAATAAGAAATCAAAAAGACACAAAGTTTAATAAAGATTGGAATAAATTCATGGCATACATGGAAACAGAGGTAAAAAAACTAAAAACACAGTAGGTGCGATATAACACTTGTGATGTAAAGAATTTTTTTTGAGGAAAAGAAACTGCAGATAGAAAAATTTTATAACACATTCCGAAACCGAGATGAAGGGAAGTCAGTCAGTGTTGTGTGTTATGTAGTTAATGTAGTTAATTTGTTGTTGTCTTATGTCAGGAGTATATATATATTTTTTATATATATATATTTTTCTTTATTTAGTTTTTTTTGGTGTGAATGTGTTGTGTTTGTCTTTTTTGTTTGTATGGTGTTATAAAATAAAATTTATATTAATAATAATAAAAAAAAATTTGCTCATCTTCAGAAAGAGCTTAGCTTCCATGATGAAAAATATATCACACTTGTGACTCTTGGATAAGGGCTGCTAAGAGACAGGCAATAGCAGTATTCAAGGCAAACACTGGCAGATGCCCTCTCCTTATAATCTTACTTTGATGAAAGATTCCTCACTCCACTTTCTCACAGCTCTGATTAAAACACACAAAACAGCTTGACAGCTAGCTGACAGGAATTTATCTGTTGATTTTTCCAGTCCTGTAACTGATTCTGCACTGTATATGGCTGTGTGCATTGAAATGAAATGGTGCAAAGCATATTTCTATTGCCTTTGGTGGTGATTGCAGCCTACTTATCGCTGTGCTCGGGGCAGCGATGGTGAAGTACGAAGTGCAGAGAGAATGCACTAAACTGAAATATTTGGAGTATTTATTGTAACTGGCAATATCGAGCTTGCAATGACGAGAAGTGCTGCAGGAGGAGAGTCCTGAAAGAAATTTCTAGCACCCTGCATTGTTGAAGTTTAGGTAGCCAACTTGCTCCAATTACTCCCAGCAATTTTGTGAATTTGCTGAACTTTCAAAGTTGTTGCTCTGTTCACTTGCTTCTGTTCGCTTCTGTGTCAGGACATGTGAATAGCAGGGAAAGGTGCCAGGCTCCTGTCATTATATAATAAAACATTTGGGGCAAACTTGGAAAACAACGTAGAAGTCTGCAGAACTAGTTTTGCATTCTTTCCTGCAACTCATATTTCACTTTTGTTCAGAGCACCAGTTTGGGGGGATCAGATGTCTGCTGCACTATTGTTCAAGCATTACTTTTGCCAAGACAGACACTTCATAAACAAAGGTTTTATATGCAGAGATTGCAGAAGATGCAGCTTGCTCTTTATATGTCTGCCTGGTCACTCTGTTGGACTGCACTGCCAATTTTCTAATCGATTTCTGTTTGGAACTGTCAGAGAGCCATACCTTTTCCAGTGCATCTGGTAGCAGACAAAGGCAAGGGGCTTTTGATTTGCTGAAGATTGGTGGTGGTGGTCAGAAAAGATGATCATTATATTTTCTCTTCTCTTCTGGTTTTATTCAAAATAATTTATTTATCCAAAGCATTTCTACTCTATTCTTCAGCCGGAACTGCTCCCAGGGCAGTTTACAAATCCATAAAAACAACAACAGTCCTTGCTGGCTCCTCAGGATTACAATGTAAAAATACATGGTTGGCATCTGTCTGTGTTGGGAGACAATGAAGGAGTGTGCCTTTGGGAATGAGGTCAAGCTGCTGGATGGTTGCAGTGCCTGCTGTGGCTGTAGAGACCAATATAGGAGAGACATGTTTCATTGCAGCTGGGGCAGATGAAGGCGTCTGGTTGTGTTGCTGCAGATGCACCATGGCGTTTCTTCTCTCTGCTTCTCTTTTCTCCTCTGGTCACTGCTATGGATACATGACTTGACTGCCTGCCTCCAGGCACTGCGGTCGTCTGGAAGGGATTCCCACATGTGGCCGGGTTGATGTTGCCAGCCTTCATGCCACGTTTGCAAACACCTTTGTCATGCAGAAGGGAAAAGGGAGAGGGAGAGAAGTGGTTGCAGTCTCTAATGCAGCCTTCCTCAACATGGTGCCTTCAAGGTGTTTTGGACTACAACTCCTGTTAGCCCCAGCACGTCTGTTGTAGTCAACATCTGAAGGGCCCCCGGTTCAGGAAAGCTGCTGTAATGTCATGGAAAGCATGGGAGTTTGGCAAGCGCTTTCTGGTTAGATCACTGGTGTTCCTAACTGCCTGTGGCCCTTGGACATGAATAAGAGGCTTCTGTCACATGAATAAGGCAAGAACTGGCCCAGAATCTTTATGTGCTTATCGTTTCACAACCATGCGTTGGAGGTTGTGTCTTCCACCCTCTTATATTAAATCCAAATCAGTGGCATGGAGTGTGCATGACCTTATTCTCAACTGGAAACATGGAGGCTTATGAATCGGAATGCCTTGAGTCATGCATTTCTTCCAAAACCCCACATCAACAATTATAGAGCCAATGTCTAGTTACATCTGTAGCTGGACTGCTGGCCGGGTTGTATTCTGAGCACAATTCAAAGTGTTGGTGCTGGCCGTTAAAGTCCTAAATGGCCTCAGCCCTGTATCCTTCAAGGAGTGTTTCCATCCCCATTGTCCGAGGGCCTTCTGGTGGTTCCCTCCCTGTGAGAAGTGAGGTTACAGGGAACCAGGCAGAGGGACTTCTCGGTAGTGGTGCCCACCCTGTGGAACGCCCTCCCATCAGATGTCAAGGAAATAAACAACTATCTGGCTTTTAGAAGACATCATAAGGCAGCCTTGTGTAATGAAGGTTTTAATGGTTGATGTTTTATTGTGCTTTTAATATTCTGTTGGAAGCCACCCAGTGTGGCTAGGGAGGCCTGGCCAGATGGGCGGGGTATAAGTAATAAATCATAATCATAATAACTACTACTACGACTACTGGGAGCCACCCAGGATGGCTGGGGCAACCCAGTCAGATGGGCAGCTAATAATCATAAAAAATAGTAAATGCATTTTCTCTCTTCCAGGCTCCAACTATAACATCATCTGTGTCCCCCCACAGACATCGGGCCCCGATGACTCTAGCCTGCAGGGTGCAAAAGTGCTGTGTTCTATTGAGCCAGAGGATAAGATGAAACCTTCCTATTACCACAGCTTTGGTGAGAGTTGCCAGCCCTCCTTTAAAGTGGAGCAGATGTACCCATAGTCGATGTTGCAAGGATGGAACATCTCTGAGTCAAAGCCAGATGTCATGAAAGCCTAGTCAGTGGGTTGGAATAGAAATTCATCAAATCACTTTAACACAGCCAATAGACTGAAAAGAACAGAAGGGCACCGGAATCTCAGAGCACAACAGATTCAAAAGTGTAACATAAAGATTACCAGTTAGAGCTACACTTATCTTGGATTGGTCCCTGGAGATAGTCCTTCCAGTTTCAGATGTTGAGGAATCCTGTTGTTCTCACTGATATTAATAGCAATTTAGCCACCATCGGGATAGGGATACCCTTGGGTTTTTATCTTCCATGGGATATTTAACTTATTTAACTTATAATTTTACTGACCTTCCTGGAGATTTGGTTACTAAAGGGCCAGTCGTATGCTGCCAAACTCCAGCACTGAAATTATAAAATAGGACATGCTCTACAGATTCTACCTCCTGTCATGTCCCATATGGAGGAGGAGGAAGGGTGAGAGCCTAACACAGACAGCTTGGAGGACAACAAGCTTTGTCTAAGCACTGCAAAAGCTGCTCCCAGGTAAATGTGCTAACAGCCCTGTTTCCATTAAAAAAACATAAAGCTCTTAAGCCAAAGGTTTAAGGTTGGCAACCATGCTCTTATCTCAGAAGAGCACTGTCGTGTTTCCAAAAGTGCAGCTGCATTAGGAACACATCTTGGGATCTGTAGGAATTTAATTTGGACAATATTTAACTAGACCACACTCCTCTAATCCAAAAAGCATAAAGAAATGGGGAGGTTATCCTATTATTAAAAACTTTTAATAGCTGCAGGAATACTTTTGGTATTCTTTTTTTTTTAGCAGATTACTTAGCACAAATCACAAGCGGTATAGTGAAAAGTGCTATAGAAATAGTGCAATTAATACTCTGATTAAATATATTTTATTCAAAGCTTTACATACTGAAGCCTTCCCTAACCTGGTGCTTTTGGACTACAACGCCACACGCTGGCTGTGGCTAATGGGATCTGTAGTCCAAGATCATTTGGAGCACACCAGGTTGCACTGGGTGCAATTTGAAACTCCTTCAGCAAGGAAAGGTCAAGACAGCAGGAGAAAGGTTAGGTATGGCCATGATGGGAAGCAAGCAGCAGGGGCTTAGAAGTGTTGTTGGAAGTGTTTGTCCTGAGCCTTGTTGTCTCCTGTTTGTAGGAATGAGTGAGAACTATGTGATCTTTATTGAGCAGCCACTCAAAATGAACCTCTGGAAGTTCATCACAGCCAAGGTTCTTGGGAAATCCTTTTTGGAAGCAATCAGCTGGGAGCCTGAGCACAGTACCCGCTTCCATGTAGTGAACAAGCTCACTGGACAGGTACGTCCTCTGGGTTCACTGCCTCATGACCCGTTTTTCTTTTCTGGGCAGTGCCTAGCTTTTGCTACAATAGGTTTACCTGCTGAAGAACTACCCAGCAGCCAAGTCTGCTGACTTATTGAGTTTTGAAGGAATGAGCTCATGTCACCTACTAATAATGCAGCTGCAAGTATATTGGGGGTGAGGAACATTCTGCAGCTTGGGGAACCATCTGCCCTCATGGGCAAATGCACAAGGGATACTGTATGTATCACAGTTTCCAAGGCCACATTTCAGCCTGGCAGAAGCACTCAAGGAAAATGCAGTGATGGGTCAGGGAGTGCATGGCCCAGGGCAAGTCTAGAGGGCCTGATAGAGTAATGTGGAGGGCCACATTCAGCCTATAGGCTGGAAGTTCCCTACCCCTGAAGAATTTCACTTCTTCATAATGTACCCCTGAATACCAGCTTCTGGGAATAAACAATTGGGAAAGATCTCCTTGCATTCAAGCCCTGCTTATGAGATTTGAGAGGCCTCTGGCTATCAACTGGGGGGAAGTAGAAAGCTGCACTAGATGGAACTAAAGATCCACCTTCCTGGATCATATATTCTCAAACTCCTGCAAGGCTTCTGCAGTCTGCCTCCATTGTAACAACATGAATTCAGTTGATAGCCACGTCACTTTCTCAAAACCAGATTCTTGCCGGAGCGCCAAAACCTGCACACCTGGTACAAATTTTGCATGTTGGACAAACTCTGCAATCATCTGCCATGGGCTGGGGAGCTTGAAATATCAGATTCCTCATACGTAGCTATCTGGCTGTTGACTTTTTCAGGTATATAAGGCACCATCTCATGACATTGCTAACTATTGCCCCTCAACCCTGCCCCCTCACACTTTGTGAAGTGTGATCCTGTAGCAACAGAGGGCTATGAAGTAGAAGCTGGCTGGCAGACTTCCTACTTTTGCCCCTATATTAAAATCCTTTCCAGCAACGCTGAAATATATAACTTAAGATTTTCAGAGGGGATGCTTTGTGGAATGTTCTCTAGGTGTCACTGAAGGCCTGAGATGCCATCACTGGCATGTCTTATGTTCCTTGCACAGGTGTTGCCCGGGCAGTACTGCAGTGAGCCTCTCTTGTTTTTCCATCAAATCAATGCCTTTGAAGATCAAGGATGCATCGTCCTTGACCTATGCTGTCAAGATGATGGAGGGGCTCTTGACGTTTACCGGCTGAAAAACCTCCATAAGGCGGGCGAGGCTCTGGATCAGGTAAAGCCAATGTTTGGAGGCAGTTGTGGAGGACAGTAAGCTGAAGCTGAATCCTGGCAAGATGGAGGCACTGTTGGTGGGTGGTTCTCATATTCAGGAATTGTGTAAGCAGCCTGTTGTAGGCAGATGGCATCGGTGGCAAGGAATGCCTATGTACAGCTCCTGTGGCATTCAGCTATGTCTTTTCCTGGAGCAATATTCCCTTTCCCTCTCACTACATGCGGCGAAGGTGGAGTTTAGTGCATAATTAACTATGGTAAGTACAGCTGTGCTGTTGTTGTGGGTGTGGGGTTGCGGTAATGAGCGCAGCATTTCAGTCCAGTGGGTCGTCTTCAGTGCTAGTTCTGTAGCCTTATTGGAGTTCACCGATTGGGTCTGCGTTGCTCCCGGACAGGAGGAAGGAAGTCAAATGACACCGAGGGTTGGTTCAGAGAAAGAGTTCTTTATTTCTGCTCTCTGAAACAGCAGAAAGGCACCTGCGTGGTGTGTCCACAGCAAGTCCAAAGAAATGAGAAATTTCATGCAGTATATATATCCTCCAGGCACCCTCTCCCTCCTTCCCAGGAATCCAACCACGTCAGCCTATACACGCAGGTTGACATCACATATGTTCCTGCTCCAGTATTCTTAACCATAAAAGGGTATTCCTTCCTGTACTTCTGACCATAAAAGGGTATTCCTGTTCCTACTCTTATCTTGGAGCAAGAGGTCACCAACTCCAAGAACACACTCTGGCGCTGTTCCCGGACTAGGTCTGTGCGTCAGGATGTAAGATAAGACCTAGACATGTCATCCCTACTCCACTGGAACAGCCAAGGTCATCCTTGCCGTCATGAACTGATAAAGGAGAGGGCTCTGAGCACTTGTTTATACAGCCGGGTTTTTGTTTATACATTGACTCAGAGCTCAAGTTAATGGATTTTAGCTAAGGAAAAATAGGGATTTTGGTGCCTGTTTTAAACTGCCTGCACAGTCAGTTTTGGGTTTGGGAAACCCATTCCTTCAGTTCTACATAAAATTAATGAACTTATAGTCATGTCCATTAACTTCAATGGGTCTACTCTGATTTGGACTAGCATTGGATATAATGCCGTTCTGTGCCCAAAGCATGTGTAGCTTGTAGCTGCACTTGACAGCTAGTCATGCAGGCAGTTGAAATCTCCAGCTTCCAGAAGAAAGAAGCTTTGAATCACCAATGGTGCACTTTAACATTTCATGATCTTTAAATCCATTTTGTACAGATTATTTGGTTGGAGAACTGCAGCACAAAATTCAGAGAAGTGCAAATATCAAAGGGTAGCTATATTTTGGTTTGCATTTTATTTTAGGAAGTGCAGGTTTGCATTAAAATCAGAATGGAACCAAATTTATCCCAAGGAGCCCAAACTGGGAGGCCAAGGAATTCTATTTCTCTACTGGTTGGTTCTTGCTCCCTATCTCCATACCAGGCCTGCAAAAGGGGACCAGTTCTTCCTTTTGCAATGACATCCTGTCTCCTTGGCAGGCCTACAATTCAGTGGCGAGGCCGTATCCACGACGCTTTGTTCTGCCCATCACTGTGGATCCCAGTGCAGCTGTGGGACAGAATCTCAGCCCCTTGTCCTACACATCGGCAACGGCCACGAAAGAGTCCAACGGGAAGGTATGTACTCTCTGTACAAATGGATGCTATAGGGGCTACCGTTGATGCCTGACATTTCCATATTGTGCTGAACTTGCTCTCCATGTGGTTGTATTGCCCACCAACATCCCTTTTGCTCCTACGTGCTGTAGCCGCCAAGCTGCTCCTTGCCAAAAGAAAATGTAAACACTGGGCTCCAGTTTAGCAAGCATGTGAATATAGGAACCAACATTTCCAAAGGATCATGGGAAAGACCACTGCCTGGTGCCCTGAAGAGCTACTGCCAGCCAGAGAAGGCAATACTAGGCTAGATGGAGAAACAGGCTTACCTAGTATAAGGCAACTGCCAATGTACCTATAACGTGCCGATTCCTTTTCCAGATCTGGTGCACATATGAAAGTCTACATAATGAGAACCTCAAGGAAGCAGGGGGTCTTGAATTCCCCCAGATTAACTATTCTTATTACAACACGAAGAAATATCGTTACTTCTATGGTTGTGGCTTTGGGCATATGGTTGGTGACTCACTGATTAAGACTGACATAAAGACCAAGGAGATGAAGGTAAAAGGATACAACACAGTTAATTTCAGGGTGGGCGAGAGTCAGCTCTTAAAACCCACAATAAGGAGCCTGTTTTGTCCCCTTGTTTTTGCCTGCAAGATTTGGCGACAGGATGGAATGTATCCTTCTGAGCCAGTGTTTGTGCCAGAACCTAACTCTCCTGCAGAAGATCGTGGGATTATTCTGTCCGTTGTGCTCACAGCCAAGCAGGTAATTTGGTCTTCGTTGCCTATATAAATGGGCCACTGTCTGAACGCTAATTTTAGGGCCAGGAATATATAATATATAATATATAATATATAATATATAATATATAATATATAATATATAATAAACAACAACAACAATGATCTCTAGTGAACACTGGTGTGTACAGAAGGATCCTGTGTTCTGCTTCGAAACGCAAGAACTTTGTGGGTGCTTCCACACAACAGTTCAGTGTGTGGATTTGGTGCTATTCCTGCATGCAACCTTTGCGTAGCTTCCACGTGACATCCTCCTCATCAAAATGCCAATCCCATATAGTTTTTAATCTGAATTTACCATTTCTGTGGAATATCTGATAAGTGAAATCACCCGGTCAAGGTCTGGTTCAAATTTGGGGCAGGTGAGGATATCAAATGGAATTTTGATGAGGATGGCATTGGGAAGGTGCTGTGCAAAACTTGCATGCATGGACAGTGCTGGGTCCACAGTAAACTGCCATGTGGAAGCACCCTGTACAGCTTCTCTGTTCCTCTGTGTTTCACCTTTCTAATTTAATTGAAAAGAGCATCATGAGAGGGTGCATTGGTGGGAGGGAGATAATCCTGCATTTCAGTATTGTTGTTCGACTTTGACCATCATTCTTGTTTCAGAATCGAGGTACCTTCCTGCTCATTCTGGATGCTGAGAATTTTACTGAACTGGGCCGGGCAGAAGTCCCTGTCCAGTTCCCCTATGGTTTTCATGGCATCTTTGTTCCAGGCCAATAGAGATTAGCCAGTGGTCACATAGCAGGATGCGAAGGAGAAAGAGTCTGCTCTACAATGCTCTGTGCTTAAAACCTTTGACAAGATACTTAATCTTAACCTGTCTAGGGGTGCCACCAGGCTGTCACTATTTGAGGGAGGCATTGAAGTGCATCTGTGAATTTAGGTTTGCAGAATTAAGGCGGATTAAACACAGGAATCTGTCTTATACCAAGTCAAACCATTGCTATGTAGCTCAGTATTATCTGCACTGACCTAACAGTGGCTCTCTGGGGCTTCAGCTCCACCAAGAGATGCTGGTGATTGAACCTGGCATTGAACTTCTGCATGCAAAGCAGGTGTCCCACCATTGATCTACAGTCCTTTCCTTGGTACAGAAAAAACCACTAAAAAACTGACCTTTTAAAGTTTGGAAAGCTACAGGGAAAGGCATTGGAAAATTGTGGGATTAACAATTTATTAACGGGAAGATCCCACCAGCAAATTGCTGTGTAACCTTGCTACAGATTTGAAAGAATACTCTGCAAAGACCACACCATAAACTTCTTAAGTAAGCTTTGCACAAGCAAATCAGCTCAATAAACAGGCCTTCTAGAGGAGTTCTCGGGACTATTCTGATCCACAGAGATGTTCAAAAGGAAATAGGTTAATGAGTGTGAGAGCTGTTACCAATGAAAGAAAAACACTGACCATAAATCTGAGGTTTTTTTAAAGGAGGCACTCAAGCAATATCAACTTCAAATCTAACCTTTTGGACAATTCTAATTGTTTAGCTTTTATTTTTGTATTATCTATATTGAGATTTACTTATCTAAATGCAATTAAAGCGCTTTGGACATATTCTGCATATTTTCAAATCTTTTCAATGATAACAGCAATGTTTTAATGTGTTTTGTACTCTTTTGGAGAAGTTGGCTGCTGAAAACGAAGGGGTGGAGAGAGAAACAGACAGAGGAGAGAGACAGAGAAAGGGATGCCCTGATTCTGTTAGGGATTCGTGTTTTGCTTTTTTGGTAACACAACGTTGCACCTGCAGGAGCTGACAGGTGGAAATGAGGTCTTCTTCCCAGGGGCAGTATGCTAAGAACCAGACAACCGCCTCCGTGTCTGGAGATGTTGCTTTCATTCATTAGGTCAACCTTCACCATATTGGTACCCTAAAAATGTTTTGGAGTACAACAACCATCAGCCCCACCCCACCCAGAATTGAGCTGTAGTCCAAAACATCTGGGAAGAGCACCAGGAACCTAGGAAACTGCTTTATAGTGAGTCACACCATTTGTCTGTCTATTTATTGATTTATTTAATAAAATTTATATACCGCTTGATGTAGATAAACCTCAAAGCAGACAACAAAAAGATAAAACAATAAAATTGTCGCTAAAGACTTGCAACCATAATTTAAAACATAAAAATTTAAAGGTAAAAGAGCCCTGACAGAAGTTTAAAACTGCAAAAAAACTAGACTTAAAACAAATTAAAATCAAGAAGGCTCAAAAACAGAGTCTGCAGTGTGTGTGTGTATAGGTGTGTGTCATTCTGAACTTTTTCTATGGTTTATTTCTGAAGATCATGGCACAAGTAAAAAGGTTGGTCTAAGGAGATCCCCATTCTGAACTTTCTTGACCCTGGTACCAATCTTACCTCAAACATGCCCTGGAAGATTCCTGAGCTCCTAATACCTTGCATGTAATCTAGTTACCGGTAAAATCTAATCAACATCTCCCGTTAAAGAATGCTTGCTACCAGGCAAAATACCATGATAACAAGGAAGCAAAGAAGGAGAACCAGTTTAGTCATTGCTCACTAGGATTATACTTTTTCAACTTTTAATTAAGCAGAATAAACAAAATGGGAAATTTTGGGAAGAAACAACAGAACAATCAAACTATTGGAGTTATAGAAATCGCTCCTCTCAAAGCCCGCTTCCCGTTTTCATTAGATTGCACTGGCTAAAATTAATACAAAAACCTCATATTCTCAGTGGTTTGTTAGTGCTCCAAGGTCCAATAACGAACCTAGTCACACTCTTTACATCATATGTTTTGCCCTTAAGTACAGGTATACTCTTCCCTCTTCATTCCTTGACTTGCTATTAGCGTGGGGTTCAGTGGCAAAATTGTCACTTTCCACTCACTTTCTGTAGGCTTTTGAGAATAGTTAGGGATTCTTTCACTCTTTAAATCAAGGTGTCTATGTACTGTAGGGTTTGCTGGCTGCTTAAATTTAAATTTTGCTGTCTGAAGCAGCAGTTATATATTCTCTCACTTTCATTCCATATCATAAACCAAACTTTTTTTATTACTTTTGTATACGAACCTCTTGTGAGCATTGGGTTAGAGGAAAATTCACTCATAATGGATGCACACCATAACTCTAGCCAAAGATTCTAAACCCCTTGGCAGTGTGCGCATTAATACATGTAAGTGCTGGACATGCCTGTGGGTTCAGACTTTGTAACCTGTGAAGGATCAGTGGATTTTCCCCAAGCCCACAAATGGAGCACATGGCAGGAAGGGCGCAATCGTGACCAGCAGTTACATATTTTTAGGACTGCTACAAAGCTTCCTTTGGTCATCTGTGGGGGGCATTTTGCAGGCGTTCACGACAGTCGATGGAGCTGGCATTTCTCCCCTATAGACAACGCTGCTCTCATCTGTATCGTAGAGTTTTATTTTATGAAGAGCCGTTGCAGGCAAGTGCTTTTGGAGGTTCTCCCAGATGAATACAGCGAGATTCTCGGTTGTGCTGGAGATTTGACAGAGACAGAATCAGGGCATTAGGCTTGTCTGCATCTTTCTTGCATGCGACTTAGAGGAACACAAGAGAAAGTGGCGAGTGGTTTGCTGAGGCTTTAATAAAAGATGTGAGAGCTGGACAAAAATTGAACACAGTTGAACTATTCCTGTGATTTGTTTTAACTCTTTTTAATAGTGAATTTTAAATTGTTATAACCCTCCCAGGAACCTCACAGGGATCACACTGGGTGCAGAGCCTTGGGGGGCACTGCAACTATGTTGTAGAATGGAAGGCGAAGGTTGGGGGAGGGCACCAAATTTTGGTGTTGCACAGGGCGCTGCTGAAATTTGAGACCCCGTGGTCCACTACTGACAGTGGGTAAGGTATATGACTATCATTATCGTGAGCATCATCCTGGTTTCTTACCTTACAATGTTGGTAAAGTAGGAGACATCTCGGTCAAGATCCTTTTTGTCAAGGGGCTTTGTGATGGCTTCCTGGGGAAGGGCAGAAAAGGATACTAAGCAAGATAAGGCAAAGGATGCGAAGTGAGTAGCAAAGAGCAGTTAACTATTATAAATTCATTTAGTTTCCACAGAACTCTGTTGAAGAATTCTGCACCAAGACAAGCCAAAATCTTACACCAAGAATAATTTAATTCTTCAGTTTGAACGTACTATATGAATGTGCCTATAGGGATATTCATATAAGCCTATATGAATATGAGTACTTGCTTTGAAGAAGAGGAGTTTGGACTTGATATCCCGCCTTTCACTCCCCTTAAAGAGTCTCAAAGCGGCTAACAATCTCCTTTCCCTTCCTCCCCCACAACAAATACTCTGTGAGGTGAGGGAGGCTGAGAGACTTCAGAGAAGTGTGACTAGCCCAAGGTCACCCAGCAGCTGCATGTGCAGGAGCGGGGAAGCGAACCCGCTTCACCAGATTACGAGTCCTCCGCTCTTAACCACTACACCATGCTGGCTTTGGGCAGTGTGCGAGGAATTCTGCTTTTATTTTTGCTACAGGGCAAAAAGCTATGTATAGAGTATTGAATTATTATCATCAGTGGAAGAAAATGTTACCCCCAATCTCCTCCTCCCCCTCTGCTTTAACTTTGGAGAGTTCACCAAATATATTCAAGCCTAATAGGGCCACAAAGGATAGGAACCAGCATTTATTTATTTTAAAAAACTGGGTCTTAGAATGCTGAACTTTATGTTCAGCACCAAATTATGAATTTGTGTGGTATGACTGCAAAATACATGCAAGGCCCTGTATCACAGAAGAGTTTTTTTGCTGAACCTATTCCTTGGTACTTTGAAAAGCAAGCAAACCAACAGCAATATTTTGATTAATCAGTTTTACTTTGTGGCATAGCAGGATTGTTAAAATAATTGTTATTTCCCTTATGCACATATGAGTTAACTCGGGGGTGGGGAACCTTTGGCTCTCCAGGTGTGGCTGAACTGCAACTCCTATCAGCCATGTCTGGTAGGCCAAACATTTCCCTGAGTTAACATGAAATTCACTGCAACAAGATATAATGATGGTCCCTAGATTGGGATGCTTTTAAAGCTACTAGTTATGATGGCTATATGTTACCTTCAGGTTCAGCATGCTTGGGAACATGAGCTAGAAAAGGCAGTTATCCTCATGTCTTACTTACATGTTTCCCATTGGGACATTTGGTAGAGTCACTCTGGGAAACAAGAATTGCTAAAACAGATGGAACCTTTCATCTGACTGAATAGTTTTCTTCCGACATTCTTAGTATATGCTCATTTCTCCAATGTCCTTCCCTCTCTTCTTCCCCGCAAGGCAAAATAAAAATAGATGGCTCACTAGGCTGACTGAAATTGCAAAAGGTTTTAGTTTGCATTTCAAACAGACATGCCAGCTGCTGGTTTGCAAGTCCTTGAACAGACTTTGTGATTGACCGCTTGCGCTCTCAGAATGAAAGCTGGGTTATGTGAGGTCTTTTTCTAATAAACAGCAGTCATCAACCTTATGAGAGTTGGAAAGCTGGGAAGTGCTGAGCAGATTTGGGCTAGAGAACCATTGCCCTCCCCTTTGTGTTTACAGTTTCAGCCAAGAATCACCCAGGCACAATCCAGCATCTTTACCTTCATGAATGCTTTCAACTCCTCCAGATTTATCACCATCCCAGAAGTGGGATCAATCTAGAAAGAAGATCAGTGGGCATCTCAGCAATCTATGGACAGGTGATTTTGTGGGAATACAATTTGCACTTTGAATTCCTGATGGCCGCTGGAGAATTTCTGCAGCCATCTAGGAAAGAAAAGTCTGGGAGCTGGCCAGCACATTATAGTCAAATATACCCACGCATGACCCAGAGGTTAGTGGCGACCCACTCCCCGCTGGAGGGTGTGGGCATGAAGTCTATTGGAATTAGTCTCAGAGCCTTCTGCATGGCACTCCCAATGACCCAGAACTTTGTGTCTAGTTTACCATGGCTGCCTCATGACATGCGTGTGCAACCTTCAACATTTTTTTAAAGCATGGTCCACAATCTCTATGATCGGACGATGTGGGCTTTGCAGGTGGAAGCTTATGCCACAATAAAGCTGCTTGCCGTTGAGGTGTCACCAAAGCTGCAGCAATGGACTAATGTGGCAACACCAGCCAAGAGTTAGAGACTTGGCTCTTACGGTTACAGGTTAGCAATATAATAGCTAATAGTGGGGTGGAAAAAAGGTCCATTGGGTACAATCGACCTTGCAAGCTCCAAAATGAATTGGGAGCTGCCTATTCAGTCTGGATCACGTAGGAGAACTTCTTGGTGGTTAATCAAAATAATAAATTTAGATATACATGGTGTCTATGCGAAAAAAGCCTCTAGCTCTGTTGTTGTTGTAGTAGTAGTAGTTTAGTCATTTAGTTGTGTCCGACTCTTTGTGACCCCATGGACCAGAGCACGCCAGCAGACTAGTTCAGTAGACGTTAGCATTTTCAGACCAGGGATCCATCATTAGCCCAAACGTGCATTTGGAAGCCCACATTTTTTTATACCATATATTTGTATGGTTGTAGGTGTTGCTGCTGCAATCCGCATTAGGTGAGGCTGCAACCCACCAACTAGACAGATGTTCTAGGCAACTTAGCAGCTCACAATATCATAAATATAACCCTTAACACAAGCCAACTAACCAACAGCAGAACCCTAATGCCTTTCCCCTCCAATGTTCTGTCAATTTAATGTTAGGATTATGCACATTCACGGCTCCTGAATCACAAGCCTTTAATACTCTTAGTAATTATATTTCATGACAATAATTATTTCTAGGGTTGCCTTTTTAAATGTGCATTACATTGTCTTCATGCAAACGTAAATATGAATATTGTCTCTGTGTGCATAAGCATATGTAAAGGTAAAGGGACCCCTGACTGTTAGGTCCAGTTGCAGACGATTCTGGGGTTGCGGCGCTCATCTCGCTTTACTGGCCAAGGGAGCTGTTGTACAGCTTCCGGGTCATGTGGCCAGCGTGACTAAGCTGCTTCTGGCGAAACCAGAGCAGCACACGTTTACCTTCCTGCCAGAGTGGTACCTATTTATCTACTTGCACTTTGATGTGCTTTCGAACTGCTAGGTTGGCAGGAGCAGGGACCAAGCAATGGGAGCTCACCCCATCACAGGGATAAGAACCGCCGACCTTCTGATCAGCAAGCCCTAGGCTCTATGGTTTAGACCACAGCGCCACTCACATCCCTATAAGCTTATGTGCTTTCCTTCAAACCACATAATGAAGACTTTCTGGAAGATGGTAAGTTAAGCTCTCATCACGTGTACTGTAGAATAATACCAGCCTGTTGGTCAAATATAATTTTGGCATTCTCCATTTTTCATGATAATTCAGTGATGAGCAGGTTGTAGTGGAATGAATGATGTTCATGGAAGAACAAATGAGCCAAAACACCTCTTGAGTCTGCCAGTCACACCTAGCTACTCATGGTTTCTTCCCTACGCCACCCATGGTTTTACTTACTTTTCCATGGACAGTTACCACAACTAGAAGAGAAGAAGAAAACAATTAACTCTCCAAGACCAGCAATGTCTGCAGATCCTCCTTTATTGCTTGTTCTGGAATGGGGACAGTGTTGGAATCTCAAGGCAAACCTGTCAAAATGTGAACTTGCACAAAGCTGAACAAAGAAAATTAAGCTGATACAGCAGCTAACACATACATCCCTTGAATGGTGAATGGATGCAATGGTGGTTGAAACAACAGACGTCCGTTTTGCTTCCAGGCTATTAATTAACTCTGAAAATTCTCCATCTTACCAAGTTCCTCCTGGTTACCTTGATCCTGACTTATTCCAACTCAACTTTGCAAACACATCTTAATGCACTGTCACCTGGTGCTATTTCCATTTTAGTCCACCTGGCCCCATTGTTCACCCCTGATTCACCTTCCAAGAGTGATTCCAAAGCACTCAACCTCTTGTTCCACCACCTCTCAGCTGTGTTTAGGCTCCCGCCATTCGATTTGGAGGTTCTCTACTCTTATTCAAATCCTAGGCTCTGTGATTCTATCCCTGGCCATTTACTGGCATGAGGAACCTTATGGGGATTGACTATGTATTCAAGCCATGTAACAGACAAATATATCCAGCCTCTGCTGTTCCACTATGTATCTGCACAACAGATGGAGAGAATTGCAGGACTACCGGGAGGCTTGAATTGTCAAGAGAAAATTCAGGTGGAAACCCCCAAATAAATTTTCAACAGCTGCTCTACCCTCTACCCCGTGGTGGTGTTAAAAATAAGCAGGATCACCCACAAAGTTATTCAGACCACCTCACCTTTATAATTGTGTCCATGCATCTGACTGCACGGCCCAAACAGCTTCATATTCTCTGCGTCGCTCAGCATCTTGCTAGAAAGAAAAATAATGTGTCACTGGTGAGCAAGCAGCAAGCCTGGGAGCCAGCTGACACTGTGCAACCCAAGCTGCTAGTCCTATTTCTGGTTTATTTTTTGCATCTGTTGTTCCGGATGGGTCCCACTCAAACAAGGGGTGCACAAAAGCAGCATTCCCTCACTTGGCACTAGCACCCAACAGGACAGCTGTGCTTCTCTCTCATAACAAGCCTTTAAGGAGCCTGGTATTCACCAGAATGACCTTTCAGTGGCACATAATTTGGAAGTGACTGGTTCTTCGTACCTCTGGGAATTTACATTTCTAGCTGAAAGATTCCCTCCCCTCTGGTCCCATTCCATCAAACCCTCCCATTTCTTCAGTGAATTCAAGATGCTGAGCATTAGTGCTCCAGTGTTAAGATAGTGCAAACCCAATCCCAGCCACTAACAAGGCTCACACCTCTCTTTGCTTTCACACATTCCCAGCCAGCTCCCCCCCCCCCCGCCCCCGGCTTTTTAATACACCATCAACTTGCTTTGCATATGCTTGCTTTCCCAAGTGAGCACTGGACAGGCACAGGTGACTTATGGGTAGCTTTCCTAACATCCAACATCCAAGGCTGCACAGATGGACTCAGACTCATTACTGTACACACATTCTGCACAGAAGGGGCTGCATTCATCTCTATGCTCCAGCAATTGTGTGAGCATTGGGTGAAACTTTGTGCACGAATTATTATGTTCCAAAGATTTAATTTCACAAGCTGGAGGAAAGAGGCTAGTGCAAGGTACATTTAAGAAATGGAAATGTTTCTGAGCAACACCAAAAACCAGCAGTTTACAGTCTCTCACCCCAACCCTTGCCTTGTTACCCATGCCTCTTTCATTCCTCCCTTCTTCCAGTTTTCTTCTCTTACCCTGTTGCTTGACTCCCACACTTTTTCAGCCTAGATGGTAAATTCCTTGGGGCAGAGAGCTCCCCTCTCTCTTTGGCTTATGCTACGCTGCAAAGTGCACTTCCATTAATGGTGCAGCGCAGCAACAAGAATAGCAAGATTTCCAACATAGCACTTTACCTATGACTGTGCCACAGCAGTGAATGTGGGGAAAGCATTTCTATTTCCTAGATGCATTAGATATTAAAAGCATCAACCTGCAGTTTTCAAAAGTTTTAAAATCCCCCAAAGTCCCATTTTTTCAGCCACTGGGTACCAATCCTCCGGCCAACAGCTGTGCATCCCAGATGTATCCCCTGTCAGAAACCACCAAATCATTGGAAGCAAGTTACCAGGCCAGCCTATGGGAAGCACTAAATGTAGTTATCCTGGAGAAGGTCACTGTCCTCGGAGGAGAGGTTGTTAGGATCGTTCTTTGAGACCCCTGGTTCTGCATTGCTGGAGTTGAGCTGATCTTTCCTCGGAGGGCAGGAAGAGTGAGAGGCTCTGCTAATGACAGCAGCAGAGGAGCGACATCCTAGATAAAGACCAGCCGCTCATCACATGATCAAGTCACAGAAGAACTTTATACACTACATCTTGGAAGCTGAGATCATGGGATGGATAGAAGAACCAATCAATTGACCCAGAAGGAACGTGGAGCGCATGATTGGCATGCTGAGGTTTCTGGGTTACTATGTGGCAGCTATAGTTAAAAGGGTTTCATGTGACGTCACAGCTGTTCCCAATCCTGTACTCTGTGGCCAGCTACATGTGAGTGGGAAGCAGGACCCGGGTGCAACTGCACTCTCAGCTTCTGCGGTTTCCAGCAACTGTTTTTCAGACACATACGGCCTCTGAACTGTTCCGTTGAACTTACTGGAACTTACTTATGAGTAAACATGAACAGGATTGTAGCCATGTGTCACAATTTCTTTTTTCTTCTTCTTTTTTTTCCAACTTAAATTTTTATTAGTTTTCATCAGACATACATTCCAATACATTCATTGTATTAAAACATTTCATACATAACATTAGCTCTATTGAGCTTTGGACTTCCTTCCTCCCCTTCGGTAAGTACCATATATTTTCTTTATGTCACGTATTTTATACATTATTCTGTTTGATCATAAGCTGTTGAAGTTAATCAAATCCTGCCAGTGTCTTTAAAGATTTACAGTTGTCTCTTATATAATCCAAGTATTTACTCCAATTTTCATAAAACTTTTGTTCATCCTGATCTTTTATTCTCCTCGATATTCTAGCCAGTTCCGCATAATTGATCATTTTGACCTGCCATTCAGTAATAGTTGGTATTACTTCTGTTTTCCAATTTTGGGCTAACATAGTCCTTGCTGCTGCCGTGGCATACAGGAATAGGTTTTTATCTTTCTTTTTAACATCTTTTCCAACTAGTCCCAGTACCACAATTTCTTCAGTGCTGGGAGCAGCAACAGTGGACAGACTTGACAGTCAAAAATGTTTGTTTCCTCAACTATTGCCAAAAATTGTTCATTGCCAGCATCTGTTCCCTGTGCCTTTATTTATTGTCGCAGTAGGACAAAATAGTGGCTGCGATCCAACACAAGACTGGATTCATGCCTATGGGTATGTTCAGCTGCATATTGGCTTGTGGCTACTGCATTTATCTGTGTTACCGGAAAAATCCGAGGGCTCCCTTGGACAAAATAAAGACACCAACCAGGATAACTTGGAGCAAAACAGCAGCCTGTAGGCTTGGCCTTTATTGAACTGTTGCAACAGGGTGTTCCCCTCACTTGCAAGAGAGAGGAAAAGACCCAGAAAGATGGTGTGCAAGACCTTATAAAAACTTTTGAAATTCCCATCCTCTAGGTCAAGCCCACCCCCAGAAACATCATGCATACATTACAGAAAGGAGGGGTTGACATCATGCATACATTACAGAAAGGAGGGGTTGAGGGAGGAGTTGTGGTGGTAACCTGAGTGTCCTGTCACCTGGCTGGTTCCTCCTTCCCCCCTCCCCATGAGTCACTTCCAGGAGACAAAGGGGAGTTGGCAGTTTCCTGCCCCCAGAGGGAAGATCTGATCATTGTCCTTTGTTTCAGTCCATGCTGAATCCACTCCCATATGCAAGTTCTTTGTGATCTTGATGGTCTTCTGTCTAGGACCATCAGGGTTGGCATAGCAACTGGGCAGGGCTCCTGTGGATGTGCTGGGATGGTGAAGGGATTATGGCTGACCAGAACCAAGCCACCCCCCTTTGATAGTCCTTGTCATATGGAGTAAAATAAAAATGGAACAGTGCAAATCCGATGTATGGTTGATTTTTCTATGAATTTATAACAGAAGTGTGGCATATGTAGTGTGTGAGTGTGAGTGTGTGAAGTTTGCACAAACTGAATGATTGGGGTGGGGGGTTCCTGCTACATCTGGAACGCAAAAAAAACACAACAGCAACAGGGCTAGTCAGAGACAAGGCCAAGAAAATGCTGCGTTCATTCATACTACGGTGGTTGTTGTTGCTGTTGTAGTAGTAGTATTTCAATGCCAATATCATTTCAAGCCAACTGACATCTATTCAGAGTAGACCCATTGAATGTGCATCGATTTAACAGGTCTAAGAATGACTAGCGTTGCATGCAACCCTAAACCTTTCTACCGAGTATTTCATCTGTAATTATAATGTGAATGCTTTCCGCCTTTAAAGGGCACTGGGGAGACTGGGCTTGCCCTGCCTTTTGCCAGCTCTGCAGCCCTTCACGCATATTCCAAAACCTTTCCGAATGAAGCAACGCTCCCCCCCCATCTGCGTCATCCTCTTAACAGACTGACACAACAGCTCTCTTTCCCTTTGCAAACTTTCTCCAACAGTGGGCAGAGGATGGGGGAAGAGGGATAAGGAAGAGGCTTCAATTGCCGCTACTGAGCTTGCGCCTTCTGCCCGCCGCGCAGACTCAGTAGCGCCCCCTCGGGAAACCCAGAAGCGCGGGGCCCCCGGCGGCGGAAAGCGAAGACCCCTGCCCACCTGCCCGGCGTTGTCATGGCGCCGCCTTCGCGCTTCGCCGGGCCTAGCCGCCTGGCCCGGGTCTCCCGCTGCGTCTCGTTCAGCGCCTCCCACCGGCTGCACAGGTGCCGGGGAGCGGGGAGGGAGCCAAGAAGCGCCCCTCTTCGGCTGCTTGCTGGGAACGAGAGGGCAGCGGGCGAGCGGAGGGCGCGCTCATGCGCGGGGGAGGGGGCTTGCGTATGTATGTATGTATGTATGTGTATGTATATGGGGAGGGGACGTGCGCTTCCTCCCTTTGCACCAAGACTCTGTTTTCTTTGCAGCAAGATCGTGGCTGAGATTCCCGATTAAGGTTAAGGGAGGTGGTGGCTCTGAGCATGTGCAAAGTGCTGCCCGAAGAAGCAGTAAGGAGGCACCCCCTATACATATCCCCTCTATATGGAGCCGTTCTGTGTGTGTGTGTGTGTGTGTGTGTCCGTGCGTGTGAATTTTTTTTGGCTCCAGGGCTCCACCGCAGAATGGTTGGTCATCCCAAAATCGAGCTCTAAGCAGGCTTTGTGAAGTTAAGGGGGATAGAAAGGATGTGGGGCTTCCAAGCTCCCTTTGCTGCAGAGCAAGGTAAATGTGCTGTTTTGATGGGTCAGGACTGGGTTCAAGGCACAGGTTTCACTTAGACTAGGGCTGAACCCCAGCACCTGTTTGCAGTACCAAAGTGTGTTATGCATCCTCCCCACTCGCCACTGAGCAACCATTATCTAAATTGCATAGGTAAAGGTAAAGGGACCCCTGACCATAAGGTCCAGTCATGACTGACTCTGGGGTTGCGGTGCTCATCTTGCTTTATTGGCTGAGGGAGCTGGCATACAGCTTCCAGGTCATGTGGCCAGCATGACTAAGCTGCTTCTGGCGAACCAGAGCAGCGCATGGAATCGCCGTTTACCTTCCCGCCGGAGCGGTACCTATTGGTCTACTTGCACTTTGACGTGCTTTTGAATTGCTAGGTTGGCAGGAGCAGGGACCGAGCAACGGGAGCTCACCCCGCGTTGCTCGGTCCCTGCTTCTGCCGACCTAGCAGTTCAAAAGCATACCTGGTACTAATTCATCCCTCTTTCCAAAGCATGATGATGACGACGACACACATTTGTGTTTCACAGTAGCCATGTAAAAGAGGAGAAGTGGAGATTTGTATTTCCACACATGCAGTGGACATAAACTAGGGTGATGCACCCAGCTGTGGGGCTTCATAGTTATTGGGGGGGCATGGAGGGAATGATACACTCTTCCCTTTTTCCTTCTGTCCCTAAACCTGAAGAGGGCCTGTGACTCTTCAGCTTTTCCCATCCTTACACATCTACTAAGAAATACTCAGTGTACTACTCGGTGGGGCTTACATCTGAGTAAATATTTTTAGGGTTGGGCTGTAATCCTTACATGTGAAAATGTGCCCCAAATTATTTCTTCAGCTATTCAATCAGCTCTTTCAGTCCTTTTTAAAAAAAATCTCTTGACTAATTTTTTTGCCTCTTAACTTTCTTTTATTGTGGGTTGTCCTTGAATCAGTCTTGAATGACTCCAGTGTTTTAAAAATTATGCATTTTACAACTTTGGAAAGGAACTACTGGTTACGAAAGTTCAGCCCTCTTGTGACGCTTCTTAGTCAGAAAAGATAAGGGACAAAAACCTCTTGTTTATTCTCTGGAGATGGGCATGTTTAGAATAAGACCCCATCCAGAAACATGTGTAAAACTCACGTTAAAACTGTAGCAAAAACAAAAGTTGCCCCACCAGGTTAGTGAGAAAGCACGTGTGTATGCATGCACACATGTTTTCACATGCTTAAATTGGTGAAACTGGATTAGTAACAAGCTCTTTAATGCACTTCTCCACAGTAACTTGCTGAGTGATGAAGAAAACAAGAAACTTTTTGGGAAATGCAATAACCCCAATGGACATGGGCACAACTACAAAGGTGAAGACCAGCTAATCTGAGCACTCATGTACAGCCATACCTGTGTGTAGTTTTAAAACTCATGACATTAGAATGAGATTTGATCCTGGGCTTACTAACTTAAGCTCTACTAAGCTACGACTTGTTGGTACTTATGCCTGATAAACTTGCTGTATTCCATTGGGTATATAATGCAGGAGATATTCCTGTGTGGGTGATAAATCCTTTGCAGGAACTTCTTATGCTTGAAAAACTCAGTGAGAATTCACATCTCAGTAGCTGAGCAAGTGCTTTGCACACACAAGTTTCCAAATTCAATCCCACACATCTCCCAAGTGGAAACTGTGGAGAGCCACTGCCAGTCAGTACAGATGATAATGATCTAGATCCTGGATGTCCCACCAGTTGACTGCTATCAACAGGTCGATCCCCGGGTGCTAGCAGTCGATTGCAGTAGATCATGGGCTCATTTTCCTCTGCGTGGGAAAAAGAACATCTGGCGATTGCCAAAATAAAGCTGCACGTTTTATTGTTTACTGAGCAATCGTTTGTGGAGCCCCCCTAAGAAAGCTCAACAACTTTGGTCCCCCCCCCCCCCAAATGAGTAGATCACTGCCATTTGTTTATACTGGGAGTAGATCTCAGTCTTTCAGAGTTGGACGTCCCTGATCTAGGTGAACCAATGGTCTCCCTCAGCACAAGGCAACTTCCTGCATCCTTGTGTTTTAAATTTGAGGAGGGGATGCTCAGCTATGTGAACCACTCCCTACCCAGCCCCCCCCACCTTGATTCTGCTCACATTCTACAGCTCAGATGGGAGTGATTTGGAGGGCTGGGTGGGGGAGAGAAACCCACCCCCAGGGGACTCTTGAATCACAAGACTACCCCATATGGGGCGGGTGTGCTCCTCCAGTAGCTTTTCATAAGTAGGCCTTCAAATAAACCCAGCCACAAACTGATGTATGTTCTCCCTGTTGATTTGCATGTGGGAGGTGGGGAGGAATATTTGGAAGGCTGCTTCTGGGGAGCAGCAGTCCACCCACCACAGGACATCCTTTTGCCATAATGGACACTCTCCCCCCCCCCCATAGGGTGGGCTTTTTCTCTCAACACCAGTTTTTTTACCAGGAGCAGTCCTCATTATTCTGAGTATTTGTGTGGGGTTTTTTTGTTTTGTTTTGCAAGCATTTGTTTTGAGTACTCAGAAAAGTTGTGGAAACTGGGTGCTTGCAAAAACACAGTTAGGTAAATGCAAAATTGATCGTTATGCTCTTGTATTGCTAGTTAAATTCAACAGAGGAGAAGTGTCTGAAATGGCTTTTCCATATAATAGTGCCTCTTTGTGGCAGAAAATTAGAGGTGTTACCGGTATTTTGAAAGCAAAGATGTAGGGAGAAAGGGTTCTTTTTTGAAAACTTTTGGCTGAACTTGATGAGTATCTCTATGTATGTCATCATAATTGATTTGAAACTCACTGTGACTTCATATTTTTCTTCTCTTTCTGCTTCCCCTCCCCAGTGGAAGTAACTGTACACGGAGAGGTAAGTGTAAACTTTTCAAGGGTTTTGAAGTACATTTCAGATTGTTTGGCACCAATGTGCCATTTTTTAGATTCTAGATAACAACCAACCTGGGTTTTATCCAGTCTTTATTTTGCAACATTTTGGTGAGTCACAGCCCATATTGTGCCTTTTGGATTTCAGCCTAGAAAGAGGAAGCTATTCTCAGTGAGTGCTAGTCGTGAGGGCAGAAAAAGGGATTTCCTTCATATTGTGGGAGTGACTCATAAGAACATACACAGATCCCTGAAGGATCAGGCCAAAGCATCCTGTTCTCACAGAGGCCACCAAGATGCCTGTTACGGGGAACCTGCAAGAAGGCCCTCAGAGCAACAGCATTCTCCCTACCCACAATCCTCAGCAATTAGTGTTCAGAAACATATTCCCTCTGACAGACTCAGTCATAATTTTGAATTTCCAAAATTTCCAAGGCACAAAACTGTTTGTCTTGTACATCCAGGATTTTCTTCCTTTCTTCCAAGGTGTGGTGCGTCACCCTCTGACCTCAGAACTCACCATGGGGACTGGGCATCATGCCCAAGTGAAGTTTTAGGATTATCTCAGCACTCAGAAGCCTGCTTTCATGTATACTTTACCTTGCAATGCCTGCAGTTGTTTTTTCTTACTCAGATATGTGAAACTGGTGCTGTGATGGTTATTGTCATGGAGAGGTGAAGGCAAAATGGTCCAGATTATGCCAGTGCTCAGTAGCAGAACATAGAAACCTGTCTTGAGTCAAACCATTTTTCCATCTAGCTCAGTATTGTCTACACTGACTGTCAGCAGCTCTGCAGGGTTTCAGACATGGAGTTTGTCCCAGCCCTACCTAGAGATGCCCAGAATTGAACCTGGGACCTTCTGCATGCAAAGCAGATGCTTTATCACTGAGCTACTGTCCTTCCCCTGCTTTGCACACAGAAATTCCCAGGTTCAACACTCCCACATCTCCAGCTGAAAGGTTTTAGGTAGCCAGTGGTGGGAAAGCCCCGTGCTTGGAACTCTGTCTACCAGAGTAGACTATGGGGCTCAGTGGGCCAATGGCCTGGATCGGTATAGAGAGTTCCTTGTTAGGGGTTCTGAAGAGTTACAATGGGCACAAAGCTCCAAACATTCCCCAGATCATACTGTCTTTTTCTTACGAGATCTTATTACCTAAAAAATGCCCAGGAAAAAAATGATTTGATGGCTTAGATCCAGTTGTACTGGGAATCAGATAAAACGTCTTTTATCTGAGAGATGTCAAGTTTTAGAGAGTAAAATACTGATGCTGCTGTCTTGGATAGATCTAGCCTGTGACTTGTAGGAAGGAGAACTTCCTAAAGCAAAAGAAGAGCAATTCCTTTGAAACAATTTCTCTTCTCTTCTCTTCTCTTCTCTTCTCTTCCCTGCCCTGTACCCTTTCCTAGTTTTGATTCCAACAACAAGCTTTGTGTTAACAAACTTGAACAGAAGAAACTTCTGTCCAGCACCAGAAATTCCAGAGAGCCTTCCTTGATTTATTGCTGCTGTTGAGGGTGCTGTGATGTTGCTTGCAGATCGTGGCTACAAAGTCCTAGCAAATCTCATAATGCAGAGCTCTCTGTTCACTCACCCATTGCACCAGACCAAAGTCCAGTGTACTTGGCAAGCTGTGAGCTTCAGAAATCTTACATTTTGGCTCTCAACAGAGTGGCAAGGCCTTCTGTTGCTGCTGATTTTTGAAGAGGGGCTATGAGAGGAGCGGTTTAGCAGCATGAGATTTCGGATACCAAGTTGTGTGCCTTTCTTTGGACTAAGACTTAGAGGTAGTCACCGATAGGCAAATATCTCTGCTGTTTATGTTATGGAAAACATAGCTATTTGCTTCTCGTCAGGCTTAAGAACATAAGAAAAGTCCATCTGGTCCAGCACTCTCTGTTCTCCTTTGGCATCTGGTTCAAGCTCTGTCCTTGTTTTGTAGATTGATCCTACTACTGGGATGGTGATCAACCTCACAGATCTGAAAGACTACATGGAGGTAATAATGCCCTATTTTTTATAGTAGAAACGTTGTCTGCAGTACTCCCCCAGCCCCCAGCTCAGTGTATGCTGCAGGGAATAGTGGGTTGTGGGGGCAGGAGGCTGATGCAGGAGAGAAACATGACTGGGAGAGCAATGAACACAACCCGAAAGCTTTTGCATTTTCCTTCAGACAGGTAGAGGAAAAGAGGCAAGGGATGCATCAGTCCTCCTAAACTAAGGCCAGAGGGCGGGGGAGAGAGAGCAGAGCAGTTGCTTGTCTTTCACGATCTGGAAAAGGAGGAAATTCCTCCAGATCAATCAGTGTTACACCTTATAATCCAAGCAGTGAACTATTCATCTCCCGTTTTGCTACAACCTAAGAAGAAACGGCCCGTTGAAACAGTTATGCATCATTGCAGACCTGTAATAAGAACCAACATCATTCTTATTTACGTTTTATTTATCATTTATTTTTATTACTCCCTTTTTCCAGGGAGCTTACGGTGTCTTAGGTTTTATCCTCAGAACAACCCTGTGAGGCAGGCGAGGCTGAGAGACGGTGATTGCCCCAACGTCATTCAGTGAGCTTCCTGGCTGAGTGGGGATTTCAACCCTGGCCTTCCAGGTCTTAGTCTAACACTACTATGCCGCACTAGACATGGACATAACTGTTTAACCTCCTTTCCTCTCTATCCTTAGGAAGCTATCATGGAGCCTCTTGATCACAAGAATCTGGATAAAGATGTTCCCTACTTTGCTGAAGTCGTAAGGTAGGGGAGCTTTCTGCCTCTCATTATGAACTGGGGCTGTTGAGTTCCTCTTACACAGCAGGTCCTTTTTTGCTTTTTTATCATTGAATTGTGGGAATACTGTGGACCTAACTGAATTTTGAGTTCATTTGACAAAGTCCTCCGTGATATTTTGGGTAGCAGGCATGTTCAATACTGTCTTGATCAGGGGTTGGCAATCTGTGACCCTCCAACATGGTCAGGGATGATGGCAGTTGTGGTTTAGCAGTCCCTGGAGCAGTATCTAAATGGCTCAGGACCGTCTCTTTCCATTTGCACATACCCAGACCCTGAGATCATCTTCTGAGGCCCTTCTTCGTGTGCCCCCTCCTTGAGAGGTCTGGAGGGTGGCAACACGAGAACGGGCCTTCTCTGCAGTGGCTCCCCATCTATGGAATGCTCTCCCCAGGGATGTTCGCCTGGCGCCTTCATTATACACCTTTAGTCGCCAAGCAAAAATGTTCCTTTTTAACCAGGCCTTTGGTTGATCTGATTTACATCCTATGCCCTTTTAAAATGTGGTTTTTTTTGGGGGGGGGGGCTATTGGGTTGTTGTTTTTATTTTTATTACGTATTTTGTGGTTTTATATCTTGATTTTATTCTGTGAACCGCCCTGAGACCCCCGGGTATAGGGCGGTATATAAATTCAATAAATAATAATAAATAATAATAATAATGGAGGGCACCATATGTCCCATATCTAGGTACGTGATAATGTGGTCAGCTGGGTTCGCAGCGGGTTGGAGAACCATACTCAAGAGAGTGTTTATCCATGGTCTTCATCAAACAGGAGGGAGGGTTCAATTCAGGTGCCACAAAGCTCTGTCTTAATCCTGGGACTCCATATTTTTTTATTTTCAGTTGCTTAGATTGATAGGGGTTGGGTGGGATCCTTATCTTACTTGCAGATGACACGATACTGGAATGGGATTGCTAACATGTCAGAGGACAACAACAGATTAAAAATGGCAATTAAACAACAATTAAAAATGGCCTAGACCAAATGGTAATTGGGCCAAAACAACCAAAATGAAATTTTGCATAGGTATAGAGGGGATACCTGGCTTGGCAGTAATATTTTATTTATTTAAATCTAAATTTAATTTAATTTAATTTATTTAATCCCCACTCAGCCATGAATCTCACTGTGGCCTTGGGCCAGTCACATGTGTGAAAAGGATCATGGGGTTGTAGTTGGTCTCAAGCTGGACATGTGTTAGCAGTGTGGTGCTCCTGTCTAAAAGGCTCATGCAATTTCAGGCTGCATTAACGGAATCGTAGTTTCCAAGTCACAAGAAGTAACAGCTCTACTAATTAGGCATAATTAGGCTGAACTAATTAGGCATAATCTGGAATATTGTGTCTAGTTGTGGGTGATGCACCTTAAGCAGTGTCTGGACAAGCTGGAAATGGTTCAGAGGAGGGCAACATAGAGGATCAGCGATATGGAGAATATGCCCTATGAGGAAAAATTGAAGGAGCTAAGAAGGTTTAGCTTGGATAAGAGAAGACTGGGGGCCAGAGGGACGTCACAGCCCTCTTCAGATTCCTGAAGGAGTTGTCGCAAAGAGGGAAGGACTAGATCTAATGGCCGTTGCACAAGAGAGGGCAGGTTTTGGCCGATCATTAGGAGAAGCTTCTTGAGGAGGTCAACAGTGGTAATTTTATGGGACATTTTATGTAGCTAGAAGTCTTTAAATAGAGCCTGGACATCCAACTGTTTGGGGGGGGGGGGCGCAGGGAAGGCTTGTTCTATGGATTCCTTTCACTGAGCAGAGATTGGACCAGAAGACTTCCAAGGCCCCCACCAGCTCAAGGATCTTGTGACCATTTTTTTTACACTATATAGGCAGATTAATGTCACTTGCCATTCTTTTGTGCATGTCCCATTGGGTGGGAAATCTGTGTATGCAATGCTTGTGGCCCTTTCCAACTCCGTACTCTTGTTAGACTTCAAACCTTCCTCAGCAGTATATTCTAATGCAAGCGCCCAGATAATCTGTTTTGGATGAGTGCAAAAAACTTTCTAAGCTTATGCAACTCAAAAGTGAATCGGTGAAAATACTCAAAGAAGCACAGGGGTGGACATCAAGGGTACATCCATAAAGGATTCTTGTAGATCGTTGTGCAGTGATCCACAGCAGCTTCTCCCTCTGGTGTAGGCATGTCCTGAGTGTCTGTGAAGATGACAGAAATCTAACTAGAAGGGCAGAATGGCTAACTCACTGTTCTTTCTTGCAGCACTACAGAGAATGTTGCTGTGTACATCTGGGAAAACCTCCAGAAGCACCTTCCTAAGGGGACTCTTTATAAAGTCAAAGTGTATGAAACAGACAAGAACATTGTTGTTTACAAGGGAGAGGGGACTGTTCTGGAGAAATGAAGATGCCTTTGTCTTGATGCCTTTGATCTAGTGCTGGTGAAAGAACCCAATCAACTGGAGGATTAATAAGCTTTATCTGCTAAGTGTAGCCATGAGAAATCTAGAATGTATCTTATTTGTTAAAGATATGCTATAACAGAAAGACAGCAAGGCTTTTGTGAAGGAAGTGAATCTTTTGTGCAGTTCTGTGCTGTTGGAATTAGTTGCTGTCTTGATGTGTCAAAGTGTCCTCTATTTTTCTAGATAGTGAGAAAGATGTAGCTTCTCTGCCCTTTTGTATCTGTTTCCGTTTACATGGCACAAGAGAAGAGTCACACCAATTCAAGATCCTGAGTACTTACAGTCATACCTCATGTTACGTCCTCTTCATATTACGTTCTTTCAGGTTATGTCCCGCAGCGACCCGGAAGTACTGGAAGGGGTTACTTCCGGGTTTTGCTGCTCGCACATGCACGCAAAATGATGTCATGCACAGAAGCGGTGAATTGCAACCCGCGCATGCGCAGATGTGCCACTGTGGGTTTCGTTCTTTTCATGTTGCGAACGGGCCTCCAGAACGGATCCCGTTCACAACCAGAGGTACCACTGTATCCCGTCTGGCAGCAGCTTTTCATGGTCTAAGGCAGAGAAGGTGTTTCACTGATCCCATTTTCTCAGTGGTAGGGGGACCTCCAGCCCACAGGCCTCATTAGACCTGGAACAGATCCCATGTTTGGCCTGCAAGGCCATTTCCCCCAAATCAGAGGCATCCTCCCCCCATCTGATGGAATATGTGGCACCATGTGTGTGGCAGTTAAGGACTTGACTCTAGAGGAACAATTGGGGTACTTAATATGAGCTCCCAATTGCTCCTTGCCAAGTGGGGCTCGCTGACAGCTGATTAGCACTGATAGAGATCCTCATTGGGATCGGCTGCTCCAGGCTGTTCCCCAATGGGAGCTCCCTAGTGCAGCTCAGGGGGCCTTATTGATAGCTGGAGATCCCATGGATTAAACTTGGGATCTACATAGAAAGCATGTCCTCTCCCATTGAGTTGGCCATGGACTTTTCCCTTTACTCCTATCAGGGTCCCCAGTTCAGATCTTACGTCTGCCATGATTTTAGGCTATGTTCACACACCACTTCTCAAATTGATGCAGACCGAGCGCTTGGTTTTTCTACGTAGTCCACACACAATCGACCTCTGATGCATATTTTTTTTGCCCCTGAAAAACACTAATTGAGAAAACTGGTTTTACTCCAAAAATAAAAGGTCGTTGCAGACTGAGTCTGCATTACCCTGCAGTGTGTCCATTTGAAAACATGTAGGTGGTCCCAGATATGTGTGTGTTTGGAGCAGGGCAGCTACACCCATCCAATGATATCGTGGATGGGTGTATACAAAGATTGCTGTCACCATTCTCTTCATTCATTGGGGCTTGTGCAGGGAGGATAATCATCATCATCATCATCATCATCATCATCTTCTGCCGCTCCCAGCTAGTCACCAGTCTAGCTGCCGCATTCTGGATTAGTTGTAGTTTCCAGGTCACCTTCAAAGGTAGCCCCACATAGAGCGCATTGCAGTAGTCCAAGTAAGAGATAACAAGAGCATGCACCACTCTGGCGAGACAGTCCATGGGCAGGTAGGGTCTCAGCCTGCGTACCAGATGATAAACAGCTGCCCTAGACAGAATTGACCTGTGCCTCCATGGACAGCTATGAGTCCAAAATGACTCCCAGGCTGCGCACGTGGTCCTTCAGGGGCACAGTTACCCCATTCAGGACCAGGGAGTCCTCCACACCCACCCGCCTCCTGTCCCCCCCAAAACAGTACTTCTGTCTTGTCAGGATTCAACCTCAATCTGTTAGCCGCCATCCATCCTCCAACTGCCTCCAGACACGCACACAGGACCTTCACCGCCTTAACTGGTTCTGATTTGAAAGAAAGGTAGAGCTGGGTATCATCCGCATACTGATGAACACCCAGCCCAAACCTCCTGATGATCTCTCTCAGCGGCTGCATGTAGATGTTGAAAAGCATGGGGGAGAGGACAGAACCCTGAGGCACCCCACAAGTGAGAGCCCAGGGGTCTGAACACTCACCCCCCCCCCCACTTTCTGAACACGACCCAGGAGGAAGGAGCGGAACCACTGTATAACAGTGCCCCGAGCTCCCAGCCCCTCTAGACAGTCCAGAAGGATGTTATGGTCGATGGTGTCAAAAGCCGCTGAGAGATCCAGCAGAACTAACAAACAGCTCTTACCTTTTTCCCTAGCCCACTGGAGATCATCAACCAGTGCGACCAAGGCAGTTTCAGTCCCATGATGAGGCCTGAATCCCGACTGGAAGGGATCCAAATGGTCCGCTTCTTCCAGGCATGCCTGGAGTTTTTCAGCAACCACTTGCTCAATCACCTTGCCCAAGAATGGAAGATTTGAGACTGGGCGATAGTTGACCATATTGGCAGCATCTAAAGATGGTTTTTTAAGAAGTGGTTTGATAACCTCTTTTAGTGGGTCTGGGAAGGCTCCCTCACAGAGAGAAGCATTCACCACCCCACGAAGCCCATCGCCCAGCCCTTCCCGGCTAGCTTTTATAAGCCAGGATGGGCAAGGATCAAGGAGACAGGTGGTTGGTTTCACTCGTCCAAGCAGTCTGTCCACATCCTCGGAGGTAACAGATTGGAATTGATCCCACGCAACTTGACTAGACAGGACTCTAGCACTCTCCTGCCCCGGCCCTGCTCCCACGGTGGAGTCTATCTCTTCCCGAATCTGACCGACTTTATCTGCAAAAAACTTTGCAGAATCATTGCAGGAGATCATGTGGCCTGTACTGGGCCCCGATGTAGCAGGTGGTTCCGCTAAATTGCGAGCCACCTGAAAAAGTCTCCTGCTGCTGTTTTCTGCAGATTCAATAGAGGCGGTGAAGAAAGTCCAAGGGAGGTTTTTCAAAGTATCAAGTAACCACAGCCACCCTTGTGCATGGCAGTATGTGGAACTGATCTACACTGAAAGCAGCATGTTGTAGATGAGCGTGAACAATTCCAGCCTCAGAAAAACTACACTTTTGCACTTCAAATGGGTTAGTGTATACACAGCCTCAAATGGTAGCTCTCAGCAAACCACACTTTTGAGTGTCACTCTTGGGATATGGGAATAACCAGTGCTCTTTTCTTTCTTTTTTAAGTGCTGGTACTCACCATGAAGTTGTTCCAGTAAGTGCCACACTTTTAACATTGGGGGTTGGGGGAAGGTGCTGATACTGCGTTCCCTTTAGTACCCCTAGGAAAAAAACCACTGGAAATAACAATTTCCCCCTTCCTTGCAGGGTTGTTGAAAGGACCACAGAGGTAATGTAATCATATAAATGCTCTATAAAAGCTACTTACGTTGTGTGCTGCTTCCACTATGTGATTCTCCTGACCAACAGTCATTAAATGTTGATTTGTTAATGGATTTTGATTCTCCACGTCTCTTCCTACGGTAAAGAGAAAATTGGGAGCAGTCGCAAAAGGTGGAATGATTATGTTGGAAGGGGGAAGGATTAAGGCACTTGGTGGACAGATGACTCTACTCTACTCTACTATTGAGCTATTGGCTCAATGGATGCACACCTGACTATTGAATTCTGGGGATAAATGACAAGCTGTTACACTCATGCAAACCGTCAGGTGCCAGGGTGGGGAATTTGGGGTGTGGCAAAACATCCCTTGTTTGGATGCTGTGTATGTGGTTGTGGTTGTACGCAACAGTCCAGCAGGAAACTGGGCACCCTGGAACTCTTTGAAAGCTCTTTGAAAGCTAGTCAAGTGGTGCTGGTTGCAGAAGTTGGCAAGATTGGGCATTGTTGCCGTCTTGAGCAGAAAAAGCCACCGCCACCCTGGCCATTCTCACCCTGCACCTCTTACAAACTAAAAGGTCTGACTCGTAGGGGTTTGCTTGTGGTACCCCAGAGCTCTCAGCTGAAACAAGGCCTTTCTTGTGTGGGACTGTGGTTTGGAAGTTGATTGGTGGTGTTGCCACTCCATTGATCCTCGCATCTCTGGGTGTGAACTGAGGACTCCCATTGCAAAGCACTGTGTTTGAAGGAAAGTGCCACAGCCAGTGGAACAAATGCACACTAGTGAAACGAATACATGTTCTTCCCTGAATTATCCCTGCTTCTATTTCCCTCCTCCTCTCTCTGTTCTCTTCCCTGTCCTGAATTTTAGACTAGAAACCCCTTAAGAAAGAGGCCTGTCCTCCTGTGCCATGCATAATGATCATTGCACTATGGAAATGAACACCAGAAGTCTCTGCAGGGGTGCAAGGTATGGCATTTGCTTCCTTGGCGTGTTAGTATCCCTTCCTCCAAAAGTTGCTCAGAGCAGCATTTGAGCCTCACAGCACCCCCTGCTGGCTCTGACTCACACCCTCCTTGTGTCTGGTTGAAACATGCCATTGAACTCTTGATAATACCTTTTGCTTCTCTGGATGGAGTATAGATGCAGGGCCAGCTCACTCACGAGGCGGACTGAGGCAACTGCCCCTGCTGCTGGAGAAGCAAGAAATGGCTGTGTTTTCCGGTGAGATAACATGGACTTCACCAGAACCCAGAAGCCACAGCCATGTGACTCCAGTAATCAAGGCAGTGGTGTCAGCGGGACCTCCCCATTTTGCCTCAGGTGGCAAAATGGGATGAGCTGTTCCTTTATAGAGGTAGGGGTGTGTGTGTGTAGGAAGTAGTCTACTGTATGAAGGTATCCTTTGCATCTGATGCTCTGCTTTGCCTCTGACCCTGCTCACAGTCACCACTGCCATGTGCCCCCCAGAAGGGAATGAGACCCTTGGTCTGAAAAAGGTTCCCCAACTCTCTTTGAGCTGGAGACCCAGGGCAAATGGCCTGCCTGCTGTCCTGCCCCATCCCAGCCCCCTAAATCTGTTTGGCCCTGGCTGCATGTTAAGAGTTGTGCTTGGGTCCAATTCCAGCCTCTGCCCTGGATTTATGGAGTGGCTTTGGGCTAGGCATTCTCACTGAGCACCAGTCTTCCATCTGTAAAATGTGTGATGGTAGTGGGGGAACAATGGTCTTGGCAGGGTGACTGTGATAGGGAAAAGTCATCATTAGTTACTGGTTTTAGTTTTTAAAAGGTAGCTGTGTTGTTCATTGAAAAAACAACAATCCAGAATTTGGCCATGCTTTTATTATGACCAGTGATTAGTAATTGAGAGTATGTGGACTCTCTGTTTTATGGACTTAACAAGTGATTGTTGTAAATTCGTCTCCATTAGCAATTTAATTCTGTGTGTGCCTCACGGTGGGGAGCAGACCCTGCAGTGCACTCTGCGCTGACGGAAATGCAGCGAAGACCAATTTGTGCAATCAGACACCTGCTGGGGACTGTGTTTACTCTGATGTTATGTGTACCACCTAGAACCTGGAATAAGTCGATGCGGTGCAGCAGCGGCTGTGGTTCTGCTTGCCTGATTTTGGAGGTGTACTTTTGGAGCAGGAGTGCCAAATCTGACATGGCTTCAACCCAGGATTCGCACCCAGAGCTTTGCAACGGAGCCAGTCTTATATTCAGCAGCCAGCCTTTACGCATGTGAACTATCTTAATGTAATGGACTATCCCCTTGCTGGATAATGCTGTGATGAAGAATGAGGTTACACACATGACACAACATGGCTTTTGCAGATCTTTTTAACCAACAGATTAAACAAAGCTGCAATACTGCAGTAAAAGGCCCTGGAGGCATCTCTTCACTGTAGATACAGAATAGTTTGCAAATGTTCTGAGAAGGGGTTTGTCACATTAAATCAACAATGAGTGTTAATACAATATATGGGAGAATAACTCTCCTAGCCAACCCCCGCCCCCTGTTCCTTGTGGATTTTTAGTCCCCCTTGTATACGATAAAATTTCTGTCGGATTCATAGACCTTGACTTTGTGCAGGCATCCATCTGGTAGGATTTTTTCAAGGTTGTTCCATATGTACACGGCTAAGTTCTCTGTTGTGCTGGAGGAAGAGCAGAGAGGTTGATATGGAAAAGGAAGAGACTCCACAATATAGGTTTTTCTGCATAAAGGTAGAGCTGCCTTCAAACCTGCCTTTCTTTACCCCTGTTGCTTCTCGCCCATGACTTCAAATCAAATCTGTGTATATTCTACTCTGATGTAACTTTAGTCTGGATAAGGCACAGGATGTCTCATGGCAGACCCACTCCAAATATTTAAACACACATTTAAAGAACATGGCTTCTTTCCCCAGAGAATCCTGGGAACTATTGTTTGTGAAATGTACTGGGAATTGTAGCTCTCTCTGTGCATGGGAAAACTACAGCTCCCATGATTCTTTTGGGGAAGTGGGGAAAAACAGGGCCACCATCTTCCAGGCCGCACTCACATGACCGGCACAAGAAGGCTTTTTCCAAGCACGGTGGACAAAATCGGGAATTTGGGGGAGCCGTGTGAGATCACGACCCGAAACTGCGCGAGAGCATGGTGCCCAAAATGGTTTTCCTGGTTTATCCAGGACAGTTGTGGGTTATATATATGTATGGTGTGGATCTTCTCTCAAACCTCAGGCTGTGACAAACTTACACAAGCCAGGCATGGTCTATGCACCTCTGTGCCAGCTTTCTGGAAGAGGGAGCAACCAGCCTGCTTTTTGCTGTACTTGAGGGTCACTTATGCAGCTGACCAGCAGGTGGCTTTCCAGCCATGTGACATAAAGGAGCCAATCGGATTCCCAGTGGTCCTATAAAATGGAAACCTCTGGCCTGGTCCTTTGGTCTGAGCAACTTGTTTCTAGAGTAACAGCTTTAAGTTGTTCTGTCTGTGGCTGTTTGTTTTGCCCTCATAGCCATCCCTGCTAGGTCTCTACAAAGCAGCTTGGGGAGGAGGCACCTCTAGCCTGTGGGTCCAATGAGGCTGTTTCCCCAAAACCAGGACCATGACCCACATCTGACATTGTATATGGATGCAAGTCTCCTGCACTCTTTACAAATGTGGGCAGTGGAGACTGCACACAAACTTAACAGCTACCCACCTTGCAACGCTGGCAAAAAAATCAACATCCTGGTCAAGGTTCTTGTGGTCGAGCGGATCCATAATGGCTTCCTGAAAATAAGAGCAAAGATCTGGTTGGGAACAGGGATCATGAAGTTCTAAACCAGGAGTCAGCAAACTTTTTTTGGACGGGGCCGGTTCACCGTCCCCCAGAAGTAAACGCAGCGGAGGGGGCTTCTTTCATTCCCCCTCCCCTCCTCCTGCCTACCTATGCTGCTGCAAAGCCGCTTGTCCCGCCACTGCTGTCACCAACCTCTGCCGCTCGTGGCACTGTGCGCTGTCAACTGTGTCTCCTGTGCCTGCCCTTGTGAGCGGCAGAGGCTGGCGGCGGCGGCGGGATGAGTAGCCTGAGAAGGCTGGCTGACTTTGGAGAGGCGCTGCCCAAATTGGCGCTCAACCCAGCCCAGCCCCCTTCCTCCACTATGCAGGATGGGGAGAAGGGTGGGGAGAGGGAGGGAGGAGGCGCCGTGGTGTGTGAGAGGTAGAGGGGGGGAATGGCGCTGAAAACAAAATGGCGGCACCGGGGGGAAAAACAGGGAAAAAATTAACAAACAGAATCGCCGATCCATGGAATGTCCACGGGCCGGATCCTGAGGGCAATTGGGCCTGATCTGGCCCACGGTCCGTAGTTTGCCGACCCGTGTTCTAAACTTTGCCTCTGAGGTTCATAACTCTGGAATTACCTTCATATATTCCTGAAGCTTGTAAATATTCATGAACATTCCACTGATGGGGTCAATCTGTAAGACAAGTTAAATAATAGCAATAGTAATAATGGTGATGATTTTATACCAGGTATTTATTTATCATTTAATATTCAGAATTTCTGGTGCTGTACATACAAGTACATTATTTATTTATTTTTACTAAAAATGACATCAATAATAATAATTTTATTTTTTAACCCTTGGAGTGTTCAAAGGACAGGACTTAGAACTGCTCTTGAATACTACTACTATGATAATACTATTAACAACAGTAGTGGGGGGGGCAATGCTAGGAACTATCGCAAGAGGTTATGATTGGATAAATGCATGGATTTATCAATGGCTATTGGCTTAAAATGGAACCTCCATTTGCAGATGCAGTCTATCTCTAAATATCAGGTACTAGGGACAAACAACAGGGGAAAGACATGGTCATTGTGCTCTGCTTATATGTGACCTATAAGGCACTGGGGTGGTCAAATGGTTGGAAACAGACGGCTGAGCTGGATGGAACTGGTTCTGATCCTGCAAGGCGGCCTCTAGTCAAGGGATCCGATCCCACAGGAGTCAGTGGTGAATTGAAACATGGCAGCAGCATATCTCAAGTGCTGCTGAGAATCTCAGACTCTTGGTAAAAGCACAAAACCTGTTTTCAAAATAAAGAGCAACAAAAGGAAAATGCCCTACCTTTCCACATATGGTCACTGTCACTGCAAAGGAGAAAGAAGAAACTGTGAGAGAGGGAAGTTGTTAGCATTAATTGCAGACCCAATTCAGTACCACAAGGTGGTAGCAAAGAGTTGGGTAAAGCACGTCTCTTGCTGAAACACATAATCTCTGCAATGAGGGAAAATACAGGTATGAGGGTGGGGGAAGTGGTAACGCTCTCCCACTTGCATGCTTTAGCGCTGGCCCACCTCCAGAAAACATTGAAAATGAGCACGTCAGAGAGAACTAGCCTGATGTGCTGCTACATTTCCTCATGCAAGCTCTCCCCTCTTCCCCAACAGAAGAGCATTCAAGTGTGCAACCCCAAAGAGGCACAGTCCTGGGGAATTTGACCACTCAATTTTGCCAACTGAAGCTGAGTACACACTGCTGGATTCTAAGCCCCTGGTGAGAAAAATCTCCATTCGGATTCCAGCAGGAAAAACACTGAACAGGGTCTCTTCCCACCAGAAAGAGGAATGCCTTTCAAAGCTTATCACCCCTCCCCTTCCCCTGTTTGCCTGTAGAAGAATTTGCTCCAGTCTTTACATGGAGGCAGTACGTATCATCACCATCATCATCATCATCAATGCTAGAAAGGCTCACCGCTCTTACCTTTGTAGTTATGCCCGTGGCTCTGATTGCATTTCCCAAACAGCTTCCTATTCGCCTCCTCATTCAGAGATTTGCTGTAAGACAGTGGGAGAGGGTTGAGAAAAAGCAGCAGCCAACAGGAATAAGATGAAAACAGCAAGAGAGGCAATCTAACTGCAGATGGGAACAGAGAAGGAAGCCTTTTGTACACGGAGACTGTTTCTATTGTCAGTGACTAGCAAGGATAACTCAAAACGGACCCTCAAAGGATCCATTACTTCTGAAACAGCCCTTATTTTTTTAAAAAATTGAGCCATACCCAACCCGGCTTTTTTGCAGCTATTTGTAAGTCTTCTTTGTTTTATTATTACATTTAAACCTCACTTTTCCTCCAAGGAGCTCAAGGGTGGCATTCACGGTTATCCTTCCTCCCACTTTTATCCTCACAGCAATGCTGCCATGTCATTGGCTAGACTGAGAGTGACTTTATAAGGACCTGGATTATAGAGTCCAGTACTTCTATAATCACCGTATTTCTTGTGCCACCTCTACATTTGGTGATGATTCCTGACTCTGCTGAGCCCTATCCAGCCCAGTTAACGTAAATCATAATGCCAAATTATTGCTGTTGAGGATGGACCTATATTGTATGTGGCTGCCCTTTGCATAGATCAGGGAGGAGCAAGCTTCCAGCATCAATTTTGACTTTTTCTTTCAACTCCGAGACCCGCAAACTGGATGCAAAACACTCTCAGAACAAAAGGACAGGGCCTCTGAGCACATGCTCAGCCCAGGAATTTGCTTTCAGTTCCAGAACTGAGCACAAGGCCGTTATACCCTGAGCGTTCTGCATCACAGCTGCATAATTTAGAAGGGAAAAAAAGAACCTTTCTCTTGTAGCAATGCCAGCAATTTTAACAGAAGAAACACAATAACTTTAAAACAAAAAGAGCAACGAAAATCCATAGCCACTTGACCTTGACAATAAGGATATTCCATCAACGCTGTTTTAAATGTCTATATTAATAGAGGAAGGTCCGTATAGTTAAAGCTATGGTTTTCCCAGTAGTGATGTATGGAAGTGAGAGCTGGACCATAAAGAAGGCTGATCGCCAAAGAATTGATACTTTTGAATTATGGTGCTGGAGGAGATTCTTAAGAGTCCCATGGACTGCAAGAAGATCAAACCTATCCATTCTCAAGGAAATCAGCCCTGAGTGCTCACTGGAAGGACAGATCCTGAAGCTGCGGCTCCAATACTTTGACCACCTCATGAGAAAAGAAGACTCCCTGGAAAAGACCCTGATGTTGGGAAAGATGGAGGGCACAAGGAGAAGGGGACGACAGAGGATGAGATGGTTGGATAGTGTTCTCGACGCTACCAGCATGAGTTTGACCAAACTGTGGGAGGCAGTGGAAGACAGGAGTGCCTGGCATGCTCTGGTCCATGGGGTCATGAAGAGTCGGACATGACTAAACGACTAAACAACAACAACAACAATTAATAGAGGCAGTCCAAGAAAACAGCCAGCTGGATCAGAGCAGTGGCCAATCTAGTCTAGCATCTTGTTCTTACAATGGCCAACCAGATGGCTGTTGTGAAACAACTGGGAGTCCATGTCCTTGTTTATCTCTGGCAAGTCTACCAGTATATCCTGATCAACCTCGTCACCAACTCTGGAGAGAAATAGCACGCCTCGTACCATTTGCCTTTTGCTGCCTTTTGCTGTGTGTGTGTGTGTGTGTGTGTGTGTGTGTGTGTGTGTGTGTGTGTGTGTAATGCAACGCTTCATTTATACAAGCTTTTATTCACAAAAGCACTTTCTACAATAAATCTTTTAATCTGTCTTCCAGGTGCCGCAATACTCTTGTTATATGCATGTGTGTTTTGCAAGAGATACTCAAATGTCCCCCTCTGGAATACATCCTCTCAACTCGGGTGGGAGGCTCTGTCTGCAATCTAAGCAGCATTAGCTACAACAATCACATTGCCTTTCCCCCAAATACAAATAATTTCTTATTCATTCTTCCCCAGAACTCAGGTTGCTGTCTTTCATATACCAATCCCAGTTCCTGTGCCTTTAACTGTGAATATTAGTAGGTGGGAGAAATGCTTTTTCCCCTGGGCCATGAGAAGCTTTGCCACTTGGCAACCTTTCCCAGAACCCTGCTTGTCAGTATATACTGACACGCTGTAGCCCAGTGGTTAGGGCATCCGTTCTGCATGCAGAAAATCCCAGGTTCAGTCCTCAGCACCTCCAAGTCAGATAATGATAATAATAATAATAATAATAATAATAATAATAATAATAATTTATTACTTATTATTTATGCCCCACCCATCTGGCTGGGCAGCTCCCAACAGAATTAAAAGCACAATACAACATCAAACATTAAAAACTTCCCTAAGCAGGGCTGCCTTCAGATGTCTTCTAAAAGTCAGATAGTTGTTTATTTCCTTGACATCTGATGGGAGGGTGTTCCACAGGGTGGGCACCACTATCGAGAAGGTCCTCTGCCTAGCTTAAAGCTGACTTGGACAAAAGTGTCCATTTCCCTTCTAGTGCCATCATTGATGAAATCCTCTTTTAATTCCCCTTTTTACAGACATCTAGGCCCTACTCTCCAGCTTCTTCGCCATCCCATCTACTTTCTTCCTGTCTTGCTCAAGTGACAAATTGGCAGAGTCCTGTTGGGCCCTGAAGACTAGTCGACTGTTGCACAATTTTTTTGTCAGCTTCATGAACAGAGTAAACAGTGGAAAGAATGAATGGCCACCGGAGACAGAAACCTATGACATAAACTCCAAGCTTTCTCCGAAGAAAATATGGATGTCCTATCCTATTATTATTATTATTATTATTATTATTATTTTATTCTTTATACCACACCCATCTGATTGGCAGCTTCCAAGATATATAAAAGCGTAATAAAGAATAATAAAGCATTAAACGTTAAAAAACTTCCCTATACAAGGCTGCCGTCAGATGTCTTCTAAAGGTTGCATAATAATAATAATAATAATAATAATAATAATAATAATAATATTTTTATATCCCGCCCTCCCCGGCCAAGACTGGGCTCAGGGCGGCTAACACTGAATATAAATACAATAAAAACAAAACAAAACAGTTACTTATCTCCTTGGCTTGGGGGTCACATAACTCTATACCCTCCAACATTTCTCCAATGAAAATAGGAACGTCCTAAGGAAAAGGATCAAATTCTGGGATCAAATCAGAAACCGGGATGGCTTCTGTAAGTCTGGGACTGTCCTGGGAAAGAGGGACACTTGGAGGGTCTGCTATGAGAGCTTCTGAACCTCCTTAGACATCCTTTCTCACCATTGTTGCAGGGTGGGGCAGGTCATACAGGGGAAAGTGGGGAGAGCTAGAACACATTAAGAAACCCAATGCTTCATATTGCATAGCTGAGATAAAGGTTACAGATGAGTCTCTTTCCTGAACTTGGGAAGGAAACTGCTGCAATAACACCCATCGTTCTTACCCTGCAGACCAAACCTGGTTAACATTTGCCCTTTGGCTCTATTTGGCCTTTGAACGATATGAATATCAGAGATGCTATCTTGGGCAACTGGTTCCTTATGTCCGGAGAATTGTAGGTACAGGAAATACTCATTAGAATCCATTGGACAGCCAGTGTTCCGAGAGGTTGCACATCTATGCTTCCTTCCAGGGATGGGGAAATCGTGGGCTCCTTGGTCACCTATGAATTCAAAACATGTTTTTTCCTCCCAACCCTGCATCCTGCCTCTTCCCTGTTGTTACCTGTTCAGCCTATGGGCGGCTGCAAATGTTTCGGTGCGAGAAAGGAAGGTCATCTTGCCTGCGGTGTTCGGCTTGCTATCTTTCGCCACACGCTCCATTGTTAACAGAGGGTTGGTAGCTGAGCTGCCGTTAAAAGCGGGAAACCTTCATGCGGGGCCCAAATAAATATATCCACAAGTTGTCATGTGGTGGATGGTAGACTGGCCAATCGGATGCAAATTGTTCGTCAGACAGCGTATCTCCTGGCCTAAATTTCTTTACACAGAACAACCATCAGCATTGTTTTTTGTTTTGCATCAATTAACTCAGCGTATTTCCTTCTTGATGAAAGCCATGGTTTAATGGGAAATAAATAAATAAATAAATAAATAAATAGTCAAGGCTCACGTGGATTGTCTAATTTGGGTTGGAATTTTTTGGAAAAGGACATTGTTTCACAGGGTGAGTGCAGGGATAAGGACATTTCTCCTAACTGCTTGTTGCTTGTGAATGCATACCCCTCAATATTACTGGGTCTTTCTTAGATTTTTGTGTTTACACTGTAAAAGTTCTGTCATGGATGGAACAAATGTGGTTTTGGCTCTAAGATGGGTCTCCAGCGAATTACAACAAGTTAGGTAGCTCAAATCTCCTTCCTTCCTTCCTTCCTTCCTTCCTTCCTTCCTTCCTTCCTTCCTTCCTTCCTTCCTTCCTTCCTTCCTTCCTTCCTTCCTTCCTTCCTTCCTTCCTTCCTTCCTTCCTTCCTTCCTTCCTCTTTCTTTCTTTCTTTCTTTCTTTCTTTCTTTCTTTCTTTCTTTCTTTCTTTCTTTCTTTCTTTTTCTTTTGTGAGTCTGCAAGCTCAGCTCCATCCTCAGGGGCAATTTACTTCATCTAACAAACTGCTTAGGAGCTGACAACAAATTTACCATAATTGACAATAACTTAATGCTGTTTTATGGTTTCCAAGACAATCAGACTGTAGTAACAATTGAGAGCTCACTTTAGAAATCTGGAGCAAGGAAGATTAGACTTAAAATCAATCAAGTGTTTCCCACCCAGATAGGGAACACTGGACTGTATCTTTTTTAGAGTGTGAATTGCAGGATGAAGGGGGTGCAGGGGGTGTGGCCTATCCCAGGTGCCATCACTGAGGTGGGGTGTGTGTGACAAAATGAAGTTTTGTTTTGTTTTTTAAATGGGTTCACAAAACTTTTTAGGAGTGACGTGGTGGCTTACGTGCCTGCAGGTTCCTCACTGCTTGAAACAGCAGCATGGGACTTGTGTCTGCCTACTGCCTCTCCCTCAGCCGCCCTACAGCTGAGGGGAAGGCAGAGGAGAGGCTCCAAGCGTCAGAGAGGCTCGCCCCGCCCCCATGGATGGATTGCCCCGCCCCCCCGGCTGCAGCACACGCCCCTGCACTAGGCACCCGAGCCTAGCTATGCACCGCTACACACCTAGCTATGCCGCTGCCTCAGTGACATGGAATTTCAAGAGATCCCAGCCAGCCATTATAAGTTTGGGTAAGAGTCCAGCCTCATCACATACAAGGGCCTTCCCTCGATGACTGTTCAAAAACTTCAGCAAGTGAAGGGTGCTGAGTCCTGTTCCCATTGAATATGAGGGATGTCCCTTGATGACTGTTCAAAAGCTTCAGCTGATGGAGAATGTTATGAGTTTCCAACTGAAGGAAGCGTGTCAACGAGATACACTGGTTCCCTGTTGCCTTTTCCCAGGTAAGGTGAGCCCTAGATAGTCTGAGTGACAATGGTCCACTCATCCCATGTCCCATGAGGACCTGGGATATCAACAGAGTTCTCCTTAAGTTTGGAATCCACCAAGAGTGCCCAAGTGGTGGCTTTTGAAAAGGATTAGACAAATTCATGGTGTAATATACTCAGAGTCGAGATTTCATGCTCTTTATTCAGCTCATAGTGGTGAGGAGGAAATGGAAGTTCCCCCAGAATGTCTGCTTTATATACATTATTTACACAATGGGCCCCACATGATAGGCTAATTCCGGGATTCTCCTGTAGGCCAATCAGGTTGCGGATTTACTTCCACCTGGAGCTGGATTGGGTGGCTCCTGTGGACCAATCAGACTGCTGCATTCTGGGTCCTATTGTTCTAGGACCAATCAGACTGCTGCATTCTGAATCCTATTGTTCTAGGACCAATCAGACTGCTGCATTCTGGGTCCTATTGTTCTAGAACCAATCAGACTGCTGCATTCTGAATCCTATTGTTCTAGGACCTGCTGCATTTTGGATCCTATTCAACTCAGTACATAACACATGGATATAAGAATCAATGGCAAACTTCATATTCAGAGGCATTTCACCTTTGCTTCCCAGATGCTGGGTTTAAACAAGGGAACCTATCCTCATCTTGCTCTGCCAGTGAGGTTCCCACCACTTCGTTGACTACTTTGGGACACCAGGGAAGCAACTGGGATTTGGAAGTGGGGAATTAATAATATGAACACTCTTGGTTTGGAATTTCCTGGCTGATTACAAATGGAGCCCACATTCCTCTGATGTTTTGGCTCAGGTTACAATTAACCTGACCACAATCCCAGAATCAACTTTCCCTGCCACTACAACTGTTCCATTCTATTTCTTCACTGATTCTTACTTGGTAGAAACAATGAGAATGACCTCTGCTGTGGCCTATGTTAGGCCATATAGCCATGTAGTGGTCATCAGGGATGAAGTGTAGGTGGGTTCCCACGAAGCAAGACACAGTGATAACAGCAAAAACTTTTATTGAACTAACAGAACTAGACAACAGGGGCAAAGCAACTGCTTATATACATTTCTGAAGGTCTGGGCTGCTCTTACTCTCAGTGTGATTGGCTGTCTAAACTCCCAAGCTGCGAATCATAATTCAGAGTTTAAGAGCCAATGTCAGTGGCCCAAATCCTGCAGTGTTCGGTGACTGGATATCATGTATTGAATCAGAACACAGGGGCTCAGAATTCTTAGTCCAGACTCAAGCTCAGGCAAACACACACCACTGAAAGCATAACATCTAGGAAACATTGTTTCTCGGGACTTCTGACTATTCCTACTGTTTCCTAAGGCCTAGTTGAGCCTGCAACAGCTTTTCTTGTTATTTCATTTGCCGCCACGAAGTAAGAAAGGGGAGAAATGGAAGGGAGCATTGAATTGGGGATCTTCTGAGGGGTTGGCGTCGTTGAAGCCTCTAGCCTTTGGCAGCCTTCTCTGCCATCCATCGCTACAAGCTAAATGGAAAAGGCATCAAAAGGTCTCCAGGGCTTTTGGTCATCGCCAGCTTGTTGAAGTTGCATGTAGGTCTCTTCTAGACTTTTTCTTGTGATTCAGCTGCTGGCTGGGAGAAGTTAGCACAGAGGAGCAAAGGGCGAAGCTAAGACTAGGCCCAGAAATGGGTACAATTTCCCTTGTGGTCAATTATCTGACTTTGCATCTCCCACATGAGGTTCTCTTCTCCCGCCCACCCAGCAGGGAACAAAAGGACCTCTGTGTTGTCTGTCGCAGCCCAGGGAGCTGTTGGTCAAACCCTGGTGTCACAAGACTAGGTAGAAGTCTGGAAGGACATTGCCATGTCAACCGCTTTAGCAAGGTCACAGTCCTTCCATCTACAATGAATCAATTACTCTGTGGCAAATCAAGTGTGCCTTTTCAATGGCTTCCACCATAGTTTTTTTTTTTTTAAAAAAAAACTAAATAGAGCTCTTCTTGAAGAAGTTTCATCCATATTGGTTTGGCGGGAAGCCAAGGGCCTTCCATCTCCTGAGATCTGACAGTCCTTTTCTCTCTGAGGAACCTCACTTCTGCTGGCTGAAGAGCACCCTCCATTCATCCTGTTTATGATGCATGGATATTGGGTTGGTTTACACTTGCAAAAGTTTCAAGGTGCTCATACTGCTTGGTTTCCAGTTGGTGCATGTCCTGTAACTTCTTGCTGACTTTTCATACCACATATATTCTGGATTTTTTTTGGTCCCGCTTTTGTTGTGCTGTAGCACAAATGTCAGCTTCCACACATCTGTAGTGCAATAGCATCGGGGATGCGTTACAGAGCAACTAGCAAAGCAGTCCAATATAAATCCACCAATAACACTATTAATCTGTCAGTGATGTGGGAGAAAACCCGTCAGTGTGAGAACTCCCATGATGGATCACATTGGAGTCCCTCTAGTATTCTGTTTCTAATAGTGGACAGCTGGATGCCAGAACCATGGTGGTTTGGGGGACAGGGGAGGGGCAGGGACTACAACTCTCATCATCTTTGATCATCCATGATCACACTAGTTGTTGACTGATAAGAGTTGGAGTCCAACAACATCCAGAGGAGACAACAATGACTCCCTGTTGGTTAGAGTGTGGGACGAAAACCTGGAAGATGTTTTCAGGAGAGGGAGTTGGGTGAAGGTCAGCAATTAAGAAAAACCACTGGTTTCAGTGAAGTTAACGCTTTATTCCAAGAAACCAAAGCAGCACAGGCCTAATGATCCCTGCAACTCTTCCCACTAGGTCTTACCCCAATGTGGCAGTTGTGAAGACTGAAGGTCTCTACCTTTGCACAGCTGCCTAAGTCTCCTCCTCTTCAGGTTTTTTCCCAAGCAGTTATAGACTGCGTCTGTGCACAGTCAATCTCTTCTCTGCTCTTTTCATTTTTCTGTGTGTTCTAGTAGACCAGGGGAGGGGAGCAGGTTACAACAGGAGGGAGAGACCCCCTGGCTTCTTCAGCAGCCTGTCTCATCTTTGCCTCTTGGCCCCCTCCACTCCAGCCTCCTCTTCTGCCTCTGATTCTGAACTGCTCTCTGCCATAAGCTCTTCCTGCTCACTAAACCCTGTTGCCCCTTCAGCTTCTGACACCTCCTCCTCCCAGTCAGCTCCCTCTTCTCCCTCTGACCACTCAGCATCATCCCACCACCATTCCCCGGCCTCTGAGCCTTCTTCCCTTGGGGGCTCCCTCCCACCACTCCTCTGCATCCAGCCAGTCCTTGACAGATACGAGTTCAAATCCCCACTCAGACGTGAAGTTCATTGAATGACCTTAGGCCAGTCACGGCCTAGCCCACCTCACAGGATTGTTGTGAAGATAAAACGGACGTTCCTTTATGTTCATCTCCTTCGCTTCAATGGGTGACCCTGAGTTCTAAGGAGCTGGAGAAAATAACGCCTTCCTCTCCAGTCTGTTTGTAAATGGTATAAACTTCTGTAAATGCCCCCTCTCCAATTAAACCTCGAAGCTAAAACACATGAAATTGACACAGGGCCTAAGACATTTCAAATGAACATTCTGTGTTTGTAAAAACCAGAGGCACTTGGTTTTGAACAAATGTCTGATTTAAAAAGGGCTCACTCTGCTTTTTAGAAAGCAATGTGTGGGAGACCAAAAAAAAAAGTGGGGTGGCCTTTTAAAATAAAACTGCACAAGGCAACTGGATTTTCTGATCACCAGACGCCTCTTAGAAGGATGGAAGGAAGCTCTCTTCCTGGGGATTTGCCTTCCTAATTGCAAGAGAGGAAAAGACCTGCTAAACTGGCTCCAGGTGGGTGGTGGGCTGTACCCAAGTGGAATGTGGCTCCTTTGTGATTCAGATCAAAGGGAGTTGGTTTTTGAAACCTTTGCACAGCATGGAATTCCCTTGGAGGAGGAAGAAGAGCTGTGGAGTCTGCAGTTTTAATGGGAGGCTTTATAAAAGAAACAGGAAGTTTCAGAGGATAGAATTTATACACAAAGGGTTATCAAGTGACAAAGCAGAACCTGAAGCTGGTCCACACACATGCAGTCATCACTTGGTGGTTGCAGCATCAAGCGATGACTGTCTATTGCAGTCATGGGCTATTGCATATCTAGCGCCGGCAAGATGAACGGTTTGTATCACCTGGGCATCTAGGGTTGCCAAATGCTTTCCCTGGGCCCTGCTCCGATGCTTTGAACAGTAGCAAGTATGGGCAAGTGGTTGTTCTTCTCCCCATTCCCACTGGCCATTTCTGCAGAACCAAGCATAAGAGCAGGCCGGGTGGTGCTTTTGGAAGATCAGTTGGCAACTCTACTCACATGGCCTGAAGTAGAATTGCTTTTCTGCTTGTACATTCAACTTTCCTCATTAAAGGCAGTTTCACGCCTTAGTGTGATAGATTAAAGAACCCCTAACATGCACAAATCAAGTGATGGATGTGTATCTCCGCATCCTACTCTTGGCTTCTACTTTAATTAGTTCATTCTTTACATTGCTTTTTTAAGATTCTGCCTTTTTTCCAAGGGACTTGAGGCAGCACACATAGACCTGTCTCACAGCCTTTCATTCTCATAACAGTTTTGTGAGATAGGCCCATAGCTCAGTGGCAAAGCATCAGCTTTTCATGCAGAAGGTCCCAGGTTCATTCCCCGGCACCTCCAGCTAGGGATGGGGGGCAACTCCTTGTCTGAAACCCTGGAGAGCCAAGGATGATGGGGGCTGGAGTCCAACAAGTTCTGGAGTTCATGGTCTTTAGAACTTAACTCTGTAGATGAGGAATGGCTGCACCTTGACTCTAGAGCACATAAAACTAAAAGGCACATACATGGATGAGCAGTAAAGAGTGACAGGAGCAGAGGCGCCAGGTTGCCTCCAGATGGAGACCCCTGTTGTGCATCATGCCAACATGACATCATGCATGTTGCACATCATGTGCAGGGAATGTCATGTCCTCTGGAGGAGGCTGAGCACTCTGGTGGAGCCTGATACCGAAGCTGCAACACACAATGCTCACCATGTGTGAACGACAAGTGCTGGGCCACCTCAAAATTGAGGGGGCTGAAAGCTCCTCAGCCCCCTAGAGTTGAGATGCCTAGACAGGAGTGAACAGCCTGCCATATTTGGATTTGAAGAGTTTGGATTTGATATCCCACTTTATCACTACCCGAAGGAGTCTCAAAGCAGCTAACAATCTCCTTTCCCTTCCTTCCCCACAACAAACACTCTGTGAGGTGAGTGGGGCTGAGAGACTTCAGAGAAGTGTGACTGGCCCATGGTCACCCAGCAGCTGCATGTGGAGGAGCGGGGAAGCGAACCCGATTCCCCAGATTACGAGTATACTGCTCTTAACCACTACACCACACTGGCTCACTGGCTCACTGGCGCCTCTCTCTCTCTCTCTCTCTCTCTCTCTCTCTCTCACACACACACACACACACACACACCCACACACCACCACACCCCCCCCCACACCCACACCCACCCAAACCCCTGCACCCACACAAACACACCCACCCACCCACCCACACACACACACACACCCACACCCTGCCTGCAACTGCTGAGGGACATTTTGTCGAAAACATGAGGACAACTTGATTTTATCAAGAGTATCTTTAATCCAAAGAACAAACACCCCTTTGGTTTTTTAATTTAGGGGTGGGCCGTGACTGCAGAATGAATGAACGTCACAGAACAGTGTGTCCAGCAATGTTGAAGGGTGCCACGGGGTGAGGCCACGGACTGTGAGCCTTGACTTGCAGTTAGGAGTTGTGGTTGCAAATACAGTGGTACCTCGCAAGACGAATGCCTCGCAAGACAAAAAACTCGCTAGACGAAAGGGTTTTTTGTTTTTTGAGCTGCTTCGCAAGACGATTTTCCCTATGGGCTTGCTTCGCAAGATGGAAACGTCTTGGAAGTTTGTTTCCTTTTTCTTAACACCATTAATACAGTTGCGACTTGACTTCAAGGAGCAACTCATAGAACGCGGTGTGGTAGCCTTTTTTGAGGTTTTTAAAGACTTTGGTGATTTTTGAAGCTTTTCCAAAACTTTCCCGACACTGTGCTTCGCAAGACGAAAAAAATCGCAAGACGACAAAACTCGCGGAACGAATTAATTTCGTCTTGCGAGGCACCACTGTACATAGCTGCCTTCAACTGTGAAAGCTGGCGATGGTATTGTTATGGGATTGCAGGGGGCAAGAATCTCCTAAAATCCTGGGCACCAGGTTCTCCCCATAATCTCTGAAATTAGTAAATGTGGGGTTTGAAGTCAAGCTAACTTCTCCAGGAGCTGGGATTAGGGAAGAGAAGGACGGAGTGAGCAAAACTCCATGCAGGGTAGCAGCGATGCTGACTGGCTGGCGCAGGCTGTTACAGAGAGACATAGGGATGGTGCTTAGGATGCTTCTGAATCCAGTCCTGTGCTGCTGGGAGCTCTCTCTCCATAAAACTCAAGTGTAAATATGTGTGAATAAGCCATGTTTCATAAAGATGCAGTTGTCTGCTGTGTCTCGTTCCAAAGGAACACAAACCTTGGTTAAGTGCCAAGACTCCTGGAATCTTTCTCCTGCTTGGCAGACATTGGGGTGGCTGGGAACAGTATCTTGTTGCATTATCTCCTGTCTCCAGATTATGATGAGGAAGAGGATGATATTTTTTTGAAAGATTTTCATTTATAAAGGAATAATGTGATAAAAAGGGAAGGAGGAAAGAAAGGAGGAAAAAGAAAAAAAACGTGCAAAAAGTATAGTGTACAGTGGTACCTCTGGTTGCGAATGGGATCCGTTCCGGAGGCCCGTTCACAACATGAAAAGCCCGCAACCTGAAGCGCCGTATCTGCGCAGGTGCACGACGCGATTTGGCACTTGTGCGCATGTGCGAAACATGATTTAGCACTTCTGCGCATGTGCGAGTGGCGAAACCTGAAAGTAACCCTTTCCGGTACTTCCGGGTCGTCGCGGGACGCAACCTGAAAAAACGTATCATGAAGCAAACGTAACATGAGGTATGGCTGTAATACATTAAGTAAAGTCAATTTCATTTCTATCGATTATTGTATGTAAGCAATATTATATGGTTGCTAATTGCCCTACTACATTCTGTATAAACTCACTGCAGATATCTATATCTCCTGTCTCCAGATTATGATGATGAGCAGGGTGGCATTCCCCTTCCCCCCTTTTTTTTGCTCGGCAACAGGAAAGATTGTCTCATCGGCTGATGGCTGGGTTGGAGGGAAGATGGTTTTTAAAATAGCCATTTAGCCGAAACAAACTGCTCACCACTTTTACTTAGTCATTCCCGAAATAGCTGAGGGCCACATTTAACATTCCACCGTGGTAATTTTTCCTGTCTGAGCTGCAGGCTTACAAAACCGACAAGAGACATCGCGGGTGCCCTTAGGATTTATGGCCCAAGAGCTCAATGGAGGCAGGTGGGGGAGTGGATAGAGCAGGGGGAGGTAATGTGATGCTGTTGGACTCCAGTTCCCATCATTCCTGACTATTGGTCATACTGGGTGGGGCGGATGGGAGTTGAAATCCAACAACATCTAGATAGCAGTACAATGGCTACCTTGGGCTAGAATGTCAGAGTAGGAGGTGGGCAATACAGGTTCAAATCCCTGATGAGCCATAGAGGAAGCTTGGTCTATGTCAGTCTCTCACACCTCGCCCTGCTTCGCAGGGTAGCTATGTTGATCAAAGAGACTAACATTTTAACTCAAAAGTATTTTGATCTGCAATTTGTACTTAAGCAGCTTCTCATCGCACAATTATTAAAATGTGTATTTTTCCGTAACAGGAACCGGCAACTCTGTATATTATACTTTTTTTTTGCAGAGTATTTTCTTTTAAAGGAGGACCATTTTTTCCTTGATAGACACTGGCTCATTTTTACCATTTATCAAAAAACTAGTGGGGGAGGAATAGAGAGGATTTTTTAAATAGTTTTTTTATTTAAGTAAAGATAAAACATTTTTACAGAAATCTACAAGTTCTGTTGCTGGTGCAGGGCTGCTTCTACTATGCAATTAGAGAGTGGGAATAAGTTGCAAATTCCCCATTTTAATAATCTCTTAGGATTCAGCATTAGCACAAAAGAATAAGAAGAAATACTTTGTGTGTGATTTGTGAGACTGAGTCTTTCAAACCCTAATGACTTCATTCAGCAAAGTGTAAGGAAGATAGGAATCTCTGCCTTACACTGAGAGCAGATCTCCACTGGTTGGTTATAACGTTAACAAACGTTGTGAAAATGTGACACCAGAGGGCGCTGTACAGCAGTGATCCATTGGCAATGGGAAATTGCATTGAGAATTATATGACTTTTTTTTTTACAGCATTTTACAGATCAGTGTAGATCCAGCCCGAGTCACAGATCTTTGGTTCAACCTTCTGGCGAAGGAAATGGACAAGGTGGTGGAGGCAGGCTGGGCATAAGTTCCCCAGAGGTGGATCGGAGTGAAGCCTGTTGGCCCAGTCCAACCCATCCTTGGGGTGGAACTGGACACTCAGCCCACCGGTCATTGGATAAACAGCTAGCAGGCCAGAGTCCACTTTCTAGGCTGGTGTGAGGCTGATCTGGGGTTGTGCCGGCCCGGAAAAACACCCCAAGTCTATGTCCCATGACAGATCATGGGGGGCACAGAAGGCACTGTCTTGCAAAGGCGGCAGACCCTAAATGTAAGTGTCATTGTCAATGCTAACTGGAAGTCACTTTGCAGGGTTTCGGGCAGGAGTCCCTCCCAGCCTTACCTAGAGATGCTGGCTGGGGTTGAACCTAGGACCTTCTGCATGCAAAGCAGTTCTGCATGCAAATAATAATAATAATAATAATAATAATAATAAAATATATATATATATAATTTTTTTATTTATACCCTGCACTTCCCAGTTCAAAAACTGGGCTCAGGGCTGCTAACAACAAATTTAAAACACTTAATTGTAAAAGCAGCATAAAATACAGTATAAAAACATGAATAACAATAAAATTCAAAATTCAGAAATCAATTTAGGGGAAATAAGCATTAGATAATCCCCAGGGCTAGCTGGCTGAATTGGGCCAGTGAGGAGGCCAGGGGAGAATTAGCTGTGGGGTCTCAGAGCGGGTAATCTTCATAAAAGAAAGGGCGAGGGAAGAAAAGGGAAATAAAAGATCAGGCCGAATTCAAATTAAAGGCCAGGGCTCTGTCTTACAGGCTCGATGGAAGGAGGTTAAATCCTGAAGGGCCCTAGTCTCATGGGACAGAGCATTCCACCAGGTCAGAGCCATCACTGAAAAGGCCCTGGCCCTGGTGGAGGATAGTCTGACTTCCTTAGGGCCCAGGACCTCTAAACTATGGTTATTCATGGACCTTAAGGTCCTCTGCAGGGCATACCAGGAGAGGTGGTCCTGTAAATACGAGGGCCCTAAGCCACAGTTTCCATAGAAATAATAACAGTTTCCATAGAAAATGTCCTTGCATAAACAAATCAATCTTAGCCTTCTGTTGCTTCTTGAAACTTCTTCTCTGTTTCTGGAACAAATGATCCTCTCACACAAAGAGAGACTATCCAACAATACCACTGAGCTATGGCCCCACAAGAGAATATCTAAATCATGTAGGCTGCCTTCAGCTTGTTGGATGAAGTTTCTTGGATTAAGCACGTCCGTATCTAAA